CCTGTCGTCTGGATTCGGGAAGCTCTGTCGGCGGCGTAGGCAGTAGCGAAGTCATCGTTACTATTTTCTCATCTGAAGTGTTTGTGATACCACTGATATGCTTGCTGGAGCTGTCGCTCTCATCTTTCCATGTCTTTTGGACAACCCCCTCGAAAACGCCGGTGTTCTTCTCCCGGCACTCTAGGCTTCAGCAGAATACTTCAAGTCAAAACAGATACTGGAGCTCACCACGCCGATCATTTGAGAAGTGCAGTATTATTCTCCTGAACGATCCCTATCCTTCAATTGGCAAAGCACGCAGAGCTCCCACTCTGGATCCTCCATGTCTGCGGGTTGCAAGATGGAATGTTGAACTACCACCTGTGATGGCTTTTATACTTGGGATGACTGGTGGGGCTGGAGGCATGATTCACAGCCTGTTTCGAGTGGCTGTGATTGGACCTGAAGCTTGTGGACGAGGTATATTAGAGATGGTTTATGGGTGTCTCATACCTTTGAGGACCAACTGTGTTCAGGCTCTCTGTATCTCTATATGCGCCGAGATAAGATGGCAACGTCTCACCTCGGCCGGTCAGGGCGACACATTTGGCTGCGGGGAACTCTGGTCACGCTGGTAGCACCAGGGACAAAAATGCTACAACCGTGGCGAGGTTGGTCACTTGAGCCGTAAGTCTCCCCTATTCTCTCCCTTTGAGCGCAGAGACTGACCTTTCCTAGGTGACTGCCCATCAGAGACTAGCAGCGAGCGCACTTGCTACCAAATAAGAAGCCTTTTTGCTTTTGGAAATCAGATGTGCACTTATCGTAGCGGTCTTTCGTTGTCTCAGAACGAAAGCGTTCACAAAGTGTTAGCCGGAGAACATGCTTCTATACCTGCATTCACGAGCTTGTCTCCCTGACCCTCGTTTGTCGACAACTCCTGTATATATCCCATCTGTAGATCCTAAGACGAAGGACCATCCGTCCGTTATCCCTTGAGTTGATAAAGAGAAGACGTAAAACTAAAACTCAGCCTGAAGATGACGGATCCCAAAACTACTCCACTGTATAGGCACCCTGGAGACGTGCAATCCAAGTGTCCACATTCATGTAATATTCTAGATAAATGAGTGCTCCAACTACTGTAACCATATGTTAAATGCAGACATCACACGTGTAGTTATTTTCTTCCCTTAACCCTGATAGTATCATTACAATGACTCCATACACAACATGAATAGTGTAGTAGCTATCTCCACATTCGAACCTCTCTGAGGAACTCTCTGCGCCATGTTATCTATAAGATCACCTCACTTTTCGAAGAGCAACCAGCTCCACGCTTCAACCCCCACGTTGAAGAGACGATTTGTTGCCCGTAAAGCTAGCTTTTCGGCAATCTACTACAAAATCACACGTCTCACAAAAAAAGTACATTTGATTATGGTGTTGTATTACTATAAATGATGGTTCAAAGGCATGTTTCAAATAAAACTGCAATAGCTATGAAAATACATATATAACTCTCCCAAGAAACGTTTCAGATCAAAATATAATCATTCGTCAGTCCTCTCCCAAATCACAAAGACAATCTCCCAGCGATTCCCCCAGCCCTTCACCCAAGCGGCAATTCACGCACCAAGCAGAGATTCGGTAGTATTAAATGATCGTAGAGAAGCAAAGTGTGTGCCCAGGTTCCGCAAAGTCACTTCTTCCGACCTTAAAGAGTGCAATAACCAAGCTTCCAAAGTGGTATTCAGCTCGCGCGCACTATTTCGTTCGTGTGTGATCAGGGATTGACTTGATATTGCAACTCCTGCCTTAATCTGAGTAAGTACCTTCGGTCCTCTTCTTTTAGGCGATGGAAAGTGTAGTTCACTCATCGGAAAGGAGGGCTATACTTCACGTCTTTTCGATTCATTCTCCTGACTATTGCCAAGTTTGTCGGAAAATGCGACTAGTTTCTTTCTGTCTTGATTGTCAGGTGTTACGAAATGACCTTCAAATATTCAGACAGACGGTTTGAATTCAACTGCGCGTACTCCGTGTAGAGCTCTATATTTGGAGATTCCTACTGCCATGAAGTAACAATGTTTCGATGATGACGCAAAAGCCGACGGGCAGCTAGATGTTGTTGTTGTCAACCAAGTCGCTATCTTATACTTCTCAAAATCACCGTTCAACAACCCTTAACCCTCCTAGAACTTCCACCTTCAGGCCATTCCCACTGTCTTCACCACAACTATAATTCTCGTTGTTAACTATTTCACATTTCAAGTTTTCGCACCGCAACGAAAAGAAACTCTCATACCATCCATCAGTCAACTCCAAAAAGATACCATCCTCTTTCCACACCATTTTTCCCCGAACCAAGTACAAGAAAACAGCAGTCTTGCCAACCACTCTCTAATTCCCCTTGGACCCCTTCCTCTCTGCATCTTGAAATGGTCATCACATAAAACCCCCTGTAATGCGTACCATAAGTAGCACACTTCACCCCTTCCCAACCCTATATCAAGACAATAAACCACGCGCAAGTGCATAAATCCCCACAAACGCGAAAAACCAAACTAAACACCCAACCCTCGTCACAGATCACGGCACCGATTTCGAATTACCAATTATTTACCAAAAGCTACGTACGCACTTAGAAAATCCAATCCAAGAAAATTAACTACTCGAATTACCTCAACCACCCACCCAACCCACCCAACCCATACATAAAAACCTTCTTACTTACGAACAACCAATCATTCAAATCGCCCTCAAAACAAACAAACCACAATCTCCTCCCATATCCCCTCCATATCCCCAACTTCTCCACTCACACATAACCACAGATCCAATCTTCACAACTCACACTAACATCAAAACCCACACTTCACTATACATCTACCACCTCACAGCCCACAGCCCCATCATACCATGTCAAACACAGGCTCATCAGACCCCTCCCACCCGCGTGATACCTCGTTGATCTTGCATTTCTCGTAGAACCTAAAAGCCATCACAGGACGTACATCTTGTTAACTCTCGATTATGTTTGATGTGATGAGGTTCGTAACTTTGTGAAAGTCTACAGGAGTTTGACTGATTGATTCAAGTTAAGGTCGGCTAAGAAAGCCAAATATGAGGTTCGACGGGCAGAAAGACTCTCAAAGCCTCTCATTCTCGTATGCATGATGTGGCTACCGCCCAAGGAATATCATCAAAATAATCATGACTACTACTTATCTTAAGTCACAAAACGCGCATCCTGCAACAGAAACAAAGCAAAGCTCGTAGTTTTGAATTCTAAACCTTATCTCAAGCTAATAAACCTAGCTGATATCAGCACATATCGGTGCAATGTCACCCCTCCTAACCCCAACCTCACAACCTCACAACCCCATCCCATTCCACACCACACCCAGACTATCATCTCAAACACCATCACTTATCAACCAAAAGAACTCGTCACTCATAAAATAAATCCCCTCATCAAGCAAAATCAGAAGCATCAGCAAAGAAGAAGCAAAACCATTGAACGCCCCCTTTGATCATGTTTTGTAATACCAAACATTCATCCACGCAATAATATTGCAAAACAAACACAAACAAGAATAATAGTAGAGAAGAAAACGTGCCAGCGTACAACTCCCAATATCCCGTCGTTCAATCCAATTTTTTCTCATCATCAATCTGCTTCAAGGGGTGGGGGAAGCGAATACTCCGTCAAACGCCGCCGGTTATTGCCAAAAGCACAACGAGAGCAAGTGCTGCAACGTAAAACATATGAAATAAGCGAGGGTAGGATATTCAGTCCATGTAGAAATCGCCCTTCAGAATACGCTCCTGGAAGGCATCAGGCTTCTTTCTAGCGGGCTTCGGTGGGGTCCGAGAAACTGGCATAGCTGCTGGAGGGACCGGCAAATCGCTGACGCTCTTAGTACGATCATGGGCTTGAATGGGCTTGCTTCCGCCGGGCGAGACAGCAGAGAAGGATGGCCGGGTATTCTGGGAGACGGAACTCTCGGCTCGGGATCTAAGCTGCTCAGACCAGTTGAAGCCGCTACCTTCACCTGTTCGAGCAGAAACGGGATAGTCAGAAGCGATTCTGGGCTTTGATTGCGTGCTTGCCTGTTTTTGAGATTGTGGAGGGGTAATGCTACCACTTCCCGTCTGGGTTTGCTCGTGAGCTGCAAGAGCGGCTGCACTGCGCGGCCCAGACGGGATTGTAGGTAAAGCAGATGGCTTGCTTGTAGTATAAGAAGGAGTTCTACCATTCGTACCTGGATTGGCATTGGGTTGAGCACGTCGAAGTGCCTGTGCACCAAAAGACATTCTTCGGGCAAACGGCGTGGTAGGTGTGCTTCGTGAGGGGTCATCATCATCATCAATCGCACTCTCGTTGAGGGAATCAGAACCTGCAGTAGAAACGCTGCCACGTCGAGCTCCGAAGGGGAATGGTGATGTCTGAGTAGGGGAAGTTCCCGAAAGTCCGAGAGTTGAAATGGACATGCGGCGACGTTGGTCTTGTGGTGAGCCGGTATTGATAGCACTTGGGAAGGGAGCGGTAGGTGCCGCACCGCCAGCGAAGCTATTGGATCTGGCACCAAAGATGGATGTGAACGTTTGCTGGGTGAAGGAACCACGACGGGTACGGCCCGCACCATCATTGGAAGCGTTATCGTTGTTGGCCATCTTGATGAGAATTGTTCGGGTCGTTCGGGAGGGGAATTGAGAGGAGAATGTGCAAAGCGGGGGTTGTTTATTTATGATATTCTTGAGAGATTCGTCAATTGCCCTCAGCTGCTCTCTTCAGCGTCGGGATGGGACTCGAATGTTCGACGGTTGGGTGAATCCGATAGACCTTTGTTGTAATCAGGTATAGTGCCCGCTTTCTCTGGGGCACTCGCGGATTGACAACTGCCTTTGTCAAGGTACGAAGCTTATCTGAGGCTTATCGGATCAGGGAAATGGATCGTAGGATTGCAGTGTTCGTTCGAAGGTTTGGCAGAAGGTGAATGGATTGTTGTAATTCGATTTGGATGTGGGTAAGATAGATGCGGACGTGGTGTTGAATATGTAGAGAGGGGAAGGGAAGGAGAGGAGGGGAACAATTGGATGACAGGCTAGTGAGCACGAATTAAGGTTTTATGGGTCTGGCCAGCCTCCAGCCAATTAGCGCCCGCTGTGCTCATTTCTGGGGTGACTATCCTTTCCTGACAAACAAAGGAGAAACCACACCGCGTCATCCGCACAGGGCGGCGTTGGATCTCGAACACCTCACATATCTGTCTGCCAAAAGGAATTTCAAAGCACGGAGGTCCGGGATCTGAAGGGCAGTACTTGTCAATAGCACGAGTGTTAATCTCTTGATGAATCATGCCTACTTCCAATTTCTGTTTCAATATATGATCATAATCATCATTCTCTAATCATTAACTGCAATACTCGCTTTATCAATACGACGCCTATTGCCGCCCGAACCTTCCAAAGCTTGAGTTGGACGGACAAGTGTGGGGTAAATCTAACTAATGACGGGCTAAGGCAAGTGAGAGACCACCATACCAATCGTACCATGTCAACAGCACAGCAAAAGAGTCAGGTCCTATCCGCTTTGAGGAGCAGTAACATGTCCTAAAATAAAGCGACCTGGAAGCCAAGGACTTTGGAATAGCCGCCGGCCTGTCTATATACCGCTGGACTTGTCTGCTTAAAGCCTAGGACTCGGTACTTGACAAGTTGTAGGTCAGGTACGAAGGTATCAACAGTTCGTCAAGAAGAAAGCAGAGGAATGGCAGTAACAGACCAGCTCAACAAAACGAAGACCTGGGACAGTACAAGGCCAAAAGGATGCCACACGAAATCTGCCAAGGTTCCGGAAATATCCAGATGATAAGTGGGCTGCATCTGTAAATGCACTGCATACTTAGAGATGCAGTTCTAAGCGAACCGCTATCCCCGGATTTTGAGTGGTCCAGAAGACCGATTGGCGTATCTGGGAACGTTTTGATAATGCTGTGGAGCAAAAGATACACGTTTCCTTTTCCCCTCTTCTGGTCTTTGTTTGGTTTGATGTACCCTGATATTGTGAAGCTTTTGAGACCTCGTCAGAACAGCGAGCCGCCGTCAAGGTTGATCCCGTGGTGGCTTTCTTTGAAGACATATTTTGATCGGCTGTTGGGCTGGCGAAGTTCTTTATGTCAAGTTGTTGAAGAAATGTGGTGTGTTTCAGTTGATGACCAAATTGTCACGCATTAGGAAATCTTGATCGTCGATTGACTTGGCTGACTGGCGTGGCGCTCGAAAGGACCCTTTGAAGATCCTACCATGCGGCAAAGATGAGCGCTTCTGTATGTAAATCAATTGATGTCGATGAAACAGTACGTTGGCAGGAGATATGCGGTCTTTGCCGGATGCGTGGAATTGTATTCTTCCGTAAATGGAAATTCTCCGTCAGGTGATGAAGTGGTACAGTATATTGTCGTCAATTCGTGTAATCAAGAATGAGCAGATCGTCGATGGATATTTTCTACAGTTTGCTTCCCAGTCTGTTGAAGCAGTTACCATAACATCGTAAAAGATAACTCGAGGATAAGCAGATCGTCGATAGATATCCTCCACAATATGCCAAACACCATCTCATACAGTCGAGAATGAGCGGATCCTCGATGAGCATCTTCCACAATCCTCTTCCCAGCCCCCTCAAGCAGACACCATCTCCGTATCCTCCCCCTCCCCATCCTCACCCAAAACCATCCCCCTAGGAACCCTCAACCACTCCCTCCACCCCACCCCAAGAAACTCCCCAATGGCCCTCAACAACTCCTTCCCTGCCTCCCCAACCGCCCAAAAACTCCTCCTCTCATCCAGCACAATCGAAAAATACGCCAGCACAACCAGCGCCTCGGGTTTCCGCTCATCCAGCAACCGCGTGAACTCAGCAGACACCTTGATCGGCCACGTAACCACCATTCGCGCGTCCGGACGCTTACCATCCATGATCGCGGGCTGGGAGTTGTAGACCCAGACGAGTTGCGTGACGGCTTCAGTGCAGATGGCGAGTTCGTCAGGCGTGAGTGTTGGGGAGGAAGAGAGGCGTGAGAGGAGGGATTCGAATGCGTGGGTTACGTGATCGTTTCGGTCGACGACGTCGTCGTCTTCGATGGCTAGGAGACATCTGATATCCGAATTCTTAATCGTCTCCCATTGATCGCCTATCAGCGTCAAAACCCCTCTTAGTAAATTAATACTCTGCACCAAGCGGTCCAGAAAGTCATTCAAATCAGTTCTGGGGGATGAGAATGTCTCGCAGAAGAAATGCAGCCCCAGGACGCTGGAGAACAGGAAGGAAGGGATGATATTATCCGGATTATCGACGGAGATAGAGGTATTAAACAATGCGAGGGCTTGCGCCTGGAGACTCGCTGATTCGCGGAGGTAGAGAGATGCCTTTTCTGGGTGGATGGTGCTTAGGTGAAATGCGGATATGGCGAGGGTTTCGTACATGAGATAGGGGTATGAGAAATCGTACTGAGAGTATTAGTAGACATGTTGAAGACCCAAGATGCCAAACTCACCTTAAGCACCGTATCAAGCCACGCATTAAAATTTTCACTCCCCTCCTTCTCATTCCCGGACAAACTTCCCAGGTTCCCCCTCGTGAGATTCCGGAATAGTTCCAGATGCAACATATTAACCTTCTCACCTACATCCCTCCCATCTTTCGTTCCCCCCACACCTACCCTCCCTCTCTCATCCTTCCTCCCATCTTTCTCACCCCCGACAAACTCAAAATCACTAGGACTACTCCCCACACTCCCCTGCGAAAACGAGCACAGTTTCTCAGCGGTCCGACAATTCGAACATGTAGGGTGGGCTTCATCACACTATCCCGCGTTAGTTCATGGGTGAAGAAGGATCTGAGGAGTCATGCCTTTTTATGAGCGCGCTTGCATTGTGCGCATCCGCGACGGGACTTTTTATGAGAGCGACGAATCATGGGGAGGTTTTAAGTGGAAGAGACGGGCTATGGAGGAGCTTTTATTTTGTGATATCATTGGTTTTAATATTGACTTGCCGAGGTGTATCATCAAAAAGGGGGTACGACGCGCCAAGATAATTTGTGGGTCTGATATTTGCTGAAGGATTAGTCTCGTAAGGCTGAACGCTTCCTGGCAGGCAGCAAAGTAGAAGCAAAAAGGAAGTAGATTCAGAGTTAAAGCTCTAGTTTAGCTAGGTGGTATTATACAATGGAAAAGAAAATCTAAATAAAGGTCTAAACTAATAAATATCAAACATTCGCTCCACAAATTTCAAACTAATCTCCTAGACTCCTGCTCTTCCACCAAACTTCGCGCGACGAATCTACAAAAGAGCTAAAGAACAATACATGCTAACCAATGAAGCCGCATGGCAGCTTATTCCTACATGTGCCCGCTTCGGAATAAGCAACATCTCAACTCCTAATAAGCGGCCTATCAGACTTAACCCTCCCCTCCTCAACCAACTCAAAGCGTTCCTCGCCCTCTTGAGTCTGCAAGAGAAAGCCAGGATACCACCAAAAGTATATCAAAGTGACCACAAACATCGGCGCCGCGTCAAACACATAAAGCGTCCATTCATTACGCAACGAGTATCCGTCCGTCCCCTGAAGGAACTCAATGACGCGGAAAACAGATCTCAAGAAGATCAGAGCACTGACGACATATATCATGTAGAGTGTACTTTTCCATATATTGGTGGTGGTAGATTCAATCGTTGGTTGTTTTCTAAGACGTTTGTGAAACACGGCTGCCGTTAAAAAGAAGAATCCAAGGAGAGCCAGCTGCATGCACAAACCAACGACTACAAGATTTTCTCCTAGCTTGGCTGTCTTGTCCTTCGTCGTCAGATTCACAGCTCCTCCTTGTATTCCCAACGTAAAGAAGTCTCCCCAGACGAATGTTTTTGTTATTCGAGTGAGGCGGATTATTGATAAGTGCTCCCCCTTGACGCATCGTATGATCCGGCCGAGTGTCATGTAGATTGAGGCTGCGAAGAAAACAGGCGCAAGTACGAGGAAGCTCGATTGAACTGCGTAAATGGCGATGCTGTCGGTATTATCATAGGCGACTACTCGAGTTGCATAACCTAAGACTTCGCCTGTTCGAGTCGTTAGCACAAAGAAATTATGTCTCTGCCAGTAGTCAAGCTTACAAAGACAACCAAGCGTAAAAGCAATACAGAAATAGCTGCGAAACTTGTATATTCGCCAAAGATGCAAAATCGTTGTGACGAGGAACACAAAGATAAGTGCTATCGAAGCGGGCCGTGAAGGGACGAATTTCCACAGAAAATAGTCCGTCCCAGGAATTGGTTTGAGGACTGCCATTTCAGTTATCACTTCTGTGAACTTGTCGCCAGTGAGTGACAAAGTGTGAGCCAGTGAAGCTTAATTGTTGGGCTAGACGTCTGTATGGATGCGAGCTGGGATTTGACGACAGTAATGAGCTAGGAAGTCCCAAAAGAAGGTATGAAGGATTTAAGTAGAAATAGTCGAGTATAGAACATAATAATAACAGTTCGGAAGAGTCTTTAATAGAGAAATCTGTCCAGCACCACAATGTAATGCCATAGTGGGCGAAGTCCTTTCAAAAGACCCGAAGCGTATTTGAATACGCTACATGACGAATCTCATACGGATCCACAGACTCCAGTGTCATTGCACACTTCCATGCTATCGGTAAGTCTGACAAGGTCCAAGAATATTTTGATCAAGGACCTGAATGCGTTTTGATAGGCTGGAGGATGGTGTTGTCGACGAAGCGGGTCTTGGTATTCCCAATACGGTCGATACGCGTATTCGCCTGGTACTTCGAAGTAGTTTGGGTAGTTTGGGTGGACCGTGCTTTTGACTCCATGACCTTGGCGGCTCGAGGAGCGACAATTCATGACAGCCGCGAGCAGATTCGTAACTTATCTGTTATTGCTGATAGACTTGGTCTTCGTGACTGATCAAGAAGCATTGCATGTACTTTCACAGGGCTGAGCGACGCGTATACTTTGATTACGCGCCCCCTAAGTTTCGACCAGCGACGGCCGACCGGACCACCTCCCTATCATTGACCTAGACGAAGTATCCATCTCATTCATCTTCTCAAGAACGATACTCTCGTTCGTACGGAGATATCAACAATTCAGACTCAGCCTTGAAGCTCATCGATTCTCTTCCTCAATTTCGCAATATCGCTAGGAGTAGTTTTGCAACACCCTCCAAGTAGGATCTCTTGCCACTTATTTCTCTCTCTCGTTCTCTTCACGATTTCGAATATCGTCTCATGCCAGGGCCCCTAAGTACGTCAGTTCGATACCATATGAACATCATGCCGTTCCGACAGAAGGCGAATGACAATAACTCACTGAACCTACCGTAGTATCCTCCTTCTTCTCCCACACCTTCGTCGTGGTGTTATATACTTCTCCCATCGTCCCATCAGGATACAAGACTAACGCCGGAACACGCGATAACGCTGTAGCATGGCTTTCAAGTAGCCCTTCCACAGCCTCCTCGAATTCCAAGATCAAGCTCTCGACTTTTCCAACCTTCGTACAGTTAATACCAATAGCATACGGCGTATCATCCGCACCTTCACTCCTCTTGCCGAGCATAGCCTCAACAACCTCCCCAACAGAACTCCCATCAGGAAGCACATTCCCCTCCCCCGGAAAAACACAGCTAATCCAGAACCTCCTCCCATCCCTCTCATTCACACCCGCCATAACCTCTCTCACAGCTTCAACCTCCTTCCTCACCGGTATAGTCTCGAACGCAACCATATCCACCTCCCTCCAACAATCTTTCTCACTCTTAAAAGCATTCATCCGATATCCATGCCACTCCCGCAACTCCTCAACACTCCTATGCCCCTCATCATACACCCCACTATACTCCGCGCCCGGAATCATAATCGCACCATACGCCCCCAACCCTAACACCACCGTCCCCTTCCCCCCATCAAAACACTCCCTCGCAACCCCCACCCCCCTCCTCATACACCTCCCCGCCTCCTCCTCCCCAACCCCCTCCCCAATCCCCTCCTCCTGCCTCCCATACCGTACTTTCGTCCCACCAAACCCCTCAAAACTAGCCTGATAAGTAGCACTCAACAGTATGTCCGCGCCCGCATCCACGAAACTCCTCTGCGCTCTCGCTAACTCCTTCTCCCCCTCTTTCGACGTCAACAGGTGCGAGGACCAGAGGGGGTGGTCGTGCGTGAATGTGATGTTGTGCGGGGGGGACGTGAGGAGGGTTCCGAGGCCTCCGTCCATGAGGCGGATGTTGGGGGGCGACATGGTGATGTGATGTAGAGCGAAGAGTGAATAGTAGGTGTTGGAGAGGGATGTGCGGGGTGAGGGAGGAAAGCTTTTTTTGTTGTGGTGGGGGGGAGCTATGACGGAAGCTTTGAGCTTGTTCAGGGGTAATACAACGCGCTGGGATGCACGTTCAAGAGGATATTACTATGAAATAGTAACTTTAAAAACAATTATGAGATCAGTTTCTATCTATATAGAGACGATTAAGTACCAGATCATACATTGTTCATTCCAAAACATCGCTTTCCAAACCCACCAGCCGAGTCAAACCAACTAGGTATTTCCCATGCCCCTCCCCAGTGGGACATCCCCGCCTCTTCGTCTATCAGGCACGGGATACTCATGAACTTCACAAAATATATGTACTTGTACATAACTCTCCATTCTCACAATTCACACGAAAAGTAATAATCTAAAACAAATTTAAATAATCTTGATTTGTTATTATTCTATTAAAGGTGTGGAATCCGAAACGGAGGGGCAAAACAGGTAATGGAGAATAGAAAAGTCCAGAGGGTCCAGGTCCAAGTCCGGGAGAGCCAGAAGTCCAGGGGCTTGCTTTGCAGATAAGTAGTAAGAATGTTCACCAAATGGAGGGATGGGTATGGGTGAAGGGAGGAGGGGATGATGGAGTTGGATGAGGAGTTATCAGGGTATACATACCTAATTCCACCTCGTACATTTTTTGTGCCTCTCGAGAGATTCCATCCATCCTCGCAGTTTGCGTTTAGATTCGGATAGTACGAGCATATGGAGGTTGGAGTCATTGAGGATACGTACCTTAGACAACTGAAATCTCACTCTGGATCCTGCCTCCTCCCACAGAAACGTTCAAATACACTGAAGAAAAAGAACATGTCCACAAAGAGAAGATAAAAAATAAAGTGAGTAGATGCACCAGACCCCGTTCCAAAACTTTGCCAAATGTAATCCTTCCAAACCATAGCATGACATATCATGCATAACAATTTGTAATCCTGCAACTCCGTAAACAATGAAGCCTGCGTACCTTTCCCCACAAGCAAATCCTTCGCTGAGAAAAGGGAACAACTATCTAAGGCGAGCAATGGCAAGCCTTTCTATCTACCTTAACTACTATGTATGGTATTTACAACATCTCCTCGTCTTCTTGTCCTGTAATTGCAACACCTCCGTTCCATTGCTGTGACTGTTCAGTATATGACCCGTACTGGTTCTCCATTGCCATTTGTCTTTGCTCGATCAGGTGTTGCCAGTCGCCGCCGATGTTAGAACCTCCGTGCATAGATTCGTTCGTATTGTAGACTGGGTCTGTGGATTTGTTGTATGCATGTGCACCGACAGAGTTCCCAAAATGAGAGTAGATGTCTTTAGAGTGTGGTGCCGAGGACTGTTCATACTCTCGTTGAGCTAAAGCTTCATACCCGGAGGCCATGTATGGCTCGGCGGTTGATCCACCAGCTATTCCCCATCTACCATCGGGACCTTGCACCGGGGTGAGTGGTCCAGCGATGCTGGAATCACTCATTGTATCACTATCCATGCTTTGGTCTCCACCAGTTCGCGACATACGTTCCTCCAAGATCTGTCGCTCATAACGAAGCTTAGCCATAGCCTCTTCCTGCTCTACGGAAGTTGTTGTCCAGTGGCTGATGTCTTGTGCCAATGCATGTCCTCCGTAATCTGGTGGGCAGATTCGCCAAAGTTCAACCAAACGCATTTGCTGGCTAGGGCCTGCCGTCTTAAATAGCTCGAGCTGGGAAGGGAAGAGAGATGCCACGTCTACACCATGTCTGCTGAGAATGATTTCTGCTGTCAACTGGTCTGTCTGTGGTGGTTCGGAAGCCGGTCGTGCTGGTTGAGCTGGTTGCACTACGTGTGCGGAATGGTGATAATGCTGGGAAATGGAGTAGACAATTGGAGTCTCTACTGGTGCGGGTACAGGCTCTAGCTCTGGTGCTGGAGTAACGTAATTGTTGTGCAAATTCAAATTGCGAGCGAAGAGAGCAGTGAGCTCTTCCTGGGTAGCCATCGTGGAGTGGAAAGGCGGTAGGGGTAGGGTAATATCCTGCAAAAGTTAGCCTGTGTAATTTCTTTGATTCGTGCAGACTACCTTGCTGTGAAGTACTCGGAGATGTTCCAGAGTAGCTCTACACAGCGCCACTTTGTCGAACAGTCCAAGTAAATGTACTAGGAAAGGAGGATCCTAAGGACGAGGAGGAGCTGCTGTCAGATTATGTGAATTTCGTAAATCTCGCTACCGAGATGAATGGAGAAGAGCAGACTTGATAGACGGATGTGAATGTGCTTTGTTTGCTTATATTTCTCTAACTTTGAGTTATGTAGAGGGTGTATGTACTTGAGGTTAAGAAACAAATGTGGAGTCCTGGAATTAGGGACCGGTGGGTCGGTTTGGAGTTGGGGAATCGCGAAACAAAGCTGCGAGGGTATCTTGTCGAGGTCGATATGTGCAAAAGATGCAGCGAAATGCAGAATGGTGTTGAGAAAATGCGGTCGTGTTGTTGAGAGAGAGGACAAAGACAAGAGGAAGTTAACAAAAAGAGTTGTGACGCTGCTACCCCTCCTCCCGCTGACCATGAATGGTCTGGTTTGGGTCGAAACTCGAAAACCGCATGACGAAGCCTAACCAGACATGGGTTTACCGCCCAACCAGAGACAGTTGATCCAACTCTAATGCAAACCTACGCTGGAAAAGGAAATTAACTATGAAACAGTACGCGGGCGATGCGCTTTTAATCCATTAGCAGCCAATGAATAATTGACACGAGAAATCTTCGTTCTTTTGAATAAAAGCCCAGGCTCCTTTCCTGCAGGCCGTGGTTTAATGTTGGAGTAAATTTTGAATTGCATTGCAAAGAAAATTACATGAAAGAAACTCAATAGCGGGACTCTATCTTTTGATATATCCAATTCAATATTCACAGGAATGAAAGACAGAGTATCTTAGATGGTCTTTGTTCAAGTATCACCACGATTACGATTCCCCTCCAAATTCCCAAAATTGTCCTTTTCGGTTAAGCAATTCGAGGCCAATCATGTGACAGGAGCCGACTTGTACTTTGTTGCCTCAGGCATCCAATTTGGACACGCCAACCAAACGCGCGCTTCAGGTGCCTGGAGAGCTCAAGCTCCAGATGGTTGCCAGACAATTGGATTCAAACCATCTCACCATTCCATCACCAGCACAGTCGTTCCGAATACATTCTCAGTTTTACAGCCGCATAATCTTCTGTAGATCATCATGGTAAGCTTCAGATAAGCTGTTCATAAATGTACGCAGCCTTTCTGAACTCTTGATTGACCTGTTTATAGACTTCGATAGGAACGGGTTACGATCTTACCAATTCGGTGTTCTCGCCCGATGGCAGAAACTTTCAAGTCGAATATGCAGTCAAAGCGGTTGAGAATGGAGGAACCTCGATCGGAATCCGGTGTAAAGATGGTGTTGTGCTTGCTGTTGAGAAGGTCATCTCAAGCAAATTATTAAAGGCTGGAGCGAATAAGCGCATCGCAACTGTAGACAGACACATTGGCGCAGTAAGTTACTTCAGCTTCTATCCTGCAGCATTCAGAGCATCTCTAATGAATCTCTAGGTATCTTCTGGTCTTGTGCCTGACGGACGACATTTCGTATCCCGCGCACGAGATGAAGCATCCAGCTGGCGGTCAACATACAAAACACCCATCACTGTTAAAGATCTTGCCAGCCGTATGGGTGGATATCTACAAGCGTATACACTATACTCCTCCGTACGACCCTTCGGTATTACCGGAATCGTAGCCGGCTGGGATTCTGAACTCGAACTACCAGTCGATGGGCAGGTTGGCAGCGGGCCTAAGATTGGATCAGGTGGCAAGGTCGAGGGTAAGAAATATGGCGGACCAGGACTTTTCATGATCGAGCCAAGTGGACAGTATTGGGGATACTACGGTGCCGCGACGGGAAAGGGACGACAAACTGCCAAAGCAGAATTGGAGAAGCTAGACTTGGCAGCCGGAAAGCTCAGCCTTCAAGATGGCGTGAAGGAAGCTGCGAGAATCATCTACGTTGCGCATGCCGACAATAAAGACAAGGAATTCGAGTTGGAGATGACCTGGATCAGCAGCTTAGATGGCCCCACCAAGGGAAGACATGAGGAAGTTCCAAAGGATATTCTGGAGGAGGCTGAGAAACTAGCGAAGAAACATCTAGATGACGATGATGATGAAGAGGAGACGAAAGAGGACGATAAAATGGAGGAATAGACATCTCAGGTGTGAAATCACCTTGTACCAACACTTGCCCAATGTTGTACAAACTACCTTGGGGTTTATGACAGCGAATTGAAAGATTTATGATATGCTTCAGTGTGAAAACAGTTGTTGGTCTGATGTCAATGTTCCCGATTCTTTCTGATACAAGCATTCAGTGTGCAGACAGTTGTTGGCCGAATAGCGATTTTCCAAAATATTTCTAATTTACAAGATTCTTCTTATATGACTAGTCTCAAGTGAAGCTCTTGATATATTCTCCGCTTCCTTTTGCCAGTTACTTTAACGACACTGCTCGATAACAGTTCTTCTATGAAGCTCATCGATGTTCCCTCCACTTTTACCATAAATGTCGTCTACGCTGGAAACCCACATATCAACACAGCCTTAGATCACAGAATCCTTCATCGTCAGTCGCAGGGTTCCCACAATACAGATAATACGCTTCACATGTTCAAGCGTTAATCATTACACTCTCCATCTATCTTATAAATCCCAATCCCGCTCTAATACAATTCCACATACAACCACACCTACAAATACACAACCCCCCCAAAGTTACACAACCTTCTCCGCCTCCTCCACCAACTCCTCAACCCTAAACCCCTCATCCCCCCTCCCAAACATCTCCAACAGTCTCCTCCTCTCCCCTTTCTCCCCGCCAACCCCATAAAACTTCTGCAACGCCATAACCAACCACTTCGCCTCATCCACACTCACCCCGCGTCCCTCCACCACCTGCCCTTGCAGTAACACCACCCCCTTCTCCCCCGCCAACTCCAGATGATGCGTAATCGTCGTATGCGGCTGACTATACTCGCCGCGCAACTTATACTCAGCGAGATGCGTAAACAACACCGTCACCGTGTCGGGCGCCGGGAACGTCCATTGCATGAAATGGATTTCCGCGCCCTGCCCTTCTTTTGGGAGAGGGAGAATGAAGTGTGGATACTTTTTTGCAGTGCTCTCGATGGTGCGGTAGACGTCGAGAGGGATGACGGCGCAGAGGGATTGTGCGTCGTGCGCGTGTCGGAGCCGCCAGATTGCTTCGAGTTCTTTGGGGGGGAGGGCGCGGGTTTTGGGGAGGTCGAGGTAGGAGGAGAGGGTTTTGATTCCGGGATTCGACTTCTTCTCTGGGGTCTGTGGCGCGGGCGGTGGTGAGGGAAAGGGTGAGGAGGTGGTGGGTGAAGGTGGTGGTGTGAGGGGGGGGGTTGGGATGGAGGCTTTTTGCTTTAGGTGGTTGATCTTTTCTTTGTATGCTTCTTTTAGCTCGTTAACGTCGCGAAGTCCTTCACTATTGTAACTTGTCAGCTAGTAACTCGAACATGGAAGGGATAAGTCATTGCATACGCTTTTGCCTTCTTGTCTAACTTCTCCTTGTACTTTTCTAGCACTCTATTTGATTGCTGCGTGGCAAGGTATCGAACGTCGTGTACCTGCGCCCATCTACGCTGATACGTCCGCAAATACGGCGCGGCGCCAGAAACCGTATTTCGTAAAGAGGGAACGCGAAGACTGGCCATTGTGAGGTGTGACGGGCAATCGAGATGTACAGATGTTTTGCTAGAAATAGACGGGGCCGAGGATAAGAGAGAGATTAAGCTCTTATCGTGAGAGCACGTGATCTACCATCCTTTCAGTCTATAAGTCCCGAACTGGGGTAATGGTTGAGTCACATTCCATATGATTAATCGATTTTAGTAGTTCAACATAGTATATGCTTATGTTTGAACTCTTGTTATATTGATAGTATTGGTATATTGAAAAGGCTAGCCTACCACAGTCCTGGGGCTGTAAACGCTATATAACTTCCATCGTACCCATCCAAAGCTCCACACCACTTGACACCGAGAAAGCAGGCTTAGAGCTTGGCTTTCTCGCCCTTTTTCTCTTCTTCCAACACTCTATCCTTCAAGAGCCTTCTCAAGATCTTCCCACTCGCGCTCTTCGGAATCTCATCTACGAATACAACTCCACCACGCAACTTCTTGTGACTAGCCACCTTCTTCGCTAACCAATCAACGATTTGCTGCCCATTCTCTTTACCGCCCTCAACACCCTTCTTTGGCACCACAAATGCTCGTGGGACTTCTGTAGCTTGATCTGCGTTGTAAACTCCAATGACAGCAACATCATCGATATCGGGATGAGATAGGAGGATACCCTCAAGTTCAGCTGGAGGAACTTGGAAGCCTTTGTATTTGATAAGCTCCTTGACACGGTCGGTGATCCAGAAATTTCCTTTGTCGTCTTGGTGTCCGACATCTCCTGTCTTGAAGTAACCGTCAGGTGTTAAAGCGTTCGCCGTGCCCTCCGGATTGTTCAGATAGCCCAAGAAGACATTAGGCCCTTTGATCCAGAGTTCACCGGTCTGGCCGGCAGGTACCTCCTTCTCGTCAGCGGACATGTATTTGGCAACCTGGTTAGGTAGCAGCCGACCGACAGAACCTATAGTAGTTTGCCAGTCATCCCAGATCTGGGTATGTGTTGTTGGGGAAGTTTCCGACAAACCATAACCTTGCTTGACGGGTATCTTGAGGCGGTTCCATACAGTGTCGACTATTTCCCGAGTCAAGGGAGCCGCTCCTGAGTTCATCATACGTATTGAAGAGAGGTTGTATTTCGAGACAACTGGACTTTTGCCTAGGAGAAGAACGACTGGCGGGACCACATATGCAAAGGTAATGTTGAGGTTTTGCACATGAGCACAGAATTTCTCCAGGTCGAATTTGGGCATAACAACAAGCGTCCAACCAGAAAATAAAGCTTGATGTACCAAGCAAGTGAGGCCCTGCGTATGAAATCAGCTCATGCTCAAGTCAAGAAAAGGGATAATGCTTACATAAATGTGGAAGAACGGTAGAAAGGCCAATATCTTGTCTCCTTCATTATCTTTCTGACCTTTCCAACTTAAGTTTCCTCCTTCAGAGGTATTTCCCATCAACACATTCGAAACGATGTTCGAATGCGATAGCATAACGCCCTTTGGATGTCCGGTGGTCCCCGAACTATAAACCAAAAAGGCCAGATCCTTCTTCGGATCAATCTTCGTCTTTCTATATCTTGTAGCACCAGAAGTATTCCTGATACTCGAGAAATGTTTGAATCTCATCGTCTCATCTCGCTCATCGCCCATGAGGATAATCCTGTTCTCCTCAATGCCGACTTTCTTGCAGGCCTCGACCGCTGCGGCCAGATATGGTTTTTGGGTAACCAATGCCTTTGCTCCTGAATCTTTCAGCTGGAAGGCTAGCTCATCTGCTGTGTATCCTGGATTCGCAGGAGACAGAATGCCACCTGCCCATTGTGCTCCCCATGTTATTGCGGGCGTATCGATGCAATTCGGTGTAAACAGTGCCAGCACGTCTCCCTTCTGCCAATCCCAATTTGCTTTCAACCCCTTTCCGAAATCAATTGCAGTACTCCGGACTTGGGCATACGTGTATGTTCGCTTGGTATCGGGGTCATTGTAGATCACTATTCGAGACCCGATTAGCTCTTACTCAAGCAATCCGACTATATCCATACCTTTACTTTCCGGAAACTGCCTCTCCTCCGGCGTCCTCTCAAACAAGAACGTCCAGATATCGACATTCGGGATATTCAATCTTGGGTAGGAAGATTCGGTAGGCATTGCGTTAGATTGAGCATAAGAATCAACAAGAACATCCAAATATCGAGTTCCGGGACCCAAGCGATATATAAAGAGCAGGTGTGAACGGTGATGCAGCTCAGGACAACGCCAGTAATGACATTAGTAGTTTTGCTCATGGCTTGGAGTCCTTAGTTGCCGTGTCTGGAGGGGAATGATGCTGGTCTACGCCTCCTTGGGTGGATTTGGTGATTCGTTCTGCTCAATCGGATGTAAATCGCTTGAGCTTTCCCCACGCTTCATCAGTCGCCGTTGAGAATGGGGTGCCGAACGACTGGGTTTCTGCCGAGGCATGGAGAAAGCTCGGCCCGCTGCCAACAATGCTCAAGCTCTTGCCAAGTCCTGCCCGTTTGTCTTGTTCGAACTTCCTTTGAGGCTCTTCACGATGTATACGGTTTACCGAACATAGATCAGAAAAGTAGTAATTTGCCGACAGCTTGTGTTTATCTACTCAAACACTCCCAATCTTCATTGTTTTGTCGTCTTAAGCAGGTATGTTGAGCATCATCTACGTGACCTCGTCTTGCTGGTCGACGCTCCTGAAAAACAATTCATTGTTGAGTAGCCAGACTCCAACCCGAGAGGCCCAGAAAACCCCACAAATCTTATCTCGGATGTCACGGTGAAGAAAATATCTTTATGAGCCATTTCTCAACGCCTCCGGGAAGGTTCCTAGAGGTACTTATTTCTTGCTATGTCGGAAGTATGACCTGGACTCTGAAAGGCACAGTACCTGCAAGACTTCTGGATCTTTGAAACAACGGAAAACAACATTCTGGATGTTCAAGTCAAATCCGAGGGTTTAGGGTGTTAAGGTGACCTCGTGTATTCCCTACCAGGACTTTGAGAAGACTGACTCCGGAGCCACCCAGAGTATGCAGAGTTCTCACACAACTAAGGGAAACCTTTAGGAATCATCAACAATTTCAGATCACCACGCACCAAATTGATTGTAATAAACTGGAATAGATTTTCACTATTCCTACTGTCATTTCGATACGAATATTAAGCTATGTCAGATAATGTCTTGTTGAATCATATGCAACCGGGTATACCCAACACTCCCACCAACCTCCGATACAAGAATAGCCACCCAAGCCCATTTACATCTTCTCACTCTTAGACAGATCATGTTGCACGACACCAACCTCGCCAGCTCTCTCCTCATCACCCTGTGTTCTACCAATGAACTTCGACTCCTTCAAGTTATTAAGAGCATCCTCCTGCTTATCAGCCTTTCTGAAAGTAAACCAGAATCCAACACCTCCAATGAACGCGAGAACAGCGACGGATCCGTAATTCCAAACCAGCAGAGGATCATCAGAAAGTGCTGTGAGAGCTTGACCGAGCGCAGATGAGATGGCGGAAGTAAAGAGCGCAAGAGCTTGAATGGTGGAGCGCATGTTCTTTGGTGCTTTGGTGTATGCGTACTCGAGTTTGGTGATGGAAGCCATGACTTCTGACATACCGATAAGAGCGTATGGGAAGACCTGGACCCAAACAGTGATTGGAGCAGAACAATCCTTGCGAGTCTTGCTGAGACGGTTGATATCATCTCCACACTTGCTCATCTTGTAAATGAAGTACTGAGTAACACAAGCACTGATCATAGCAGCGGAACTAAGCATGAATCCCATAGTGATCTTCTTGATAGGCGAGAAGTTGATACCCAACTTGCGGAGAAGAGGGTAAATACCGAAATCCATGATTGGGATAACGATGATGATGAAGATGGGGTTGAGTTTGGAAACGATATCGTTGGGGACTTTGCCAAGGTTCATGGTGTTGGCTTGAGAGACCAAATTTCCAGTCATTTGGTTGTAAGCGAGCCAGTATAGGGGATACCAGAGGAAGACTTTGCAGGCAAGGAATCCACGACGAACTTCATCGACCCATTCGTCGTCGAAGGTCATCCATGCGGGGACGGTATCGCCTCTAGCTCGGATAACGCTTGGCTTGACATTGTTCCAGAAGTTCTCGTCGCGGAGGTTTCGCTTACTGCATTATTGTTAGCACATCTGCCGACTGCGGGAAAGAAGTTTCTTCTTGGAGACAAACTTACGTGGTGTTGAGGTTCCATGACCATTTACCCTTGAAAGCAAGCTTGATGAGCTTTGCAGCCTTGGCCATCACAGATCCAGTAGGTGGTGCAAGAGTGTAGTACTTCTTGAACTTCCAGAGAATGAGAGGGCACAAGCAGTAAATAATTGTTGGAAGTGTAAAGGACAGCCAGAACCCGACGTAATGCTCAGAGTACACCATAGCGAGAGAACCGCAGAGCGAGCCGATATTGATGAGGAGATAAAAGTAGATATAGATCCGCGCGGTTGTTGAAGCAGGGTCAACAATCTCCTTGTGTCCAGCCTTGCTAACGCGAACGTATGCCTTTTGGTCCTTGTATTGTTCAGCAATCAAGGGCGAGATGTTGGATTTGAAACCACCAGTTCCAATACCCATAATGACAAGTCCGACGGCGAAAACACCCATGGCTGCGTTTGGGTGGACGATGACTGGTGGGATGGCAGCCATGATGATGATCAAGTGACCGACGATCGAAAAAACGTTGGCATATTGGATTGTGAGGTAACGACCGAAGAATTGATCAGCAAGGTAGGCTCCGAAAAGTGGTGTGAAGTATGACCAGAAGGAGTTGACTATAGAGTTATTAGTTTGGAAATTCCAAGTCAGGCTACAAGACTTACAGGTGGTAATTCCAGTGGAAGCGCGCTGTCCTAGTCCTAGAGCTCCGGATCCTGGCTTGATGAGGAAACCGGCACCTGTTTTAGAGCCCTTTGGAAGATCCTTTTGGATGAAGTTGACGACTGGCAGTTATATTAGTTCATGTAACACTTTGAGGGGCGAAATTTACTTACAAACTGCGGTAGTTCCGTAGTACGAGAACCGTTCTGCGAACTCTACAACGGCGACAGTCCAGGCTGTCCAAGGAATTCTTCCTGGTACTCGAGGAAGAGTTGCCCATTCCTCTTCCGTAGGGAACGGTCCCAAGAGGGTTGCGTTCTCGCCATCAATGGAGTTGGAAGTACTGGAACCCATAGGAATTGGCTCCTCCATGTACCCTCCCTTGGTCACCTCGAGACTATGTTTCGTGTCCGCCATGCTGAGGAGAATGGGACTTCTGCTTGATCGATAGAAAATAACTCAGCTCTATCCAGGCGGCGGGGTCACGCTGTTAATATAGCTCGCAGCTTCCAAGACGCGACCCAGCGATGCACATCCCATGTCTGTGAGTTCTCTGCAAGCAGGCGGGCTCGCGAGGCTAATTGCCGATTGTATCCTAACACATTCACAGACAACGTCTAGAAAGGAAAGTAATAACCGCTTGGCACCATTATCGCGGTTATCAACGCATCCAAGCTCTTGGAGGCGGCCATAATGGCGGGGATATAGTTAAGATCTGTCGGGCAAGGTTTGCTGCTCGGGGCCTATTCCCAAGACAGCGCCTCGATCGCTCGATAACGGCTTCGAAAATCGTTCTATGCGTGTGTATCATTTAACTACGAGGCGGTGGTTGGTGGCACGCTGCTGCACTTACACGAGAGATGATTTACCACCTTCTGATTCAAGCCAGCCAAGGGATTGGCGCCAAGTTGGCCAAGTGGAAAGCTTAGCGAATGTTTGATATCAGAAAAGTTTGTCTTCAACACAACCATATGGATTGCTGAGAAATTGGAAATTAAACCTTGTCGAAACTAGAACGTGCTCGGTGTCTTTGGGGCGAGGTGGAATGTTCGCAGGCATGGGCGTATGGATTCGAGATATCAAATGGGTTTCTACCTTTAGCGAGAGCCCGAAGACTCCCTCCTGGTGCATACTGCAGTATTGTGGTACAGTATCGTTATCCCTACGATCGCGCAACCTAAATATCTGGCCCAAGAGTTTGGGTCTTGGAATGGATCAGTCTAATCTGTTTTCAATAAATAATTACAATCTTGAAAACCTTTGCGTTATCGTGGACTCCATTGTCGGCGGTAGCGAGATGTAAACCAACACTGCAGCAGTCAGCAACAATCTGGGATCTGCCGCGACAGATTAACAAGCTCCAATCAAAGAGCATATACAAAATCGGCTCGTGGCGAATGTTGTGTAACGTGGTAGCAAAGCATGGAATTTCCGCTAGCCTCAAGTGAGAGCTTTTCGAGGTCTAGCCAGTGGCGGTCTGAAACTCAAGTATGAGTAGCACAGTAAGCTACACTACAGAGAGGCCATTCTTTGCCCACGAAACATAGCTCTCATTTGTTGACCTTTAGCTGCAATTCCAATCCAAGTACACATTTCTCTCCGTCGCAAAGCGTTACCCAGCAGACTTTATCCTCCCGGATTTCAAAGTGGAGTCTCGTTCGACGATGCATTCATAATAGATGCTCAAGATTCTCATTGTATTTACATGAATTCCAAATTTTATATGTGTCATCGTCGACTGACGTTCATAGAACAAAGTATATACACGAATTTTCGATCCTCGCCTCGAATTTAACAGCCAACACGACTTCCGCTGATAACAATATCATCATACCAGAAAGTATTGGTATCACCGCCATAACTCTCCCACCCAAAGTACACCCCCGTAATCTTTGGCTTCGAGCCACCTCTCTGCCATTGTGCAGCATTCGGATTGCTCACACCACTCTTGACGGTCAAGCCTGGAATAGTTGCATTGTTCAACCACGTCTCAACCGTCCCGTCGGTGCCGAGATGGTACTCGAAGCAAGTCCAAACGTTTGTCTTTAGCGCGGCGGAGGTTGCGATGCCTTGGGGTGAAAGGTCAGGCAGAGTGGCGTCGTCGGTTTCGCGGTTGTACATGAGGATCTTGGATTGGCCTCCAATGCGCAGATGTTTGTTTGCGGCTTGCGCTGAGTCTGTCATGGTGATGAAGGAGACGTGGGAGTCTGTCAGTGCTTTGGAAGCCTTCCTGCGTATTGCATCAACATCAATGCTTTTAGGGGTATCTTCGTTTATGAGACTTACAGCCATGTCCGGACGTAGAGTTCGCCCTTGGGAACATTGGTCGTGCCGACAAAAATGTGACCGCAGAAACCACCTGCGCCATCCACTCGGATCGAGTTCTTGCCAGTGTGAGCTTGGGAGGTGTCCAAAGTGACCTTACCGCCCTGGTTACAGTCTGTAGCGTATATAGGCCATGCGGTCTTGTCCCATCCGCTTTCAAAGCCCTCGGATACCTGGGCAATAGCGACTGGTGCCAGCGCAAGCGCGGCTGTGAGAAGAGTGGTTGATACAAACATGATTGAAATGTCAAGGTCGAGACTGATATTTAATTCTAGGTGCCATTCCCATGGTTATATACTCTCCCACGACGGAAGTATACACTGCATCGGCGCATCTCTGAGTTCAGCCTCAAACTTTCGTGTACATCTTTCCCCAGGTTCCTGCCTCCGTCGCTGCTAGAGGTATAGTGTTTAATAACGTCAGGTCATCTGCTTAAGCTTTGTGGCAAGACAATTCGCAGATCGGAGCGCCGGGTTTTATTGCCAGAGTGGATAAATTGGGTGAAGAATAGGCAAAAGCCCTGGGACCTGGATGTTTGAATTGGGCTGGATATAAGGAATCCGCACCGCGTGCTCGAGGGTGTCACGCTTCTGTGAAAATCTTTGCTGATTGCTATTCAATTAGTAGTGCGTTGATGCGATTTATTCCAGGAATCCAGGCTGCATTGAGGGAATGCTGACGATAGTCGTAAGGCAAAGCGCTGCATAAGCATGGAGCATGACAATTGTTCGCTCCTGATAGCTCTTCAACTTTTGAGAACAGCTATATCCAGAATGTCAACAAAAGTCGTAGTAAGTTTGAGTTGCGATTTGAGCAAAAAGGTAGCTACGCATGCTCGAGAATCCATCACTATACGGCCGAAATCCATACTCATTGCAAGCAAACAGTCTTGGTCGGCGTGATACGCTTTTATCCAAGCATTTGGCACGTCTTGAGTGAGTCGCGACAAGCTCGTGGCTTGAAAGCCTCGATGCAAAAAGCAATAATTGGCTTGTCAATCTTCCGAAATGTGTGTGATCAATCTAGACGCCGCTAGCCGCCAAATAGGAAAGTGCCCTTGTAAATCGAGAAACCGGGGCTTGGAATTATGGTTCGAAGAGTGGGATATCCAATACAACTTGGACCTCCCATCTCTCGTTCGTGGAATACGCGCTTGGCGGTTTGAGGCCCAATAGAAACGGATCACTTCGATTGGCAACGTCTCTAGCCGTTGAAGCTAGGCCCATGTTGATATTCAGAATCAATCTAGACTCGTTGAGATGTTACTGCGCCATATCATCGTTAGTGATAAAATCTACCTAGAACCCCATCAACGAGTCTATCATTTCATCGATTGTGCCGCATCAATACATACGTAGGTAATCAGATGCTGCATTGGCCGTGGCTCGAGAGTCTGGCTATGTACGGCAAAACTGGTTCAGATGTTGTTGTCGTGTTGCAATAACCTTGAAGATTTCTAATATCGCCAAAGTCACATGATTTGCCCCTTTGCCCTTGACGACGACCTCCGTTGCTCTATTCTCACGATCACTGATGCAACGGACTGTTCGCATTACTTTACAGCAATTTTATTCTATCTACTAGCATCCTCACTTGCTAGGGAACATTGATTCTAAACTTCAAAATCCATCTGCACTTCCGCGTCATCTTTCTCAAAACCCAACTGCCTGACTGACCAATCTGTGTTAGCATTCCTCCCCACCGTCACCTCCGAATTATTCAAAGAAAGTTATAATCAGTATACGCAAGACTCTGACAACCAACACTTTGTCTGGCCAGCATACCGCAGACCAGCAAAGAACAAACCAAACCACAATCCTTACCAAACGAGCTTATGGTTCTCTCGGAGCCATCCTTCTGTAGTAGAAAGTGCCTTCCACTCCTCTCAAATACCCACCAGTCTCAGCTAAGGCAATAGGAAACTCCAGCTTCCCATTATCCTTACGAATTTCTACCTCAACCACCTCACAACTGCATATCTCCGCGTTATCAAAGTACTGCTTTCTATCCTCCGGGACCTTTTCAGAATTTTCACTGTGTTCTGGCTCTTCTACCGCCAGCTCACCAGAATACTTAAGCGTACTCAAGAAGCCGCCGTGGCTGACCAGCATAACATGTAAGTCGTTCCTGCCGGTATGCGGTGGAAAGACCAGGCCCTTGAAGTTGCCGCCGTTGAGCAGAATCTGGGAGAGCCGTGCAAGATCGTTGCGGACCCGAATGTAACGTGAGCGTCTGCAGCAGTAACATTCTTTGTCATCGTTCTCCTCCCAACCTTCTTCCAACAAGCCAAAATGGATTGGGTAGTTCCTGAAATCCTCTTTGAGTTTCTCGAGGTTATCACCGGTGCTACAAGGTCTGTTTCCCCACTCGCGGAGATCCTTCCAGGCGATGATGACTGGTGCTTTGGCAGTAGCTGAATAGAGAATTGGTTCAAAGGCTACAAGAGCTGTTTGAAGAGTTCGAACCAAAGGCGACGAGAAGATATGAGTGATTTTGTGCAACGGGAAAGTGTACGACACTTGTCGCGCTTGGCTGAATCCTTTTTCTGTTAGGGGTGGGTTTGGCAACATAGACCCTGCGGTGACTGTGCCCCCATCTGGATGTGGTACGCGGATGTTTGGGTTGATAATGTTGTGAGCAGCCTGTTACTGTGTTAGTATAGTCACACGGATTTATTGGTTTTTATCTTACCTCTCCGTGACGCATCAAGTGAAAATACACTGTTCGTCTTCTGGGTTCCACATCTCCTTGCTTGCTTTCCTCAATTTCAGTCTGGGTCTCTTCCGCTGACTCTGTCGGCTTCACTTCGTCAGTCTCGGTTTGGCTCTCTTTGGCGGACTCTGTCGGCTTGTCGTTGTCATTCTCAGTCTGGTCGTCTTCGTCGATCTCGATCAGGTTCTCTTGTGAGGATCCAGTCGGCTTCTGTTTCGATGAACCTCGTTGCTTCGCCTTCCAAATACCCCACGGCTTTTTCGGCTTCAAAACTTGAGATGACGGATAGTGGTAAGTAACGTTTGGAACCATAGGACGTCTCCATTTCAACTTGAACGGGTACTTACGCTGCCCAGTGAAGCGAGGAAAGCTAGGGATTCGAATGGGTTTAAAGCGCAAAAGGTTCTTCAATGCAGACGGTACTTTCATTTCGTGCCAAAAAATTTCGCGCTCAGCTTCGTTTCCGTCGTCCACAGCATACTGCGGGATTTGAAACGGCTGCTCAACAGCTGTGGGGAGTACGAATTGCCGGAAATGATTTTCGAGCTCATCAGGTTGCACGACGATTGGTCGATTTGGTCGATCTGGTGTATCTTGTTCTTGTCCTGAAAGATCTAGTAGTAGTGGAACAGCTTCTGGGAGTGTTGTTTCTTCACCATTGATGGAAGCAACGTGCGAAAGAAGTCTGACAATTGGCATGTGTCCGAAGCTGGTATGGCCTGAATACTCCTTCTTGTACGCAGCTGCTGGGTTTGACGTATCTAGTGCTAGTGGGTTCCTCATGGTGTCTAAAGTTGGAATCTTCGCCGCGATGGTATCGTAGAGATACTTGTTTACTTCGACGATGGGGAGGCCAGAGACAAAGTTCATAGCGGATGAAAGCGAAAGAGATCTGTTTAGAATGAGGACATTGATGTCAGATGCGATCTTTGTAATTAAAGAGTGTCTGGGCAAAAGCTGGAAGTTGCCAAAACACGTTGAGGTTGTTGGGTGAGAAAGGAGACGCGATGAAGCTGAGCTCGCGCTTTGTTTTGGCGGGATTCACCTATGAGAGAGAAGAACTTCAACGCTCACTAGCGCATTATTCTCAATAGCTGCGAAAGTGACCGTCTGCTGCATAGATATCCTTTTAACATTCATGCTCTGCATCACAAGTATGCATCCACAAGTATTGTTCTCTTCCAAACTTCAAGTGCGACGCTTCAAGAATGCCACTCTAGAACGACTGAGAGTTAGTAGGTTATTGTTTACGCATACAAAACACCATAATAAGTTTGACCCACTTGGTACAATTTATAAAGAATGACTTGTATTCAGTAGATACATCTGGTGGACTCTCATACTGTGATTACCGTTATAAATTGCAAGAAGATCTCAATAGGCTATACGTAAAGATAGTCTCATACCATTGTATATCCCATGGAAAACATGTTTCAACCGAAATCCATCCAGTCTGGTTATTTAATTGGAACCAACTAATCTCTCTGATCAATCCTACCCATACACCATGACATTATGCTACAGTTTGTACATTGGTATCTATACCTCTATCATTGAGAATATGTCGACGGTGGTTAAAAGAGTTTTGATCTAATCAGCCACACTAAATTATGACCTATGCTATCGACGGAACGGTTTTGAGGATGTTAAATAGATCCGAGCCCGAGGAACCTGAGCATATGATATATTCCCCTGGTGTTCCGAACGTCATTCCGTGAGTCAAACACATCATATAAGGCACAGGTGCCTGGGAAACTGAAGTCACAAGAAAAGAAAAAGCTTGCTACCGGAAGCTTCCTTCTTCACGAACCGAAACTCCAACCGAAGATCACGAAAGACAACTCCTGTGAAAGTGAAGGAGTCCCAGGCCGCTGTTCATAGACCAAAAGTAGAGTTGACTCAATGACTCGCAACTGTCCTTACTACGCCTTTTATCTATACGAGAACTCATGAATTCTATATATGAAATTAATACAAATTTATTCTTTGAACATCGTCTGTGGTTGTTCTGTAATTCTTGGCTCTGGCTTTCACAAGGGGTTAAGCGAGATCCGATGTTGTGTCAGTTTTGCGAGTTGGCGGTTTTAATGAGGTGCCGATATTAGATAAGCGGTATTGAAGTTTCCGTACTCAGCGGTGATGATCTTTTTGCTATTGTCTTATAATGATTTCTCATGGCTGAAATGAGAGCGTGGATTGACTATGTTCATGGCCAGGATTGAATCGGGCTTATCTCTGCAACCCAGACCGTACCCAATCATGCCAATTCCAAATTAGAACGAACTGAGACCCTATGCCGGTAACGATTGAAGTTGAAAAATAGCGGCAGAGAATCTTCACAAGATGTCGTTCGTTGTGGCTTCTTAAAACAATAGCCTCTTCGACTTCCCAGATATAGCTGCTATAGACTCTCTCCCCGAGACCAGTAACGCTAGATGAAACTACCGCGAGAGTGTCTTACCTCATAAACAGGTCCTCTCATTTTGCATGGTCTTCTCTTACACTGGGGCCTGCTCCAAGATATATCCACTAAGCGGCCACTCAGGTCCCGCTCCATCAATCCACCTACTCATGCGGACTTCGACTGGACCACGCCAATCAAACACATGAGAACCTCCCCTTATAAACCTCAATATCCCATGATCGATGCTGGAAGATGCGCGGACTTGATCTTGATTGTTCGCAGCCCATCGGTATTGCTGGAAACCTACAGAATATCATATTTGAGTATGAACTTCCATGTCTGCCCTACCTTGATAGCTGAGTGGTTGTTGTCTGTAATTCAAAATCCTAGCAGTATCTCAATGGAAATCCTTTGATGTATTGTATTCAAACTTCGAAGGTGCAGTAGTGTAAAGCTCGTGGACGGTGGTAGGATTCGTTTGTGTGGGTGCGAATTTCTCAGAGGGATTTCGTGGAAGGCCATAGCTATATAAAGGATATATAACGTGGACGAGGGGAGTTTCATTTCCGTAAAAAGTATGAAGAGTTCGATTCGTGTTCGAAGTAGCGGAGGCTCCTTTCAGATTCAACCTGTTGTGTCTGACCATTGTAGTTAGCGGGAGGTAGTTTGGGGATGAGAAGAAATCACTGTGGTAATCTTACCATATGCTGAACATGACTCTAACATCGTGCCAAGAGATTCATGTTGACGCGCGGTGGTTGAGAGATGGCCGGACGAGTGAGAGCTGAGGTGTAGCGTGATAGCAGATTTATGACAGCAGTCATTTTCGAACCATACTATATAACTGGAATGAATGACTGACCACTTCAGTCGTGTCTGCGATGATGTCTGAAGGTGGGTAGACAAAGAAAGACATCAACCAGAATCGGCGACGTTGAGTGTCTAGGGGGAAATACTGAGTCGCATAATTTTGGCGATATCTCAGACGCTCAAATCAGGTCTCCTTCCAAATTGTTTACTGTACATGCAGTAAGAGAGCATCTGACATACCACCCAACGAAAGCCAAAACAGAGTTTCAGCATCTTATTGCACTTTCAGCGCATTCTCCTTCCATCTATATTTCAAGTAATAAAAGCGTTAAAATGGAATTACCATATTCCAGCTTGTCCTTCACCTATAGTTCACTAGCAGTACTAGAAGTATGGCCTTCGTCCCTTCGAGGGACGTGTGAACAGAAAGTTCCGAGAGGTGAAGCGAAAAATCTACAATCTCCAGCTGATAAACAACTACTGTGGTCCCGACAACGACACCTCGACGCCGACACAGCATGCTGGTGGATTATAATTCAAGATGCGACCGATTATTATCAGACATTTTAATTTTGTATCACGCCTATAGACAATCTGCTCCACACTTACATTCCTTAGCACATATTCTTTCCGCGCGCATTCCGCCAAATCTCACAACGACGATAATTTATATTTCCATTCAAAGATCTTATCAACACTAAGTACCGTACCAGGGTGATGTCTGCTGATATCTTTATCCAACGCCGATTGAGTACACAGCAATTGTTACTCAGTAAATTCTCCTCCCCGCAGAGTGAGACGTGGAAACTCAAAATCTCTACCCTTGCCTGGTAACCCTTTGACTGAATATTCAATCGATAGAACCTTGCTATAGACAGCGAAAAACAGCGCACAGCTCATTGGATCCCATCCCGCCTGACAGACGAAGAAATTCCATCCCACCGATCCCCCCTACTCGACTTCTGTAGTTTTCGCATGGCAGCAAAATTTCTATACAAGCTTGGAAGCCCATAACGACTTCTTTTGATCAGTCTGAATCTCGATCGATGAGAGGAAACTGTCATGTTGCCCGATAAGACAGACACGCGCCCCAAGGAAGACGAACGGCAGCTTATATGATGGCGAAGGAGCTGGAAGCAAGGATGGAGATCACTGATAAAAGCAAGAATAGAATCGACAGCTAGAGGTTTAATCAATGCCTTGCGAAAGGGAGGGAGGTGAATCCGAGTATGGGATATGAATCTGGGGATTAGCATCATTGGATTGAGATATCTTGTCCACTCCGACACCTTCGACTTACCTCCGACACATTACCTGTTACATCAGCGCCGCGAAGCTTGCGCGATATTCATGAAGCTTTCGACAAGAAGCATGTCCGGAAACAAGAAAGGAGACGCAAGGAAAAGAAGCCTTTCTGGAAAGCGCTTTGTCGAGTTCAAGGAGCTTGGTGGGAAAGTAGCTTTTCAAAACGGGCAACGAATGAGCTTATGCGAAGTGAAGGTTCGGCATTATAGAGGATTACCCACAGCAGGAGAGAACGATTGAAGGTTTCGCTTCATTCTAATTCCTATACTCCGACTTGCCTCTCCACAGGTTCCAAATCGCTACCACTTCTATACTTGTGCTCTGGTCGGTCGACGATAAGAAACCTGAAAAGAAGGTACGAAGTGGAAGAGCCCGACAGAAGGGCCTGTCGCTTGAAAGAGGTAAGGGCAGGAGCGAAGGGGGAAAAACGCTATTTGTGGCAAGGGAGGCTGACTGTGATTTAGACAACTTACTCCACTCGATTTGCCTTTCCCCTATAATATTTAATTATCCACTAGAGCTTCAGTATGCTATACTCGGCCAACCTTTTACATAAATACGCGGGCAATGGGTTTCTTGGTTATGAAGGGCCTGCAGACAAGGAACAACTCCGTGGAAGGATATGCGCTGAACAGAAGGACTTCTAATTTCAAGAAGGTAAATCTAGGGGCAGGAACGAAGATGCCTAGCAGTGTCTGCTACACGCAAGACTGATTGAGATTTAGAGATCTTGGTACTCCGAAAAGTTACCTCCCCTAGAAAGCCTAGATTACAATCAAACCAATACGCACGCTCTTCTCTGCCAAGTTTCGACCATCAATACATATAGACGCAACTGTATCCAAAGCCAGATTTGCGAAAGACAGTACAATTGTATGTAGCAAGGGGCATAGGGAAGTAAAGGGTTCAGTGGAAGGATACATCGGTGGTGGATGCCTCTCTTTGGCGCGAGCAGCAGTTTCTGGTGTAAGAGCCATGAAAGAGATGACTCGAGGTTATCTACATGGCGCGCAAAACCCAGAACTTGCGTGTACAATTACTGCACGGATTAATAGAAATTTGTAATCATTGATAAAGTAGGACTAAATAAATTAAACCAATAATCCGCAGAGATGGCCTCATGTAAAGTGACACTTCACCTCTAGATGGATTGCGGATTAAGAGATTGATATTTGGAAGCAAAGGCTCTTTTCGAAAGCGCGTTTTATCAAAAGCCGAATACAAGGCTTTCCCGATCCGGACCAATATAGAGAATACTAAAAACACCGCCTAAATTTAAGCTCACCCACCCACTCATCACACCTCCAATTTCTTCACCCTACGCTCAACACCATCTACCTTCTTCTCCCCCTTAACACTCCTCCACTTAACTCCCAGCGCCCCAACCACAGTCCCACAAGCAAGCACACAACCCACCAAAAACGCCCTATCCAACGCATCCGCATAAACACCCAACACCACCCCCCTAACCCCCTCCGGCACAACCCTCTTCAGATCCAACGCTCCAACCCTCAACACCAACTTCTCATCCACGCCCTCCACGCCCTTCAACCCTTCCACCAGCCCCTCAACAAACACACTCTCCCCCACCGCCAATGCCACAATATTCCCCAAATACTGCGCAAACTGCAACACCACAATCGCGGCGGGCACATCTTTCTGCGGCAGCACCGTTTGGACTGCTATAAAAGGCTGTTGAAACGCGAACCCCACGCCTGCGCCATACAGCAGGTTGTATCCTATGATCTGTCCGAGCGAGGTAGTCGTATTCCAAGTGGTGATCAGCCCGGCGCCGACGGACATGAGGATGCTGCCGAGGAGCATGGTGGGCGTGTAGAAGCCTATGCATGTGGTGACTGAGCCGGCGAGGAGGATGGATAGGGCGAGGGCGAGGAGGCGGGGGAGGTCGCGGAGGGCGGAGCCGAGGGGGGTGGTGGAGTGGATGGCTTGGTAGTAGAGGGGGGACTATGCGGGTTGTGTTAGACTTGGCGGATGCTGCAGAGGTTCTGGATTTCGTGTTGGAAGGGGATAGGAGACGCACGTAGAATTCAACCACAAATCCCGACCCGGAGACTGCGAACATGAAGAGACATCCAAACGTCACCGTTCTTTCTTTCAGCAGCGCTGGTGATATCGTAGCTGTTTCCGCGCAATACCACTGTTGAACCGCAAAACCCACGGTAAAAACCCCGAAAACAACGAACAACCCAACAATCCTCCCATCCCCCCACGCATACACACTCCCGCCCCATTGCAAAGCAAGCGTAAACGATACAATCGCCGGCCAGAAGATCATTATGCCTGGTAAATCCAACTGCTTCAACTTCTCTTTTATCGACAGAGATGCTTGCTCCGTCGTGTTGGAGACATCGATAAATAAAAAGGTGGTAAGCAGCATGAGCACGACAAAGGGGATGATGATATAAAAACACACTCGCCAAGACGTGCCCGCGGTGATGAAACCGGAGATGAGGGGCGCGAGGATGATGGCGATGCATTCCAGCCCGCCGGCGATGCTGGAGTAGAGGGGGAGGAGTGGGAGGGGGGTTGTGCGTGATATGATGCTGGGTCGTATTAGTATGGGGGAAAGGGGAGAGGGGGCAGGGAGAGAGGGAGGGAATGGGGGGAAGGTACATGGTACAACCAGACAATAACCCCGCATTCCCAAAACCTGAGAGAGCGCGGCCGATTATGAAGGAGAGTGAGGAGGGAGCTGTTGCGCAGACGGTATTCCCAATTAGGAAGATAAGAAGCGCGGATGTGAAGATATGTTTCATTGGGAAGAAAGAGTAGAGTTTGCCGTAACTTAGAATCATGGTGCAAGATGTGAGGGAGCTGTATGGTGGTCAGACTGGATGATCGACGGATGGGGGGAGTAGGGGAGAAGAGGACTTACTAAGCTATTCCATACCATGCAATGTCATTCAGACTGTTAAATTCGTCGGTGATCAAAGGAGTGATGGTAGTCACGCACGTTGCGTCCTAAAGTCTAGCCATCAACCTCAATCCATTATTTACCACGTCCAAGGGACGCAGAACTCACATAACCCGAAAAAAACATCCCCATCCCCACCGTCATGAACACCGCCCAGAATTTAAAGCCCGTATGTTTCACTTCGGCTGTAACTCCAGTTTCTACCTTTACGTCTCCTCTCTGTTCGACATTTACCTCTTTTCTCTCCGCTTCCTTCACAACGCCTTTCATCTCGCCCCCATTCCCTTCATCCATGATTCCATCTACCATCATGATCTCGTGATTGTGCGCCCTCACGAGCGATATATTGGGGAGGAGGTTGAAAAGTGGTGGAAGGAAGCGAGGTACGCCAAGAAATCAAAACACCAGATTGAAAAGAGACAGCAGAAATGAGATTAGGCACGTCAGGTAAAGCTTACCACACTTACCCAACAGCGCTAAGATCAAACAGGAAGGTAACCAAGGTACGTCGTGAGGAGGCGAACATCTCCTCACTGCTCTCGTGGGCACTTGCGGGTTGTGAGTGACACCGTCGTTTGATAGGTGTGAAACCTGTCGTCATATGAATTGAGCACTTACAAATCGATAAAATTAGCGACGGAGGATAATTGATGGGCATTGTGGTCATCCATCTCACGAAAACCATACCATTGTTTACATATCCACACAACATCAACAAATACCCCTTAAATAAGCGAGCGAGCCCCCTTTTCCCTTTTCCCTTTCCCCCCATCACCAGTCCACCACACCCCTCCCATCACCACTCCACCACACCCTCACCTCAAACCCGCTCCACCACAGACCTACACCCATCGCAAAGAAAATTTCCAAAAAAGGGGGGGGGGGTTCCAAAGAAATCCCGAAACATAACGGTCTATGCGATGAGATTTACAACAGGAACGAAATCCCCCAACGTATCATCAAATAGCTGACCTCAACCTCTCTAACACACAATACCCTCTTTCTCCAGAAAAAAAAAAGAAAATATATAGGTACCTAGGCAGCAATACACACACGCGTAAGTTTACGCGTCATACTGCGAACCATCAGTCCCCCCACTTACGAATGAACGATTATGTATGACATAATCGCCCGTCCGCACCAGCAGTAGTACACAAACCCCAAACATCTAGTCTCTTGTATTTGTAAAAATGGTTCATCTACTCTCTTAGTTAAAGCACTAAATCCAGCATATCCCTTTTAAAACCCCTCCACCTGAACACCTTAACACCCCCCATCACCCAAAAGCGAGCTCCCCATAACCACTGCACCCACAACCCAACATTCCCACCCGTCCCAGTCATCACATCAATTACATCTAAGTCAAACTCTTCCACCCCTCCAACTCCGCATCACCCCCCAAAAGATCAACCGTAGGTCGTCTCGGTGGTAAACTTGGTCTTTGCTCTTCCTCATCTCTATATCCCATTCCCCTAACATCCCTCCCACTATCTCTCTTAACCAACTTCCCCTGCCTTCTAGGCTGCGGCGGCGCTGGCACACTATTAACCTCCTTCCTAACCGTACCAGCAGTGTTACGTCTCGGTGGGGGTGGGAACGCAGCCGTCTCAGGCCTTGAGCGAGGAGAAGAGAAAGCGTTTACGGACGTGGGTTTTGGATCGAGTGTTGGTGAAGATGGGGAGGCGGTTAGATGTAATGGTTTCCTAGCTACGGGTGGTGCGGCTTTCTTCGAGGATGAGGATGTAGCTAGAGAGGCTGTGGATTGGCGACGTGGGGAGGATTGAGTTAGCGAGGTAGTAGAGATATTTCTCACTAGTTCATTCACGCTAGACTCTGGCTTTTGGAATGGAGGCGGTAGTTTTCTGCCGTTTTGTCGTGGACCGGGTGGTTGTGGAGCTGTTTGTGTTTGAGGTGTAGGATTTCTTGGAACCTGAACCCAATCTGATTCGTCTGTCGGCGTGAAAGGATTACTTGGGCGATTCGGATTCGGTACCATTCCATCTTTAGGTGGCTTAATAGCTGATCTCGCAGGTTGACCGTTATCCAGCCACCATTTCCTCTGATCTGAACTCGCAGGTGGAAGACTTGGTTCGATAGAGTCATACCCAATCAGATCCTCATCCTCGCTATCATCATCACCATCATTGATGGTAGGATGCCCAACTTCCGAGCGTTTCCTCTCGTAGATTTCGTGACTCAAAGCTTCTTTAATGGCTTCATCGACGATGCTAACGGTACATTGGAAGGTAGCATAAACAGGACGATGGTCCGAGAAACGAAGTGGTGCGGTGTTGTAATTTATCTGACGAAGATTCGTACCTTTGCGGAGAATACGGTCAGTCCAGGCTGGGATTCGTGCTTTTTCGGAAGTATCATAAGTATCTGTTCCAAGGTCGTATTTGTAGGTCGGTTCGAATGTGATTCTTGATTCCGAATAGAATGGAAATGTGAGTCCTGCAACCATCTGTAGATTTAACTGGTCGTTCTCGTACAGTGTCTCTAGATCTCCCATCTTGATGAGACTTTTCACCTTGTCTGCACCAAGACCGATGCGGTAATTGAAATCGCCCATCCAAATCACAGTATCATGATCATCGATACCACGATTTCTTTGAAACCTGAGACCGTGGTGGATGGTAACATAATCCCGGTTTCGTTCTTCGTAATTTGCAAAACCAGCAGCCAGATGAGCCGTGACAAAGCAGATGTGTGTTTTAGCGTAATCCAGTCTGATAGCCACCGCGCCCTTATTTCCTGCCATACCAGACATTCCCGTTTTCTTGATAGCTCCTTCGACGTTTTTGATATTTTTAAGTACCGAGGACTTCGCGAAGATGCACAATGCGGCACCGACCAATTGACCGCTACGAAGTAGAACATATCTTTCACCCGCCACAGCATGTTTATTTAAGGTTCTTCGGACCGCTTTCTCCCATTTTTGCTTCTGTGTAGGGTCGCTATTCATTATCTGCTGAGGGCTGAGTTCAACAATCTCTTGAAATCCTACGGCCACAATTTCGGGGTTTTGTTGGGACTTCTCGAGTTGTGGAGCAAGCCATGATGATAAATCCTGATCGATTCCAGTGGTCTTGCCGTTCAGGTTGTATGTTCCACACCATCTGGTATTAAATCAGGACAGTAATTGTGACGAAGGAATAGACTTACATATTGATATCATCTGAAGACTGATACTCAGAACTCCTTTTGGCAAGCTCAGCCGCCACATAGTCATTGATAGGATCAAACAGGTGAACAGGCGTTTGTCCAACCAATTTACCAAGCAAAATGTCAATATTTTCCTGTCGACCTTTGTCAAGAAAAGTGTTGATATATGTTCGAGCTGTACTCTTCCGTATATCTGAGAGTACGCCTCCGATGGACATCTTACCACTACGAGTATATGAGCTCTTAAGTGCACCAGTTCCAGCGTAAATCCGTGACAGAGCATCACCATTGTCAGCCCATAAACTCGAATGACGCGACCAAAAGTCGGAAGCAGCATTTTCGCCTCGGTGGCCAAGGAAGGTCTCGACCGCCATCCGAGAGATGATCGTCTGTATTAGATTGGTCCTATCCAGACAGTCAAGACAATTGGTCCTGAATACACCCTCTTGCTGCAACACGACGACGGTTCTTTTGTGTGACTTTTCTTGAGGATGCTCGTCCGACTCATCCATTTCTTCTGACAAGTAATAAGCAAAACCTTCGGCTGCTGCCCCAATGTGTCTACGAATCAAGTTGGCTGTTTCGTACCCTTTTGGTCCTTTTGTCTCTGCGTGGAAATCAAATACAGTCTGTTCCAGGAGATGGTGCTCCCGCCCTCGATTACCGCCAACATCATTGAGAGGAGAGAATTTGATACCTTTCTGGTATGCAGTTGTCAATTCGGCTTCACCCGGTTTAGATGCACTAAGCAAATTCACGATATGGACCGCGCCGTAATTTTGTTCCAGCTCTCCAAAATGCTTATCAAATGCAGGCTGCGTCCCTTCCGCGGACCGTGTCACAGTAATTTTCTGTTGACCTGGCAGGAGGGTGGTAGCTTGCTCCCAAAACACAGGAACCGAACCTCGGATCTGGGCATAAGAAAAGCATATACCTCCAGAGCTTTCGCGAAACCCAGGCTCGGATACACCCGCAGCAGAAGGACTCCAATATACTGTTTCTGATTCTACAAAGTTTGCAACATTTCCGTCGTCATCGATTCCTCTACTGTTAAATCTCGTACCGGCTTTGCGACAGGACAATCGAGATATGAGGGTCAAAGTGGATGGCATGCCTACTCTGGAAGTTCGTAGAGGCGCAGAAGAGGATGGTATTGCGAATGTTGCAGCATAACCGCGTATGGCAGAGGTCAGGAACCCCGAACTATCTAGAGCTTCTCTTTCATGCGCGACGAGTCTAGATCTAAACTTGACCAGAGGATCAATCATATAGGAGTTCCATAGAAAAGATTCGTCGAGGTTGTCTATGTCGAGTAATGCCGCTTCGGTAGATCTTCAATGTATCAGCCTTGTCACCTATCCACAGTGAGGTTCTTACCTGTCCTGCAACCTGTTCGTAAGGTCAAAATCTGTGCTGTAGTAGAAACTACCCTCACTTAGGAGGTTCTTGAGCGCTAAAGTTGGATGCTCCAAAAGTGGTTCTCTTTGTGTATAATCTTGAGCATGCTGGGCATATGGATCCAGATTGTCACTGAAGATATGATCGTAATCAGAACTATTCAGACAATAAAAGTCTACGCCCTTTATCTTCTGAATTGTTTCCCCAGGCCTGACCGTAGCCACCTTTTCGCATAGCGTAACCACGGATATGAACACATCGTTGTTGATTGTTATAAGACCGAGGGTTCCGTGGACTAGAGTAGGATGTAAAGTTCGATAATCGCTCAGATCTGCGGAGGGGGCGTGAACGAACTCGACCATGCATCTTGATGCCGCAGATCCATCTGTCGAAGTACGAGGAGGGAGGGATTGGATTGAAGTACGCGACCCATTGTGTGTTGCATCGCTTGCTGACGGACTATATCGAAAGATGAGAGCATGAGATGGGGTTACCAGAGCGATTGAGCGATGAGGGTAGTCGCTTATCAAGACTCTAATGGACATGTCGACGAGTGGAGGATGTGTGAGCCTGTTCTTGAATTCGGTAGCATTTTCAAAGGTGGTCTCGATTTCAAGGCATGCTGGGGATTAGGGATCATTACCTTGTAAGCTTGTTGCATTCAATGTGAATCTATTCCCAGACCCACATGAATGCGGCAGAACTTCGAAGCTGTCACCGCCTGAGCTGGGGCCATTTGCCCCTCCATGAGCCTCAAGGAGGCCTAATTACCTAGGTATGGAACGAGGGTCGTGACCACCATGTATTTCAAAATCTTGCAAACTTATTGTTGATTTAATCAGTTGAAAGAAGTGCCTAGTGATGCAGTAGTCATGTAGAAATATAAATTTACCATGTTTCCAATCAGTCTTATTTGTTTAAGTGAAACTGGTGGACAGGGGACCATCTTCAACCAAACGTTGGCCCGGACAATTGAGATCCTAATAAGTATTAAGCTACAGATGAATGACAATGTGATAGTAATGACACTAGATGTCGCCAAGATTTGTGTGCCTTGATTATACTTCGAAGTAAAACCTTCATGCTAGGTAATCTCTGCTATTTATGAAACAAGGCGAGTCAAGATTCCCCATCAACCAAGAGGAGTAAAGACCCCATGTTCCAATCCTTTCTAAGACTGTGGCCCATAACGTTCTTTATATTGTAGCAGGCCCTAGAGACTTTGTACGCAGAGACTTGAGCATAAATAGTTGTCTCGGCACTCGGCTGCGTACGGGAGTATTCCAATCTCATATTAAAGACATCACTCAGCTCCCAAGGCTCAACAAAAGGTAATTCTGATCGTCAGTGGTATCAGCAGCAGAGCGGTGAAATCAATTCTCATCCAACCGGCAATAAAAATCGAATAATTGCTTCTTCCCCTTATGCACAAGCCAATCCTTCTAGAAGGCTACGCTGCAGAGGCTATAGGCTGATGGCTCTGGGCACGTAGGCAATGTGACACGACATATCAGGCCATCCAGGCAATGGACGAGGAACATGTTGCATCGTTCCCGTCGATTCCGGTATGATTTAAGGATGGCTTGCAGGAGGAGGATATCAGACGAGCTTTCCGCTGCTTTTGTTGGTGATGTGGTTGGATGAGCGCCATGGTCTTGACTCTGTAGATAAAACAGTTTCTCAACTTACGGTAAAAGCTGAACATACGGTAGGGAACACGCAGTAGCGCCGGCATCTGAATATGTGCGACTGTGACTGACGTGGGTGGAAGGTCTAAGCAGGACGATGCAAAGAGCGGTGCGTGTAAAAGGCGTATGGCGTCTTTCTTAACGTATTTCCTAGTTGATGGCCCATTTCATGCAGTGGCCGGACTCAAAAATGTGGCGTCGTTGGCGTACGACCTTGATGATTCCATCTTATCTATATCGTCGATCTCGTCGACTTGACTTTCGCAAATGTTGGTGGCTTTTGAGGCTGTCGAGGACGGCAAGGTTCGGTGATTAGAAAGAGGCCAAGAAGGAAGCACCTAGGTAGTAGGTACCGTTCTTGGTGCAGAACTCCCGATGTCCCTCAACATATACAAATGACAAAAGAATTTTATTTCCCCCATAGCCAGGTATTTTAGCAATCATGCGCTTGAAATCAAGCTCTTATTCCCACGTATATCCGAGCAAGTGGTGACGCTGTCATGGCCAAGACGACGGTCTGGACTGTGTTCGAGGCTGGCCTTTTCACCTTTTCGCCTTTTCGTTCCTGTCAACCAAGTCTGCCAGAGACCCGATCCGTACCGCCAAGACGTTCCCTCTCACCCTCCCCTTCAGCCCAGGCGAGACCAGGAGAAGGGGAACCTCGGGGAAGATCACGATCTAGATGGGTCCTCAGTCCACCGCCAGCTGCGCTAAAAAGTGGGGTCATCGCGGAAGTCTTCATTCGTGTGGGTGCATCTGGGCCAATGAGACCGAGAGATTCGGCTTCTGGTGGAGACTACACCTTCCATATCCTCTGCACGCAGCTAATAGCTGAGCGACCAACGGAGTCCTGTCCGTATTCCAGGATCCATCTCCATTTGTTACATATTCTTCCTCACTCCGTTGGCGTTCACTCTGTTGATATACCCTCTTCTTATATCATTGCTGGAATTTCTTTTGTCGTGTGTCCTCCGACCAAAATATCCTCATATGCAGCAAGGGGTGGAGGCCGAGGGCAACGACGGTGGGCAGCTGCATTGCCGTAGCACGCCAGTAGCGTAAACCTTCAAGGTGCTTCGTACAACACACGCAGTGAGAGAGGCAGTCGAAACGAGGTAAACAATTACCTATCTTTGACCGCATCAGGGCGTTTGGCGTGGGAGGCGTCCAATCGTCGAGGGCCAGGAGCGTCGGGAGTCAGCAAACAGAGAAAAGTCAACAAGAAGAGGAGTTTACGTCGACCGATCGCAGACTGGCAGCCACGGCTTTTCGACTCCTCGGACCTCAAGTCTCAACGCACCAAATATAATAGTCCGCCCAACTCAAATGTACGTACAGCCTGTCGTACGTGGGGACTGATCGAACACGTCTGGCGCGGTACCGAGGAAGAGCTAATATACTCCATCGTGCTCGAACCAAGCCTTGGGGAATTCCCGCACTACCTGTGGACGGAACCTTGCTTGCCCGTGCCTGTTCGAAGGGCTAGAACCGCCTTTTGGACGACGTGAACTAGTCCAACTGCCGCAGAATCGGTTCGGACTCGCTTGCCCAAGCTCCATACACATCGTCGCTGCGTCTATTCTGCTTACAGCAAGGCCGATTGGTAAATCATTCCACCCTCTCGCATGTCCAAGACCGGAACTAGAGCAGGCACCAGAAAACCAACCTTTCCTCCTCGACAAGCCTACCAGCTGTTCGAGCAACACAAGTCAAGACCTTCCACCTATCATCTGGTGCGCTGGTGCTGCAATCAAGCCCGGTCTCACTGGTGTAATTCCCGCTTGTGGGCTGCAAAATCCAGACCACCAAGCGCAATCCATATACACGCGTCGATCCCTCCGCTTGCCCACCACAGTCTGTCGTGTTACCTTGTCAAGAGTGCTTCTCGAAGAACTCTCTCTTCAATAATCTGTTTCAAAACCGCAGTGGTACCTGATCAACACCCTTGACACAATTGCTGCATTGACAAGACCGGCCGAACCGGACTCTTGGATAACACCGTCGAAGCATAGAAGCCAGGCTTTACACTTCAGAACCATCAGTACTCTTTAGAATATTGAGCGGAACATTAATGATATCGTCATTGGTGGCAACCTTTCGTCAACACAGACAACCCGAAAGGTTTTCAAACTGGATTCCTTGGAGCCAGCGTCGGATGAGGAGTCTGGAATGCAGGACACAAATGAACATCTTGATATACCGACAAGACCGCCAGGTCCTAGAACGTATAAAGCACATCGACAGCGGATCCGGCCTCGTATTGTGATCGAGATCAAAGGTTACTCAAGGGGGACAGGCCATGCGGCCATGGAGGAGGAATTGGGAGAATCACAAACAGAAAATCTGATCGACAGAGATACATTATGCTTACCCGATTTTGCTCAGAATGATGTGGTTCATGGTGGAGATGGCCGATTCAAGCATGTCGCCCGTCAGTATTTTCCCTCTGCGGAGAGCAATGCCACGGAACGATTGGTCAAGCTCAAAACACGCCTTCGACAGGCTTCAACTCACGATTTTTGGGGTTTATTGATGGAGGAAATGTGTGACATAACCGGCTCGCAATGTGGATTTGTCGCAAAAAGAATGCTCGTGGACGATCAAGATAGTGCGGTAGAAATGCCCGAACTGGGAGCACCAGGTTCTTGTTTAATGGGTGTCGCATTCTACGTCAACAATGGCGCCAATGTGAAAGAACTGTATCGAGACTATCGATATCATGCGTACGGGACACCATGCGCTTATATGAAGCACGACAAAGTATTTATCGTTCCGGAGAGGATGAATGAGTTTATTCCCAACAATCCGAACGAGATGCCGTGGAAGCAGTCAGAAGCCTTCATCGGGCTTCCATTGTTTAGCGAGGGAAAGAACTTTGCTCATTTCGGTCTGATCTGGTCAACTGAGGGTGCGTCGAAGAGGAAACTGGGGTGGAGTTTTATTGAGATGTTTCTACACTCATTGGAGGATATGATTCTTCAGCGTATTCTTGAAGGCCGTGGGTTTGCAAAAGATGCTCCGACAGATTCCGAGTCAGCCAAGGTAATACCATTATCAGCAATCACGGCAACTCAATCCTTGAAACCATACGCTCGAAGCCTGTCTCATGAACTGAGAACACCTATGCAAGGCGTGGTTGGGATGCTGGATATCATGTACTCGACCGTCTTGGACGCTATCTCAAATCAATCAAGCGACAGGGTGCGAGACGTGTTCACGATTCTCAAAAATCATATTGAGACAGTACAAGGTAAGTCACTTCCCGAATTTCGCTGATCGTTACTCACCGTTTTTTAGAAAGCTCGCGACGTGCAGTGGATGCAGCTGATAACGTTGTACATGCGTATGACCTCAATATGCAGATGCCAGAAACCCCTCTAACTCCCGACTCGACTTACCAGCCCTCATTATCGATTGCACCGTCGGCCATACAAAGCCCTGCTCCTGATTCTGCCATGTTTCTGCTACCTGCTAGCAGTAAGAGAGATTATGCTGATGAAGATGAAGATGACTGTCATACCGGGCGACCGCGGAAGCGAATGTTTACCATTACAGAAGCAGAAATATTAAGAAAGTATTATCCTGACGATGCTATCTCGTCATGCGGTGTCTGCGGAGTTGTTACCGCAACGGATACACCTACGTTGTTTTCACCTGGACTGGATAAGATCATGCTCGAAGACAAAGATACAACAGTCATAGTACCAGCTACACTTAGTCCTGGTCATCGAAGACTGGTCACCCGAACATTTTTGCGAGAGTTGGTTGACGAAGCATTGAAAAGTGGGCATCCCAGCAAGGAAGTACATACCGAGACGGAATTGGGCGAAACGGTCGAAATCACTACCACAGGTCCAAGAGGAGAGGTCCATAATAAGCTGGTTTCGCTGAGTGTGGAGGCTTCCGTACCTGAAGTGATCATTGTTGAGGAGGCCCATCTGCAGTTCGCCCTGCAAAGGATTATCGACAATGCTATCAAATTTACGGATGAAGGTCGTATAGAAGTTACGGTTCGAATGGCTCGGAATCTGCAGCTTGTAGAGATCTGGGTATCGGATACTGGCTGCGGTATTGCTGAGGAAGCAAAGTCGCAAATTTTCACGCCTCATTTCCAGGAAGATGCATCTATCAGTCGGTCTCGAGATGGATTGGGTTTGAGTCTTTTCAACGCCAAGGCACATGTGAGGAAGAATTTGGGGGGTGATTTGACATTGGAGAGATCAGCTACAGAAGGACCATCTAGAGGATCCGAATTTCTTCTCCGGCTTCCAATTTCAACTTTCGATCTCGTTAATCTGGACGCTCCATTAATCAAAACACCGCCGAATGGCACATTTGCTGTTGCCGACGTCGCTGCCAGTCTTCCAAGTCCAGGCATAGGATTCACAATACCTACGAATGCGGATCCCGCCGAGACCAAGATGATTCCATCTGGGCCCGCTTCTCGTCCAACGATGGCTCGAAAGCAGGTTAGCAAGCGCTCCTCTGTGAAGTCGCAATTAGCAACCGAATACCCGCTCAACATCCTCATTGCCGAAGACAACGAGACGAACCGCAAGGTGTTGATAGCATCTCTGAAACGTCTCGGCTACAACCCCGAAAAGATCGTGGTCGCCTTTGATGGCGTAGAGGCAGTAAATCATTACATTACATCCTTAACGAAACCGAGGGACCAACACTTCGACCTTATACTTATGGATATCTGGATGCCGAATATGGATGGATTTGAAGCTGCGACGCGCATCTTCGAGATGGCAAAGGATGGTGAGACAACGATACCGAAAATCATGGCTGTGACGGCAGATATCACAGGTGATTGTTTAGAGAAGAGTCAGGATATCGGGATGGGGTTTCTCGCAAAACCATATAAGATACCGATGATTGAGGGGCTGATTGTGGAACATTTCCAAGCCAAGGAGTGAGAGTCCATTGATGACATTTTTATCTGCATAGTATTTTCAGCGGGAGTTTTCTTATTCTTTTTGGGTTGGAGTATGGGGATTGGGACGGGGAAGGGAAAATTGGTGGTGGGGTGGGATGAGTGGTGTAGCATTTACATTGGAATGGCGTTGATGGTGGGGTTTATTGGAGGGTTAAAGGGTGATGGGTGAGTGATGAGGATGATGTATAATTATGGGAATTGTGCTGAGCACTGAAATTAATACTGGTAACTCAGAGGACGATTAAATAATAGAGAGTATAAACAATCAAAATCAAATGATTGTGTTCAAGTGATTGTAAGGGCTGACAATTGTAAAGTGATGGAATCCGCGGATGAGGTTCAGCTGACAGGCACCGAACGCGGGGAATCCAATCACCACCGCCCAATCACTTGAGTGTGGTGTGGCTGGGCTTTCTGTGTCATGACGCATGGTTGCATTTCTTTCATGACCAGCAGACCTCAACCGAGAACTTACGATCACATATCTATCTACCTAAGCAATTACTTCAACGACAAACCTACCTCTTCTATACATCATTACACTCCCCTATCGAATATGTAACGCACCCTCGCGATGCGCAATCTCAGCATCCTCTTCAACTTCCTCCTTCCTTCGGCGCTGGGCATCTCGGTTTCCATCCCCTCGATCCCTCAGACGCTTCTACAAAACCTCGAGGATGGCAATGGAAACGTATCCACGGCGCTCTTCGCAGATCTAGAGGAGTTTAGTAGGATCGTGGATATCTCGTATTGTGTGGGCACCACAGGGATTCAGTATCCGTTTTTGTGCGCGAGTCGGTGTGAGGAGTTTCCGGGGTTTGAGCTCGTCGAGACTTACTGCTCCGGTGTTCTGGCGGGTGAGGGATGCGGGTATATCGTGCTGGACCATGGGACGGGGGAGGGGATGAGGAAGGGGAAGGGGAAGAAAGTGTTGGAGAAGGGAGAGGAGGGGGAGATGGAGGAGAGGGAGGGGTATAAGAGGGTGAAGGGGAATGGGAAGGATGGGAGGAAAGGCAGAATCATAGTCGCATTCCGAGGAACTTACAGTATCGCAAACACGATTATCGATTTAAGCACCGTACCGCAGGAATATATACCATACCCCGAAGACCCCTCGAATTCCACATCCCACCCCAATAAACCGTGGTGGAAACCATGGCGCCAAACCAGAGACCTGCCAAAGGAAAGAAAGTGTAAGAACTGCACAGTCCACACAGGTTTCTTTACAACCTGGCAAAACCTCCGTCCCTTAATCCTCCCGCATCTCAATACCCTACACGAAAGATATCCGGACTATGAACTCCATCTCGTGGGACACAGTCTCGGTGGTGCGGTCGCTGCGCTTGCCGGGTTGGAACTTGAGGGGAAGGGGATGAGACCGACGGTTACGACGTTTGGAGAGCCGAGGATTGGGAATGAGGGACTCAGAAACTACTTGGACGATACATTTGCGCTGAAGGAGGGCAACGGGGAGGCGCAAGGGAGTTTAAGGGGTAAAGGGGAGATGGATGGGGGAAGATATAGGAGGGTCACGCATGTAGATGATCCGGTCCCTTTATTACCACTCGAGGAATGGGGATACAAACAACATGCTGGCGAGATTTATATCGGGAAGAAGGAATTACAACCGGCTGTCGCGGATTTACGAATGTGTAGCGGGGATAATGATCGGGAGTGTTTGGACGCTGAAGCTGTTCCTGCGTCTCTCCTCGATTTAACACCGGAAGAAATACGGCAATTCCTCCTCAGCTCGCCTGAAACGGAGGAAGGACGTGGGGAAGGGGAAGGAAAAGGGGACATGAGGGAGTTACGCAAGAGATGGGGTCTCCCGATAGGTTCCCGATTCAAGATGTGGCAGCTCTTCTTCGCGCACAGGGATTATTTCTGGAGACTGGGGCTTTGTGTTCCTGGTGGTGATCCGGGGGATTGGGGTAGGGGACGGTATGGTGATGGTGATGAGCCGCAGTGAGAGAATTATGTGCTACGGTGAGGTTGCGGGGCGAGGGACGTTATTGCGGATTGAATGTTGTTGGGCTAGGGTGAGGGGTGTATGGGGGATACGGTTGTATAAATCGGACACACGGGAATTATTGGATTGTATGAATGGGGTGGCGTATTGGATTGAACTATAGTTGTTGGTTTACTGGGTTGGGTTGGGTTAAGCGGGTTTCTGGTTGTTAAAATGATTTATTGATGATGGATGGTGCATAGTACATGGTGGTAATACAAATTTCATTAATCCACCGGAGATGAGTACACAAGAAAAGTATGGATGTCGTACAGAAAATTAATCTTACTGCAATGATATAACACTGCAACCTACTGTTTTTACTTACTCTCCCTCACACTCTTCCTCAAACCATTTTTCTTCACTACCCTCTCTTTTCTTCCATAATCGGTAAAAGCCAAGAAAGCAACACTATTAATCTCTTACTCGATACTATAGCGTTCATTAAGTCTAGAATCTTGTGAGAGGGGGATCTAATATCCAAGGAACCCTTCACGTACTACCGAAATTGGTAAGTGGCTGGCATCGCGGGTGCCTAGATGATCTACACACACTAACCCGCCCCCGAATTCTTGGTGCTACTTGTGCTACGCAACAGGGCGTTTGATTCGTCAACCGCGGGGTTTGGGAGTTCGTCACTCGTATCACGTGAGACATGACGATGTATTAATCGCCTCTCGTGGATATATACTTCGCCCTCCTCTTTTTGACTTTCTTAAACATAACATTTGGGCTTTTCGAAATAAACGACTTTAACGCCATAAATAAGAAAAGAAATAGGAAGAAAGAGATAAAGAGAGAAAGAAAAGAAGAACATAAATCAAGAGGAAGATGTATATCCCAAGCGCGCAACAGATTATGGCGGCGGGGTTGGCTGCTACCGGGTGTATGAGGGGGATGGGGAAGGATTGTGAGTTTTTGAGATTTTCTTTTTTGTCTTCCTTTTCTGTATCCGGGATTTTGGACTTGTGAAGAATTGAGCAGACTTGGACTTTCTTTGCGAGGGTTACATGGGGAGGTTGATGTTTGGATTAGAAGAGGGGAGTTGGCTCTGCTGTAAGGGGTCGGGAGGTGAAAGAGAGGCATATATGGACTGGGATGATGGATGAAGTTCTGCATCATTCTCTCGGTTCATAGTTCCTCTCTTATTTCGATCCCCTAGAGTTTGAGAGCTCGAGTCTCGGTCTCTCGGAAGTGGATAATTTTTCCTCTTTGTCCGATTTCATCCTCCCTTCCACCACCTCTCTCCTCTTTAATGACCCAAGCTAACACCCACCCCTTTAGCAATCGCATCCGGCAAAGTCCTCGATTACGCAGTCGAAAAGTGTCTTGATTCCGACGGGAACGTGCGATGTACGAAGCCCTTCTTGGTCGAGAAAGATAAGTGTTATAACGTTGAGTGGAGCACCAATGCTACGTTGAGCCATACCACTGTGGAGGTTAGGGATGCGGGGAGTGGTGAGATGGTGAGTTTTTACACTTCTTTTTTTGGGAGTTTGGGGTGCGGAGGGAGAAGGAGAGGAGTGGCCTGGGCAGTGAAGGGGATGGGAAAGTGTAATGGAAATACAAGAGGAAGCTGGAGTGGAGTAAGGGGCTAGGGGAGTGGAGGGAAACAATTGGACAGAAGGAAGAGAGAAGATGAGAAGAGAAACATTGGCTAATCAAAACGCTACAGGTCTACTACAGAGACACAAACGGCCAATGGACCCCCGACAAGGGCGAGTTGGTGTATCTTGACTTCAAGCCAAAGGTGTGGAAGACTGGGAATGATACTGTTGAGTACTCGGTCAAGACTTGCAAATAAGTCTTTGACTGGAGGAAGAAATTGAAATGGGCTGGGAGAGAAGCCAATAGGGTAGGGAGTTAGGGATGGATGGGATTGTATGAGTAGGATGTAATAATGGGACTTCCTTTCTGACAGTTTGTTGGCTTTCTGGTTCCTGTGCTGTGACGCCTGCATGTTTGCGGGTGATCTTTGGCATTCCAAGCAAAGTGACAAATGCTTCCGACTCTAAGCAACATTTGATATGCAATACCACTATACAGAGGTAATACAAGTAACGCAGTAAGCTAGATCTTACCACACTAATTGGAAACAAGCACTTGACTTCATTTATGCAACCAAATTTCTAGATATCCGATACTATATCTACAATTAAATAGAAATCCGAATTCTCTATAAGCGCGGATGCGTCTATCATGTCCCGTCAAACATTCCCAAAGATGGATCGCTTTAAGCTTTACACGTAATAACTGTCCCAACCCAGTGGTATATTAAAACAAAAGGGTCTTTTCAAATTAGATTGGGAACTTGTCTATAGATCCTTTCTTTTTGCTGGGATATATTTATTAATAAGATTACGTGGGCGGATGGATGTATTGATGTCTCGTGTTCGATAGTTCTACTTGTTGGAATCAAGTTTATACCTGCCACTCTTTTTATATAGCAAAGATGTGAATTCAAGTAAAGGAGTTGAAAGTATATGGGAAATATATTCCACGGCGCCTGGCTTCTGAAGAGGGAAATCAACGGCACGATTGGGAAGTGATGCAATCAAAGCTCTGACTAATGGGTACACCTCGACTCCGTAGTCACATCACTATTTTGTGCGACTTAAACAGGAATTACTGCGAGACACATCATGTCATCTCAATCGTTGACCCTTCGACTCCGCTCTTGTCCGCCAATTAATATGAAATCTAGAATTCCTAACGCTTCGAATAATGCCATAGACGGGAGGTAACTTCTTATTCATGCCCATATTGCTATACGCCTGAGTTTTAAGTACGATCAACCCTCCATATATCAAGCAGGTGTTTCTTATAAGTCTACCGCTCTACCACTTTGCTTTATTGTTACGTCTGTTCATCTATTGAAGAGAGGTTTTTGTTTAGCTCATTCCTTGGTATTGCAACTACATCCGACCCCTCGCTTTAGTGGAGTGGGCCAGAACTTGTCAAGAAAATCACAATTTAGTCCAAAAGGTTAAGGAATTCCTAAATTACGTCTTCCTTATATATGGTAGAGCAATTGGGTTTTATGCGTCCACCCTTAAATCTTCAGTCTTCAATCTCTTTAACCGCAGTTGAAACATTCGGACTTTTCGAACCCCCGTTTCTGCTGTTGTTTAATCATTGTATTAAGCGCGTCCTCTCCCTCTGTGCTCTGATATACCAATCAGTATCCCTCAACTCGCCAACTCGCTCGCGCGTCTTTATGTTGTCGTGCTCGAAGGTAATATAGCTTTAGCTACAGTAGGGTGGCTGTTGATATATCATAGGAGGGACAGATAGATGTCGTCGATGTTAAAGAAGCTTTCTAGACCACGACTATCCTCCTTTGTATTAGTAATGTTACAGCTCGAGGACTTTGGATCTGCTTGTGGACTTACTTTTGATGACCTTGTCAAACTCACCCTTCCGCTGATTGATTGAAGTTCATTCTTCCAACGAAGCTCCTGATCCATGACCCAGCTCTGCTGCTCGTATACTCAACTCTTTTTCTTCCGTCAATCTCCATGTCCTGCAGTCCCATAGACTTGTTGTCATGTTCTTTCCTCGTGCATGTCAAATTTGTCTTCATCTGCGTGGAGTGGATATATAGCCTTGTGACGATTTTTGATAGTGTGGAAAACAAGTCGAAGGCGTCGGAATTTGAGAAGTATATCTGAAACTTAATTTGATTATCTTCTAGCAGCTACTAATTTCAAAAATAGATGCTTCTGCTGACCCTCTATGCTCCAGGCAAGCGCGACCCCTCCTCCTTGCTCTATTTATGCCATGCTTACCAACATTTGTTGCTTCGCTCGCACGCCGATTCGTTATCGTTGATGGAATAGACAAGATATCCAGCTGTGGTGAGGTGGCTGTTCAGATACTTTAGGAGGGATAATTCGGAATTGTCGGAGACCAAAGGATACTTAAATTATTAGAATCTTCTCTAGCAGCTACTGCGCCTGTGAAACCGACGTCCCTACAAATACCCTATGACTCTGCCGAGCGCAACTCTTCCGTCTGGCTCGAAGCATAACAACTAGCCCGCTATTCGCTATCCCACTCGTATGGTTCTGTGTTGTCGTTGGTTGGATCAATTTATAAGCATAGGTTTCGTGGCGATTCGAGATCGTAAAGACCTAGAAGTCAAATTCGGCAGAGTTTGGGGTACATCTATATCTTGGTCAACCTTCCTTGTAGTTCTATCTTGTCGAGATTACTGCTATACCTGTTTCTCCTACCTGAAGACATACCTGTTTGCTCCTACCTGGAGACCGCGTTCTTTCAGGAAGGAAGTATAATATCCATCGAATTCGTGTACTCCCAGTAAGCTCCATCCCTTCGGTATTGACCAATCCTGATCGCTAAACCACCCTATGTTATTCTCATCGCTTACGGCATTAATTCTTTCCTGACTTAACAGAACAGGTGCCTTGCTCCGATGGAGTCTCAAGATCAGAAGATCTTGTAACAGACGTTTGGTAACATATCCAACCCTCCGTCCGCTTCCCCTGTATCTCTCAATAATTTATATATGAGCTCAGATATTACAGGTTATATATCTCATATAACAGCTCCACTGATTGTTTTTGTCTTTAGTCCCGGGACCTTACATCTCCTAAGTCCCATCTCTTTGTTAAGGCGTTCGCTGAAGTTTCTACATTGCCCTACTTATTTCTTCTCGTCGTTTGTATTTGTATCGTCGCTTAATGAAAGGGGTCGTAGTCTCTGTTTGGTAGTGTTCGAAATTCGAGATTATGGAGAGAGGTCATTCGTAATTGTGGTTGAGTTTGTTCGTCGAGGGGCTCTCAAGAAGTATGCTCAGAAGTATCGAATTCGAATTTTCTTCATAGGCCGGTCCCAGTCGTGGATCATTTCGCCAGTGTCTTCTTCTGTATTAGACAAAAATACACTATTAAATGATTAGTTCCTAGTGTTATTGGTAGGTGGAGGCCTCGGGCTTACTTGTGTTTACCGCTGACTGAATACAGTAGATATCTTATATGGAAATGCTTCTAGCAGACCAACTTGCCACTGAAGGAAGCTGTATGAGGACATTCGCAATCCATGATAAGCTTTGTCCTGCGAATTCCAAAAACTATGGGGCTTTAAACTCAGCCATGGTGGGTAAAATATGGTGTTCATATTGGCTTTTGTTGAGGTTGAGCCATCTGGTAGCGTGTAAGCGCTGCACAAAATTCGAAGCTGAAAGCAGTAAACTTACCATGAGTCCTCGAGTCTCTGGTATCAGAATCGAATTCTCAAAGGGTGGGAAGCACTGCTATCATTTGATAGCTGTAGCAGACGCGCATTTTTGCATTACTAAATCGGTGGCAGATTTCCATTATCTGCGCGGTTGACTGATGTATCGACTGTTTCTGACGCTGATATCCAGAGTCCAAGTGAAACATTTCAGCATGTAGCTGGCGAATGCAAAAACAATATTCAGTTTTGTAAAGAAATTTGATGCCAGGAATTTATTCTAAGATCCGTCAGGCGGCATATTTCGCATCTGGTTGTCTGCTGTCTTCATCTGAGGGGGAGTGATATCGCGTAGATTCGGTGACTGGGTATCATTCTCCAAAGTTGTTGTTTTCTCGCGTACTTAAGCAACACCTGCATTCCAGGTTGCACATATCCCGACAAAAGAATCTTCCAGCGTATACACATTCCATCATTTACTCACCTATTCTTACCACAAACAGTTCTGAGGACTTGAGAAACGCTTTCTCTTGGTCTGCTATTCCCTCTGCCTGGCTGAATCAAAATTTATTCTCTCAATTTTACATTTCATTGTTAGTTTATGCCACGGTTCAAATATCTGCCAATCCCCCAACTGGTTTGCAACTTCACTAATACCTCACGCAGAAGCCCAAACCTTTAGTTTGGTTTTCCGCCATAATTTAGAACATCCGAAACTCTTGCAGTCCACTCAGAAATCGCAAAATATCCACACCTTCGCGTTCTATCCATCTCCTTGTCTTCTGCACATCTTATCCTCTGCACAGCTTCCGGAAGCCTCTGGCTTGAACCTCACGCCTTCACGAATAGACTTCTAGGACTTCCACGTCTTGAACGTCTTATGGCAAAACTGCTGCGCTTTACCTCTTATCCTCATACAAATCCTTGGCATTCAAATATCTTGGAACCTCCGAGCGTTACAATTCGTTTTCATACCATGTCATAAAGGAAAGGGGGAGCAGGCAGATGGCCAGCTTATTATATGAAGGAACATATCTTGTGCCTGTGGTCCCTCGGAAATATCTCGAGTGATCGGATGGGATTTAAAACGACTCTTCTGAATGAAGATTTACTCAATGCGCAAATCGGTGGCTATTGAGAGAGAAGAGTCCATAAGCTTTTTGTTGAGGATTATCCGTCTACGGGTTAGTTTAATTGATGGGGGTAGGCAGAAAGTTCGAGAGAAAAATGCAGCCAGTTTTCCGCTGATGCTTGAATACTGCTGCTCGGGCGATGCTTCTTTGGCTTCAAGTTGCCTTTACAAGAGGCACTTTCTGCATTAAGTGGGGCTTTGGTAAAAGAGAGAATATTGTGTATTCTGGAAAGTCTCGAAAGTTACGAGTAGCCAGAAATGAGGACGGGGGATGATTTACATTTGAATCTGAAGTATATCAGTGCAAATAAGTCCTCTCCCCTACTCAGGCAGTTCAATGTTCATCATTCTTCTAACATCTGCAAAGTCTTCTCGTAGAAACGTACAGTGTCCCGTTGATCGTTCCTTCCTTCCAAGAATTCCAAGTCTCTTGCAGGTATGCAATCAAGAGCTGAGTGATCACTTTCAAACATCACTATGATCTGCTACCCGTCAACTTCATCAAACCAAAGCGATGGTTCACACAAAGCCAAGTGTCATATTTTTGAATCAATTCTAGTTTTCTATCCTTCTACCTATTAATCAAAAAAGCTATCTAACATACAATTGAAAAAAACGCGACAAACCGCTACAAGGAAAGCTTTGTACAAAATGAACCATAATACAAAAGAAAGAAAAATACAGAAAAGACCTCGAAGAATATCCAAAGAAACAAGACTAAAGAAATTACATCAACCATCAACTCCTCGCTCCCAACACCTCAATATACAAAAGACAAAAGCCAGCCATCCACCTTAATCCAAACGCCCCCCACAAAAATGTCAAGTTCTCCTTGTGATGCAAAGAGATGTTTTGTGCAAGAAATTGCGAGAATCTCACAACTTCGCTTCAACTTGGAAGCGTTGTCTGATAAGGGGAACTTGTCCTCCACACCGTAGGACGGTGGAAAGATTGACTGCGAATTTTCGTCCTTTACCAAGGGAGAACCGGCAACTTCAATACCGACACCTTCCGGCAAAAGGTTTTATTGTCGTTACATTTACCCGACCGTTGATGACATCTTCGAGAGCTTGAACTTGCTGCGATACTAAGAAGTGTTAGTACCAACGGAGTGACGCCTGCGGGAAAGACTTACGTAGTGCAACTGGGGATATTCTGATGTTGATGGAAGAAGATTAGGTGCTTAGGTGTTGTAGCTGCTTGGCCCGAGACTGGCTATGCTCACGCGCTCGACAGGAAAGAGGAGCAGGTTGGGTCTAAATCAGTGGGCCCTGGGGAGGATTTCGAGACGGTGGTTGGGCGAGGGGACGAACTGGATGGCCGTTGGAGAGTCCTCAAACGAAGACGTCTCCATTGACTTCGGGTCCAAGATCGCCGACAAAGATAACATCGAGATATATGTACCGGAGGTCTGACCGATGGTCTGCTAAGCCTCCTCCAAGAGGCGAGAGGTGTTTGGTATCATTGAACCATTAAGAGACAGAGGTCGATGATCCAATAGCCAGTGTTACTTGAAAATATTAGCGGAAGATCTAGCGAAGTGAAGAGGAAAGCTTACCCAGAGAATTTATCACGGATCATCTTAACATTAGCTTATCCACCCATTCCCAACCAAACAGAACGGATGAAATTCTCATCAATCCAAGGTTCAAGCTCACCCCAGATTATGGTGCCACCACACCCGCCGGCACCGTCCCCCCCTCCCCATTATCCTCCATCTCGATCACTACATGGTAGTGATCTACGAGAGGTCGAGGTTTGTTCCTCAACCTCCGGTTTGCCGCAAGGGCAATGTCGAGAGTGATGGCCCCGCCAGTCTCCTCATCGAAATTCTCGATCTCTTCCTCACTCAGAGAAGTGATGAACCAATCCATGAAAAAATGTTTTAGCACTTGAGTGCTACGATTGTAATCATGGCTGACTGCCCATATGGTCTGCCACTCCTGTTTGAACAAGTCAAACATAATGGGCGTCATGCGGGTACACATATCGAGCCGGTCTATTGCAATGTCTTTGAGTTGCGGCAGTATGAGAAAGTCGGCAACCGCCCAAAGGTTTATCAAAGCCTTTGAGTGGGCAAGAAGCTGCTCATCTGTGATGTCTATGGGGAGCGGTCTCAGGTGGTTGAAGTACAGCCACTGCAAAAGCAGTGCCACACCATCTTTACTGCAAGGTAGCTCAAAGACACCTTCTCCACCAGGAGGAGGCGTGCTGGATGCTCCGGTCTTTACCTTACTGTAAAGACCTACTCTCACTACTTCAAGATAGTAGCAAGCGACCTGCCTGTGGACGGCAAATCTGCCTTCTTCAATGTTATTCTGCCCCATGGCAATGAGGAAGATGTGCGTCGGATCCCTGGAAAGGTTAGCAGAGCTTTGTACTATGATTTGCAAGTTGTATACGTACGAGAAATCGAGCACTTCTGGCTTTGGAGGAATGGATCGGGAATTTGATGATATCTCCAGGTTCATACCCGACAAATTGTCAATATCTGGGGCCACGGCACCCGTCAAAGTCCGGTACAGTCTTTGCGCCGAAGCATACCATTCAACGAGTCTGTCGCTTGGTTTGATGTTGAAATACATGGTTAGATCGATCAGAAAGATTGTAGATATCTTTAAAAGTGTTGTGTAGGAAGTGTTGTATGTGAATAGCTGTGTGTGAAGAGTTGTGTTTGAAGTATCGTGTGTGGAGTGTTATGTGTGAAGCTTGTAATGCGTCGAAACTGTTTGTTGTGAATTTGTTGTAAAAGAGGGTTTTATTTTGAGAAGTATCTGAATTTTCAAGTGCGTTGATTAAGGCAAGATGCGTGAATACTGATATCTCTGAGGTAACCCACTAGCGCGAGATATCAATTGTTGATGTGGATCCAAGTCGTCCTACTCTCGCGTGTAGTGGCTGGTCTTTGGTGCGGAAGAGGTCAGGAGAAGGCAACCGGGACGTGGCTCATCCGAATGGAAAGATTAGACAATGGTATCTTCGCGCTCTTCTCTTCATTATGGAGAGAAAGAAGTAGATAGTTCTATTATACGTCTACTAGTCAACGAGTTCCACAGCATGAAATGTCAAAGTTAAAGAAGACAAGTTCAGTACAAGATGTCAAGCTCTGAGAACAACAGAGAATAGTACTTTTTTCAAATATTATTGAGCACAGAATGTTCAAGTTGAGCCGAGCATACCCGTGTCTTGCTTAGAACAATCATGCCTTTATTGTTATTCAACTTTGAAGTATGAGAGGCGGTACAGGACACAAATTAAGCGCTAAGCCTTTAAACTTCAAGACAACCAAAGCCTGGCCATTGTGTTATGTATCTATATCAAGTTGACAATCGTTAAGCCATCAAGTGTTTGGTGACTTGACATTCGTATGTTTATCCCCGCTCCTATTGTCGTTCCGCGACCACAAAGGGGCTTAGCGAATATCAAAACAAGAATCAAATTTGCGGAACAGACAGAAGATTAGACCGGCTTAAAGTTTCCCGGTTGACAGACGAGCAGAACTCGAAGGGTGAACTCCTGTGGGTGGTTCTTTGTGATTCCACGCGGAAGACAGAGCGGCCCGATGTTTACACCACGCCCAGTGCCGAGTTTTCCAGCTGGGAGCACCTGACCGGGCAGTGAGGCTATTCGCACTTGGTCACTATGATCATCTAACACGACTGTAGACTCCAGGTTGACTCCAGAGTCATATCAAAAACACGTGCTGTTTACAAAGACAGCACGCTTAGCCTCAATTCGACAACTACTCTACCCTTCGATGGAGTTCCCATTCGTTTCGCTATATTGCTCGCCCATTCTACTGAACTCCCCAGCCGCACAACTACCATCTTCTCCGAACCCGCTGCTACGAAGAGCGAAGGGCTCAATGATGGCACATAAGTCAATCCAAGAAGGGAAAGAGATATATCACTTGATGGCTGTGGATCTAACAGGGTATGATAAGAAGGGATTTCGTGGAATCATTATTGCAAGAAGACTGCAGAGTCGAGAAGGTGCTTGATATCGAAGGCAAGTTAGAACGAAAGAAGACGTTTTCTTATACTGGACTACAACACTCTTGTATATGTGAGTCGCAAGCATTATACCTGATTGCCTTCCTATACAACCGCAGAGTTGGAGTACTTGTAGAACTCTTGTACATATAGATGACGAGCTATCTACTGGAAAAGTCGCCCTTCCTGCGGAGAGATTATTCGGAATAAGGAGTTATCCAATAGCCCACCTACACTCTCTTCCCAATCTTAATAAGCTAACAGATTTCTTAGTCAACTCTCCGCTCTGCACGAATCTTGTTCAACCGACTTGATCCTCTCGAAAGAACGCTAGTACAAACCTCAACTCCTCGTATAAAGCAATCAAGCCGGACAGTATTCTTTTTTAACTGAACGGGCTGCCATCGAGAAAGTGCCATCCACGCCTCGACTCCTCGCGCTGAGCAATGATCCAAAGTCTTTCTCAACAGGGCTGCCCTCGAGACGAATCCGTACCTGAGAGGAATTCAAGATACTCGCTCGTTCAACCTTACACCAAAAACGTTAAAGCAAAAATGGCAACGCCGTTAAATAACCAAAAGGTCTACCCGGGTATCTACAAAAACAGAGATGGTTATCCAATGCTCATCAAGACCCTCAGGTATGAACTTTGATGCTTATCTTCTTGAAAAGTGAGGTCTTACTTGGAAACAGATGAGCATCTGGGTGGCTTCCATCCTTCCTCATCCAACCTCACGGAAGAGAGCATCGAAGCTGAAGACCAAATACCATCGAACTAAGATATCCGGTGGGGTGGCTGCCAACGAAGATCCATCCGCCACTCTCAATAAATTCGTCGGGTCAGTCTAGCCTTCGATTCAATTGCTCGCATCCAGCACTGACTCCCAGTAGTCTCAGTGAAAGTTCAGATTCTTGCTCTAGCACACCGCAGGCTCGTCGGCGCCTTCCATCTAGCGAAAGGCTTCCGGGCGTAACCACTGCCTATTCTGACGACGCGCCGCGAAAAATAGAGGTGGAGCGATGGCATCCACCTTTCAACCGTACGCTATTAACGCTGCTTCAAGTGCGTCAGCCAACCCTGCTGCAGGCGCTGAAGCCTCTTCAACGACACCAGGCACACTTGAATATCTTCAAGAGGAGAAACTCGAGTCTGGGTAAGGCGGTCATTCTGACACCTCTACGAGAGAGTAACTATTATAGACTTGATTGGTGGTAACGCTCCAACGAGGGATGAAGCTGGAGCCACGGCATCTACCTTTCAACCGTACGCTATCAACGCTGCTTCAAGTGCTTCAGCCAGCCCCGCTACATGCGTTCGAAGCTCGTCTACGAGACCAGGCACACTTGATCATCTTCAAAAGGAGACACTTAATGCTGGGGAAGCCGATCATTTTGACACCTTTACGGGAGATTGGGAATAATATAATTGGTAGTGAAAGATGGTACCATTGTGAGAGATGAAGTTATGTACACAGAACTGTCGTCAAATCTACAAGAGCAAAAATGATTTAATATTCGCGGGAATGCTGCTGACAGAGAAAAGCATATGAGGGGGGAAGTTGAGAGTCTTGATAGACAATAACCTTGTTAGAGTAGAGACAATAGAGATAGCCCAGTGGTGGAATGATGGAGTCTTGTGATGGCAATTGTATTGAGCTGAAGGAAAGTGATGGTCAGGTCTTCACAAACGATTTCAAAGACAGGCATTGCAAGCGGAGTATTTGTACACATAACACAAGCCCTCACGCAATGCATCAGTCTTTTGCGGACACAGCACTTCATTCTTATTGCGAAATACTAGCACTTAACTATCGTCCGCACTTTGTAAGAAATGAAACTTAGACTAAGTTTCAGCTAGACAATGCAACAGCGTGTTCTACCAAAATATTAAAAATAGCTTCCAAAGAGAATGGTAATAATGAGCTTTTCTTGTGGCACTTGGTAATATAAAAACGCTTTCAATAGCTATAGTTTAAATAGACATCCCCAATTACTGAGTTTTATCTTAATTGCCTCGATTTCATAATGAGATTTTTATAGTCAACTGCAATACTGTAAACTTAATTTGCTAGATTTTGGTGATTCTCCAATTTGACAAACGGGTGCCCGCCAGCGATGAACATTCGTCCCAACCTTATGAGGTGGATGTTATTCGACCAATATATTTCTCCGAACTCTAATGCAAATTTTCTTGAAAGCTAGATAATAGATGTTTGAATCATCTTCACTTACACCATACATCTGCTCTTGCCAATATATGCTTACTTCAGTACCTTGAAACTCTGTTGTCATTTATCATTCAAATGGGAAAGTAAAAATACTTCTGTGTAGTTGTTTCTGCGGATTTGATTGAAACTACAAACTAAAGAGACTGCCTCAAAATAGACTGAGTTGTTTCAAAAAACGCCTCGCTCAAATGCTGTACATGGATGAATCCCAGAAAATATCTAAACAAAGAAGATGAAGCAAAGCAAAAACGGATATCCAAGGAAACTGAATCAATCGAAGCCCTTGTAAACTCCTTTCTTCACTCCATTTTACGCCATCAACCACTCCCAGTGAACTCCGTTATGCTGTCAATCCTGTGACCTATTAGAGACTGGTGAAGTTGAAACAAATTGAGCTCTTAGACTTACCAAATATGTGCCGAAAGAATTAGTTTCTTTGCGACTTGTTGTCAAGAAAGTAAGCCTTCAATGGCAGCCAGTCTTTGCCTCCCAAGTGAGCTGTCGTTTGCTTGATCATCTCGTTCAGAACACCGATGTCTAGCCCTGAACGCAGCTCGCTGGCGGTACTCTTGTTGACTGTTGTCAATAGCGCCTGGATCATGTACTCGCGGAGCTTGTAGCCTTCTTGAGTGTTCTCCCAGATATACTTTTGCTGTGTTCTCCACAGGCCAACCATGACACTCTTCGTGCCACGGGCGAACAGATCAAGGTGGGCAATGGCCTGGTCTTGCAGGGCTGGCATACCGAGATAATCTCCCAAGCACCAGAGGTGGACTCGGTTGGTGGCAGCGTCGAGAATATCTTGCTCATTGGTGGTAGGCTCGGGGTCGTTCAGGCGGAACCGATACAAGAATTGAATTAGAAGGGGAATAGCCTCTGGCTTGAAGTCATGAAGATCAAACGACAAAGGTCCGTCGCCGCTCCAGGTCTGGTTGATAAGCTTCCTATTGATAACATAGGAGCCATGACAAGCGGAGGCCTTCTCAACCTTGAACATGGCGATTGGGACCTCTTCGCTCTCCTTGCCCTTGTGATTTTCACTTCCTTCTTCTTGAACCACTTCTTTCTCCTTCCCCTTCTTGTTTTGGCTGCTTCCTTCAGCTGCCGTGGTGTGCTCCGTCTTTGGGCCGAACACCCTCAGATCAATGAACACATTCTCACTATCAAGATAATTAGTATGGTAGACTTTGGACTCCAATTGGGGTGCGTACCTGAAATCAGAAACTGGTGGTCTGCCTCCTGGCCATTGCTGAGCCATTCGACTGGTGCTTGACGAGGCAGCCATTGTGGTTTTGCTTTGGTTGAGTGAGATCGAAAGTGTACAGAAATAAAGCAAAGGAGTGGAGTTTGTTGCGAGGTAGGTTGCTACAGTATTGCAGAGAAGAAATTGAGTGTCTGAAAAGATGGTATCAGAAGAAGTTGTTGAAGGTCTGGAGTTTCTTTTTTATGGAATTTTAACCTTCATAAACAGTGGTAAAATAGTCAAATAAACAATGGTTACGGAAAGAAAGGTTTCCGGTCATTGAGAAGCACGCTAGCAAACAAACCTTAGCGTGGTAAGCCTGGTGAAATGCGGAAATTGTACAGTCCGACAAGATAACTTGCTCTTCTGGGGTGAAAGGATGCTGCGTCAATGCTAGAGAGCTTACAAAAGAAACAATGGCTAATCCTTTAACTCATTCCGATATCCGATACATTGGAAATTTGCGAGTTAACACAATGATGCCCATTAACATTGATTGACGAAAGAAATCGTCTGCTATAATCAAATTGGAATTACAATGGCACATCATAGACCACCACTACACCTCTGGATATTTCTGGTACCACTACAATGCTCTTTATGAATGCTTGTGTCTTTATTGCTCAACATAATTGCCCTTCAACGCGTCGCCAGTTTCCTTTCTCTATTGAAGTGAGAGCATCGCCTAGGTGAATTAACCACGTGCTCTTCTTTTCCCCGAGATGATGATAGAACGGGAAGTCGGCGGTGAAACTTTGAATTGAACAGGGGTCTCAATCAAAACACGGTTGATACGGACGTATTGATAATGATAGGAGATTGCGGATATGATTGATACCGAGCGTACTATTACAATTGCATATTACAACCCCTTTCCAGCCCAGAGCATATAACATAGAAATGCCGGTATGAAACAAGAGACCATTGCCACACAATCTGAAATATGAGAATTTTGCTTCGTAAAGTGCTCATCATTTATTAGAAGATTCAGTCCATCACAAGAGAATGTTAAGTTGCAATTTGCGGTTATCAAGAAGACGGGTAGAAAGTGTAATTTGGTGCTTCCGTTTTCTGGCTGTTCAGCCTCACCCAGGGAATAATAACTAGCTTCGGTTTTACTAGATGCTTGAATGAGTTTAGGGACCGATGGATTGACAAGTCATGGCTTTGGAGAATGACCACTTGAAATGACAATTCGAGCAATCTTTTTAGCAGAATGTCAACCTTTGTTCACCGGCACAAGTCATATCAGCTCACCGTATCTCTGAACAAAATTGGCGCCCAGTGTGGTCTTGCTTGGCGAAGGTTTTGCAGAACGTCGGATATCTTTTTTGGATCAACAGCCCCTCCCAATTCTTGAGCAATTGCGAAACTATGTTTTTTGCCATGTCCTGACAAACAGCCCAAACTTCAGAAGCATGGTTTTCAATCTTCCTCAATTTCACTTGGGTAAGTAGTCCATACGCAACATACTTGAGGCTGATCATTACTGACTGTTTTCCCTGCTCGAGAAGCCCCACAACACGAAACTCCTCACCCCATATCCAACGCCTCATCATGCCTGCTTGATCACGGCATTCAGCGATGAATACAAACAAAAGTCTCCAGTTCGAATCTCAACGCGTACTGAAAAACATGAGCGAATCTGGCAGTCCAAGCCTTGAAGTCCTTGTTACACCGAAAGCTCCCTCGACGACATCCAGTATGAACGTGAGATTGTTTGGTTTTAAGGAGTAATCTCAGTGACAGATTATGTTCAAGACAATAACACCATCGTAAAAATATGCGCTGCCATAATATTACCGACAAAGAGTGCAGGAGAGTTGGAAGACAAATGGTTCGGTCCGGGTAATAAAGATAAATTCCATGATGCAGGCGCTGGAGTGCGATCAGCAGGGAGAAAATCGATATCAAGTAAGAAAAGCTGAATTTACCAACTACGCAAGGCACTCTTGAGGTAAAATAGAGGTGCTTGGCTAGTTTTCAAAAGACAAATTTACTCAAGTGTAAGTTGAGATCAATTTTCGACGGTATAAGACGACTAATATTTCTATAGTGTTACACGCCGAAATCAAACAGCCACTTCGAAGGCGAAACAACAGTCTCACCATGGAAGCATCGAACGACTTATCCTACAACATATGCCTAAAACGATTTTTAATACTCTACTCCCACTAAATGACCGAGTTTGAACAACTTTCCAGTCTGGTAAGAGTTGATCATACATCCTTCTTAACTCGCGAGACACGTAAATCCAAAGCTTCTTATCACAGCTAGAAGTCAAGGAAGAGCATTCCAAAGGTCTGGTATAAACTTTCAACGACCTGTCCATGTTGTTGATCCCGAATCCTTTCTTGCGACAAGTCCAGGAACAGCAAGTCAAAGTTCCGGTATGAACTTTCAACCATCCGTCAATCTTGTTGATCTCGAAGCACTTTCTGCCAGAAGTCAAGGAAGAGCAAGTCAACGCTCCAGTATGAACTTTCAACGACCTGTCAGTCTTGTTGGCCTCGACTCCATTTTGCAGCCACACGGTAGATGATTCACAGCAGTCAGCGAACATTACACAAGCAGATACATTCGCCCAGAGCTCAACATCAAAGCTGAGAGCCACAAAGTGGTAACCGTATCAGCGAAGCCATGCTTAGATGTTGCAACTACGTCCCGGTCACTGACAGCAGCGCTGAATTCCGTTGAGCCGCCGCTGAGAAGTGACACGAAGATATCGGACTGGGCAGAATCTATTCTTCCAGTTGCTCTTGGAGATTAGAGAAGCATCGGAGTCGATTGATCTACGCTCACACTTGAAAAAATGTCATTGGTCCACTCGGGTAGGCACATCCCAAAGGTAAGCACTTTCCAACGGTTATGGGGAAAGACGACTGACTGATATTCTACAGGGTCAAACCACCAAAACCGAACATTATCTGCTAATGCTAAGATCCAATGGACAACTTCCAATTATAACGAACATTGTTGCGAAGCAGAGCTCAGCAGACAAAATAAACCTCCTTGAGGTGTTTTGACGTCAACCCAACCCAAGGAACGGGTCTGCTCAATGTCAGTGCTTCCCAGGTATTGCATTGTAACATGACTGACTTTGTTATAGCCCTAAACCATCCCAGACGCACATCCTCTCAGACTACCAAAACCCACATAATTCAAAGTTCCTTATGAACACCACTCTCGCGCGGAACAGTACAAAACAAATCACCTTCCCGCTTGCTTTTTGAAAGCGGATGTATATCAATTAAAGGTCGTCAAGTTTATAGCAGGAGCATGACAATCATACCTGGTTATCGATTGGCAGTATTGAAAAGCCACAATACCAGAGGACTTTGCCATGGTGCTTAAAATATACTCCTGTGTAAGTACTTGCAAAGTTTTATGGAAATAAAGCCACTGACTCCCTCCACGGCCACAATCCACCCAATCGCACATCCTCTGAGTCTACAATAGTTGACATAGTCCACAGGTCTCTATAACCACCTTCAGCGAGGAAGCAGCACATGTCAACCATCTTCCCGCATAGGTTGAGCTTGATTAAGAGAGAACAATCAAATGTGTCAACAGCAAGGAGAAATTTAATCAGATTGATGGATGCATTGGAATACCGCTAAGCCGGATATCTTAGCAAGGATACCTGTAATCTGCTCAAGTGTAAGTACTTCCCTAACTTCAGAGGAATAAGATACTGAGGCCTTTATAGATTTAGCACACCCTCCTACTACAAGAGTTTGCCAAGTCTAACGAGCTCTATGTTAGCGACCTTCTTCACGGAACCTTGTATCATAATCGAGCTCATGCGTCCCCTCTCAAATACGAAAGGGAGTAGATGGAAGCAGCTGGATCCATCGTCGGAATAGTACAATTATGTACAGTTGTCGATGGTCAATAATTGAACACGGCAAAGCTAGTCGTCTTGGCCCAGTTGCTCTTAAAATGACCAAGTGTAAGCAACTCATGACCTTCATACAAAGCAAACGACTAACAACCCGACAGACCAGCACCACCGAGGTCGCATGTTATATATATCTACCAAAACCTCGATCGTGATATCTATCCCACCAGATATCTGTAAGAAGCAGCAAACTCATTGGCCCCCCTCCTTTCTTCAAACAAGACGCCTGGGAGAACACGAAGGCCATCGAGCATGTAGCGAGGAGAACGATACATGCTCACGGCTATTGACGGATCATATCGGAATATTAGTAGACCGAAAGCCTTTACCCAGGATGTTTGTACTTTGAAGTGTAAGTGATTCACAACCCTTTTAGAAGTAAGACGACTCACTCACTCACAGCCCTATAATTCTAAAAAACCGAAATCGAAAAGCCTCCCCCGAACCAAAACAGTATTAGACGACTTCAACCTCACCAAACTTCTGCTACGAAACAGCACATTTCAGCCAACGTCGTCTCTTCACCCAACAAGGCGCTTGGAACTGAGCAAAGTTCAATGAAGTCGTGGCTGGGAAGATATCAAGAGCGATAATTGTAACTTGTTTGAATTCCAAGAGGGACAGATGGAGATCCAGCAGACCAGAACGGGGGACAAAGCAGAGGCTCTGCGGATGAAGTGGAAGTGTTTCGTGCCGGATGTTTTAGACACAAGGATATAAGAACAATCAACTGATAATAATATTCAAGATACTATCTTAGATGTGGAGAAGAGTATCGGTGTCAGATATCAGGGACATAAGAATACTCCCAATAGCGCTGGCCTTTTCACGCTTTATAAAATCTACGATTTTAGTCCCACTACCAGCTGCTGCACATTGTGATTCTCGTCGCTATACTTTGTTCGTAGATAATCTACTTCTATTTTTCAGTTCCGCCGTGTAAAGGCTTTATAAGCATAGTCCGCGAATATGGACCTTGACACCTGAAATGAGGCATCAGGTTTGTGCGAGATGCAACAAAACAGAAGAAAGACAACTCGGACCGGGACCGGCTGAGGGGGCTAGTACCACTATGCTTATCAACAGCCGCCTCGGCGCGCACTTGCACTTACAATTTTCTGAGGAGCTTAGAAACCTAGAATAAGGCATCAAGTTTCTGCGAAATACAACAAAATTAAACAAATAATCTTAGGGACTGTCGGACCGGGACCGGCTCCAGGGTGCTGCCTAGCGTCCTCGTGCTTCCAATTTGAGGCATGACTTTCACTTCAATTTTGCTTGAGAGCCTTCACCCCTTACGTTAGGTGGCACATTTGTACGAAAATCAATGAAGCAAAGGACAGAATCTCGTTGAATTCGGACGGCAATCGGTTAGTACTCTCGTAGCTATCAACAGTTGATTCGGGTAGTTTATGCACCTACGATAGGCTGATCTATACTTGTGTTTAGAGATATTAAAGTAATCTATTACTGGCTATTCACAATTTAAGTCTATAGAGCCCATTAGTCGCACGCTGGTCGAGAGCACTAGTGTCAATCATAGTGGGAATAGTCCGCAGGTGAAAGGGAAATTGGAATATCTAGTTTAGGAGCAAGAGCTCTCTACATTAAATCTCACTAAGACGAAGCTCTCGTATCTCAAGTGATTATAACGCGCTATAGATGATTAAATTTATAAAAAAGAATATATAGACGGAAAGGAATAGAGAATGTGTATACGTGTCGATTTATACTAGAGTACTCAACTCTGTATTAATCACAACTACTTCTAATCATCCCTAACAATGCCTTCTTTCCCCAAACTAAACCCCCCCTTCCCATCCTTCTTCAAGCCTGAGTCTTCCAAAATCCACCTCGCCTCCTCAGCACCCTTCGGACCATCAGTCTCCATATCCAATCCCAATTTAGTATGCTTATCCCGATGAATATGTCTCTCAGTCCGTTCCTGCTCCTGTTTCATCAAATTCTGCTCCCTTACTTTCTCCCAGACCAGCAGTTGCTCTCGTCTGTCCCTCGCTGCCCTCTTCGCTACGTTTGAAAGTGCGTTAACGCCAAGTGGTTCGAACTTGCTGAGATTGGCTAGGAAATGGCGAACTCCTGTGCCATTGACCTCTATAAGCCATGCATCCAGGTCTTTGTCGCATGCGGCTGCCGTTGCAACCTGGAGTCCGTCAAATACTTTCTGGTTTGTGGTCTTCGAAGTTCTATGCGGCGCGGGGTTAGAAAGTGACGAAGCTGAGTTAGGCGCATGATGCATATGGTGTGAACCATGAGTCTTGGTGTGATGCTTTGGCCTGGAAGAAGATGTGTAGTGTCTAACAGCAGCAGCCTCGGCGCCGTTTGATTGTTGGGCTGGAGCACCATGACGCTGCGAATGCGGCCAATGGATATGACGAGCTTTCCTTGGTTGCGAGGAAGATTGAACGTAATCCCCGTATTGTTCAATTTCCTGCGAAGGAAGATTGAGGCTAGGATCAATTCGAGGTATAGAAGACTGTTTCACTGGATCTGTGTGTCGACTGTGCTGTTCAGATTTTCTCCTTCGGTGTTTGGACTTGTGTACGTGAGAATTAGATGTTGCATCAGCAACTTCCTCATCATCCATGTTACGAAACGCCGCCTCTTGTGGCTGCGCCGACCGATCATGCACACCATGGGTGTGGGAGTGTGAATGTCTGGGTGGCGAAGTAGGCTTTCGACTAGGGGTAACCACATACGCTGTATAAACTGACTGAGAACACTGCTGACAGAGCGAATGTGCCTGCTCGATATGTGGCTGGGCGTTGGCATCTTCCGAAATCGAGTTTGATTGAGCTTGCCCTGTTGGCCCGTCGAGGTTCTCATTTTTATTAATTAAGACTTCGCAACCCAGACATTTGACAGGAGCTAGCGTAGGTAGACGTGGAGTTAATTGGCTGATGGGTGTTTCACAATTCTGCGCATCAGAAACGGTAGAGCAGACTTCAGTTGGATTTTCGGAGTCTTGTTGTAAATCACATGGGTCCCCATTAACTCCATGATCGCTGGCGGCCATTGGGCAGGGTGTTGCGGTTCTCTTCGGACGTTCCCATGGTAGGCGTGATCTTTTCCATGTACAGCTTAAGGCTGTAGCCGCCAAATCCTTAGCGTTCTCTGTGGTCGGGACTCTGGTGTGCCTGGCGGTATTGTTCGAAGAGTCCTTGTCTGGGTTGGTTGATCCGCATAGATAGGTAAGAGAGTCTTCGTATTTTTGGTCCGTCGATTCCTCATCTACGGTCTGGGTGCGAGCGTCTACGTATTTCATTGAGGCGGGTTCGGTCTGGGTGGCTTTTTCATTAATCTGCTGGGACATAGCCTTAACCGTGGAAGATGACTGATCATCCTCACTGTATTCCAAGGGATTCTGCTCAACTTCATTTGTTTGCTGTGTCATAGGTACTAGGCCTGGCGATCGTTAGCACTGAGGGTAAATTGAGCAAGCTTTCCTACCAGCCATGTTCTTCGGGCCTTGGTAGCTTGCCGGTGGCTCTCCGAATCTTGAATTCTTGTATCTGCTAGGTTGTGTCTTACTCATTCTAGGCGGAGGAAGTGTTTGTTTGGGAGATACATCTTGTCTTTGAAGCCATGGAATATTGTTTCGATTTGACGATATGGGACCTTGTCGATTCTGTTGGAAGACAGGGCGTGATATCATCTTCTCGTGGGGTGGAGTGAAGCCAACAGCTGTATAATCCGACGCAGACGATGAGCGAGCACGGTCTTTGGTCGAGACTCCATATGTCTTTTCATGCGGAGGTGTAAAACCGAGTATCGTAGTGCCTGTAGTGCCGGTAGTCCCTGAAACAAAAGAGCCATGGCCATCATTGCCCCCGACTTCGTTTTGTTTTCTATCTGCGATACTCTCTATACATGGAGAGTAGGAATTGCGTTTTGGCGGTAGAGATTTTCTTTGTTGCTCGTGAGAAGTGATAGCGAGGCCAGCGGACTTGAATTGAGTGTGGTAGGGTAGAAATGCCTTGACAGTATTTGCGGATATCGTTGTTGCAGAGGGAGAAAGAACGAGGGATTGTTTTGGCAGGGAGCTGACAGCCTTGTAGTGGAGCTCCAACTGTTTTTGAAATCTTGTAAGCTGCCTAGCTTGTTTCCGATTACGAGATGATACATTCGAAGTGGGAGCGTCTGAGGAAGGTACTGGCGTTGAGATGCTCGCATCATCAGGCGGAAATCTCGTTGAATCTATGGTCTCCCACAGAGTAGCGTCATTGAATCGTGCCTTCGCAGTCTTCTGAGATGACTCTGCAGAGCTTATGGCAGAAGTTTGTGCCTGCGAATTTGGTGCAGATTCCAAAGAAACATATTCATCCGCAGGTGTACAGTCGATGTGCTCGCAAGGGTCGATCCGAGGATCGTACGACCGGCCTAAATCAGCAACCTGCGGACGTTTGTGGGGTTTTTGTTGATGGATTTTGTCAAAGGCTCGAGTGTGCGTCCGATCTGGTGATTGCTGTCTAGGAGATTGTCTGCCGATTGACGGTGTTACTGAACGCCGCTTAGCAATTCTCGTCTTCTCGGCGGCCTTGGAAATCCGGGTAACAGGACCTCGTGAGGCAAAGCGGATATCTTTTCGATTGTGATGTTCTGTTCCAGTCGGTTGAGAGCCGCATGGGATATCTGTATCTCCGAAATCCAGTACAGTGCCGGTACTTTGCGTGGAGTCGAAGGGCGGTCGCTTCGTAAATACGCCAGCTCCATCCGAGGATACAATAACATTGCGATTCTGGTAAGGACTTCTGGTACCATTACGCACTCGTAAATTCTGCTTCCCAACAAACTGTATATTTCGTGACATCCTTCCATAGCCCTTCCTGCGAGATGATGTGGCAATCGAACTCGGAGAGCTCTTACTACGACTACGAGCAATCTGGCGTTGTTTCCTCCTCTCTTGTTGCAAAGCGGCGCTCAAAGGCGTACGTAGGACTTCTTCTGCTGCACTTGGAGTGGTAGTTTGGCTGGCGAAAGATGTGCGTCGTTTGGATGTGGGTTGTATTCGAGGTAAATGACGATGCGGACGCCCCCTCCATCGTATTTTGAAGGATGGCATTACAGATATAGAGTATGAATGCTTTAATTCGAGAGTGATAGAGAGAGAAATCTAGGATGTATGAGTCGCAATACCCAGGTTTTACGACAGACTTCTGACAGACTGTCCCAAGGGGTCGTTCCTTCCCAATGTCGTTGTTCGAGGCTTAGGCTAGTAGCAGAGCCACAGGACTTCCATGGAATGCTTCTCCATCGTCATTTTATATCCTTGATTCCTGGCGAGGAGTACATTTCGACTTGTCTGCGGCCTTTTCGTAATAGGTACTCAATTGCACCAAAATCTTTCTTGTCGAGGCCGATGCTTTTCTTGAATTCATTTCTGTCACATACAGCTTAGCGTTCACACCCGACTCGACCTCCAACAGGAATTGTTTTACGTACCTCGCGTAGGATTCGAAATGTGCCCTTGAGCTCTATGCAAAAAGTTAGGACCGGAATGTACCCTCTCTGGTTCTTAAAGCATTCGGACACTTACTTCTGGTTTTTTCCTGCTGACTCGAAGACATTGTCGATACAATGCAAAGACTTCCTTCTGAAGCCCCGAATAACGCACCATGATTGAGACTTTGTCGTTGTGCAAGCCCAATTGACTGCTGGGTAAAGAGAATGAAGCTTCGTGACGTTGACTTGATTCAAAGCTACCCCTGTTGACTTCGACATTGCCGAGCTTGGAGCAAAAAGTGGGGGTTGGTGGGGTGAGTTGTCGACGAGTTAAACGACAATCCCATTGTCTTTTTGGAAGTTCATCCCAACTTAATACATAGTGGCATTTTAGTAAAATTTAAGCAAATTATTATGCTAAGAGCCATGCCTACCTTTCAAGTAAGTTGTTCAAATGAATTGTGTTCCACGTAACTAACTCTTACAGCGTCTAGTTCGCTTCTTGGCCAAAGATGGGAAAACATACTACGGAGATGCCATCTTACCGCAAGGTGTAACTGACATCTCAAAAGCCAAACAAGCAAAGATAATCCGAGGCGAAATCTTTGGAAAACATGAAGTCACGGATCGCCTGGCCGATATTAGACTTCTACTTGCACCACTGGCTATGGAAGATGTGAAGACTGTCAGGTGCTTGGGTCTCAACTATGAACAACACGCCAAAGAGGTAATACCTATCCAATGACAGTTTGTAAAGTTATTTCTAACAAGCAACAGTCCAACATGGCCATTCCCAAATTCCCAATCCTATTCGTAAGCCGCACCCTATCAAAGGTCTAAAAACACAAACTCACACGCCCAGTACAAACCCATGACATCCCTCACCGGCCCAACAGACCCCATCCCCATCCATCCCATGGCCCAACAAGGCAGTGGCCTTGACTACGAATGCGAACTCGTCGCCATTATCGGCAGTCCCTGTTCCTCCGTCTCGGAATCCACCGCCCTCTCCCATGTCCTAGGCTACGCGGTCGGCAACGATGTATCGCACCGCGACTGGCAAATCAAGCACGGCGGTGGGCAATGGTCCTTAGGCAAAGGCTTTGATGGCTGGGCACCCTACGGCCCTGGTATCGTCAGTGCTGATTTGATCAAGGATCCGCAGAATTTGCGGATCCAGACGAAGGTTAACGGAGAGGTGAGACAGGATAGTAATACGAAAGATATGATCTTTGGAGTTGCGAAGACGATTGCGTTTTTAAGTCAAGGAACGACTTTGTTGCCTGGCGATGTGATCTTTACGGGAACGCCGCAGGGGGTGGGGATGGGGAGGAAGCCGCAACTGTGGTTAAAGGATAAAGATGTGGTTGAGGTGGGTCTAGAAGGCGTGGGGTGGTGTTCTAATAAGGTTGAGTTTGCAGGGAGAACGGATGCAAAGTTGTAGTGTGAATGAACGGGTGATATGTGTTATATATATTTGACTACCTAAGTACATAGCTATATACCATACAACAATGGCTATTACACCAGCAATCATGCTAACGTTCCAATGACCTTTACAAATACTGACGACTAGATTCGCTAACACCAGGCAGGCGTCAATCATTTGCCTGCTAATGCTTTAACCCATTAGCTACCTTTACATAGTGGTATATCGACAGCCACTTATCTATTCAATGCCAGATAGGGAGCTGGACTTTTTACCACTCACTGCAACGCCGTAGCAATACCTAGGTAACACCAGTTATATGACCATCTGATGTAGCAAATATATACGTCTCTTGTAAATCAATCGTATACTGCAATCGCAACGCACATCAGCTCTAAGGCTTTGACAGTATTGAAGCCTGAACTCACATTTCCCTAGGTTTCTTATGAACTAAACATAAAATTCCTTCCTCAAGCGTGAACATAATAAAGACAGCTTTCTGATGTAAACGCATGGCCAGTGAGGGGATAATCCTATATCATACATTGACTTGGGTGTAGTGCTACAGACTTAAGACTTAGAAACACCGCGGAGAATATAGTGAGACGAACAAAAGTAAACCAATTACCACATTACAATAGTCATTGCTGACATAAACGGGCCCTTCAATGAAGTTATGAATGTGAAAAAAGACTATATTGAACTATTTCATTACAGCGACTAGGCAAGTTCAAAAGAATATCTAAGCGAACACCTTGTTGTCTTCTCTCATCCAGATCCACGAGAATCGACAATCGAGAACCACGATAAGGAATTCGATTATGGCGAGTATTTCACTGTACCATTAGCGGAAACTCCCCGGGATGGTCAAGGATCTTGACTTTTTCTCTGTTTGAGGCCGATTGAGCACAAATTGTATGGTCATCCCCGTTAAAGGAAATTCGCCAAATCATAATCGTGGCAGTCAGTTCGCTGGATTGGATAGGCATAAAAGTACGAAATATCCTATTAAACATGGTTTGCGCCTTAATACCAATCATACTCACTAAATGATGGACAAAAAGAGAGCGCGGTTATAGCGAAGGCATGTGCCACCATAATTTATATCAGTTGCTTTTTAGTCAACCGCTGTACACTGGCATGGATTTGTGAAACATTGATCGATGAGGCAGGCAACTTTGATGAACCAGTTGTAGCTCCGATTCAGGCATTGATAGTGGGAAATACGCAGCAAGTAGCAATCTCGAACACGTATCGGTGTTGATATCTAAAAAGCTTAATGAAAATATCTTATCAGTCGAATTCCAAACACACAATCAAATGTTGCATGCTCACTCATCTTTCAAATCCATAAGCTACCCTTGCACTTTACATCATTCTAACTTGGTCGTGAAATGGGAACACAATAGCCACACCAAAAAAATCCTACATTCTGGTATCCAACTCCTTCACAAACTCCGCAAATTGTCAATATCGCCTTTATCCCTTTGAACCAAGTACACCATATTCTCACCCCAGCTCATTCACATGAACATTTTCGCCATCTTCATGGCGCTTCCAATGCCGCCCATAGCTCCAACAACGTTGCTGACACCTCCCATGCTCTCCATAGCACCACCCATAGCACCAAGAGGACCACTCCCTTCGACATGAGTCCTTTCGAATTGCATCCCACCATGACGATCATGCCCGACCCCTCCACCGCCTCTAGCTCCACCCATCATCTTCTCTAAACCGTGTGGTAGCCTGATTCCAAATTTATGAAGAAGCCCTGTCAAAGCTCCACCAGTTATAAGAGGCATTATGACCAGCATGAAAACCTTCATGGGGTTTTTCTTCATGTAGTATATCAGGTCCCGCAGTAGCCTTCGAAGCTTGGAGTATGCGCGCTTCATGAATCCGCCTCGAGGGCTACGTTTGTAATATGAGGAGGATCTTCCACCGCCACCAAAGCCTAAGATTATTAGTACATGAAGTAATAAAGTTGGTCATGTGGCCTACCTCCAAAGAAACTCGACCGTGAAGAATTGTGCTTATGGTCTCCACTTCCGAAGATACTCGAACTCGACCGATTGCGTTTCGAATCTCCTCCAAAAAAGCTCGCTTTGGAGGAATTGTGTTTGTGATGATCCCCGCCGCCAAAGATAGAGCCGGAAGAGCGATGGTGGCTGCTGCTCCTATGGTGTTTGTCGTGTGAATGCGATCGATGGTGTTTATGAGAGGAGGAAGAGGCACCAGGAGCCCAATCGGCCAAAGACGAACCGCCGTCAAACCAGCCCATGATTATTCAGTTCAATTGATATATTTTACAAGTCTGAATTGAGGAGTAGTCTTGCAATGATATTGAATCCGAAAAGAGCGGGTATAGCTCAGTCTAGATTCAGGGTCCAGCCTATTGGTTCGAAGGGTCTGCAAGTAATTGAAGCTGTGGAGTATTGGGCTGAAATCGCAAAGTTAGTTCTTAAGTGAAACGATAATAATCCTCTTAGTGGATCTAGCAGACGTGGAACAATGATGTTGTCGGAGAAAAAGAATCGAGTTTGGTGGTATGGATAAGCTTGTTGAAGCTCTCACCGCTGTAATTCGCGGGGCTGGGGAGAGAACATTATTTGATAGAGGTCCGCGAGTCGATTAAGTATGCCTTAGGTGTGAAGTCTGAGTCGTCAGCTGCAGCCTCAGGCCGAAAGGGATGTCAGATCGCGAAGCTCAAGCCACAGTGGCGTGAACTATCAGCTGCGTCATCCACCGAGGGGTGTTTTAGACCAAGTTGTTCAACCCGCAACTTCTCAGGAACGATTGCGCTGTTCATTATCTGTCTTCTTTTCGAGTACCGCAAAGCCGTTACTATTTTTCCAGATATTTCAGCAAAAATACCGAGCTAAAATTATTGCAATCCACCACCATGGCGCCAGGCACGGATTATTGTGAGCAGCAGCCTTCTCTTCTTGTATCAGCTACTTACCATATGCCTAGATGCCGCTCTCCAAATACCGCCTACTGCATCGCAGCAGCAGATTCGAGATGCGTATAAAAAGTAAACAAATTCGCTCTTATCGCTGGATCATTGAAGCTAATTCCACAATAGAGCTGCGCTCCGAACCCACCCTGATCGCGTCCCGTCAGACTCACCAGAACGCCCTGAACGCACCCGTAAATTCCAACTCATAAACGACGCATACTACACTCTTTCAGACCCATCAAGACGCAGAGATTATGATGCCGCACGCAGAACGCATGGTTTTGGCTCAGGCGCCTCGACAGCGTCTACCGCATTCGATTCAGACGAGGATATCCCAGATCCAGGAGCTTCTGTCCCAGGCGGATTCCCATGGTCCTCATTCGGCTTTTCGTCAAAAGCAAAGAGTAAGGAGGAGGAGCAGAAATTTGAGAGCGAACAATTTGGAGATGTTTTCGAGGAGATGCTGAGGGAGGAAGGTATGGCCGAGAATGGTGGAACTCCAACTGGACTGTTCTGGAGTATGGTCGGTGGACTGAGCGGTGGTGCTATGGGATTTATCGTCGCCAATTTCCCGGGTATGTTGGCTGGTGCTGTAGCAGGTAACCGGTTGGGTGCTGTGAGGGATGCGAAGGGAAAGAGTGTTTACTCAGTCTTCCAAGAACTTCCACAGTCGGATAAGGCAAGATTGTTGAGTCAACTTGCCCAGAAAGTTTTCAGCCATGCCGTTGGTAGTTAGAAAGGTTGTGTGTTTGGGTTGCGCTGTTTCTGAGGGTTTTGGCGTTTAGCGGACTGGATTTGGGCGGGATTAGGAAAGACCATAGTGGCTTTGGTTTTCTTCAGCAAATAAGGATTTCTTAGCAGAACTAGTTCTAGATAGATACCATATTAAGACTATATTAGCGAGAGGAGATGAACCATCATCTAGACCTGAATTGTGACCTTGAGGGTGTTCGTAACAATGTTCCACGGATAGGCAGAGAGAAGCTATTGTTTGGGAAAAGTCAAGGATGCGAGCTAAGTATAGAGACTTCTTCTCTCGTTAGCTTATTAGCAGAAACTGACCAATTACGTGAGTTTCGTCTCCACATCCACAGTGTACCGATTTAGCACTTGGTGTTCAGTTCTCCATCTCCAGCTCTCACTTCCTCATTCACAAGCGAGAAGTGTTAAGGGGGGCCGCCAAGTCCTAAGCGAGTCAACCTCCCTGGGCAGCAACACAAAGTCCTTCCTCCCTATGTACTTTCTTCACAACCTTTCTCCTCAGATAACAGTCCCAGAAATATACTATGTTTTTGGAGCGTAAATCAACATAACACCAAGCCTATCATCATCAGACAAACAACCCCATCAACAGCTGCCTTTCCCATCAACTCACGCCCCCCAAAGCCCTGCTGCATACGCCTTCCCCTTTTCATTCATTCGTCTCGTACTACTCGGAAGAGTTGAAAAGATGCCTCGTGTAGATGCTATAGAAGAAGTATGTACTAAAAGAGCATAGGCTAGTTCTTAGACTGGTACATTCACAATCCGTTTTCTGGCAGGAGAAGCAGAGAGTCGAGGGTAGATCTCCCATCTCCTCGGATATATATCTTCAGCTATAAAAGCTGAAGATGTGATACTTCTAAATGAAATATCAGCTTCAACATTTGCAACACCTCTTTTGTACGTGAACATGCTGCTGAAATAATAGATACGATGTAATCATGCCATACTTCACTAAGCGGGAGCTATCCAATTAAGTTTTTCACACATCACCAGCGTCAGCCATCAAAATCAAGTCACAAGTCACAATCACAATCACAAATCACCACAATAACCACGTTCAACAATAAGATGCTCATTAAAAACGCAATAGTCTATGTATCTTGAAGAAAAGAAGAAGAAGAAACAAACTCGCTATCGACCCTTCCCTTTTTTGCGTCCACTGCTAGCGACAGGTTTCCGACTGAGCGCTCGTTCCCTTTCGCGCTCTCGCTCGGTCTCTCGCTCGTCAACAAACACTTGAACGCCATTCCCAAGATCATCACTCTCATCGGTTGAACTGTCTGCGATTTCGTCTGCATAGGAGCTTCGATGTCTAAGAGCGGGATCAGAGGCTGGTGCTCTACCTGTAGCAGGATAAGCACCGAGTCCTGGAGGACTCCGTCGGATTGACGAGTATTGAATATCAGAGGGATTCGAGACGTTGCGACGGCCGGGTAAGTATTGTTCCGGGATAGCTGGTGGACGGCCAGAAGAGGTCTGATATTCAAAGGGGTCCACGGCAAAGTTTTGCGAGGACACTGAACTGCGTCGCGAGCTACCGGGTATCCATTCGGCCTCATCTGGTAAGGGGCGGCGGGAGCTGGTGCTCGAAGAAGATGTCGGCCGCATACCATCAGATAGATTTCGGTGAGAACCTGTCGCATAGAATGATGGAGAATGACTTAGAATTTGTTGAGAAGAGGCAGACCTTGGACGGGTAGGAGAATTGCGATTGGAGCCGCTAGAAACAGAGTAGCCGATTGGAGCGTACATCAATCCATCTGGGCCAGGTATTAACATTCCAGGAGGTCCTGGAGGGTTTGAGGGACCAACAGCTTGTTGCAAATCTCCCGAACGTTTATGTTTAGCACTCTTTTTGCGGCTGCTTGGTTCCAAGGACGCAATCGGAACGGTCACCAGGTTCTTCTCGCTTCGCCGTTTCTTTTCGCTGCCACTGCCACTACCTTTCTTCTCTTTTCTCGCGGCCGCCTCTAATCGCTTCCTCCTTCTTTCCAACGCATCCAATTCATCCTGATTAAGTTTTACTTCTGTTTTTCCCTTTTCTCGAGCACGACGGATTCGGGCGAGCGCAGACTGTACAAGCGCTTCTTCCTTATCGCGCAACTGAATCTGTAAAGCACTACTTCCTTCGTCTGAATCGAATGACTCGGATGAAGAATCATCACCCTCAAAACCATAACTCCTTCTAGACCTGGCCGAAGGTCCCATATCTATACCCGTAAATTTCAAAGGATCGCTAGCAAAACGCCTCTGGCCATTATCCCCAAGCCCAACGCCTTGTGTATCAGTATCATCGCTATCGAGTTCTTCCACTCGAATATTAGCCTCCCACAACGCTCGCTCACGCTCCCACTGCATGCGCCTTTTACTCCCCTTCGCCCCTGGTGGTCTTCCCCATGAGGGCACAGATTTGGGAGATCGCGGCCGACTACCTAGACCGCCTCCCCGGAAAAAGCCTCATCGATGGGTTTGTCCATGAATGAAGCGTGTCCTAAAATAGTGACGCCACTTGCGCCAATGAGCCATAAGAGTGTTCCAATTGGTGATGCGTAGAGACCGAGGGGAACCGAGACGACAAGCAGTGCCGTGTAGAGCTGAGAAGATGTGGCGCGGAAGGTACCCACGACCAAGTCCTCACCCCCAAGTTTGCCAATACCCCACATACCACCAACGACCAGAATGATATCGAAGAGCAGGGTCCAATTGGTAAGAAGACTGTAGATGCTGAGCATCACAAAGACAGCGGCATAGTTGCTAGAGAAATAGCCCAGGTTGTAGTTGATTCGTGACTGAACCTCGCCAAAGTTGGCAGGCTTGGAGAGTCTCTTTAAGTCGAGGAATTCCGAAATAGGCTTCAAATTGGCAAATCTCGCCGTGATTGACTGGGAGCGGACGCCCGCAAATCTGTCGGAGAGATTGAGTCGGGACGTGATCACGTCGATGGGGATCTGAATTCGTGCCATCGTGTTGAGGTGAGGTAAGTACTGCTGGTGCTTGACCTAGGAGTGGTTGGATGTAGGTTGCGGTGCGTTCTGAAGAGTGCGTTTGTAGACTGAGTCTTTGTTGCAGAACAGGTGGTTGGACACGAGACACTTTTTATTCGAGATCTGTTCAGAGAGAGTAGTCAGCAACACGAATTACTCGTAACCCCTGTCGCAGGCAGCAGATTGTGCACAGGCAGCCTACCTAGAAACAACTGTGCTGGTAAAGGACGCGTAGTGGGTTGAAGGACGGAATCTAACGTACGTGTATCAAAAAATGAGGGTATCGCGGGTGGTGGTGGTGTTGTCGTTTGTATCGATAAAATTGTTTGGATCTGTCCCTCAGGGGAAGGGCGATCAGAACCCCAGTCGCAGGCCCAAAAAGTGGACCCTAGATTGGCGGTATTCCTGCCTCGCAGCCTGAATCACGTCAAGGCTCCTCCATCAGCTGGCCGCAGCTGGAATCACTCCTTCGCTACTCCCTCGAAAGCGAGAGGAGGGTATTCAGAATAGAAGCAAGAGGAGAAGCAGAGAAAAGAGCAGACGAAGGAACAGCACAATTATAACCGGTCAACCGGACTACTCATGCAAAGTCTCTCGGGCCCCGAAGAGGTAGAAGAGGGTCTCTGCAGCTTCTGAGCCAAAGGAAGCGCAGAAGTGAGAAATGCTGATGCAAGAGTTGCGAGCAGCAAGGCAGGAGCAGTGGGGCCTGAGGCGGAACGCGGGCAGCCACCCTCCCACCACAGCAGACAGCAGTAAGCAGTTCCCCCATCAGCCACTAGCGAACTCCCGAACCGAAGGCCAAACATCCCCTGTCGCATTTTCTAAAGTCTTCGCTGGCATCAAAAGTCCCCTTCTTCCCTCTCCAGAAGCCACATCAGCGGTGAAGCTTCCCCTCGCAGACTCGACACAACCAATCCGATCATGAGGCGAACATTCCTGAAGCTGGCTTTGATTGCCTGCTTCATTGCCCTAGTTGCAGCGTCGTGGACCAAGGAAGGTATGTCAACCCAGAGCTTCATGTCCCATGGATAGCGGCCCAATTGCCTCATCTTCTCCACCGTGGTGCGTGTTGGTGCTGACAACCATTCGATTACAGATCAGGAAATCTTCCGGTTGCGTGACGAGGTCGAACTCCACGAGGGCGTGGGCGTTACTTTCTATGAGTTTTTAGGAATTAAACCAAATGCGAACCAAGACGACATTGCCAAGGCTTTCAAGAAGAAGTCCCGCACTCTCCACCCAGACAAGGTCAAGCAGAAGCTCGTTTCCGATAAATCCACCGACAAGAATGGCGTCAAGGTCAAGAGGGCTCCCTCGCAGTCTGAGATCAGAGCTGCACAAAAAGCTGCCAGCGATCGCTTTGCGCGTCTAGGTGTTGTCAAGGAGATTCTCAAGGGGTCTGGTAGAGCTCGTTACGATCACTTTCTTAGTAACGGCTTCCCTAAATGGAGAAGCACTGGATATTACTATGCCAGATATAGGCCAGGGCTCGGCTCCGTGCTGGTAGGCCTCTTCATCTTCGTTGGAGGTGGTGGACACTGGCTTGCACTTTTCATGAGTTGGAAGAGACAACAAGAATTCGTTGGGCGATATATCAAGTTCGCCAGACATGCTGCGTGGGGAGATAGTTTGAACGTCCCTGGCTTGGATGCCGCTTCTACTCCCAATGCGACTGGGGATGAGTCGGACCCGATGGCTCAACAAATGAACCGAAGACAGAGAAGAATGCAAGAGAAGGACACGAAGAAGGACAAGGCAGAGAAGAAGCTTAAGAAGGCTGCCAAGGCATCACCTGCTGGTACTCCTCCGGTTGGCTCAACTGGCGCGAGAAAGCGTGTTGTTGCTGAGAATGGTAAAGTTCTTGTTGTGGACTCTGTTGGAAATGTCTTCCTGGAGCAAGCCGACGAGGACGGTCAAACTCACGAGTTCTTGCTTGACGTAAGTTTACCATTTCCCTGAGCAGAAACGAAGCTAACAATTGCTAGCCTGAGGAACTTGCACGTCCAACTATCCGAGACACAGCACTCGTCCGTCTCCCAATCTGGGCTTTCAATCGTACTGCTGGTCGTTTGTTGAACAAGGCTCCTGTGGAAGAAGACTTTGATGATGACGAGGGACAAGCAACTCCACCATCTAGTAGCTCCGGGGCTGAAGACTTTGAATTGATGGAGAAGGTTAAAACTACCGCACAAAACGGAACAGGAAAGGTTGTGAAGAGAAAGAAGTCGACTCGCGGTGGAAAATAGAGGACATATCAGACCATTTAGATGTAAGATATGGGGATCATGTAGACAAAAGTTACTTATATCTGGCAACTTGATTTGGTTTTCGTTGAAACGTGATCTTTACTCAGTCAAGCTTAAAGAATTTAGACAGACGTCATTGAGGTAGCTAGGTACTTCGTCGAACACAAAAAAGTCCTAAAATGGCAAATGACAGGGTGTGCCTACAGTAGTCAAAAGTGCAGTCGTGACTAAGTAGACACCCATAATTGATACATGACCCCATTTCCAACTTCTTCCTCACCTCCTCTGGACCACAAACCCTAGGAGAATGAGTTTTGGCCAACCGCAATCTGCACATATCGATGGCTAGGTGACGCTACTGGGGCAAGAGTGAGCTCTAATGCCACTGCATGCAAATCATATCGCTCAACTCCAGCCAAGAAGAGCTAAGGAGACTCACGACTCCAGTCTCCTCTATTCGAGTTGTCTGGACTCATCTAGAGCCACCGACTTACATAGAGCTTCCGACGGACATAAGCAATGGATATCCCTCCAGCATGTCCAGTCTGCAACAATCTTGCGAAAATTGATGGGCCGCAATCGTATGGACCTATCGAGCCGAGCGCGCTCAAGGAGAGGGCTTTAAGCGGGAAATGTGTTTTCTGTCCCTTGCTCTTGGAAGCTGTGCAAGCTATTGAAGATGTGGCTGAAGAGACTGTGATGGTTATTGATCTGGCTAATAGGCTTGGGGTGTCTGCTTCGGATGGAACTTTGTTTCTTAAGGTGAGATATGGAAGTGGGAAGAGAGAGGTCTTTGAGCTTTATAGTATTGAAGGTTGTTGGTTTTTTATCTGTTTTTATATCGCTGTTTGAACATTGGGATTTAATTTTGTCTAAGCATTGTATTATCGCGTAATACATGCTTATATGTTCTAATGATTGAATAGATTACTCTCAACTCTCTTTCATGAAACCTTTTCAGAAAATCAAACATCTAAGAGATATACCTGGAGACACATCATCCATAGCATCTCTGAGCTGGGTGAAAGAGAGAATCAGCGAATGCAATATATCACACGCAGAGTGCTTTTATGACACCCAAAGTATATTGCCCAAAAGGGTGCTTGACCTAGGTGACCCTGTCCTCTCAGATTCAGAACGTCTTGGGAAAGGTGTCAAGCTTGTTGAGACGAATGGGGCCAGAGCCGCATACTTCTGTCTCAGTCACTGCTGGGGTGCTTCGCTTCCATTGAGCACAACACAGTCCTCACTAGACAGTCACCTCAAGAATATTGCCTGGTCAACTCTTCCCAGGACATATCAAGATGCTATCACGTTTACCAGAAACATGGGCGTCCGATACCTCTGGATCGATTCCGTCTGCATAATCCAAGACTCCCCCTCCGACTGGCGCACGCAGTCCTCCCTCATGGGCTTAATCTACAAATCTTCATCCCTCGTCCTCGCAGCCGCAATGTCGACATCCGCCCACCACGGCTGCTTCTCCCAATCTCCATCCTACAAATGGTCCGCCGACCTCCCTCTTGCCATCCAAAACCAGCCCATCACATTCCGCATTCGCCGCCAGGTCCCCCACGAATCATACATGTCCTACCACACCTCCACAACCCAAGCGCCCCTCTTCCACCGCGCCTGGATCTTCCAAGAACGCATTCTCGCGCCCCGCGTTCTCTTCTTCATGACCGGCGAACTGATATTCAAATGCTGCCACCACACGCTCTGCGAATGCGCCAGCGAATGGCTCGTCCATGACCGCAACTGGCTCTACGACGCCGCGCTTCAGGACCCGGCGGAATGGTCTAAACACTGGCACGATTGGGTGCATCTCTATTCCCGTCTGGCCTTGACCTATGAATCTGATAAACTGCCTGCGATTTCTGGGCTGGCGAATGAAGTGTGTAAACTCACGAAAGGGGGGTTGGGAACGTATCTTGCAGGCCTGTGGAGGGAGACCCTGGCGGTGGATTTGCTGTGGTATGTCCAAGATCATTCGCGTCTTCCGCCGCCAGCGCAAAAACGCATTCCGTCGTGGTCGTGGATGGCGGTGAACAGTCAAGTGTCATTCAAAAAATCGAATCCCCTTGTCAAACAAACCGCTATCACAATAGATGCGCAAACAACCCACGCAACAGACGACCCATTCGGTCAAATTTCCTCTGCCTCCCTCACGCTCTCCGGCTTTCTAAGCCCCGTATCGTTGCGCTACTTTAATGAAGGCGCAACTCCTGACACGGACGAGGTGGATTGGCGTATCTATCATAATTTCGCGGTTGGAGACGCGGAAACGGGCTTTATGGGCGTGGCGATGGATATGTCTTGGGACGTGAAGGAGGGGTGGAGGAGTGTTGGCGAGGATCTTTGGGAGTTCGGCCAGGAGGTGTATGCGTTCGAGGTGGGGGAGAGTCCGATTACGTGTTTTGAATTGATTTTGAGGGGGGTGAGGGGGAGGGAGGGAGTGTTTGAGAGGATTGGGTTGCTTGCGAAACAGGTTGGTGGGGTAAGGGAGGGGAGGCAGAGGAGGGAGATTTTTATCGTCTAGGGGGGATAGATGGGATGTCCTAGAACTAAGTGAGTTACAGGTCTTGTGTCTGGTCCACTCGTAGCTTATCGACTTATTCAGGTTAACGCAAGGCAAAATTTCCCTCAGATTACTACCGAAGAACACTAAAGACAAACAGGACTTTAGGAATAGAAGCCTTTCCTTTGTTCAAAGCTATACACCAGATTCGCCGAGATTGAATTCGAACAACACCTTGAGCCTGTAATCTCTTCAGACTTCTCTATCAAAAGAGCCAAGATTACAAGGCTTAGCTGCTTACTAGCCAGATATATTCTCTGCCACATTGTCTGCTATGTTGATGACAATCATTTTCAATTATCGTTAACTCTAAATTAGGTGAAGTCTTACAAATCTAATATCATCGGTCATATACATGTTCTCATTCTCACTTGTTTTTCAATGATACGCAACACTTCTAGGTTATCAAATCTTTTCAATTAAATACAGCAAGAGAACTGCCCACTTACCAGGAGTCACCCCCTTTGAGTCCGACTTCCTTCAGTTCTCCCCTCTCATAATCCGAATCCACTTCGGTTCCCGCCATTGTTGTGGATTCTGACCAGGCCATTGATACACGAGTCTACTGAACTTTCTACGACACACAGGACAAGTTTCATGATCGGCAAGCCATACTTCCAGACACGCACTCCCAAAAACATGGCCACATGGCAGTCGGGAAGGGCTTTCTATCTGCTCGGTCTCATCGGCATCACGCTCACCAATATGAACGTGACATATCAGACACTGGTGCGTCTTAGTCATTCCCTCCGAAGGAACTGGAGTCATGATTTGCGTCCTGCCAGCATCTGGAGCTGATATAGCAAGCGATTCACGAATCCGTGGAATCTCATCGATGTCCGTAACAAACTCCCCGTCTTGCAGTTCAATAAGATTATAATCAATCTCCTCACCAACCCGTGCCAGAAGTTTCTTCAGCACCTCCGTACAACAATGCACAGGCTGCGGCTTCACCACATGTGCGAGTCTTTCGAGCCAGTACACCCGTCTTCGGGCCGCGGGTGACCAATCATCCATCTTACTTCGCAGCGTGATCTCTATATCTCTGTACGTGCTTCGCAGATACTCGAGCGTAGGCGCTGCCACCCGATCTGGCATAGCGCGAGAGTTCCTGACCTCCATCATAGCTGTGTGCATAGTTCTCTTGATCGCGTCTGTGATGATAGATGCAGCTAGGATCTCGATGGAGGAGAGCTCGATATCTTGGGCCAGCTCGTAGGGCCAGAGGTAGGTTACGGGATTCAGAGTACATGGTTTGCAGATCGTGCCCGGGCTTATGGGGGTTGGGGGGTGGGTTGTTGAGTTTGTTAATGCTACGAGTCGGGTTGCTGAGCTGTGGGTCGCGAAGAAGTGGTCGCGGGAGATGAACATCTGGTGGCCGCAGGTGTGGTTGAGGACGTAGAGGCGAGACATTCTTGGGTTTTTGATGGGTTTGTTGGTGGTTCAAGGTAAGTCAAGGGAGTAGAGAATTTGGTGATATATCAAATGGCGAGTTGTTGTTCTGTGGTCTATAGCTTGTTTTTCTGTCATTATTTTAAAACGGCTTATTTTCTTATTCTGAATCAAAACAGTTATGTAGAGGTGACTTTTAGGTGAGCGAGGTGATTATGTGAGAAACAAAGGATAAATTGTGAAGTAAGAGTGATTTATCACACTAAAGGCCAGTACTAAGCCTGACAAATCTTAGTAGGTACGAAGGTATACTATACCAAATAGGTAAGACTGGCCTCTTGCTTCCTACACATATCTATTACCTCTAGTGCTTTATCTGGACCTTTTCACTCAGGTCACTAATTGTAGTGCAAATAACTGGCTTATATCTGTACATTCGTAAAAGTCCTCGGTTAGCCAAATAGTCCAAAAAAAAGCACCCGAATCAAGCGTGGCCAGGTTGATTACTTTCCTCGTGGTAATTGACCGCTAAAAGGCTCGACTTAAACTTTTTGTAGTCTGAGCGGAAAGATACGCCTGGAAGGTGGAAAGCGCTATGTTCTATTCTATACGTCATCTTTAGACCTCTATAGGATCCTACCTAATTACCTTGCAATAGCTCATGTAAAGTTAGTCAAAGAGCAAAAAGCTCCCCCCATAGCCAATAACCTTATGTACCCAGTCACCTTACACTTTTGGCAAGTGTCCAAATAGTATGTTTTATTTGGGGCTTTTACTAGGCCTGAAACCCACCCCGAAGTACACGTTTTCTTGGGTACTTCAGCTGTTGGAAGGGAGAGAAAGGTGCCGCTTAACCAAAGTCCCATCAAGTCAAGAGACCAGCCATTCATCATTGGTGATATTGAATTTAGTCTGTAATTTATTCCAGTACTGCCCATTGCCTGCCTTCCTTTCTTAAACACGTCAAACAATCAGGTTTCCACTCTAAGCTCCTTTACCAGAAATACTGTTCGACTGAATGCCCCCCAACAAGTAGGACAAAGTTCCTTGTTGCGACCCCGACTCTCATCCTCAATCTGCTTCTAATGTCGTCCTCCCACAAACCAAAACTCAGGGGCTTCTCCTCTCAGATATCTTATCCAATTAGCCTGTGCTGCCAAATTACCTAAAAGCCCATTGTCCTTTGGACTATAGTGTTTATTGTAGTATACTACTATACTTATATGATAGATCAGGGTTTCCAAAGAACGATGCTGTAAAGCTCGATTATGAGGTGGAACAAGTGATTATTTAAAAACACAAAGATACTATATGAAGACTGACTTTTCGCTTGCCTCGAATATTCTAGGTGCACACCCTACCACAAGATCATCAAGATCATGCTATCATATACACTCTTTAACTGAATCACATTTGAACTAATCATTATACAAGCTTTACGTCAATAAATGCCTGTACGCCGTCTTCCAGCCCTCTGATCGTATCAGAAAAGGAGGCTTCGCACAAAGTTAAGTTCATCACTTCCAGTACTACAGAGGAAAAGATTTTGCGAATGACTGATGTTGGGTATAACCGTATATCAGTACTGAGTGATTTTGAGAAGTCTTTTCTCCCAAGTTGTGTCAACTCTGATATCTGGTAATTGCTCCCTGCGTTTGTATCTGTGCTTCTCCTTCTCACGATTAGCACTCAATCATGTTCTCTTACAGGTCTTCAACCTGAATGAGGTAGCTGCAATCCCACAATCAGCGTTTGTAAGAAGAAACTCATAGACTGAACAACATTTGGCATAGATATCAATATATTTGTTCCAAAGATATGTACACGACTTCAATACACCGACCAAGACAATCTACGAAGATACCTCGTAAATATTGTATTGCTCCCTCATGATCCTCATCCACGCTGGTTCTACCCAATGGAAGTCTTCATGTTCACCCACGACACGCTCAACAAACTCAACAGGATCAGAGTGTTTCACACGTTCAAGGGTTTCGAGGGCTTTCAAATGCTGAATATCGTCCATGCTTCCAATAGGCTCTCTTGCCCAGGTGATCGCTCTTTCAACTTCTGCACGACATGTAGGACAAGTGCTCTGCTCAGTCGTGAGCCAGAGACGAACACATTGATCTCCAAAACTGTGACAACAAGGTTCGAGCGTACAGAGCTTCTCGATCACTGCTATTTCCCCCGCTCCTAGGTGCTCGTCGCGTTCGCCAATTGGAATCAGGCAGATTTCGCAGATCCGTGCTACAGGTTTACTCTCCGAGATGGGCTGGATAGAGGAATCGGCGTTCGCGATCTCGGCTTTGTCCTTTACTTGAGAGTTCAGAAAGCGTTGATGTGTACTCGCAATGAGATTGCCACATAGGACCTGTCCAATAAAAGACAAAACATTCCTCTCCATTGCCTGTTGTTCAACACTTGTCTTCCCCGACAGGAGGTCCGCAATTCTCGTCTCTTTTCCTTCCGCGCCGTGATAGCTGAGCCTCTTTCTCCTCATCTCAGTCTCGATCATTACGTATGCGCATTGTAGATAATAGAGGCTCGGCGACGAGAGGATAGGTATTTCGGTAAGAAATCCGGAGCGTGAGGCTTTCTCCATCGCTGCTTGTATGGTAGGGAGGGTAATTGATAGCGGTTTTCGGATCATGAGTTCGTGTACATAAGGGGTTAGTTCCTCTTGTTCTTCCGTAAGGTATGTGCGCTCATTTGCGACGCACTGGGAGCACAGAGTAGAGATCGGTATTGTAGGTGGTGGATCTGGGGGAGTGATTTGTCCGCAGTGTCTCGTGGTGGTAGATTTGCATCCACAAGAATGCTTGATGATGTATTCGCAATACATGTTACGCGTGTTTGTCGGTTTCTGGTTAAGGAGCGAAGCTAAGAGGCAAGAAAGAGCTGAATGCAGCTTTTCAGCAATGGTGGCGGTGATATTATAGATTAACGTTGAGGGATCGGTGATGTTCTTAATCAGAAATGGTCTGACGTTAGTGAATGGTACATGAATGATCAGTCAACACTGTTTCCAGAACAACAGTGGGAAAATTTCTTTGAGCACGAAAATTTGGTGGCAGTTCTCGACTGCGCAGGTTCACCTTCCGAGAAACCCTTTGAAGACTATCTCTCGTACAGAGCATCTGGTCTGGTCATGATTTCTATCTACAGGCTTTCGCTATATTATCGATTGAACCATAAGGTGTTTGAGCTCATCGTCCTTTGACATCTACTCCTCGTAGTCTATCTCTTCTTCCTCATCTTGATCCTCTTGGTCCTCCTGCTGCACTTGATTGTTCAATCTACGCTGTAAAGCCGCGTAAAGCAAGCCTACATCGTAGCTTATTTCCCTGGGTTCCGACATGCGATATTCTACCTCTTCGTTGCCACTTCTTATATTCTGGATTGTTGGGTTGGACCGATTTGCATACGTGAGCCCCCCGTACTGTCCACAACCCACGCTTGTTTGTCCCCAAATCGTCAAGCACGACTTGTCTTCACTCACTTTGAAGCTAGGACAGTCTACGTAAATTCGTTTCTCATCGGTAAGATCGCCAGTTTTCCTGTTCCATAGCAGCTCTACAGGGCTGCACTCAACTTCATGCCAATGTCTAACGGCATCATACAGAAATCCCATCCGCAAACCATCGGGACGAAGAATGACGCTCCGAAATTCCAAAGTGTCGCCTGAGCGCCGGCAAACCTGTTGAATAAGCTCCAGAGCTTCGATAGGTGGTTGGCAAACTAGAAGTTGTCGCCACTGCTGCCACGACGGTAACTTATCGCTCCGTTCTCGAATCTGCGGTTGCTGGATCGTTGACGTACTTTGCGAATGTGCTTTTGGTGGGTCATGAATATTCGATGCACCAACAGATATTTCATTCCACTCCTCGGGATATGGAGTTTCTACCTTAGCGCTTTTGTGAAACACTGCGTTATCTTTTCCTTTGATCGGCCAAAATGTGGAGAACTTATCCGTCAATATATCTGATTGTGTTTGGACATAGGAAGCTGATCCTTCAGGTCTGGGACGCAAAAACAACGCAGCTTGGATCTCGATATGTCCGAAGAGGCCTGCCCATGTTCTATTGACACTTTTGGCCTTGAGCAGAGAGGAGTGCGGAAGCTGGGAGAGAATAATGACGATGAGTTCTGGAGTAGATAATACCGTTCTTTGAGCGACTGAACTATTTGCTATAGTGAAAGTTGTTATGGTTTTGGGAGTCACAGGATCTGTTGGGATCTTTTGTTGGCGTGTTCGGCGTCTTCCATAGTTGTAGTAAAGTGCCAGGAGATTGCTGCTCCCAGGGAGCTGTCTCCGAGGAGCGACCCCGCCTGTTGATTTACGAGCAGTTTGTTTTGTCCGAGCCATTTTGTATGAGAGCATTCGTTGCAGTTCAGGTATGGAGATACACTGGTTGTAAGATGTAATGAAGTTGGATATCTAGCAAATTAGTCTGCCTAGATTTAGAGAAGCTGCGCCGTTCGCTTAGTTCACAATATACGTGCAACATCTGACCAACATGTATGATTAGTCATCGGGCGAAGACCGTACAAAAATCCAATCAGCCTTGTTGAGGATTAGCCTGTCGCCTAATTCGAAAGGGGGTTGCTTCGCTTAACTGCCTCACGTGACAGCTCCAGAGACTTCCAAGTTGACATTTCATCACGCTTCACTATCTACTCAGGCTCGGCACAGTTTGCTTATAAACGTAGTAGCCGTACACCCGACCAAGATGACGTATACTAATATACTATACTAGGTTGGAAAAAGCTTTATGCAGTCTCATCATCGTGGAATTAATATTTAAAGAACACACAAACAACATTTATCAAATCAAGACTATATTGTATCTACCTATATCTATTGTAACATGCCGCATAATACTAGCCAAATTCAAAAGAAGAAACTCGCTTCCTATCAGTGCATCCAGCCGAACGGAGATGGCGGGTTCCTTACTGCTGGAATCACTCCTCTAACAACCAAAACCCAATCATACTCCTCTCCCTCGGCGAGCACATCAGAGTCCTGAATAATTTCCTCTTTTGGGTACGAATAAGCGTCTCTCTCAAAGACAGTTCGACACAAAGGACAGCTACTCTGATCTCGAAGCCAAGTACCTATACACTTATCACCAAATATGTGTGAACAAGGTAGCTGGCAGGGCTTTTCTCCACTTTCTTCATCCATTGGAGATTGGCATATATGACACTCTTCTTCGATGGAAGCGCTCGAGGGGGTTGTCAAGAGTGGTGGAATAGATAGGCAACTAGAAGTGGACTCTTTGGGAAGCGAATTCAAGTAGTCTTCGTGAGCATTCTTTAAAGCGTTGACTTGTATCTTCCAAGCCAGATGCTTCAGCAGAGACCTCTCCATGAACTCCTTCCACTCCATCTCCCACTTGTTTTGCCTATCAACGTCTTCAGGGCGTCCCTTTATATTAGATTTTACGAACTGCATCCTCTTCTTCTCGAAACTAGGCATATCATGTCGTTTCCAACGCATCTGCATTTCCAGGTGTCGATAGACGTCTTTGATATATGAAAGGGAAGTCTTAGATAATCTGGTGTTTTCGCCAAAGGGGTACAACTCCAAGGCCTCGAACATCAAGGGGATACGATTGAAGAGTTCGGAGGGAACGAATGGTTGAGCGTGGTCGGGTATGGGAGGACTGGTAGGGAGATAGGTTGATTCTTTTCCAATACACCCTCGACAGAGAGTTCCTACATAAAGATCCACAGCGCCGGGCATATCGGGGCTTATACTCCAGTCGCAAGTGCCATCTCGTTGTACGGTGTAATCCTCTGTGTGGGAGCAGGTGAATCTTACGAGGTATGATTGCGACATTTCGGATATTTGGTTTGAGTCTTATGAAACTCTCGAGCTTGATGGCATGTTGACAGACTGGGGTGATAATTGAGCTTATGTAGGCAAGGAAAGGGTTGTTCAAGCAAAAGTTGAAGCAAGGCCATTCATAGCCGCACTTTGTGAAATTATTGTCAACAAAGGAAGATTAAGCGAGAGCGACTTGCGCAAAGCAGCGAAGCACCTTGATCTACAAAGAATCAAGCAAGATAAAAGAAACAATGGCATTGTTTGAACAACATGGTATTATGCCTTGTATTATTCATCTTTGTTAGTAACCATCAACAGAACTTTAGTTCTATTTTCATTTGCTGCTTTCCACATTTCGTGGGTGATATTCACGTTTACAAAGAACGAAGTTTCAAGTACACCAGACCATTATCAATACTACATGTTCATGATAATCCCGTCTCTAAAATAGTGGCGCCTTCCTGATGCATTGACTCACCGAACATGTTTCGCAATATCCTGCTCTCGTTGTCTCGTAAGTCCCCTCTTTAATACCTAATAGTACGACCGAGTCCCCACTTCAAGTTAGCAGGTAAACTCGTCCCTTTAAGAACCCTCAACCAAAGCGGCTCTTCCTCTGGCCCAAAATCAGCTCTCGTCTCTCTCGGCAACCTGTAAATGCCTCTCCTAAAATTGATGCGACACAAAGGGCAAGTATCATAATCCTGAATCCAAGAGCTCAGACATCGATCTCTAAACGTATGTCCACAAGGCAATTGCCAAGGGTGTTCCCCACCCGCCTCTCACATACCAAAGAGGCAGAAATCGCATTCTTGATTAGATGAGTCGGCTTGCACATTCATGATGAGTTCGAGGGTGGAGCAGCCGTCGATCAATTGTTCTGGGGTAAGAGTACTCAAATACTCTTCATGATGAATCTTGACCAGATTATTGGTGATAATCACAGCAAGGCTCTCCAGAACCAACGTTTCACTATAGACATCCTCCCCATGAATACCGCTGGTCCAACGGTTTTGCTTCACTTTAGAATTACCAAATCTGGCGTATTTCCACCGCACTTGCATCTCCAGCTGCTCGCTATACACTTCCTTCAGAAATTTCATTGCCAGTTTCGTTACTTTGTATCGTATCTTGTATCGGCTTTGCCGTTTGTAAAGTGGATTTCCAAAATTGAAAGTAACGGCGATGCTATAGACGCGTCCCAAGAGCTTCGAAGGAATGAAAGGTTGTTCATATTTTGGCATGGCAAAACGCGTTTGTGGCGAGGAGTAGCTAGTGTTCTCTTGCTCGGCGCAGTCGCCGAAGAGAACACCTGGAAAGAGTTGAAGAACATTTTCGACAGCTTTTTCCCTCTGATCATCTTATCTTCCAATAATGTGCTTGGCGGAGTGTTTGGGCGTGGGGATCTGTTGTATAATGGAATGGTGTATCTGTGGATCTAGAATATTATATCTGGAATACGTCGGGAGCAGTGATGGGAGGAATGTCGCACTTTTCATACTCAACCCCAGTATTTCTTGGGGCTAACAGCTGCCTTCTCTCATGATCACAGTGAAAATGACCTGAACAAGCAGATCCAGCCGAAAGGAAAGATGAACTGCAGGTGCGGTACATCTAAAAGAGTTCGAATATGGTTCATTAGCAGATAGTTATAAGTACAGTGTCATCGAAGAGAAACAGGCAAAAACTCTTAATTCTTTTTGCTTAACAACACATAATCCTTCTAACACGAAAAGCTCACTCAGCCTAGGCATTCTAGATTGTTCAACAGGACACATACTAAAGTGACTAGCAGAAATATGAGCTATCTCTATGGTAAACTCTTCGAAGAGGCTTGATCATACACTGCGACATAGACGAACTCACATAATAGTAATGATGTTAGAACATGAGAGATCAAGGGTTATAGATTTGTAGTCTTGAGGGATTAAGCATATATTTATTTTATGATTTATGCCATTGATGGTTTGAGAACATTCATTTTTCAATAGCAACAGTATCTTCAGAATACTCATAAATCAGGATCTTCATGTTTCGGTACACTCAGATCTTGAGCGTGATGTCTCCGATATTTTCGTACCTCCGAATAGTCACGGACTCACCACATTCGTATCTTCATGAATCGTCATGCTCGGATGTTCTATGATAGTGATGAGATTTTTGATTCAAAATGTCGGTAGAGTTGGATGGGTTATGTGGGTTGTGAATTCTTGTCTAGCAGAGCAGATACGATGGAGTAAGTGGCGAGTTGTCCAACGGTTCTGACGTGATTCTATTCATGTCGCGAGATTAATCAAGTTAGCAAGCAGGCGCGGCAACACTAGAGCTGAAGACAGCGTAGTGGTAAGAAGCTCAAGTCCTTACCTTACCTCCTTCAAAACCCTCAACCACCTGGGACACACCACCTCCCTCTCCGGCCACCTATAAAGCGCCCTATCAAACATCTCCCTACAATACGGGCAAGAATTATGTTCCAGCAGCCAAACCCTCAGACACTCCTTCCCGAAAACATGTCTAGCCTTGCAATCAAGCTGCACGTATTCCTCCGACTTTTCCTCCGAACGACAGATCGAGCATTCTTTCTCTGAACCCTTAGGAAGCGGGTGGAAGAGTTGCAGAGGCTCTGCGTTGTTGCGGAGGCTGAGTTGGCGTGCTGAAATGGCGTTGGTGACTTCGACGAGTTGGATGGATTCGGCGATGAGATCGAGTTGGTAGATGTGGTCTACGAGTTCTTCAGCCACGGACTTTGTGAGCTTGGGGAGGTTGAAAGTGTCGGGGTTGACACCGAAGATGGTAACATCTGCGGTGGTTTCAGGTCTTGCTTCTTCGTTATTGTCCTGCCGTTCAGATGCTTGAAGTTGATAGACGCGTTCCTTTCCACTTATCAGCAAGGCTTCGAAAGCCTTTTGCAAAAACGGTAATTCGGAAGTGGGAACGACATTGTGTTTTCGCGAGTTTTCGGTATCCAAGGAATGTTCTTCGAGATCATCGTTGATTTCAGAAATGCGATCGAGGAGTGGTTTGGCGAAATCTAGTGCTTCCTTCTGACTTGTGAAAAGACGAGGGACGTAATCGTGGGGCTCGCCATCCCAAGTTCTCAGATCTGAAATACAGCGTTGGCATTGCGTGGCAGAGTGAATCCAGTAGTCTTGGTCAAGAGCTACTGGACGGTTCATTGCCATTTCTGGAGGCGGTCTGCGGAATAAAAACCCGTCTGGGAAAGGTTTAACATAGGTGAAATGGCCACGCTGGTGCTCAAGCATACATACGCTATTGTTTCGCCTAAGATTTTGATCGTCTCCCACTTCTATCGAAACTCTGTCTATTGCATCATCTATGCGAGTCAGGAAAGTGCGTAACATATTTTCTGTGCGATGTAGCTGGATTTCTGTGGCTTGTGCCGTATTTGATCCTGTACTTTGTGTTTCTGTCATGTTTTGCAGGCTGTGCCTGACTAGATCTAGAGCATGTTGCATAACATCTACTACTAGGTCTTCGACTGAACTTTCCATCTCTTCGGCAAGCCATGTTCTCTCCATGTTGGTATCCTCTTCAAGATTTGACATTTGATTTATGTCTGACATGTTTTAATGATAGTTGATTAAAGCTCGTGGGGGAAGTAAAAGAAATTTTATGTTGTGTGCAGTTCATTGTTTCTAATCAAAACAGGTTCAGCAGAACAGAACCACCAATCTAATGTTTTGATTCCCATTCAACATGGCTGACAAATTTTTTTCTGAGGTCCCGATGATATGAAAACTTTTCTCATCTTGTATCTGGATAGCTACGTCGTCTTCCTTCAAACTCACTCCATGTCTAAGCTGACTTTCTCCGGTAAGGTGCGCTGACTCAACACAAATATCGATTGATTCAATAGAACTCTTTGCTGGGGAACATGAAGCTTCAGAAGTCCATCGTAATTATTACTGGAAATATGATTCCATACATATCGAGATTGCCTCGACTTCTTGTTCTTACTCCCATTGAAAGCTAGACCACAGAAACACGTACTGTATCTTGTGGTAGAAGTTCAAGTCAATGTAGTTTGTTCGTCCACTTTTTCGGACGCATTCACACTGTTCTAAAGTTTAGACTAAACATCGCTTGAAATACTCGGGTCCAACATAACTTGAAGGACTGCGTAGAGAGACACTCACATAGGGCAAGGTGTACTTAACTCCACAGTAGCCCACGAACCAGTTTGCAGCGAAATGCACTTACGTTCGAGAAGAGTAACTAATCTACAAAATGACATTCATGATAAATCCCAATCATCCCAGATGATGCAACAACTCTTTCAAGCCTGACTGTGCAGCCATACTCGGAATCTGAAAGCTAGAGTATTGGCCAATGGCAACAAGAAAGCAGCTAATATTCCCAAAACAAGAAGCCAAACGATCATGTGCAAAGTTACTGACAGCGAGAGATACACACTGAATGAAGTCTTGAATTTGCATTTGAAGTTGTTTGCAAGTCAACCAAGCTTTTGGAGATAAGATAATAGAGCACCTTGATTTGATAATAAAAACAATCACTGCATCTCCGAACTTACACACGACATTGTCATGACGAGGTTTGGCTGGCGTACCGTATGCCTTTCTCACGAGTCTCCTCGACGCCTTCGACTTCCTTAAGAACAGTCCCACACTAAGAAATTCCAATAACCCACAACTTTCAAATAAACATCTTCCAATTTCGGAACTTCCCTCTAGATTCGCAAGACGTCCGGGACTAACAAATCTTAAATAAGTCTCATCTGATCAAATACGAGGCTCAAGAGCACCGAGGTCTGTGAGCGAATAAGAAACGACAGACGAAGAGAGCGGTCTAATTGGTTGTACGGGAAAGCATGCACGGCATTAGTGAGCGCCCCTTGGCGGTTACATCCTGCTGGTAACTCGACCATGTTTCAGGAGCAAAGTGGGGAAGCGCAAAGGGGGATGGTCATGTGACTAGTCGCAACTCCACGTTTCTGTGACTTTTGAGTTACGCGGCAATTTCTTGTCAGAAACCGTTTGTGTCTATTGAGTCCTGATATTTGCTTGGAATTGATGAAAGCCGGGTCGAGATTCAGTCGCAAATAATGAGATTGAAATAAAAGATCCTAGGCATTATCCGTATGTCAATCATTGTTGGGGTCGGTTTGAGAAACCCCTCGTAAACTTCTGAGCGCGCGCCAACTGGCAGATGAGAAGCTTTTGACCGGTGATCTACGTCCTCGGTTGTGGTGATCATTTGGATTGTGGTCTGATGTGTGGAGGTTTCATCTGCTTTTGGTCTTCTGTGCAGCCATGAAAGTTGAAAAATAAACTCCAGTCGTCTTTCCGATCCGTCCAAAACACCAAGTGATCATTGCGGGGCATATCCCCTGTATATGCTGACCACCTTCTCGTTTCAACAACACCTAAAGCTGCCACACCTTCGCCCCAGTCCTACAGCATCTTCAGGGGCTTTATTTTGTATCCAATGGTGGGCGCGGGGTGGCTTTTGATGTTGATATTCGAGCCGTGATATTCCTGTATCACTGGTTTTACTGGCAGGAAACCGTCACACCGCTATTCTCCACAACCTCGTTGAGTTCTTTTGCAAACTTGCATTCCGCTGTCAATAGGCCGTCTACCGTCGTTGTAGAAACTCATGCTCCTATGAGGGGTATACTGAAATCCTCTACCAGCCACATCTTGTCAGGGGCGGGCGATAGGCACTCCTCGAGTAGATACAGGTGTGTCCGTAGTTGAGGATTGCAGGACGGAAGTGTCCAGTTCCTGAAGCATACAGATAGATTGTCGAGGCTTTGAATACGCTAAAACAGTTGTGATAAAGTGTGGCAGCCATGTAATCATAGCCATGGCTCGGTTCCATGAGCAGTGTCCTGTCAAAGCCGGCAGTGTGTGAGTGCCGAAATAGACGCCATTCGGCCCTGGGAACGAATTTCGATACCTCGTAATTCGTCCTAGAAGCGTGCGTTCCAAGAATCTATATTGCTCGGATTGCAATGAAATCATGGCATTACTCTCCAGCCAATTTTTTTATCTCGGATGCTGTGGGATCGTTAGTTCCGTAATCCGTGGTACTGGATGGACACAGGGAATTTGTGGTTACGCAAAGAATAGCCAGATGCAAGTCTGTTTCGGGGATGTTTCCGTAGGCGCTCGTCCCGTGATGTAAACGAAAGCGTAAAATGCTATCCGGCGCAAACCCTTGGGCAAATTTGCATTTCAGAAAGTCGGAAATTGTTGTTATTCTCGGTCCGTGTTCTGATCGTTTGGTTGTTCTAACAATGATACCATTCAAACGCATATCAATGCTTTATTCGGCTTAATGTTTTCCATGATTGCTGACCTCTGGTGGGTAAAATCATGAAACGAATTGAGTTCTATGGCTAAATGTGCGAACGAAGGGTCGGATTAGAAAACATGTTTCCTTTCGATAACGGCCCCTGCATGTTCCTGTGATTCATTATCTATCCTACATACCCCATGATCCAGGGCAAGAACTTGGTAGGAGGAGTTGCACTAGCAATTGAATCCTTTCTTGGTTTTACCGTGCGGGGAATGATCATCGTTGGTGCCGAGAATTGAATGATTTCTGGTAGTAGCTACGAGTTTGTTGTAGAGATGTGTTCGCTGCGTTGTGGTTGCTTTTTCAGCCCGTTCCGCCTTCTACTGAGTTTGGACGAAATATTTCCGGTGGCTCTGCGTATTTGGACGGTGATTACATTTCATCAATGACCCCTTACTTTTGACCCAATGCTACCAGTGAAGCCTCTCTCATCCCCTAATACGGGACAGACTAGGCGTAGAAGACATCGGTAGTCGTGCTTTTCCAATTGAGGCATCTTGGTGGTGATGAAAAAACGTACCTGCAGAATCCCCTGCTTGACGAGAAGGTAAAGTTCCACATAACTGCACGAGGTATTCTCTCGAGTGCGATGGATCCGATGATATCGATAACACAATTGGGGTCTCTTTTTTCACGCCTCAATATCGAGCATTGCTTGCATGTTGAAATACGTGTCGAAGATGGGTTTGACAAAGGTGCAGCTGTCAATGCTCCACGACGACAAGATACAACCATCGTTGCGGGACCTGCCAAGACAAGCGCCCATGTGGCCTGTGCCTTTGAAGACGACGTGATGATGGTCAACTACCTTACCAGCTTCGAAATTAGACTACAGCATTAAGATGTTTTGGAGGTGCAGAAAAAAGATTACATATTTGAATCAGGGTCCAACGGAGCAGAGCTACTGCACCATTCCAAGGTTTAACGTTGTGCAAAGTACTAATTCCGGGTACTACTGAGTGGCAGCTGCCTTATTTTAGTAGCCGTGGGCCCATACGGTACGGAAGTAGAAGGCTTTTATTAGGTTCATTTTGATATCATATATTGATGATCCACCTCAGGGCAAACTGTAATTTTGTCAACACATGTACTTTGGTAAACAAATAACAAGTGACAGACTGATAGTGAGGTATCTTTGCAGCAATTTGTACTGTGCAGTTGTACTATGCTGGGAATTTGGCAAGCTTACATGAGGCGCAGGGACAACATTCGGCTAGATCGATCCATACTCAAATGAAGTCGAGGAGTATACAACGCAATGTATACATTATGGTAAAAATGTCCGTCTGCTAAGCAGGTTTTCTGATAGCGTTGAATTACTCAGGTGTTAGCTAGTGAGACTAGTTTGGACTGGACCTTCCGTACAACACACAAGTCAGCTGACGTGAGCTCTACCTGAACATTGGATCGAAAACCCGACGAAAAGCTCTTTGAGACTCGACTTGACCAAGCCATCGCGAGCCAACGGTTGTGCTGCTATCAGCAATTGCTATCCCGATAGCGATACTTTTGACACCTTTACAATACATGCTGGTTGCACTATTGCATACTGCACCTCTTCCACCCAAGCAATACGCATCCATCCACCCCAATACGACCTTTGCCCAAAGCGCACACCCCTTCCCTCCTCCTGACACTTCTGAACCTCTCAGAAGACATCCTCACGCCGTCTTCTGTCGATTCCTTGCCCGTGCAGCCGCCTTCTCTATCACCTTAAACTTTCCTCAGCACTCGCGCGGGCGCTGCCTCCTTTTTGTTCCTCCACCCCCTCCCTTTGCGACTGCAGGTAATCCGGAAAATCGTACGAGTATCATAATAATAATTACTATTGTCGACTCTTCTGTGTTGCTCGATCGCCGTTCCAGATTACCCCGGCGGCGACCCTCGCTTCCCTTGCCTGAACAACCATCGATGAACGTGCGACGGTCTTCGAGCAGGATCAACCCAGGCTTCGCCAGGCCACATTGCGGGCACGACTCGAAACGGTCGCCCATCAACAGCCATTCATCGCCAACTCCCACCTGCGTCGGGAGCCCACTTCGACCCTCGACCCTCGACGCTCCACCTCCCTCGCGCTCTCCACAGACTCTCCTCTCGCCGTCTGTCACTTCTGCCCCTGAACCTAGCACGGATGCAGCCAATTGCAGTAGCCGCGCTCTCCTCCTCGTCGTCGACCAGCAGTCCACCGAACTGCCAGGTCCATCTGCATAACAATTCTTAGCGACAGACGAGACCCGGTGGGAAATGTCGCAGCTTTCGCAACCGCCAGAGGGACCCTCAGATTATTCGCAGCAGCTTCAATCCTTTTCACCACAATCCAACGACAGCCCCACTGTTGGCCGGCATCACAATCATTACACGCCGAATAGTTCTACGCCCTCAGACACTGTCAAGAGGTACGGCGACCATCCCACTGACATCTAGTCTCTCTGTTGTGTGGGCGAGATAGCCTCACTTTCCTCGATCTTTCTGCTCACCAACCGTCACTTTTAGGTCGAATCGGAGGGCCGCTCCTAGTCCTCTCCAAACCAGTACGACTGCTGCATCTCCTCCCAGCAGTGTGACGCCGACAAGAAGTACCTTCCACAGAACCGGCGCCGATCATATTCTTGCTTCTGCAGTCTCTCCTAATCATAGCCCTCAGGAAACACCTCGATCGCCAAAGGAGCGTCTGGACGATCTGCTGGCCTCAGAGAGAAGTTTTTACAATTCTGAAGGCGAAAACTCTAGCCCTCACGGCTCTTCCAGAGAAAAGAAACCGTTTCCGTAGGTGGTGCTCTCGTACGTGCCCTGTCGTAGTACTCACATGAAATCTTTAGATTCGGTCAGGTCCTCAAAGATACGACGAATGGTACATCGCGGAGCGTCTCTGATTCTGTCATAAACCCGAAGCCTGTGGGAGGGAGCTCGATTTCAGATTTCCGACCAATGCCAGCTACGGCTCCCCAACATCGTCAAGATATGGCTCGGCCACCTCCCCGAACGTCTTCCATCGACTCGGCAATATCTACGATCTCGACGAATGCCACTTCTCAAGATGCAAAATCCTCTAGCCCGCCGGATATCGGCAAGCTTATACAATCTGCAGGGTCGCCAGAAGCAGTGATACAGTATCTGCTCAAGGAGAAATCGTCGCAAACAGCGCAGAACGACCAGCTATGGCGTCTCGTAGATAAGCAGAGAGCAATGATCCTCGGCTTGAATAAGGATCTTGAGCGAGCGTTAAAGGACAAAGAGCGGTACCGGAAGAAACTGAAGGAGAGCCTGGCCCAAATGTCAAATCCTTCGCCAGTCGATTCCACTCAAGGCCGAGCAGGATCTGATGCCGGGTCTATAACCTCAGATTTTCGCCCTACGGAAAAGCCCAGCTTGGAGAATGTTAGTTCAATGGTATCTAGCTTGCGAGATCTTCCTAGCCAGGAGGATGATCACCCACCGTCGCCGATCGATGTCGCGTTGGCACCATATCCCATCACTCCGCCAGCCAATCTTGCTCCCAGTCAGACTCCCGCCTTAGCGAATCTCGTGGAAGCCGAGCATAAAATGCCGTCCCCAACACAGCACGCTTACCAGCAGTACAATCCGGATGCAGCTGTTACTGGTGAATTTGAAGCTGGTCAACAGCAGAAAAAGACTGAAGTCGCCAGGGAAGTACCGTATAATGCGTCGCTGCCCCCATCGAGAAGCTTGCCATCAAACCCTCCACGAGGACCTCCACCTAATATCCCACCTCCAAAAGCACCCATGTCTAGCCAAACCCCTTCATTGTCTTTGATTGAACCGTCTCCAAATCCAGATGAAGGGCTACGAGCCTTCCCGCCGCCTCCTCGTAAAGCTCCGCCAGCGCCGTTGAATCTGGGAAAGAAGGCCGTCAGTGCTAGTTCACACCTCCGACAAGCCTCAGGAACTGGCGATGATTCGGACTCCGACTATGATGATATCCTAGAAGTCGATGAGATCCCCACATTTCCGGAGAGAGGGAGGAGGAAGACTCGCGAAGCTGACGATCGAGAGCGCGAACAAGCCGCGCTGAGAGAAGCTGAAATGCGAAGCTTGTCGAAGAAGAGTCAAGGTAGCGCGAAGGGAACTTCGAAATCCGGGACAACAACACCGAAGGATGGCACTGTAGATCCAGTACCGAAACATCGACCGACAGTTCCAATCGCACCACCTAACGCTCATCTCCAACACATGTCACCTAATTCGAACTCTGGTTCTTTGGCGGGTATGCTCAGCGATGCCTCTGAGCCCATACACACGAGAATGATATCTCCTCCTCTTATGAGTCCCGGACTACCTCTCAGTCCCCGACCCATTGACCGAGGAATGAGTTCTCCTCTCCCACGTCATCCGAGCAACTCTTCTTTCGGCTCGCCGCCACTCTCCCCACGTGGAATGGGAGCATTCCCAGGTGGCATTCCTCTGTCTCCCCGAGCTCCTCGAATGCCCATCCCACTCCCCCCGAACACACCAATGTCAATAACTTCGCCTGGGCTACCTCGTGGAGAGCCTCTGCAGTTGGTATCGCCCAAGCCATTAGTATTTACCAAGGTGGCCGAAGATGATGGCAGTAAGGATGAGTCGCCTATTCGAGATAGTCCTCCCAGCTCAATCTACCGTGGTTTGGCGACTGACGAGTATCCCGATTTGCTACTTGCTCCTAATGCACTTCCTTCAATTGACGTCAAGGTCGCTTCTTCTCGCTTGAAGCCCTCCAGAGCAAGTCTCATGTTCCCTAAGAACTTCGAAGAAGATCCTGTCTTTACACTCGCCGTGTACAGTCGGTCCGAAGGGCGGGAGTTATGGCGGGTTGAGAAGGATTCGACCTCTCTGGCACGTCTAGACCAGCAGCTTAAGCAGTCAGCATCGTTCACTGCTAGAACCCCAGACAGGTCATTATTCAGCGGCCACGCGCCTGCCAAAGTGGACGCAAGACGAGCAGCTCTCGATACGTACCTGGATGAAATCTTGAATACCCAGATGGATACTTCGTCTGCCTTGGAAATTTGCAGATATCTCTCAACTAATGCTCTGTCCCCCGTCAAGGAAGACTCAACTCCCGACTCCCCCAACTCTAGTCCAGTCAGAACCGGTCCTGGCGGGAGACCATTGAAAGATGGCTATCTGACCAAGAGAGGTAAAAACTTTGGTGGCTGGAAAGCTAGGTATTTCGTTCTTGATGGTCCGATATTTAAGTATTATGAATCTCCAGGTGGACCTCATTTGGGAACGATCAAACTTCCGAGTGCACAGATCGGCAAGCAACAACAGCAAGCAGATCATTCCCCATCTCATGGTGAGGCAGAGGATCCAGAAAACCAATATCGGCATGCGTTTTTGATTCTGGAACCGAAACGAAAGGATTCAAGCAGCCACGTGAGGCACGTTCTTTGCGCCGAAAGCGATGGTGAGCGAGATGAGTGGGTAGAGGCGCTCCTAAAATATGTCGATATCAAAGATCCAGAAGAAGAAGAAGCTCGTGTTCGAGAACACACTCGAACTAGCTCAGGCGGATCTGGTCATGTCAGCAAACCGAAAAAGAAGTCTCACGGTGTTGATCGAAGTCAGACCTTACCTGATTTGCAGGAAGATGGCTTGCGCGGCGTCAGCTACGAGACTACCAAACAAGGTAATATTCCTCATAGCGTGAAGCAGAAGATTTCGGGCACCCCTTCGCCGCCGACATATGGACGTGAAAAGGACCCCATGAGCCAAATTCCACATTCGCAGTCCGCAAAGACTATTTCTGCACCCAAAAATGCCCATGTTATCCAAGATAGCGGTACTTGGGGCAACCGCCAAAATATGCTTGCACCTGCCAGTGATGTGAAACAAAAGAAGAGGAGCTTTTTCGGGTTCGGATCAAAGCCTCGAGCTTCAACTGAAAACCAGGAATCGAATGGTGGTGACGGTCAGTCGAGTTTGTCTCAAATGGCGTTTGAGCAGCATGGCCCTATCAGGGCTGTTTTTGGCGCGACTTTGAGCGAGGCAGTCCGGTTCAACCACCCAGCTGATGTCAACATCGAGCTGCCAGCAGTTGTTTACCGATGTATCGAGTACCTAGATGCGAAAAATGCTGCTGGTGAAGAGGGAATTTTCCGATTGAGTGGTTCGAATGTGGTGATTAAGCAGCTCAGGGAGCGATTCAATACCGAAGGAGACGTCAATCTCGTTACCGACGACCAGTACTACGATATTCACGCGGTGGCTTCACTTCTGAAGTTGTATCTGAGAGAGCTTCCAAGCACCATCCTGACACGTGAACTCCACCTCGAATTTCTAGCCGTCACAGAATTAACCGATGTCAACGACAAAGTCAGCGCGCTCAATGGTCTTGTGTACCGGCTTCCCCGAGCAAACAATGCGTTGTTGCGATATCTTTCGGGCTTCCTTATCAACATCATCAACCATGCTGATACCAATAAGATGACGGTTCGTAACGTAGGCATTGTATTCTCGCCAACTCTCAATATACCTGCTCCAGTCTTTGCTCTTTTCTTACAGCAGTATGATGGGATCTTTGGTGAGGATCCTCATGATCAACCTGGATCTCCTGTGGTTGAAATATCAGTCTCTGCTCCGCCGTTGAGTCCAGATGATATTAGATCTCCTCGCCGACAGAAGTTTCAGCAAGATCTGCCTACGCCATCATACAATCAACAGTCTTTCGCTCAACAGATGGCGCCATTATCTTTCCCTCAGTCACAAGGTCGTCAGCAACCAGGTTACGAAACCGGCTTCACACCTCTACAGCCAGCTTACGAACAACAAACTATTGGGAGCTTTCCATTGATGGCAGGGCCAGAGTACGGTAGAACGGCACCAACTCTTGCGGGACCAGCATATGATCAATATGCAAGTAATAATGCCTCAGTGAGCAAATCAAAGCGAAGAGAAAGCACAATGTTTGGCTTAGGAAGCTCTTTGGGCGGACAACGAAAACCAAGCAATCAACAGATGAGAGCGGCAGATGGTCGTAAGTAAAACCGGTCATTTGACGGGATTCAGACTGACTAGTACAGGTCTCGTCGACGATCAATCATTCTTCGAATAGGATGACCTGTCTGGACATAAAATTAACGACATATACGAAAATATTCAATTCAGCGATGCTCGTATGCATAGATCACAGCTTTGGCCAGGTGCCACAGCTTGCTTCAAAGATACCCCATCGGTACTGTAATACTTAATGACCAATTTGCACGCCATTCATCCCTGTCCCAACTGTCGCACTCTGTACATTATCCCTTCGACACGTCGGCATTGGGATCAGCAACCATTTCGGACCTTCTTTCTTCACATTTGCGGCAAGCGGGCGAGCACAGCATATTCTACATTTTTTTCTTCTTCAACACTGCGGAGGGAGCAGAGGAGGTTATACCCCAGAATTCGGTTGTTTCGACTTTGTTTATTTACGTTAAGGGGGAGGGAGTTTGCTTGGAATTATTTTGAAGGAAGGGAGAGAGTTTTATCTGGCAGGAGCGGCTGGGTTAATGACTATTTTGCAAGCGTATGGATATGAGCTCTTTGCTTGGTGGTGAAAAATATTGAAGATGTTCATCGTCTTTGGATGAGGATGTCTTTATACTGGCATTTGAGGATGGATGGGCCGTGGGTAATTGGGGGAGGTGCAGATTTCTATTGTATGATGGAAGTTGGCGGGGGAAGGTCGTGGATGGATACGATATGTAGATATAGAATTAACAAATGAAGATGAATTCTTTAGCGTATATGTGTTTCTATATAATCTTGGTTTTAGATTATACTTTTAAGTTAATTCGAAGGTTAAGATTCTATAAAATTATATAGAAAAGTATTATTACTAGTATTTTATTACTTTACTTATTTTCTTTTTTAAAACTTAGTATACTTAATTACTATTCTATAGTCTTTAAGTTTTAAATATTATAATACTTAATAGAGTAATTTTAATAGAAAGTATAAAGAGATTATTACTAAATAAAATAAAAAGAAGTTTAACTTAAATAATTTATTATTTCTTATACTTTATTTATTAATATAATATATCTATAGATAGTAACTAAGTTTACTTACTTATATAAAATTTAAAATTCTACTTATTATAATACTTAATATAGTAGTTTTAATTTATTAAAAGATATTAAGAGATTATTATTTAATAAACTAAAAAGAAGTATAACTTAAACTATTAATAAAAGACTTTTAAATAAATAATTATTTCTTTTACTTTATTTATTAATAAAATATATTTAAAGATAGTAATTTAGTTTACTTACTTATATTATAGTTTTAAAGTTTTACTTACTATAATACTTAATATAGTAATTTTAATATAAAGTATAAAGAAAGTATTATTAAATAAAATAAAATAAAAAGAAGTTTAAGTTAAATTAATAATAAAAGACTTTTAAATAGATTATTATCTCTTTTTCTTTATTTATTAATAAATTCTATAAGTTATTAATAGTAACTTAGTTTTATAGTTAATATATTAATATATCTATAATTATTACTTTATCTAAATAAATTCTTTCTTCTAGACTTTCTATAAAGTATTTAGTATAAATATATAGTAAAGTAAAAGAATAAAATAAAAGAATCTAGAGATAATAGTTATAGTTTCTTTTAATAAAATAGAAGTTAATCTAGAAAACTATAAAGTATATTTTAATTCTTATTATATTATATATTTAAGTAGAATTAGATTCTATAGACTATTTAGTTAAGACTATATTTAGAAATAAAGTTACTATTAGTATATTAAAAACTTACGTTAATACTCTTCTAGAAATATAAGTCTATATCGCTAGAAATAATTCTTAATTTCTTATAGATATCTAGCTTTATTTAAGCTATAGAATAGATATCTTAATAGTATAATTCCTTTATATAAAGAGAAAATATACTATATATACTTAATTAAAAACTACTTATTTACTTCTTATTTATATATATAGTACACTAGGTTCTTACCTTATAGCTTTAAGTAATAGTCGCTATACGTAAATCGAGTAATCTATAGATAAAGACTACTCTCTCTACAATTAGTATTTATTAAGTGTTTAAATAATAAGGTAGATTATATCCAGGCTAGTCTTATACTTTCTATTTCACGAGTCTTGTCAGAAACCTTTACCTTAAAGAAGTAAAATAGTCTATAAGAAGGTTATAAATCTAAAAGTTTAAAGGCTTCATTACTCTACTGTTTGCAAAGTTGTCCCCGTGCTTTATAGACTCGAATGTTTTCAAAAGAGAGCTGTTGTCTACATCTCGATTCTCGAGTCTTGTCAGAAACCTTTACCTTAAAGAAGTAAAATAGTCTATAAGATGATATTAAATCTGACATTCCCTATCTGATTCAAAAGCTTTATCAATCTACCATTTACAAACTTGTCACTGTGTTCTATAGACTCGATTATCCAAAGAAAGCTGTTGTCTACACAATCCATTCATTTTGTTGCTTCCCTCCCACAATTGTATCTCAGTCTGGACCGTGACTCTACATCTTCCTAGTCAACGGAGTCTTGTTGCCTCTTCTTATCTGGCTTCTCCCCCTTCATCACTCTTCTCTGGTAGTCCGACTGTTAAAATCATGGCCTGGATATCTCGCGCTAGCTTCTTCTCCGTAAGAATATAGTCGAACCGAGTGTAATTCCCAGCATCAAGTATCTCTCGAAGCGGGAAGAGTTCAATGCACGTAGTGATATTTTCTTCGAGGGTTATGTCCGCTTCAATTCTCTGGTCGATGGTAGGCATGACCTTAGGGAATTCAATGCGCTTGCGACAGAGGGGACAGTCTGGCTCTTCTCTCTCGCTCGCCCATTGTTTCAAACAGAGATCGCCGAAAACGTGCTTGCAGCCAGTGATGACTGGTCGTTCGATTCTTGCTTCTGCTCCCTCGTCCGGAACGCCCATGGTAATGCGGCAGATTCCACAGTGTCGGTCTTCCTCGGGGACCTCTTCGATTGATATGGCTCTAACAAGGATTTCCTCCTGTTCAGGAGTATTCCCTTCGATTTGGGTGACAATCTGGTATTCTGTGGAAAGGTATCTAAGCTTCGAAGCCTCCACCATTGGAGCAACACGGAATACGAACTGCGCAATCGCATCTTGACTCAAGTCCCTAGGTGGCTGGTCTTCTGAAGCAACACCTGATTTCTCTGCCTTGGCTCGCTCGCGTTCATGTATTTCGTCTCTGTAGTATAATACTTGATCCAGTTTATCGACGACATCGTTCAGTAACCTCCAGTCCGCTTGCCTCTTGAACACCAACCTTGTCGTTTGCATGAATTCCCCGTAGACAAATTCTCCGAACGAACAGAGCTTGACCGCAGCATGAAGGGCAAGTCGTTTCTCTCTGTCTGGGTTGAGTGGACTGGCCCATATGAGCTCAGTGTTATGCGCGGTGATGCAGTCTTTGCAGCGGCCAGGAAGACAGGTGTCGTGGCTGATGTCTAGGGTTGTGTAGGGGCATTCTTTGCTGTGCTCGAGGAGGGTGGGAAAGTCTTCTTCGTGAGTGCGGTAGGGATCTTCTGCTCGACCGATCAAGGTCGTCTGCTGAGTTACGCAGGAATACAAGTAGAGTGCTGTATGTCCGCAGGTCGAGATGAGGGGTATCAGGAGACACATCTTGGTGGTTCGATGAACTGATAGGTTAGCTGGTGGTCTAACAGGAAGCATAGATATGGCTGTATGAAGTGGTATAACTTAAAGAGATGCAGTAAATTGGCGAGTTGGTGATTTTGGAGAACGCAAGGTGAGCTACCAGTGACTTACCTGTTACAAGTTAAAGAGAGCAGTTGTTACTGGAATGGAACAGCTCTGAATCTAATCTTGCTTCAGTGTTCTGTTGAAGGTTGTTTGGACATGATAAAGTTGCGTGAATCCTCAGTCAAAACAAGGTCTGAAATAAAATCAACAACGAAATTGTGGAAGGCTGTTCTAGCTTTTTGCAAAATTAAGCGAGATTCCAGCCAAACAACCTGCTAGCGTTGCGAGACTGACGGGCCATCTCATTATGGTAGATGGGTGATATGATCTTCATAATAAGCTAGTCTATTGAGCATTTAGGGTTGGATTTACTGTCTAACTCCTGTACTTAAATTAAGAACATTGTCAATATCGTTCCGTATTATTAGTGGGTTACTAGGGTTTTCCGTCATTCTAACAAGTTGCAACACACCAGTAATGGCTCGTAGATCCTCTTAATATCCACCGTATACTGTTAACTCTTATCGGCATACTATTTTATCCATCAGGTACTAGTGACGAATCGCAAGAGTAGTGTATTTCTACGTATATCATTCAATGTCTCGTAACTTAAATCACGGCTTATAGATAGTGGATCACGACTAAATAGTGGAAGATATGTTTAATCTGAATTGCATTATTTGACTGAAACCGGCCAACTAATAGCTAGTAGAATCTTAAATGCTTCACAAAGAACTAAACAACGTTTAGAAGATATGGCATATCGAACCAATGTTGCTCTACAAATTTTCTAACTCGTAATGGCCGAGCCCTCTGTATCCAAAGCAAGAGCATTTCTCATCAGGTCCATGGTCAACAACAACTCTGTATCACCGAAAAACATGTTCAAATGTCCCCCAAAAATGTAAGTCGATATTTCTGTCCATTCGTAAACTGATTGCCGGTAATTTTCGGTTTTTCGATGCCAAAGTTTATCCCAAACGTCGTTGAGATCGCATTGCTCTTCTGGCTTTTGTGATCTTAGCCATTCGCGTTCGCTCTTGTGCGTGTTGAAGTGATCGCTAAAATCTTCGTAGATAAAGTTGTCTTTAAACAGGTAATTCCACCTAGAATTGTCGCCCCCATCATTGAATGCAGCTTTGAGTTTAGCTAGACCTTGATAAGACAAATGGCTAGGAAGTGCATCATCTTCGGTTTCAATATTGATATCAAGCCCTGTGACGGAAACGGTAATACCGTGAAACTGAGTTCGACAGATGGGACAAGTCTTTGCCTCGCGAAGCCACTGGCCCAAACAATTATCCCCAAAGACGTGATTACAACTAGTAATGACAGGCTTCTCCCTAACGCCGTCTTCATTAAATACTCCAATATCAATTCTGCATATGGCACATTCTCTTTTCGTCTCCTCCACTGCTAGGATCCCGATAGGTCTGACGCACCCAGGTTTTTCTCCGTCAAAACTCTTCATTGCCAGGTAAATGAGATTCAGTTCAATCCGATGTATCAAAAGTAACAATAGCCTTCGGGGCTTAATACTCTGAGTTGGCTCGTCGTCGGGATCGGGTGTTATTTCAATGCCTCGTTCCGCAAGTCTTCTGTCAATACGCAGACGCTGCTCTTCTCGTAATTGTAAAAATAGTTCGAGTTTCTGCGTGATGAATATTAGCCATAAAAGGTCGTCAGGGTGGCGAATATGCCAACCCTCATCGTCCCAGAGGCAAACGTCGTTGAGGTTGTCATTGAGGTACCCCTCGTTTTGGGAGAGAGGGAGTATGTTCAAAACTGCTTCTTTTTTGACGGCGAAAGGAACTTTCTCTGTACTATATTTCCAGTGCTGAGAAAGTACACAGCCGGCGCAGCGGGAAGGAGTGATTATTGGTATTGTAGTGACTGTGGTCGGACAGGCTGATTTGATCTTAGCGATGATTGTTCCGTCGGTATCGTCACTCGCTCGTCCAATCCACCAGGTGGTTTGCTCTCTGCAGCATCGATGAGTTCGATGAGTATGATCACATCCGGGTTGTAGCTCGAATATCTGGCACATCTTGGTACGCTTGTGGCAGATCGAGGTTGATTGCGTTGATGGGCTGGTTTCTGATAGTCTGGCTCCCACAAAGCAGGTCCAACGACCCTGAGGCTTGGACCGTGTTGCTTTTTTGGAGTTTTCGCGGTATGTAGTAAACACGGGAAGCGAAGCTGTTCTAGATCATGTGCTTTAACCCTGATTAATGATCCAAACGTGAATGCCCCTTTCGTTTCCAAGAGAACAAAGAATTCCACAGCACAGCTTGCTCGAAAATAGGCGAGAAATTTAAAAACAACTTCTCTATAGAGAAATATTACTCATCAGAACAGAGAAAAAACCTCAAATATAAAGACACGACTATAGACCTTTCCTTTACTTTAATTTTCTTGGAAAGAAAGCATAACCTCCAAATTCACCTCGGCAAGACGCCACAGAAGCAAGCAAGTTTACCACCTTTCAAGATCAGCAAAATGTGTCAAGATTACATACTTATTCGCAAATGCCAGTGTACAGCAGATGCCTGGGTTCTGGCTCAATGTGGTTCTGGAAATTGTAACTACAGAACTGGACAGGTGATACTGAATACGGAGATCACCACTTTAGACGACCTCATCAGTCAAGCCGACCCTAGAGTCAAGTTACTCTTCACTAACCTGAACTGTTCAGTTTGCGGCCTTGCGGATAAAATTCCAGAACAATATATATGGGATGCCAATGTCGACAATGCCCTAGGGATTGCAATTCCCATACTTGAACGTGCGAGGAAGTCGCCTGCATTCCTTGCTCTTCATAGATATGAGGAAAAAGATGTCGCTCAGTATCGACTTTCTGCTATAGATTTGAATTGGCTGTATAATACGAGGAAGATCATTCAGATTGCCTGCCGCCACATGGTACGGGGTCCAAGAGCCGACTTGAGTGACGAGCAAATGATTTACTGTATATTGTATGATTCATATCTTGCTGCAGTGGAGTTTAATCTTATTGCTGATGCGCATGATACGCTTCCACCCAAAGAGACACCTGCCTGGCTTTATGCCCTTAGAGACCTAGACGAGGATCTCTTGCAGTATGAGGATGCGAGACTCTGTTGAAGTGTCTATTCAGGTAAGTTAGTAGAAGAGCTTGAGAATCTTGGTATGCCATTGTAACAAGAAATAGAAATGGCCAATGATAAAACGTGTCGTGTGCAAATTTTCTAGTTCCAGAGAAGTGATTGCAATGATTGCTTTGTGATTGTAATAAAGTGAGAATGTTTCCAGCACAGTTCAGGCCAAAAAGAAATACTGGCGAAACAACCAGGTGTATGTCGACCTAATTGAGCATTATGTTCTGTCTGGAAGCTGACTTGTTGTGTAGTAGCTGTTTATATTGAAGGAAGTCAAAAAGACAACGATAACTTTTTTTTTTCGTCACAGCATGATACAGTTGTTTTTTCGGGCAGGATGCTTACTATGGAATATGACCTTGACTCTTTTTGGGCTATAAAAGAGCTATCTAGTCTGAATAGAACTAAGTAGATGAGTATGAACGCTGACAGAGGCCGGCGAAGCCATTTCCAAACCAGCAGAAGATGAATTGCGAATGACCTCTCCTAGAACAGTCTTGCGGGTGCTTGGCTTTATATCTAGTCAAATACGTTTTCTTCTTTTCTTTTTTTCGACTTACCAAATATGTTAATAAACGTTATTTTCCAAGTGATATTGTTCGAGGTGTTTGGGCCATTGAATTTTTCGAATGAAACGACGCGCTATACCTGTTCCCTTCCGAGAAGAAATTCCACCAACTTTTATCTATTTATGTTTCTCCGTTTCATAGCACAAACTTTTATACAGGTAGTTAACAGGATATTGGTTCTTGTGCTGAATACGCATCACTTTCGCTTTCGAACAGTAATGGGATCAGACCGCATGTGCCTTATTCCTGCAGCATCCCAATTATTCAACCAATTAAGTTCACCTCCGTCTAATCTAGAAACCAGTCATTCAGCTGACCTTGTTACTTTGAACGCCGACTCGTAATGCAACACATCTAAGTTGATCATTTCGCAGTCGAATTCAATAATTATCCAGCTGAATTGGTGTACAAAGCCATACTGCAATTACTATTTGTACTTTGTATCACTTGACTTTTCAGCTCGTTTCGACATCTTTCGGAGCCTATGGCTGAATCAATGGCTGTCGACCATGCGGAAGTTGGAACAGACGACCTACTGCTTCCAAAAATAGAGTTCTCCTCACTATGCGGACAATGCACTGGTCTCACTGCATGGATTGATGAACAGTATCGCATTCGCATTCTGTATCCATACCTCCCACCGCCAGTCGAGCGCTACGTACTCCGAAACAGTCCCTCTCCTACCTGTACACTATGCCAATACATTACCTATAAACAGCTAGTAACGTCATCTATGGATGGATTGCCGTCCACAATGGTCTGGCAGGCCGACGATAATGTCGAGGTAACTTTTTATACGCAGTTCGAGAACGCCATACGCTTGGAACTCCGGACAATGAGAACCGTAGACAAAGAAATTCGACAGCTGATGGTTCTCTTACTGGCACGAGAAGGTATTCATGAAACAAAGATCCTGAAGATTCGCTAGCTGACGCTTCATAGAGCAAAAGTCCCACGTATCGAAACATGATCATCCCAATGACACGATCCTGTCGTCAGCTTGGAATTCAGCCACCGCATGGTTAGAAGTCTGCTCTAGAAGTCACGGGTGTCGTACACCAGGTGCAATAGACCTTCCAACCAGATTGATATATGTTGGCCAATCCAACGAGCCACCCAGGCTTCTAGAAGCGAGCCATATAGATCCGGCCTCCCAATACTGCACATTATCCCACTGCTGGGGAAAAATTCCCATGTTAAAGCTAGAAAAGGCAAACTACAAGGACTTTATGCAGGAAATCCCATGGTATAAATTAACTAAAACTTTTCAGCATGCTATACTCGCCACGAGAAATTTCGGTTTCAAGTATATATGGATCGATTCGCTTTGCATCATTCAAAATGACGAGTCTGATTGGTCTACCGAATCATCAAGGATGGCTTCAGTTTATAAGAACACGAGCTTGAATCTGGCAGCCACAGCTGGATCCGATGGAAACTCTGGCCTTTTTTTCGAACAGGATCGCAGAGATCTATGGGTTCCAAGCCTTCATCTTCCAAAATCCTCAAAGACACTCTACCTTCACGGGAATTTTTTCGAACCAGTATCTAAAAGTACACTTCTATCCCGCGGATGGATAGTACAAGAAAGGTGGCTTTCGCCGAGGACGCTGCATTTCACTAAGGACAAACTACGCTGGGAGTGTGGGCATGGATTAGCTTCAGAGACCTCACCAGAAATTCGGCCGAGATATATCCCCGTTGAAATTAAAGATTACTCAGTGCATAAAGACCGAAATGTGGGACATAATCTGTGGAGCAGAATAGTACAGACGTATTCTAGTTGTTATCTGTCCGAGGAAAGGGATAGGTTAGTAGCTCTCTCGGGTATTGCTAGGGAGATGTATCGGAAGACTCAAGACGGATACCTAGCCGGTCTATGGAAAAGCTCTCTACCTACTGATCTGGTGTGGAGGTCTCTTCATGTTACCCAAGAGCCCACACGGACAAAACGTTACAGAGCACCATCCTGGTCGTGGGCATCAGTGATAGGACCTGTTTCCCTAGATGAAGCTTGGGAGCGTGGGCTCAAACCTTGCGTTTTATTGAATGAATCAGGTATTACGCCTCTCGCTGACGGGGACATATTTGGCCAAGTGAGTAATGGATATTTAAGACTCCAGGGGCATCACCTTATTACTCCAGAAGTTCTCTATGAGCCCCGACGAGCACCAAACGTGCAAGTAGTTGTGAATAGTGGCTTGGCGGTCAAAATTGAACTTCACTTCGATCAGCCCCCTTTTCACCATAGAGAGAATATCATCTTGATGATAGCTTATACAGTTTATCCTCGGTATTTAACTTGGTCGAAGGGGGCGAAAACCTTAAGAGGCTTAGTATTAGAGGAAGAAGGAGTGCAAGGATGCTATAGACGTGTTGGCATGTTTGAAATTCCCGGAACTTGGAAAGGGGGAGGACGTACAGGACGAGGTCTCACATTACAGCAATTTTTAGACCTACCAGGGAAACATGATGAAGAAGAGTATCACAGTATCTCTGTCGGCGCAGACGGGAAGAAGACTCATGTTGTCACGCTCATTTGAACCCATGAAAGCACTCTAGCTTCTTGATCTAGTAAATCCATATTTCGGTGGATAGAAGGTTCAGGCCAATGGAGCTTTTGCTAAGCCTACAAATAAATACTAAAGGTTATTTAACTCTCCTGCTCAGTGATAAGAACCAAGTCCTATGTCTATCCAAAAACTCTTGGTGTTAAGCCTGAACAATGGTCCTCATAACTGAACAGGAGTTAAGACCAAAAACAGTTTGTCGCATCAAGGAATAAATAGATTTCTCAACATCATGGATAAGCGAAATCGTGCCCATACCTCCTTTTAGTCTACCTATTACCAAATCACATTGTTGTTCAGCATGGGACAACTCGAGAGCCTATTACGAATCGAAATAGCCTCGGATAACGTTATAATTGTCAATTGTAGTGTCGTGAGTCTCCATGGTGCGTTACAGCACATTACTCAATACACTACCAAGTTCTCGTAATCAGTACAGGGGATTAGAAAGAACATGTTCGTGTTTAAGAGATTCTAGCTTATCGTGGCTTGCTTGTTTATGTGCGATCAACTATAGCACATGCTGGTTTAAAGTCCCTAGGTGAGTAGAAATATACACCAGCCAGAAATATATACCATTCATTCACACCTCAGCTGTGGCTTTAAACAACGGAAGACAGTAATGATGTTGTATTAAGACCTGAATAGCTAGCTCTACATTGACTGAATTTGTTTAGAAACAGTTTCAGATTACTAAGTCTTCGTATCTCGAGTCCTCAGTGGCTGTCAGAGAGGAATACTCACTCCTGCAGATGTGATATTCTAAAGTTACTTTAGACACATGATATTTTAGCCCCATTTTGGTATGACCACACCAGAGCAATGCTAAAGGTAAGAATGCGACATGTATTAAGGTGAGGAAATCAAATCCCGAGAAGTGACATGGATTGAACGCCAGCTTTTGTAAGACTGCTGACTCTATTTCCACCCAAAGCCAGGACCCCAAGATTCGCAAGCCGGTACCATGTCCAAAAGCAATATTACAGGAACAAATGCAGAGAAACAATTATCGTACAAGCAATGCCCCTTCATCCATGTCCGTCTGAAATCATTAATTCATTGCAGGCCCAGTCCAGCGTCGGTAAGCTCCTGAGAACTAGCAGCACATTTCAATGAAATGCTGCGAGACCAGCAGCATTTACTGGTAGGTCACCATGTTCCTGATAATAGGTAGAGTAATGAGCTTCACCTCTGCGAAGAGTAGCGTCATCGACCTCGCCAGCAGAACGTCCATTCTCTAATCCTTTGACATCCGCTTTAAAGCTAGAAGGTTGAATAGAAGAAGGCCTGAGAATGTATTAGCCATTTTGCGGTTGATGGAGAATTGGATTCGCCCAACTTACCCATTCAGGTCCTTGTCAACTTGCAAAAATTCCTTCATAGCCTCCTTGGTACCGCGCTGTTGCAAGTAAGAAAGGTAGTAGTTACTCAGATCTTTCTTCGTGATCAAACTCATGCGACTCTGTTGGATCATGTCTTCAAAGATCTTCTTCATTCTGGAGTAGTGCTCGCTCTCCGTAGCAAGACTAGTTGGCTGACTGAGTTCAAATTCGAAATATTTAGCCCAGAAATGCCTGCTCTGAAGATACCATTGCTGATTCTTCTGGAACACTTGTCGAGCCTCATTGACTGATCCTTCAATTTTCCAGATCAAGGTAGCCCACTCTACAACGAAAGCGGCTTTCGAGAAAAGATCAACAATCGGGGAATCAATGTTTTGCTTGTAAATCTCAATGGCCGCTTCGAGCCCAACTTGGCGTCGCTCGAGGTTTGACCAAGAAATGATGGTCTCGACATGACCAGGCATACGATCCAAAATAGCGGCATGTATGTCCCGCGCAATGTCAACACGATCTGACATTTCTTCAAAGTATGCATACTGTAACCGGATTCCTGGTCTGCTGATTGGGACGTAAAGTGTACTAGCACGCTGATAAATGTTGCGGACTTCCTCCTGCTTTCCATCTTGGGCAGACATCCAGCGTGCGTACCTGAACCAGAACTCATCGTAAAAAGCGCAGGTAACTAGACATCTCTCGTAGAGAAATACTGTTCTAGTGTAATCGCCCTCTTCTTCCTCGAAATCCAAATACTTGCGCCAGTTTGCTAATTGAGGGACATCAAGTTCATTGACGTGGAAATACGGTCGCTTGATTTCCGCTTCGTACGTCCAGCGTTTTGTCGTCTCCGCAGCCGTTCTATGGAAAGACTCGAGGTAGAAATTATCAATCTTTGCACGAATGTCACGCTCAATCTCCTGATCCCCTTTAGGTCCGCTCTGAAATATGTCGACCTCGACCTCAGCACGATATTGCGCTAGCTGCTTCTCGGTAACAAGTTCGAGCAGGGGACGCGAGTGAGCGAGTTGGCGAAACCTATCATAATAACGAGCGTATTGATGCATAGGTATTTTGATGACTCGGCTCAAAATAGCAAAAATGTTATCCTGAGCCTCGAGGCGGTCTTCAAATTCCAAGTATTTGTCCCAAAATGGATGCGCTAGAAAGTCTAGGCCAACAGACGAAGCTCCTCGCTCGAAAAGACTGTGATGTGATATTAGTCCCGGATTTCTGGGCAAAGGGAGGGGTATGGAGATGGTGTGGAGTGCAAATACGGGAAGGGCATGTGCTTGAACTATTGTCTTCTCAAAATCCGCGAGTTCCGAACATTTGTTTTGTGTAGACTTGAGTGAGGTAAAAGCGAACGAGTGATAGCAGAAGGAAAGGTCCTGATCAGTTGGGTGAGAAGAATATCAAGCAATGAGCGACTTTGGCAAATCTCACCGTCTGCAACCCAATTCTCCAAGTTTAGGGCGCACGGCAGCCATGTGGTGTTGTCGCATTTGTCTGTGTTAAAGGGAAGGAAAGCGTCCAGTATACTTACTCTCTGATCACTTCTGATTCATGACAGGTCTCGACCTTGAAGGAACAGTAATCGGTCCATAGATCGACAGAGGTAGCGATGCTGGCCACACCACGCTCGAAGACCTATGCAGTGTCAATGGACGTTCTTCAACATGCAAGCACGCTCAACCCTACCATTTCTGCAGCCTCTGTGCCAGCAATTGAAAACTCGAGGTCCGCATATTTCTTCCAATACCCGAACAATAAGGGGAACTTTGCCAGAAAACGATCGTATGCGTCACGAGTGGTAGAAATGGCTTGCGGACTCGAATTACGATTCAGGCCACCTTCGAGGCCTTCGGCCGCTTTTATAAGCTCTTCCCAATTTTTGAAGTTATCGGTATCCTCAAGCTGCGCGCAATCACGGTGAGCAATTTGATCGGCATTCTGGGATGAGAGAAGGACTTACAACTGCATTGTTAAGCTTCTTGATCTCTGTGGACTCCTCATCCGTTCCGCCATAGTTGAAGTCGCTCATGGTCGCGAAAGTCGCGAAAGAGTGGTTAGGCTGAAGAGCGAGAATATCGTAGCGTGGAAATGTTGGAAATGTAATGATTCTCGCGCGCTGTTGACGGCGGACCTCTCAGAAAAGACGCGCAAGAGGATGAGAAAGTAATATATGGAGTAGAAACGAAGGACGTGAATTGCTGATGTGGGTCCTTCAGGATTGAGCCTCAATTCGAAGGGTGAGCAACAGACTAGACAAGCGCGGACGGGATCTGCGCTAGCCCTATTCTCTCTAGCGCCAATCAAAATCGTTCTAAGAAACATTTTTCAAATTCTTTTGGCGATTTCCCTTCCTTCATGGCTAATGATGAACGATACACAGTATCATCAAATATAGGAAGAGAATGAACGCTCTTTAGAGCATGATCTCAACATGACAGTTTCTGAAGCCGCTAACAACTTCATACAATCTTTGTTTAATTTGGCCCGAAGCCCGCTAATTTTTGGAAAGCATTTTTGGTTTATCCCAAAAATACCACTCCAAAGCTGCTTTCCTTATCAGTCTTGATCATCGCATTTAACAGGCAAAGACTGGTGCGAAGTTCTTGTCTCATGTCGTTATTTTGGGACGCGGGGAGTCACTGCTGGTTCTCACCTTCGACTCGACCATCTGGAATTATGACTGGATCTTTACCAAGTCTTGGGAAGGCGAAGCGAAATACTGTTTCTTATTCTGAAAGCATTCAAGTGAATGCCTCTGTATAGCAACAATAGTCTCACGACGTTTTCTACGCATCAAGCCTTGATAGGTTTGCCCGAGGTTTCAGAAATACATTGTGTCGAGTCTCAACTAAGTACAGATTCGTCGTCGTAATGTTGTTTTACAATCTCCTTGTATCTCATTATTTCCTACGCAAGCTGTTGTGTATTTTGTATCTTGTGGGTGTAGACGATCATGAAAATGAACGTACAGAGAATTTAACAAGCTTACTTTGAGGAGAGACAAAATACCTAGGTAGTTCCGTACACCAAAGCATCAGGGCATTTTAACACCAGGAGCAACATCTAAACTAAAAAGTGATAAATCTTTCTGCACACTCGCTTGCAAGCTGAACTCTAGGTTTATGTTCAGGATGTTCCAAATGCTGTACTCTGAAGTCTGTCGGCTGTCAATCATATTTAACTTCCCGTAAAGCCAAAGTCAGATACACGTTTATCACGAATCTCTTTTTGAGATACTTCTACATAGATACCTAGACTAGCAAAAGAAATAGATTGTTCAAAATCCATCATCCAACAAGACATTGAGATTCTACATCACGAGCGCTGGTATTCTAAACAAGTGTACTAACAAGAAGCGATCATCCGAGTTTAGCTTCTTCACCCAAGCCTATGTTTAGACCATTTCTACAACAAGGAACTCCGTAAAAACTCCTTAACATATCGATACTCCCGAAAACATACATACATTGAATTCAGCCAGCTCGACAGTTCTCGCCGGTATATCCGCCGAGACATTGTATCGGGTGATCGTCCAAACCACGTTGTCTTGCACCATGGTACATTGCATAATCGCTGCCGCAACCACCACCACATAATGCTCTCGTAGCCCAAATTCTGTCCATCAGCAATTATACCACCCACAGCATACGTTTTTTGATGTTACCTCTTGGACGACATCATCGAGATCGTTATCGGATTTACACCATCCTGCGGCCGTAACATCAGTCCAGCAATAAAGACGCAAACGACCCCTCACTCATCAACCCAACCCTCCTAATCATCCATCCCCCAAATATCAGAAATGCCAAAATGCCATCGCCAAAACACCAAAAAGACCCAACAACAATAGAAATATGGCGACAAGAAGTCTCAGCATGTCTGCACTCCGACTCCACGCCATCCGTCCCTACAACTAACACATACACCTCCCCGCCACCAAATCCGGCAACCCGACCTTCCACCCTCTGGAAGAAAATGAAATACCTACGACTATTTGATTACGCTCCGAAACCAGTCGCCGAAGTGGCACCTATAACGACGGAGATGTATTCGTCATCGACGGATCAAGAGCGGTCTCCTACGACTGATCGAGGGCACGTGGTGAGGGATGATGAGAGCATCGATTTCCACAGCCAGCATAGCGATATACTAGATGGTCTGAGGGAGAAAGCTGAGAGGCTAGAACGGGCTAGGAGACTTTTGGATGGTGGAGCGAAGGGGGATGGGAAAAGGATTGCATAGGAGGCAGAGGAGAAGGTTGAGTTGAGGATGTTGTGTGGTTGTTACACACCGCGTATGAGGGAGGGCCCTCGTTCAGATGTTAGTTGCGTAATATGAGTCTCACGGAGGAAGAAAAATGAGTAGGACATAGGGCTTTTTTTACGTTGTACAGACTGAATGAGTTTGTCACGGCTTGGAACACAGTACTGCTTTCTCACATGTTATCATAATATTTCACAATACACAGGAGAACAAATTGCTTCAGTGTGAGTAAATTTATCAACCCTCTACATACTCAAGAGCTGCGCACAAGGTTCAAAAGGCTATTCGCTATGACAACGCGGGTAGGATGTAAGAAATCCGATGGATATCTAGACCGGAACGCTCCACCAGAGTTACTAATGTCCATTGCATTAGAGAGATTCCCAATACCGTTTGACTATATCTTCTTCTTTAAAAGTCAATGAACCGTCGAAGCTCGGTGAAATTCGCAATTCCGAAATCAAAAGACGCCCGCTTCAAGACCCGAAGGTTCCTTCCACAGATACTGTCTATGATGTGAGAAAGACCGCAGGGGAAAACGCAACCAGAAAGAAAAACATGATCATCAAGTTCGCAGTATGGTGTATTCGCAAATCAGTCGAAAGGCCACTCATTCTGCTTTTCATATCAACTCCCATCCCCTACCCATGCTGCAATCCCACCGCCAGCAACCCAGGTATACCAGCAGAAGAATACGAAAATGAGACGATGAGAATCGGGGGTAGTCGATTTAAGATTCAGTTGCAGGAGTAGCTTCAGTCTTTGGCTCGGCAGCGGCGGTCTCAGTCTTCTCAGCCTCTGGGGCCTTGTCATCTTTTGGTGCCTCAGCTGGAGCAGCGGCCTCAGCCTCGCCACTATCCGAAGAGGTCCAGAGTGTGAGGTTGTCTCGGAGGAGTTGCATAATGAGCGTGCTGTCCCGGTATGACTCTTCTGAAAGGGAATCGAGCTCAGCGATAGCATCGTCGAATGCCTGCTTCGCAAGATGGCAGGCACGGTCGGGTGAGTTCAAAATCTCGTAGTAGAAAACGGAGAAGTTGAGGGCGAGACCCAGTCTGATTGGGTGGGTTGGTGTGAGTTCAGTCTGAGCGACATCGGTAGCGTTCTGGATCATGAATCAGCGAATATTCAAATTTGATTGCAAAATCGCTTCTTACCTTGTAAGCCTCGTGAGCCGCGGTAGCAGCAACCTTGCGCTTCTCGCCTGAAGCGAACTCGGCCAAATAACGGTGGTAATCGCCCTTCCTAAATTGGTATTCATATTAGGGCAAGTTCGATAGGATATGATAGCGCTCCCAGGGCGCATAACTTGATAAGACGTACATCTTGTGGTAAAAGACCTTGGACTCTCCAGACTCGGCTTTTGGGATCAAAGACTCATCCAAGACATCGAGGACATCTTGGCAGACCTTCTCGAGCTCGGTCTCAATCTTCTGGCGGTAGTCTCGGATCGTAGATACGTGCTTGTCGGTACCCTTGGATTCTTCCTTCTGCTCGATCGAGGAGATGATTCTCCAAGACGCACGTCGAGTTCCAACAACGTTCTTGTATGCGACGGACAAAAGGTTTCGCTCGTCAACGGTGAGTTCTCCGCCCAACTGGTCACGCGTAATTAGCTATGTTATCTTTCACGAGCGAATACCACCGGGATCGGCTAGATGTGTAACTGCGTACCTTGGCAACCTCCTTCATGAATGTAACCATTTCATCGTAGCGCTCAGCCTGCTCGCAGAGCCTCGCGAGGAAGGTCTTGCTGTTTTGATGTCAGTGGGAACTTTGGCACAGCGCCTATAGGCGGAATCGGGGGTATCTCGAACCTTTCGCGCTACAGAAACAACAACGAGTCAGTAAAAGTAAACATAAAGAGCACGCCCAAAACCGCTGACAACCGAAACGCGGTCGATAAGGGATGGTGGGCTATGGAGGGGAAGACGGATCACTGTGGGAAGTGACGCGGCGGGCTACAGAACTTACTTCAGTGGTCATTCTTGATGTTATCGGATTTTTAGATGGGAGTATATGAGAGGATTGCGAGGGGCAGATCGATGGATATTGTTGTTTTGGGCAAAGGCTTTGCAAAGAGTGGTTAGATGAGGTTGTGACAACAGGTTATTCCAATTTAAATGGAGCAGCGTGGTTTCCATGGGGACCTCAGGCAGAAACTTTCACCTGATAATCCCAGTAAGCAGTTTCGATATCAACAAACAAAGCGGCGCCCAATCACTGACTTGTTCCATTCAGAAAGGACTTTTGTACTGGATACTCGATACAATTATGGGCCCTGGGATACTAGACTAGATCTCAGTCAACTACTTGTACATTTTTCCAACTCTATGCTGTTGGAATTGCCGACTGTTAGGTCATTCAACACTTGACAACATTCTGCTATCCACGCCGCTTTTTATGTTTCACGTCACAGCCAATTCACTTAGCATGAGGTGATTGATCGTGACGAAGGCATGTTTATTTTCCTAAGCTCAAGATGAGGAGACTTGAATTTACAAGGATTTTCAATGCTATCTTTGAATCACGTTAAAATATTCAAAGTGGGTCTTTTTGTCGTGTAAATTACGGACGTGCTGGTGATCTTAACTTTTATTTCTATCTTTCTGCCTACCAGGACAAACACTTTGCATTCAGTGCTTATGAACATGCTGAAGCTGTTAATAGGATATAAGCAATTGCTTCTTCCAAAAATAGCATAAGATGGAATTGTATTGCCATGGTTTCAAGTCCGTAACTCATTATCTGTGTCAAGGTTGTATACATGAATGCAGTTTCACAAGCACCTCTAATTGTTAATTACTTTTACGGCTTGCGAATCACTTTAGCGGCTACTTTTGTTGATTTGTCCGTGTTAATCACTTCAACCCCATCTATCATGTAGTACGAAAGTATAAGGCTTAGACCATTTTAATCTATTGTTGGATGCAAAGATTGTTCTTGAATTAGACGGTTTCCTTCCAAAGATTCGTGGAGCGAAGTGATTGGGACCAATTTGAATTCACAGGTGACAGCGAAGCAGCAACCACGAGGATTCCGATCACTTCATTTACATTGCAACAGTTCTTCACTACGTCTGTAAAGCTCTTCGTTAGATAATTCAATACAGGAGAGAAGAGGGGAGGTGATTCGATAAAGCTTCGGAGGTGTTTCCTTGTCGAAATAATTGAATTTTCAACTATCTAAATGACAATGCATTTGCGGCAGATTCTATAACAAGATGAGTATCAGATATATCCAAAAAGCAGCGTGCGTATTCGCCGAGTCACTAAGACACATAGAGCACAACCTGCATAAAACCTTTCTAGCTCCTACCTAGCAGTCCTTTCAGCCTTACAAGATCAATACAGATGCTCGTCGCATCACGAGCTGGGTTTCAGTCTTTACCTTGTCAGTTCAGTGTTGTCACATGTGAACGGTCCGGTGATGTCGACCGCGTGACCGGCACGCTTGAAATATCGAATCAGACTGCTAAATTCCTAGAAGCAATTCAGATAATCGGAGGATCCCCTCGTTCCATGTATGAGAACATTGGATTGTATTCAGTCTTTCTCTGGGTTCTTTGGGACGAGTAGCGTTCCGAGTCTAGGGCAATGGTAATGTGAAGCCGGCGTCGGATTATTGTTCTTCCAGAATATCTCCGATGGGCTTCTGGAAAAAGTTGAGGCGATCACACTCTTCCGGCAGTCGCTTCAATCAATCATCCCTCAGCGTCGAAGGCAATTATACTCGGTGGTTAGACTCACTAAATATGGTAAGCCTTTCACCCGTGATGGATAGGATCTTGAAAATCCAGAAGATACACTTCCAATGGCACTAAGCATCTAACTCTGTACTCAGGCGCATCGAATCATAACGCAAGTCGTCCTCACCGGCTCACGAGTCCTTGGACGCGCTTTCGCCGAAGCCTACAAGCAAGCCTCCGCTTCTTCACAATACGCCAAAGCGAATAAAGCTGCTGGTGGTTCGGGAGCTTTTTCCTCACACAGCGGTCTCACTCTCGAGGAAGCATGTAAAATACTGAACGTAAAGCCTCCTCAGGGTGGAAAAGCGAATATGGAAGATGTAATGGACCGTTTCAAGAAGTTATTCGACGCCAATGATCCAAAGAAGGGTGGGAGTTTCTATCTGCAGAGTAAGATTCTGAGAGCGAGGGAACGGATAGAGAGTGAAGCCCGGGTGGCGGAGGAGAAAGCCGAGCAAGCGGCAGAGGCGAGAGAAGGTTGGAAACCTAAAGTCTTTAAAGATCGGTAGCGCTGATATACAAAGTTCCCAAACGGTGACAGCGCTGGGAACGATTTGACGACAAAATTCGTGCGGACTGAAACATCTAATGCGGAAATTTGCTCCAACATATAGGTGGACGAAAGCACGATCGGAACGGGATACTGGACATCTTCTCTCTGTGTAATTCGACATAGCCAGGCGTTATTGGAATTGTAATCTATCTTGGGGGCTCTCATCGGCATTTACACGGACCTAGGTGGTCTCGTTTGTTGTACAATATTACGGAAGGTTGGACATACCTCGAAAATAGGAGGTTTGAAACGAGTATAGAAGAGTTGACGGATTCGAATAACTTCGATACATATTTTAATTGAACATTCAATTAAGAATGGCTACACCGCTTCCTCTCGGGCTATGTTAAAACGACTGAAGCTTGACTTTCGGTCAAGTGAAGTATTGTTTGTTCATGCGGGTTCAGCTGGCTCAGAGACTGCCACGCCATCCCTTCTTTTCACTCATGTACTTTTAGATTTTCTTCATTCGTGGAATGACGATGAATAGATGAAATTTGTCAAGCTGATTCGTCTCCGTCTTTGTTCCTTCGCATCTAACTAAGTGGCATCTTGCTGGCGTTGTCTCGATGTCGCGCTTAGCAGCAATCTCGGAAATTTGCAATCATTCTCGAACAACAAAGATTCAGTTTGATTTCCGTTCCTTTCAGACAGGACCACGAGTCTGTATACTTGATTTTATTCAACAGAAGATAAATGACCGAGGTTACTCTATGTTGAGCACTAGAGAATCTATCATCGAGGTACTCATCTAACGCTTCCATTTGTTAATCCAAAGCATCAAATCTTCCTCGAGGTCAAAATTACAATATTATGAATTCCATATTGGACTTCCAAGTCAAACGAGTTTATAAGCCTTACTCAATACTTACGCACACAACATTCCACCATCCACCTCGTATGAACCTCCAGTCAAATAACTAGCTTTATCACTCAACAGAAAAGTCGCCAGATATGCCACTTCCTCAGGAGAACCCCATCTTCCCATTGGTACTCTAGCACAACTTGCGTCCGACTACCTCGATTCAGTACTTGTTTCTCTATGTACGAGAGTTCCTGACTTACAGCTTCCTTATTCTCATGCCCCTCTTTCGTCATGGCAGTCTTGATCCATCCTGGACTGACACAGTTGACTCGAACACCTTTAGGTCCCAAATCCATAGCCGTACTTCTCGTGAGACCAAGAAGACCTAAAGAATTCTCTTTGTCAATAGTCCCGCAGCAAAAGGGGTCAGGATATATTACCATGTTTAGCCATAACATAAGGCGTTAGATTCGGAACCATAGTAATATGACTACACACACTCCCAACATTAACAATACTCCCTCTCGTTTTGTATGGCAATCCCGTCCTGCATCCAGTTAGCCCATACTCCCCATAAAAACCAAGTTCATACGTCAAACCCCTCTCCTCCTGCCCTAACATAACCTTCACAACAGCCCTCTCACACAACCACACGCCCCTCAAATTGACACCCAACACCTTATCCAGCGCTTCGACCTCCGAAGTCTCAAAAGCTTCCATACTCCCACTAATCCCCGCAGCCAGGAACGCGATATCGATTCTCCCGAATCTATCCACGGTCTGCTTGACCGCGGCTTCGACTTCCTGTTCTTGAGAGACGTCTGTTGGGAGGATGAGAACCTCTGTTTTGGGTGAGAGTTGAGTGAGAGCTGTGGGTAAATTGTTTAAGCTGTCTGAAGAGAGATCGAGGAGGGCGATTTTGGTGATTCCTACGGAAACAAGATGGCGGGCTGTTGCGAGGCCGATTCCTGAGGCGGCACCTAGCCCGCGGATTCTATCTCAGCAACTCAGCTTCTCATGTGAAAGGTTTAGCATACCAGTGACAAAGGCAACACTAACTCTATCAGCAGTCATTCATCTCACACAAGAAGCTCACTCACCAGCCCTCATGAAACTCAGACATTCTTTACGCTTTCCGAAATTTCTTTCTACTTCTATGATGGTAATTCAGAAAGTGACTGAGACTGACGGTAGATATATAACTAGACACCAAGGAACCGGCTCTATGCAGCAGGGACCAGTTTAGTGAAAGAACATCATGGTCGTTCGTATTTCTTTTGAACGCTAAATGCGGGGTACCCGGGTATCACTGTGTAGGAAAAACGGGGGTAACTATGAAGGTCCTCGGATGTCACCCGACGGGAGCTACGGTAAGTAGTTGGATGTTGTCCATTTGTATCATAATTTTTGTAAAAAAATGTTGTTGTGGTGTATAACTAAAAACTTTCTACTCTCAGATCCCGGATTCGAGAATGGTTCAAGACCCCTGCGCTCTTCAACGTCCAGTGTTGCGCTCGCAATACGACGGCAAGCGGTGTAGCATATATGAAGATGTTAATTGAATGCTCGTCATCAACCTGATTCAAGACCAAGAATTACAATTCCCAAGAAATAGCCCCACCGACGCCATGCTACGGAACCAATTATGCAACCTAGTCTACATGTACACCAACACCAACCAGTATTACATTCTTAACCCTTAAATAACAGATGCCAAGTCATCTGTCCCTGATATCGTATCTAACGAGATAACGCCACCCAACCTATATTATCCTCATAAAAGCAATCTGTCATTATGACTGTTTTCTACCAGAAACTACACCATCCAATATAATGCTGGCAAAGATTCTCGAACTTCGTTGCCTCGGTTAAGAGCTTATCGACTTGAAGGATGTACGTTAATTCCTCATCAGGTTTGAAGTCTCGTCCGATGAGCTTCTCTTTCACACGATTCAGCACTTGCATCGCCCGCTCATTCTGCGTCTCCTGTAATTCACCGTCAACCATAGGACCATGGACTGTAGAGTTCGTTCTCCCGCGAGGCCGTGACGAAGGTGGTGCCGCTCCAAGTGTTGGATCCTGAGCCATCAGAGCTGAGGGCGGAATGTCTGCGTCCATGATTGAGGGTCTGCGATCTGCCATCATGGAATTCCGTCGCTCGGCACGGAAATTTGGACCTCCAGTGGGAGAGGCGTCACCGGTCAGACGCCAGTTGAGGAGAGGGTCGTGAATGAACTATCCAATCATTAGTATATAGCAAGAGAGACTCTATATTTGATCTTACCGCTTCGAGTACAGCCATCAAAGACTCTTTATTCTCTCGTAAAACTCTCATTACATTCTCACAAGTAATTCTGAAACTGCCTTCAATGTTTCCGACTTCCATGGCGTAGGTCAACATTCTTGTCAGTCGGAATGGGACTCGCTCGGGATATTTCTCACGGTGCATGGCGACCTCGAAACAGTCACCAAAATCAATATGAATGATCTTGCCGGTGATCCTATCAAGCATCAAATTGGAGGGATGTCTGTCACCAAGACCAAGAATGTATCCAACCATTGACATAACACCGAGGGATCTTGTGTAATTTGTTCGTCTCTCCAGCCAGGACTCGGAACTCTTACTTTTCAGCCAAAGGACTCTGTAGAGATCTTGTCCAGTGGTATTGTCAAGTGCATACCCAAAGACTTCGACTTTCTGCATGAGCGTCAAGTTATCATAATCGGGTGCCATCTGAAGCATGATCCGGTGTTCGATATTGAGGAGGATTTTACGGCTTTCTCTGTATTCCCGAATGAGGACGTGCAGAGTATCACTGTTTGGCACCCAACCGAGGAGACCAGAACTTTGCGACAATGGTATAGCCGCATACCGTTGGATATTCAGATGGCGGCGATAAGATTCGGGGTCAACGTGAAGAAGGGTGTTGCATAGGCCAAATAGTTGCATAACACGCTCGTCTTGTCGTATATCTTCGTGGCCCTTGAGTACGAAAGCATGTGTCTGTCCATCACTACCGTGCAGCTGAAGCTTTCTCGGTCGCTGTTTGGAAGAGATCACGGTAAAGTTCGGGTCAAAACCGACGATTTTAATGACCTCTTTCCCACTCTGATAGGTACCAGGTACAGCTAAATCAAGATTTTCGGCCTTCTGCAATTTAGGCGAGACGTATGCCAGCTCCAAGTTGTTGAGTTGTGGTAGCTGTCGTGCAATTCTTCTGAAAACTTGGTAGTAGAGGTCCCATGCGGAGTTGATTTCCCCAATATCTCCAGACTGTCTGTAGGCGAAGCACCACTCACGTGCTTCTTGAAGATCGCGGCCAAAGGTCTGAGCGAAGGATATTTCGCGAAGAGTCTCAGGACCAGCATCAAGCATATCGTGAAGTGGCGCGAGTGTGTTGAACATACCCTCAATATTGCGATCACCGAAGTAAAGTCGGGAAGCTTCCTCCAGGCCTTCGTGCCAGAGTTCGTGCCACAAAACCGCAACACGAATAAGTTCGTGACTGACAACATCAGCTTGCTCGACGAGTTTTGCGCTGTGTTGACGCACGCTGTCCATGATCTGGACAGCAGATCTAGATCGCCGGGTATTTGGCGCCGACTTCATGGCAACAGTCAATGGATATACTAGCGCCTGCGGATGAGCTCTGCCGACATCCGCAAGTAAATTATGAATGGATTGTCGAACTCGAGTGTTTGGTTGATTGATGCGAGCAATCAATTGTGGAATGACTTCTAACCAGGTATCCACACTGACAGAGGCGAAGCCCTCAGTGACCGCAGTGTTAACCTCAGGGCTTCCACCATGCGCGAACCATAAAGTCAGTAATCTCAGGGTGTCTTGGAGAGAACTGTCACTTGAGAGTGCGATGGACTTGAAAAAGCCTCGAACCGCGGGGACAACGTGTTCGATCAAAACATTCGGAGAAACGACAAGGTCACGGTCCTTGTCAGACTTATGCCCCAAGGTCTGAACGATTTCGAAATTTGCCAGAGCCCATGCATGCCACGCCTTGTACCAGTTGGGGTTGAAGTGGGTTGCGGCCCGGTAGGATGCCAAAACATCTTCAACTTGGTCGTGCTGCCAGTTCCCTTGCCTTTGAGCAACTTGCCACTCGCCCTGCTTCAAACAGCATCGAGAAAGCAAAACCGTATGAGCTTGCATCGCTTTGGAATTGAGGATGTTAGCGCCGGCCATATTTGGATTGGCATAACCATTTGTAATGTTAGGGTTGTTGTTCATATGCATATCACCGTTCATGCCTTGAGGAGCCATCTGAGCGGCTTCCAGTCGATCGGCCATATCTAACGTTAAGGTTTTGAGCCCATCCAGCGCTGGAGCCCGCTTTCCGGCAGACCAGTGAAATTTAAGCACAGCATACTGGACGTGAGCAGGAATTGCGTTTTTGATGCGTCGTTGGCCATTCTGCCGAGGCCCATCTTCTGTGTAGGGGAGTAGGGTATCGAGACTCTCCTCAGTACCGATCAGCCTCTTCAGTGACTTTTCTGCCAGACCCATACGCCCAGAACTTCGACAAAGATTTGCAAATTTGATCTCCATTAACATGTTTTCTTTCGGAGAAATGACCAAGCCTCTCAGATTTAGCATCCTCTGCCAGACTTCGACATTTCGCTGACAGCCGAGAAGACGCTTTTCCCAGGTGTGGCGCATTGTCTCTTGTTTATGAGTTAACCCGTTACTCTGCTTATAAGTAATCAGCTCTTCTAGCTCAGCAAGCATTTGTACGCGGACGACAACAGTGTAAGCTCTGTTGTAAGATTCATTGACCAAAGCACTGAGCTCAGTATCCAGCGCTTTCCGAGCCTTTTGGACATATGAAGCGGCCTCGCGGAATTGATTACGATGGAGAGCCAGAATCGCGCCGAAGAATGATCGATCTGGGGTATCGACCTTCATGACGCTGAGATAGTCATCCATCAGGTCCCATTGGCCCAGTCCCCATGCAGCGGCAGTCGCCAGAGGAGCAACGCGTCTTTTTATACTCAAGGATGAAGTGTGCCACTTATCTTGCGCTAATGAGGATAGAGAATCCCATTCGCCCAAAGCATGTAGACATCTCATTTTTCCCATAATAACTTCAATTGTGTCGGCATCGCCCGGAAATTCCTGTTCCCTTTTCTTGTAGAACTCCAGAGCTTCCTCCCAGCGTTCCAACTTCTCAAACCAAGTCTCTCGAAGTGTTATCCCATCCTTGAATGACTGGGCCTTACGCAGAATGCCTATAGCCGCATCGTATTGTTGTAGCTGATTGTTGATCTGAATCAATGCCTCAACAGCTCCACTAGACTGGTCTTGAATGAACTCTAATTCTTTGTAATGCAAAGCCTTTGCCCATGCGTGGCACCTGCCAGCTTCGCGACCTAGTACCCGGATGTCAATGGGGAGAGCTTTATCATCATGTTCCATAAACTCGGCAAGATTGAGCAAGACACCAAGAAGATCTGGCGTAATATATTCTGATCGTATGGCGGTCTCTATGTTTTGTATCAAATCGTCCTAGGGTTCAATTAGCTCAAGTAAATGGGTCTGTTTCACCAGCGTGACTACTTACCTGATAAGGCTCGAAGAGGTCGCTCCAACAAGATACGAAAGCAGAGTTGAATAATTCCCTTGCTAGAGGGGGGTAAACGCTCGCAAGCGACGCGCAAGCTCTGAGTGCATGGTTAGGGGATTCCGTCAAAACCGTCAAACTAAATCTTCTCATCCATTCTTGCCAATCTTCTTTCGTCGACTTGCCAGTCGCGTCCCAAGCCGCCTTTAGATGCACCGGGTTAGAGTCAAGCTTTTTGTTTGATGGATCTTGAACAGTATCATCATTCAGGTGTCTATAGCGATCATCTGCATTCAGATCTTGTGGTAAGACTTCCCCCTTCTGGAGCTTGCTAACCAATAGCTCATAGTTTTGGTGTGATATCTGGTTGGCAACAAGCACCTTGTTGATTGTTCCAACGAAGTGTAAATAGTCCTTGCCTAGCTGGAAAATCAAAGCGCACAACGTGTCAAAAGCAGCAACTCGCAACGCTGGGTCATTGCCAGCTAAAACTCTAGCTAGAGGATGAATGATCTTTGAAGCATAATCATTCAGATTGACTTGACGCGATATTTTGCCAATAGTTTCTATGGCAAGTTTGCGAATGAGTGGCTGTTGACCGGGTTTCTCGAATACATTAACAATGACTGGTATTATCAAGTGCATATACTCTTCTGCGCTTGAACCAAAGATCAGAAAAGCGTGTAGAACCCGCTCAGATGGTAGTCTTTTGACAGTGGTATCTTTATCGAGCACTCCAAGCATCAGAGGAAGTAATCCAGCAAGGTAAATCTTGAACTCTCCTTCGAGCGAGCGTGATATTGACTCCACGAGCGTCAGAATATTGGCTTGTAGCGAGGGCGATTTGTCCCAGTATTCTTGGAGAAGTTCAACAATTTGTGGTAGGTAATTCCTTATGTGCTGCTTGACAATAGTAACTAAGATGCTGAGGTTACTAAAGTAAGATTCCAGTCTCGCGGTCGGAGATGCTCTGATGACGGCTAAGAAGGCTGGAATGATCTTGTTAAGAAAAGGAACACACTCCATATTTAGGGTTCGAAAGATCTGCATAATAGCTTCTACAACAACCGCATGATGCTGTACTAGCGATTGATCTTTTAAGATCTGAAGGAGAGCATTGATAACAACAGTTGGGAAGTATTCTTTGGTTGAAGGTGTGAGCCCGTCCATCATGAGTGAGATATCCGTTGTCCGATTTGACTCGAGGTGGAGTTGCGTTTCTGGCGAGGTTTCCTCGACTTGTTGATGTCTGTACGGATCAAGTGCGCCAAGGATACCCATAAGTTTAATTGTCTCGTGTCTAAGCACCTGTCTTTGCGGCTCTCCGCGAATGATACCCTGTAGAATTTCTAGGAGATTTGGATAGTCCAGGTATGGTTTGATGACATAGCCCGAGTTACTAGCCAGTTGCCCAAGTGTTCGAAGAGCAGCTTCGCGCTTCGCAGGCGAACTTTGGTCTTGAAGCGCCTCAATAATGATAGGCATGAGTCTGTCAATGTATGGAATCATGTCCTCACCCCCCACTGTCGAAAGGTCGCCAATTGCCTTCAGAATTGTAGAAGCCACAGCCGGACTCGGATCCCTAGCTTTGGGTAAGAGAACTGCTATCATAGGATTCACATACGGCTTGATTAGGCCTTGCGAGTTTTGGACCAAGAGACTGAGTAGTTTGGCACTTTCTTCCTTGTTTCTTGCAACATCGGAAAATTCAAGCTCGGTGAGCATTTGAATTAATATCTTCCTGAGTGATGGAATCACATAGGCGGGATTGACCGACGTCAGACGCCCGATGATAGCAATAGCCACTTCTCTAATCTCGAAAACTTCATCGTTTAGAGCAAAGAACAACGTCCGAATATTTTCTGCTTTTGCGAGATGACGATCGAAGCGCTCGTCTAATGCAGCAAGAACTGTCCGTCGAATTCCAGGCACAGGGTCAGCGACACCCACGGTAAGTAGCTTTTCAATGACTTCGTTAACGACCTGAATTGCATGGTGACTAGTTTGATTGACAATGGGATCTCTAACATAGAGCTGGCAACACGTCAATGCTGCTGCCTCACGAATATCGGGATTTTCGTCTTCGACATATTTTATTGCGACGTCACGAACGAACTCGTTGAGGACATGGCCAGAGAAGTCGAAACTGCCAAGTGTGTTCAGAGCAAGCTTAATCTCAGTCTGCCGGTGCTCGTACGCCATAGGATCTCTCGAATCTTTTGGTACAACGGGGGCCGCAGCGATGCTATTCGGTGTAGGCGCACCAAGGGGCTTGAATGGCTCTCCGCATAGGACCTTACTCAACATGTGCAAAAGTCTTTCTTGGATGGTCGGCTTAACAGGCGGAATGTAAAAAGCCATGTCGACGAGTGCTTGCGTGAGTTTTGGTGTCAATTCACAAGCGAATATTGGATCGAGAAGAGCCTCCATATATTTGCTGAGAGTTTGACCGACTGCAACCGCCAGTCTGCTGATACAGTCGAAGACAGGATCAACGGTGCCACTTCGTCTTCTGGTAATATGTTAGCAAGGCGCCAGGGTGCTTGAAACAGAAATACTGACGATTTTAAGCTTAGGCCCTCCCGGACGTATATCAGAACGCCATCAAGATAAGGAGCAATAGCACTTTTAACAGCGTTTGCAATATTGCCAATAGCCAAAAAGGCGTCATTTCGGTCCTTGTCCTTCTTCAACATGCCGGAAAGGAACACCATAAACTTGTGCAAGTAAGACGCAGCGAATTCGCTAGGCGAGTAGTTCGCAAGCTCTGGTATCAACATAACGACTGTCCTCCGAATTGTCATATCACGATGGTCTTTATGACGAAAGACAATGTCGCAAACCTCGGCGTAGTGCTCCTGCATGAACATTCCACCTTGATGAAGCAGTTCTTTAATGACCAAGAGTGATCCATGGATGTATTCAACGGATCCTTGCCTAACCCCCTGAACAGCTTCGTCATAAATCTTAGCCTGCCATGTCTGTCGCATGGCTTGGTCTCTTTCTCGTATAATCTGAAAGCAGGCACTTATAGCCTCAGCAGCTGTCTGCCGAATAAGCAGTCTCTGGTCTCGTAGACCGACCCATATTTGATCGAATATCAGACCGACAAATCCATATACCAGCGTGGGTGAGTTTCGGGCAAGTTCTCGTAATATAAGGACCGCTCCATATCGTCTTTCCTCTACACGATCCGACTGGAGCCATTCGAGGGCTGTCTTGATCTCGGCTTCGACTAGATCTGAAATCAACGATCCCCCTGGTTTACATATTTTTCCCAGCGCCGAGGCAGCTGGCTGCATAGGCACCAGGTCCTTTCCTCTAAGTACAGTTCGTAATGATTGTGTGAATCGAGTCGTCCTCTGTCCAGCATCGACGCCGTCGAAATCGATGAGCGCATCGAGAGCATAGATACCACCCAGTCTGTCCACCGGTTCGTTCGTATGGCTAATGAGGGTTGTAATCTTCTGGTTGACAACATTATAAAATTCCTGGAAGCGCTCCTGGGATAAATCTACAAACGAGTTAGTCGTTACGAGCAGCTTGAAATTTCCCCCACATACCTCTAGAAGATATCTCCACCAATTGTCTCAAACTTATTGCCGCACGTCTTCTGACATCGTCACTGCTCCTGTTTAAAATCATCAGTCTCTCTTAACATCCACAAGGCTCCAGGAACAACCCACTTCGAGCGCAAGTCTGCCACAATACTGTTAAGGGCATCTCCAGGAGTCTGCGCCATCTTGTGTAAAAACTTCTGCCAACTTCCTCTCTACTGCGCACGCGCCATCTCCAACCATAAAGGCGCGTACGTTATTGTGATTGTCTGTGTTTGAGGGTCGGCGATGTTTACTCTTAACTTTCGACGTTGTGACGGAGCTCATCTGGAGCTGGGAAATCGGGCGTGACCATTTACAGGGGGATTGGAGCCGACGGAGCCTAGCGTACTTCCGATAGGCTTATCGAACAACCTTTTGAGGAACGATCTCGATCTTCGATACAACACTAAATCTGTTGCAAACACGTTCAATATTTATCGGCATTAACAGCAGTCATGGGTAATGATGGTGGTAGCATCCCGACGCGAAGAGAGCTGGTCAAAAATGCAGCACGAGCATTGAATACATCGGAATTCAAAGCCAAAGAGCAAGAAGCTCAAGGGCACGCGTGGACCTATTGCCCCCTCTCGAATCGACCCCTCGTTGCGCCTATCGTCTCCGACTGCGCAGGCACATTATACAATAAGGATGCCATACTTGAGCAGCTGCTCCCAAAAGATGATGATGTACCGGCCCCAGTGATCAAGGAGAAAGAGGAGGTGTTGCAAGGCCGAGTCAAAGGGCTACGAGACATTGTCGAAGTCAAATTCACAGTCGTAAAGGAAGGCAAAGAGGAAGAGAAGAAGATCTGTCCAATCACCAGCAAAGAGCTTGGTCCGACTACGAAATCTGTTTACCTCGTTCCCTGTGGGCATGCATTTTCAGATGTGGCGATTCGGGAAGTAGCTGGAGATACTTGCGTGGAATGTAACGAACCATACAAGAGCGACGATGTCATCACCATATTGCCTCTGGCGAAAGAAGATATCTCGAGGCTGGCAGCGAGAATGGCTAAGTTGAAGGAGTCAGGGCTCACTCATTCGTTGAAAAAAGCACCCGGCGCAAAGAAGAGAAAGAAGAACGCCGAAGCTGCAGAACCAACCGAAACATCCTCCGCGAACGAACCAACCTCAAATCCAAAGACGAAGTACAAACTGGTTGGTAATGATAAGGTCAAATCCAGCAGTGGTGCGTCGACCCCAAATGTCACATCAAATGGCATTAAGAATGCTGCAACAGCATCTCTTACAGCCAAAGTGTTGGATGAGCAAGAGGAACGCAACAAGAGGCGCAAACTAGGTCTTAATGATAATCTGAAGTCGTTGTTTTCAAGTGGGGGATACAGCGCACAAGCACACAAAGGTGGCGATTTCATGACTAGAGGATTCTCTCTTCCCAAGAAGACTACATGAATCGAGTCTCCGGAGTTGGAAAATCTGAAAATATCATTTAGCGAGGCGTTGGTCCAGCGGGCATAGCAGGGTGATACAGGATTGGGCATATTCTTATATCAGCAGTAACTCGAATTAAAGCGATTTCGTTCATTCATTCCCGTCTCATGTGGCGGTAGCTGAACAGTCGTATGAGAGCCTTACCACCACCGGCTCGGTCCGTCCCAATGCAAGCCCTCTACCATCTCAACAACTCGACTTCCACACCTCCCAGTGGGCCAAAAGCAACTATTGGTGACGAATACTCCAACTTGTTTCATCAAACCAAACTACAACTCCTCCTCAACAACCTCCTCCCTTCCAACAGCCCTCGCAACCATCTCCTTCATCTTCATCCAGCCCTCGACAGAGAATAACCCGCCATCTCCATTCGTGAAAATAGAAGTACTACCCATCTCTATCATTGCATACCAGTCAACACGCTGAGATCATGGTTGCCCTGTACAGGGCAGATGAGGAGGAAACGGGGGAGGCTTACGAGGATAGTTATTCATCCAATAAGGCAGAGGTCGAGGAACTGCTAACACGGCAGTTGTGAGGGAGAGGAGGAATATGGGTGTTGCGATGCGCATTTTGATGAGGGATGCGTGTACCTCTTCTCGGTAAAAAGGGTGGTCCAGAACGCGAATTCTGGCGCTAATAGTTCGAGTATTTGGGCGGTTTCGATGGTAGATTTCAGGAATTCAAGAAATCCTTCAAATATAGCCAATCGAAACAGCGAATTTACTCGTACCAATCGTCCGACACCCAGTCCAATATCTCGATCGTCGTGTTCAAGTATCAGTGCAAATCAAGTATATCAATAAAATTCTTCTCTCCTCACCAACCACCCAAAACAATCCCCAACCCCAATCCCAAACCCCATCCTTTTATACCCATTCCCTCCCCTCTTCCCGTCAATCACCAAAAGTCCCATGACCCATCCCTCACCCTCCAATCACAAATCAAAAATCTACCGAGCGGGAACGGTAATATGGATAAATACCCACGATGAAATCACCTACAACCCGCCAACAGGTTCACAAGTCTTTTATTACGAGGTTATTAGTTGATATACGTGGCTTTTTGAGTTCGCTGGTACGGAATTGGGTGGGAAGTGGTGTATTGGGAGGATGTTTATTGGGGAGGGATGTTCTTTGATGATGGGAGTTTATATGTAGATTTACGAGGACCTGACACAAACAATTTTGCACTCTCAGTATATCAGCCAAGCAGCTCCCAACATACCTTACCTGAGCAGATATTGTGCCCATCACAGACGCCCAGACAAATACTTTCGAGACGTAATTTGCTTTTATATCATACCTATATCACCTACCCTACGCCAACCACCACCAAATCAACCCAATCTCATTCAACCGCTCACCGTACAACTAAAACTCTCAGCACAAAACGTATTAACAAGCTTTCCATTCATCGAAAGTACGTGTCTTATTATAAAAACTCGTCATCTAGCACCTCGCTCCATGCCCATTCTTTCCCATCACGCTCCCCAACTGCCAACACAGGGTACTCATTCAGCTAGCACTATACTAGATTACTCTATCAAAACGACGAGATAATCAATCATCTCACGCTATGCACTTTTCTCTCATTTTGAAAAATCCACTTTTTTCGCTTTCCACGAGGGCCACTATTTTTCCTGCGGTATCAGATATGTAAGCCAGAAAACATGCCGTTCTACTTTTGCCCATCCCATCCCCAAACCCCCGCTCCGCTCAGTAGCCTATGTATATAGAGGTAAAGAGTCATTTTTTGCTAAAAACACAATATGCTCGTTGGCTCATCGTAAAAAGATTCATAGAATGCTATATGCCTCTCTGTGGGCCAGTGCTTCCCAAGCCTCGTAGTTGTCCATCTGGCATGTCTCTCAGTTTGCAGTCTTTGGCTCGAGGTAGTCGTTGAAACTTCGAGCAATGGTAGGACTGCCCTCGGGGCTAGCCGGTGGCTCGATGGATTCGATCCATGCCACCGCTTCCCAGCTCTCATGGTTCTTTTTGCGTTCTGAATTGGCAACATTGAGGTTACTCTTGACTTTCAGTCTACGCATTTCCCTTTCATTTACAACAGCTCGCATGGTTTTTTGCCTCAGAGCCGAGGTAGCCCAACCTTGTACGTTCCCCAATCTTGACGATTCCAACACATATTTCAGTAGAAAGTAGGGCAAGTTGAGGAGGAGCTTTGACAGAATGGTATTTTCGTCGCCATTCGTAGTATATCTAGGACTCTCATCCGATGCGTGGTCACCGAATTTGATACTGCTAAGGCGAGGGTTGTGGGTCTTTGGTCGATCGTCAGGTGGAACTTCAGGCAAGCGGCGATTATGGGTAAAGTCTCCAACGGACTTATCCAGCTCAAAAGTTGGAGGAAAGTTTGTGATGGTCCAGTTCAGTGCGGACTGGAGAAGTAGATTAACTGTCGGGCCATATGTACTAGGGGAGCGACCTTGCTCAGCTGCAGGTTGGAGAGTCCAGGAACAGTCGAGACCACCATCGAGAGCGAAATCGAAAGCCCTCTCAAGAGTGTTCCAACAGATAGATTGCGCAGCGATCTCAATGCCGCGATTGACTGCTGGTGGAATTTGAAGGATATGACCAGCAGCAGCGTAACCCAAGGCAAGATCAAATCTGTCTGAAAAGGTCTCTAACGCCGGCGAATTGGTTTGGGTACTAGGCGCTCCATTGAGAGCAGAGATATGATTAAGATCCAGAAGAGGTCCGCCATATAGTCGCTGCATAGCCAACCAGAATGCATCTGATCGGAGGAAGCGATCGTCAGACTCTATGAAGAGTGTTTTGGCAGATATGGCATCACCATTGGCCTCTTTTTGTTGGGATACCATAAGAGACTTTAGGGTAGGGCTGCGTGCGAATATGATGTTGTGGCCAGGAATACGTACTGCAGGCGCACGGTCGTCCGAATATCGAAGCTCAAGTGTATAATCGGCAAACGCGGGATCAGCAAACTGGTTCTGTAAATATTGTACCAGACCATCATAGCGTTCCTCTGGCATAGGAGGCGGAGGAGCCATGTGTGCTGGGTGAAATCCGCTTGAAATAGGAGGGCCGGCTTGAGGTGCATGACGAGACTTATGGCGAGGCTGTTGAAACACCTGAACTTCATTGATGTGGCCATTGGAGCCGTTAACAACGGCAGTCGAGTTGCTGTATTGGTGGTAGAAAGCCGAGCCATTGTCGTGCTCGTTGGGCGCAGAAGACTGGGAGCCGTGAAAGCTATGTGGTGTCGAAGGGTCAAAAGGTGGATATCGATAATTTTCAGGGCCCATTGGAGTCGCCGAGGGGGAATATCCTTCAGGAGGGGCAAAATGACCCATTTGACGGCGAGCATAGTTATCGGCGCTAGGGCCATGGTTCATCATACCATCTGGACGAGGGTAATGATATCCTGGTGGCGGTGGAGGGCCCATCGGAGAGTATCCATTGGACATGCCTCCATTGGACTGGTGCGGACCATGGCGACCAACATTGTGATGTGCGTGTTGGGGAAATGGGTAAGGCGGAAGGTTGCCCGCTGATGGTGGAGGTGCTGGCGACGAATTGTTCGATTCTGGATATCCTCCAAACCTCAGACTTCCAGCACTCGGGTGCGCATGATGCATTGGATGATGAGGACCATTGAAAGTAGGCGGATGAGGAAGATTATGTGCCTCGGGGCCCATGTTTGGGTACTGCGAATTCGTGGATGGAACAAACGGCGGTGGTAGTTGGTATGTAGATCGAGAGGTAGATGACAGAGCTTCAGAGGGAGCAGATCGTGGGGTTTCCTGGGTATCTGCTGTGGTGTTGTCAGTTTCATTCACGTAGAAAACCACCGTGGGTAAGATTCCGTTTGCATACCTGGAGGCTCTTCATCGACCGCTGGGGTGTCGGTGGATTCTACAACTTCTTCTGCGACAGAGCCAGCAGACTCAACAGATGTGTCTAGCTCCGGCTGTGCCTCTACTTCTGGTTCTGGCTCTGGCACTGCTTCAGCTTGTGCCTCTGGTTCCGACTCGTTCTCTTCGGTCTGTTCTGCCTGGGTGGGTTCGTCTTTTTCCAAAGTTGATGACCCGTTCACAACCACCGTCTCAGAGATAGGTGATGTAGGTGCGGGTGACTCCGCGACAATTGGTGAAGCCGGCGGCGCTTCCTCCCGCTCAATCTTAGCTCGAGCTGCTTGTTGCTTTTGTCTCTTTTGCACATATGTCAGTGGGATGGCAGGTACAATTGCCTTTGGAACGGCGGGCCGTGGTCGATTTTGCTGAAGAGCTTTGGCAGAATTGTTGATGGGTGCCATGATGGTTGCAGAGCTCTGTAGAGCTACTTTGACCAGGGATTGACTTTTACCCGACGTCCCCAAGATTCAACGATGACCGTAGAGCAGGTCATGTAGCATCCGGGGAGTCTTTAATGACGCGGTGCGGATGTTGTAAAGTCGCGTTCAAAGCTGGTAATCAGATCCCCGCCTTAGAAAATGTCGTTGACCCTGTTCGAAAGTCTTCGAATCGCTTAGCCCCCCTGTATTAGGAATAGCGTCATGTGAGCTTCCTACCTCATTCTTTACACATCACTTTGCGATTTGTTATACAAGTTGACTGGCCTAGATATATAATACAGTTTCAAACCGAATCTGATGGATTTTGCATCGAATTGAATGAAAGGTTTTCATCTATCACAGCAACTTATCTCAGAAACAACTCAGAACATTTTTCATGCCCTTGCGGACTCCCGTCTTTGGTGGGCCGGCACTTACCTACCTATGCAAGTGTACTTGCGCTCCCAAGCCTCAAACGCCCGTTAAGAAGATCATGTCTCTTCCATATTAATAGCGATTCCAGATCTTGAGCATTGAGGGGCCGGTTTAGGTTCTGTATATTTTTGTGATAATGGCAGAATATGACAGCTTCCACCAATGTGCTGCAAGTTTGATAAGCTTCCTCCTGACAATAGGACGTTTCCTACCCAAACAGCCACGATTATTTATGTTCAATTAAATATCCCATGTCGTCTCTTGTAGTAAACACAACCCCATCTGATTAATCCCTTGTACTGGAATGTCGTTTTCTCACATTATTGTAATTGAAGAGTGTCCATTCGCGCTTGTAACGCTTTTGTGTTTGGATGTGAGAACTTACCTAACGTATCAAATTGTATCTCTTCAGCTGCCACAACCTGCATGCTATTTTCATCCCAGAGGGGTTATACTCTCCTGACTATCGGTTTTCATTTTTATTTCCTGGAAAATATCTCGAGTAGAATCCTGAATCAAATACAAAAGTAAAGGAGTTGCAGATACTGGTTAGCGAAGAAATTTACTTCTCATAGTATTATAATTGGCCTCTATTCTATAACGCAGCCTCGAATACTTTTCAGGAATGTTTCTGTATAGAACTTGCAAAAGGTAGAATTGTACTAATAGTACAATACTGAATCTATATAATTTTCTCCTCCTATTCTACAAAAGTTACTAGAAAAGAAAATTCAAGAACACACACCTTGCCGGCAGATTTACATGTTCCAAAGAGTAGTTTAAGAGTATATTCGAAGTATCACAAGATAAAACAATTACCTATTCATCGCAACATGTAGTAAGGATAACCTTAGGCTGCTAATTCTTTTCAAGAAATTAATCTTTACTACCTATCTAGTCTTCCTTTCATTCTATAATAAAACTTGACAATTATACTCTCATATCAGGGTTTACACAGTCTTCTGATTATAACATCAAATACTTTGCAACTATACCGTTACATCACAATTTCAAATCCCTTCGACGCAATGTCACGGCATTATATCTAACATTTCTCGCAAATCCATTATTCAAACATCAAATGGGCTCATACACAAAAGAAAACACCAGAGCTTCTACCTCCCATCAAACGCTGTTCAGAATGCCCGTTAAGCAAAAACTCACAAGCGAGGGATGTACTTAATCAAATCATGATATTCAAGAAGCTTCGACCAGTAACAGAAAATATCTTTTGCGGTAGCTTTTCTCGCAGTTGATGGGACTGACTTTACCTTTAGAGTTAAATTCCAGTTTATTATGTGTAGTTCTTAACGAAGATAGACACGACTATTTATTTTCACAGGGGACGAAATTTGGAAGAATTTAGTATATAAACTCTTTACACTATAGCACTGCTCTAAAGCAATTTCGTCCCTAGCATTACAGCCAGCTGTTATATAATACATGAATACGTTCGAGCTATCCTTTGCCGTTTTTCACTATAAATACAGAGAAAATGGCTCCAATTTAGAGCCGTAGCATGTCTGCGGTTTTGGTTGTAGAGAGTATAAGATCATTTGCAATAACTTTGCATTTATCTCCTCTCTTTACAGAAACGGCAAAACCTCTCATGACGATAAACTTTACTTGCACAGCCAGTACTGTCTAGATTCTCCTTCAGTCCTGGCCTTTTCGACTTTTTGATATTATAAAGGGTATACTAATGAGATTCTACACTACCAAAACCACTTATGAAACCATGCAAGCGCAAGTTTCAATTTGGAAGAGGAGCGAGACGGATAACGTCGAGTATGGCGAAGTTCTCAAATCGACTCATTTAGTACATTGATCGAAACAAACATCCTGAGGGGCTCCTTTCGAAAAAAAAATCCATGAGTCCCTACCATGGAATTTTAAAATCCACATTATCTAGATTTGTGTTAATTATCCGAAAGGTATTTTTACATATCTTGTGATCAATACCTAGAGGACTTATTCTAAAAGTAAAGCTGGGTGACATTGCATAATCCGTGTCCTGCAAAGACCCGGATATACTTGAACTTAATGTCTGGTATGCAGATAATCTCACGATACTAGAACGGTTCTTTAAATTCCAGTTTCACGAAGGGCTTCATAACTGCGTACGAAAAGTCCAATTATAAAGTAGAAAAGAAAAAATTGAGCTTTTCGAACCACACAATGTCAAGACTATTCTTCTGTTAAGATGCGAAATTGTTACGGTCGTTGTTACCATGGGATTAACCTAGGAATACTTTCATTCATAATGCTATTTATCAACATACGCTGAATTCCAAAATGAAGACCTACATTGAACACAAAAAATAATAACCTCACAGTCTTTCATGCTCTTCACAAATCAACCATCCATAACAAAAACAATTCCCCAAATCACCTCTCCCACCGCCTCCTCCGTTTTTCGCACACCACCAACAACATCACGTATATCAATAAACCTCAAATCCCACCTCCAGTCTTCCCTTCAACAACCTACTCGCCCATCCCTCACGCCGCTTCCTTCATCGTCAAACGTGGCCGACCAGCTTATCTACCTCTACCCCACCATCTTCCTACGAGATATACGTGCGTCATGCACGTGGATTAGATGTGTGAGGTGGTATGTGGGATCCTTCTCGGTTGGTGGGGGACGGGATGGGATGAGGGGAGAGATTGGGGAGAGATGGGTTATTTGGAAAGGATTGTTGATGTGTTAATTTAATTTTTTGTTTACCGTGAGCTTCTCACCCAAAATCACCTCCACACAACATCCCCCTCACCATCTCACGCAACATCCCAAAGAACAACACCACGTTCCTGCAGCATCGTTCGAATTCCAACAACCTGCATCGCACTGCGTATTCAGGCAGATCTAGCATACCCTGCTGACCACGTTGAAGAATCGCACTACCGAGATTCTGTTTTTAGATCCTTTTTGCGTCGAGGCGAGTTTGTGTGGAGGTGGGGTGCGGGATGGCATAGGAACAGAAGCGGAATGGTGGTTTGTGAAAGGATATATGAATACCTTAGCTATACAGAAGAGAATGAAATGGACATCCATCTAGAAAGCATACCGCACATCTGGAGTGTGTTCAACAGAAGCAGTACCGATAAATCCTCACTCTCCCCAAAAGCACCGCATCTCACCACATGATTTGAATGTCAGTATGACAGATACCTACCCGAATTGCAACCCCCAACTTCCCTCTGTGCACTAATTCACCTATTTCAACAATAGAAATCCTTCGAACCATTCTCACCGTGGATCCAAATGTCGCACGATAGTCACTTACATGTATCATATAGCTTAAAGCTTCAGTTTGTACGGGTGAGCGTATCCCATCCACCATGCCGTCACGGTAGCGAACACATGGCATTCCCTATACCCTCCCCCCTCGCATGCAATCCCAACAACACATCCCCACCTCCCCATGCACAAACCTCACATCTCTCTCCCAAAAACGCGCTTCTCGTCCGTTTGTTTGGACGTGCGCACTTCTCTTTTGGATTTTTTTTGTGACGTTTTCTGGTAATGTGTTGGATGTGGCGGTTTGGAAAGGGAGGTTAATCTCCGATGGTACCGAAGATCTTGGTGGGATGGTACTCTAGGTTGGATCTGAACGGCGGGATCTTGATGTGCGGGATTTGGGAAGTTTCTGGGGATGAGATGGCAGAGGAAGATATCAGGAGGGTTGTGTGCGAAATGTAATGTTTAGAATAGAAAGGATTTTGAAATGTGGAAATTCAAAGTGTTAGAGGTGAAATGAAGTACGAAAGCCAGCACATGCATCTTCAGCATGAAAAATCAATCTCACCACCTCCACTCCCCGCCACAACTCGACGATCATACCAACGGAGATATATCCGTTCATCCCATCCAACCTACACAAAATACAAAATACAAAATACAAACACAAACAAACGCGTCACTCCCACGCGTCTCCCAAACCCCAGACTAATTAAGATTTAAGATGACGATGAAATATAGTTTGACACTATATTTGACAGCCAGATTAGACATGTGTGCTAGAGATTTTAGGGTTTGAGCTGCCGCTGGAGTGTGGGTTGATTTAAGTGTAAGGCTTGGCAACGCTTGTTGGTTAGTTTGATGAGGGATGGGAATCTGTGAGATTAGATATGTGCAGATAAGTGGGAGAAAGAAGAAGGTTGGAATTGGTGAAGGGGAACATTGGTATTTCGTGAGGTTGAGTTGAAGGTGTAGCTTTGTGCAATTGGTGCTTACCTGCCTGCTCACTACCTCGAGATGGCAAGCCTCCAATACCGATCCCGTCGTTTCCAATGGTCTCGCGGAACTGATCTTTCAATTACCGTTAGACACTTACCAACGACCCGAAAACCCACAAGACACGGTACGGAAATGAGACATTGAGCTTCCAGACCTCTGTCCGAACCGAATCCAAGACATTGACCGAAATGCTGAAACGATTTCTCGCATCTAATAAATACTCCATCAGGGAGGTTTTGCAACTTATGGGATTATGATTGCATGATTACGAGTTATATAATTGTTACTATTTTCAAAATAAGAGGTTTTGCAGCTTTTGGGACTCGGTTCGTAATTTAGTGCGTAAGAGAGTGTTTCGACCTGAATAAGTTCCTAATTAGGACAGACTTTCTCAATCCCATTCTAATCCCATGGGACTATATAGTCCCAAACGCGATTTTGGGATTATAAAGTTCTATCGGAGCTCCGAAAGAGAGAAAGCATAAATTACATGAAACTATTGCGCTAAACCATAATAGGAAGTTAAACGGTGATCCCAAAATCTGCAAAACCTCTCTATCAGCCTTTGCCACTTGCAATTCCTGTGTCGTGCAGCTGAAATGCTCCAAGATTCATTTCATCATCTCTGTGGAGAAAATCGGCCAAAGGCAAACGGGAGATTTTGGTTTAACGCCAGGTACAAGCGTGCAATGCCGTTGCCACCAACCCAATCAGCGACCATGCGGGTTCCATCCGGCGTGGAGGACCAGGATCAAGCCGCTGTCCCACCCTTGCGGGTAGCGAACCGCTGGGTTTTTCCTGGCTTGCCCCCTTTTTCTTGTCACTCTTGCGAAGAGGGTGCAACCTTTTTCGTGTTTTCAAACTTTGGTAGAGGTGTTCCATGAGGATGTGAATAACCGATTGCAGTTGCGGAGGGAGCTCGTAGATGAGGGGAAGGGGTGGGTGAAGAGAGGGGTGAGGGGTGACAATTGTGAATGTTGGGTGGAAAAGTATACTTTCTTTTTGTATCAGAATATCTTGAAACTCCTCCGCCATGTGCTCCCCACACACATCGTTGACCTTATTCAGAGGCTAGACCTGGTTCCATCCTGACCGATAACGTGTCGGCAGATATGAATAGCGTCGAGTTTTAAGAGTCGAAAGAAATTGGAACAACACACAAATTTCGTGCGAAAGTCAAATAGAATTGAAACTGGATTTGATCTCCGCTAGTATAAAAAGTCATCGACGTGGTGGTTCTAGAGCGAGACATTAGAATGAAAATTGGGGTCAAGCGAAAGTTCGGTTTGTCATGACCCAATGTATAGGACTATATGATCGGGATTAATTTAATCGACCATTAATCTGTATCCTTAACGCATCATTAGTGACGTCGATATAGATGCGCCTGGGAGGATCGTACAGGACGGTTATGAGGTCCTCGCATTGCTGCTGAGCCATATGGAAGCTACCTCATGGAGGTTCAGCAAAAATCTGGAACACCAACATTCAGGTGAAATCATGGAATGGATGGTAGTCGGCGAGGTGCGATCGAAGAAGTGGCGATGTTTGTATTTTTGACGGATACGATTTACGAGTAATCAACTCCTAAGTCAATTCGTTTGTACTGCGGATTACCCGTCGAGCGTGGTACGAGTGGTCGTCCCGTATCTTATCCACGCGTTTGCGGTCGCCAGTTGTAATCGGTATGCAATGTAAGCGGCGGTTGATCTATTGCTGGAGGAAAGAGCTGAAGGTTCTTGTTGGTGGTTATCCTCACTGCCGTCAGCGGTATCCAACATGATACACATCAGACAACTGGCAAAATAGACCACACAGAGTGCCGGTTCTGCAGTCAACAGCCGGATCATGGGGGAACACCAACAACAATATCGCACTGCAGCGGAATGATTCTTGCTGCCGATAAAAACTCCCACTGGTGCCCTCTTCGACTCCTTACTCAAGAAGAGGCAGGAAATAGATGACAACACCCTCAGCTGGTGACTGCTGGTCGGCGGAAGTATGTTGCAAATGTTGTGTAACTCCTGATGCTCCATTCTAGTTCATGATCGCAGAATCGACGCAGAGTCGACGCAGACGATGAGAATTAGAGAAGTCGTTTGTCTGTCAAATGCCGCCGTCGGCTCCCCTGAACCTAATGCAAGGCCAAAGAAGCACGGCCGCCAGACTTCTCCTGGATTTCTTCGGGCCCACCTGGCGCCCACGCCGTCTGCCTCTCCCACTGGCTGCCTCCAGCTTCCATCCCATCCCCCCGGTCGGCGTCGGGTCCCCTCTTCCAGGGTTTAGAGCTGCAGGCCCCGGCCCCTTGTCTGTGCCTGTCTGTGCCTGTCACTTTGCTCACTTTCTGCCCAATCTTGAGCCAATCTTCGAGCGAGTCCACTCCTTCACGCGTGCCTTGGGCTTGCTTCTCATCGACATCCATCCTCTGCCCTCCTTCTCTCTTCCTCAAGATTGATAACCAAAACAATCTTCCTCCACCGCCACAGGTCTCTTCCTGCGAAACATTCGTCCCATACGAATGTCTGCGTAAACCAACGGGCAACGATCTTCGCCCAACACGCTCCTTACTTGTCTATTACTTCACCGTCGTCGTCGTCTCCCGAGCTCCGTGTTCAATTTCATGCATCGTACCACGAATCTCCGCGAAGTGTCACTGAGCGTCTGCAGCTTTCCGCTCGAGATATCACCACCAGCCACCCATTCTTTCTGCAAATTCTCGAACCGACCTACCTGAGTCTCGTAACGTCTTCATTCATGGTTCCAGCTCTTTCGACGATCCTCAAATCAGCAAAAACAAACATCTTCGAACGTTGCCAATCCTCGGCCGAGAAAAAAAGCTTCTGCGGAGAGAGCACGTACCGATACTCCAGGGATACCGAAACGAGCCCGACACAATCGCATCTTCATCTGAAGCAAGACTTCCGTCCATCCCTACAGAGCTACTGCATTTCAGAATCGACTTTTGGATTTTGCATTCGATCAATCGATTTACGAAACGGATCGTTCTCGCGATAGGCGGTGCCGAGCTGAGATACAACATCTGTTTGTCTGCTTAGTACGTGGAGTCCCTACAATTATCGGCATAACTTGTCACTCGTCTGGTCATGGCTAATGCTTGCATTTTTTTAGACTCCATCTCCGCCTTTTTAATCTCGACGTTTGCAAGGTTCACTCGTTCTTCATTTCACAGCTAGCGATCTATAACGCGTCCGAAACTCGACAAAAGCAAGCTGGAGAAAACCACATTGACCTCGTGAGCTTGCTCACAAATTTCTTTGGTATTCACAATTGTTAATGTTAGTGCATACCGTAAGATCGTCAAATCAGCTCGTGGTGGCTAATAGCTTTTTGGAATAGTGGCACACTGAGTTGCAGTAGTCAACATGAATCGATTCAGGAAACAGAAGAAGGCGAAGGATGCGCCGGAAGGGCAAGCAACAGGGTCGACTGAGTCAGAAGTACCAACACTCCATACGAAGAAGTCTCGAACGTTTGGTAGGTCGAAGAAGCAGGAGCCGGAACCTATGCCAGAACCGGAATTCGATGTTGCCAACGCCTTACCGCCGACGGATGACTTCCGAACAAGTCTTTTGATGAGTGGCCTCTCAGCCCGATTTTCAATGTTACGAGAGCAAGACGATCCAAATTCAAAGATTGGCAAAGCAAGTGACGACAGCGTTTTATTTCCTAAGCAAGGCACAAAATTCAACGAGTTTGACTTTCAGAGGCCGTATGGATTATCAGATATTGCTGAAGTAGCATCTATCAATGGATCAATCAGACCCCCTTTTGCGGATCGAGAGAGAAACGATTCCTACAGTACATTAACTGGAAGTGTAGCAGATGATGACTCGGTGCACAGCGGAAGTATAATGAGTCGAGCTAAACCAGGAGAAGGAAACAATCTGTTTGGCGGTCGGCAAAAGATATACAAACTTCCTGCAAATTCATCCGCATCCACGAAAAGTCTGGGAGAAGGGGGCAATATGCCTGGGAGAGCAGTTTACGATCATGATGTGAGCCAGTCCGCATTTCAAAAACTGCGAGAACGGGAAAAGGAGCGAGAGCGAGTGGCACGAGAGGAAAGTGAAGCAGCGCAGCAATCATCACGCCCTCCATCTCCACCACTGTCTGGCTACAACCGCAACCGGGAAACCTCCTCGACTACGTCGTCAGCACATGGAAATGTCAGAATCTCTACAGCCGCAACTTCTGTTACCTCTCAGAGAACACCATCCTTGAAAGGCGACCATACCCCAATCACGCCGAATGGATCTATCAATGGAAATTTGGAACGATCCACAACGAAAACTCGTCGACTCTATGAAACGGGTCTCGATCAGCATTTGCATGAGCAGCAGCATTCTGCTATGAACAGGATCGATACCTTGAGCAGGCAACGAAATATTGGAACAAGGACGCCACCTATGAACTCACCAACTGGTAGCTTCCCATCTGATAGATGGGACAGGCAGGTCCTATCAAAGCAAAGTATGCCTAATTTGCGACCAACCAGCCCAGTCCAAAGCAATACAGGTCTTAATGGGTTCGACTTTGCGGTCAAGCCAGCCAACCCACCAGATTCGAAAGCCTACGGTATATCATCACCTCCTCTCAGTCCACCTCCCGGACAGGGTGAGACGGTTCTCCTGCCAGTGCGACCAAATGACCGCGGAAAAGCTACAGCTACAGGAGCATTCTCGCGACCTTCTGAGCCATATGACGAGCACAAATATTCTCAACGCCAAGTCCAAATGCAGCAAGGACGGGAAACTCCACCACTTAGGAAACATTCACCTCCAGACGTCTTCATCCCGCGGCCACAAGGAGGGAGAAGCCGTGCCAATTCGAATGCTACCTTTGCATCTTCTGGGTCTGGTCGATCAGGGTCGAACTCATCAGCAAATCGACACTTTCATCCTCAGCGCGTCTCTGAAACTCAACCAACTACTGTCCCGGAGAATAATGCGGTCAAAGGTATCTTCTTGACATCACCAGAAGATGTGGATATGCCGACCACAGAAGACCAGCCATTGAGATCCCAGGGAAGCGCATTGGATCTTAGCAAGATGAACTTCCAGGACCAGAATGTCAATCTTGAAAGACCACCTGAGTCGCAGCATCCTGCCAACCGTCAGAAGATAGCAGAGTCCTCCGTTGTACCCAAGGATGGTAGTTTAGACTCCCCGCGAAGTGGTGATGGCTTACTCACGCCCGACTTCAATAAGCCTTCTTTGAACCTCCCAGCGGACTCTCCAACTCTCGGGCCCACATCTGGTACCACTGGTCTGAGTGGTATGGTCCGACAACACCTGAGAAGTGATAGCAATACCTCTTCCGTCTATGGCGGTGCCTCTTCTGGTGCATTGACTTCTCGTTTTCCCACCGAAATAAATCAGCCATTGCCACAAGATTACTACAGTCAGAGTAATCCATGGGATGGCGATGATGGCTGGGACCGAGATTATTACACCAGTCAAAGCAGTGCTGAGCTACCAAAAGAGCCAAAAGATCTGGATGCACTTCCATCTCCTCTAGCTGTCCGTTCGCCCAACGTAGAGAAGCGAAATGACGGTGTGAAATCAGCATGGGAGAGGGAATTGGAATCACATCATACACGAGACGGAAGCACCGAGACTCAAAAAGAGAGGCTTGACTTCAAAAACGAGCTCGCCGAGCGACGCAGGCGTGTGCAGGAGAACATGAAGAGCTTTGTCGAGGCTGATAGCAGATCAGCAAGTCCACTCCCAGATCTTCCTTCGAAGTCCAACCCTTTAGGTCTTCTGAAGTCCAAATCCAGCCGAGGTTCTTTGGTCGTAAGAAGCAAAGAGCCACCACAGCTAAAGGCTATGAAAATGCTGGGACTTGGTAGTGCAACGATCACCAGCTCGCCTTCGCCAAACCACGCAGAGTTTGACTCTGAGATCCATCGAAATTATGAGGATCATCCTGTCAATGGTGGCCAAGTTCGAAGACCCAATCCCCCTCCCGAGAACAGGTCATTTCGGCAAGCACGAAGAGATGCTCAGCATGATCGCGAACGTCAGACGGCTATTCGGCACCAAGGACAAGGTAGAGAGGGCCACAACCCCCAATGGAGACCTGAAAACCGATCTCCTCAACCCGGTAACATGAATCACCGCGGACCACCAGGTGCACGACCTCGCCAACGAACCCCAAGCAAGGAGAGACCTCCACAAGTCATGACACGTCCATCTCGAAACGGTACGATGGAGAGCCAAAACAGTGGCCCATCCAGCCGATCTGACTCCTCCCCTTCATCACGGCCTTCCCGCGATCGATCAGGGTCTGATAACTCTCAAAATCGATCCAAGAGCCGCAATGGCAGGTATAGAGATGACTTGGCCAGAGATGGAGCAGCCTCCAATGACCAGGCACACTACAACGATCTTCAACTTCCTGCTATTCCTATGGCTCCAAGGTCTCCTGGTGGTCTGCCGTCTGGACCTTCACCTATACCGTCTCCTATGATGCCTCCAGGTGGAAGATCTCGAAGCAACAGCCGACCTGCACCCATCCCGAACGAGCATGCTGAATCTCAGCGAACTCTTGCTCCAATTAAAATCCATGACGGACCCTATGGTCTACCACTTTCTCCCAGACCGTCACCCACAGCTTTGTTTTCTGTCAATCAGACCCCAGCTCAGCCATCTCCCGGGATGCCTCCAGCAGTAACGCCTACAGTCGCAGCATTCCAGCCACAACCTCATGTACCCACCGTCCGCAAAATGTCGGTGAACAAGTCTCAAATTTCAGAGCCTAAATTTGTATCTTCTACATCGAGAGTCACCACCATCAATCTTTCACAAGTTTCCCAACAGAACTTGCAGAATGGAATGCCTGTAATTGGTGCCCCGCCCATTCCTCCAGTCAATCCTGCACGCCGTCAACCTCGCGGAATGTTTGGACTCAGAAGGAAGGATGATTATGAGGAAGTACAGCCCATGCCTCAAGCTACTCAATCTACCGAAGAGATGAGCACGTTTTCTGACGACGGAGAACCCAAGTCTCGCAACCGACAAAAGCTACGAAAGGTCTCCAGTGAGGGTGGAAATCTTAACGCCAAAGCAAGACAAGCTGCATCGGCCAAGCCAAGTCCAGCTATGCCCACCACCACAGCTTTTACAGCACCAAGAGGTAATAGCCCTCCACGACCACCTCCATCCGAAGGAGGAATGTTTTAAATTTTCTTTTACATGTTTGTTTGCGCATACCACGTAAGCCTATATACCCTGTCATCTGTTTGCTTCATGCTGCGATTATCAAATAATGTATTACACGAATTTCTCCTTTGTATTTCAAACATGGCATTACAAAAAAGAATGGAATGGGCTTGGCGTACCGAAGGGTGTTTTAGCGAGTCTTTGGAAACATGTCTGTAAGTGAGGAATATTTTGTGCGTTGTTAGCAGGAGAATTTGGCAATGATGGCGAAAAACAGCAATTTGCTCTGTACCTTATCTTGTATTTGGCTCGGCAGGCCTGCGTCGATGCAAGATGGAGATGCTCGAGGTGGAGGAGGTAGTAAATATTGATATGTATAAGCTTGGAGCTACGGCACAAGTCTTGATTAAGATAATAAAACTCCATGCATTAATTGCAATGTGCATTGGTGCTTGTGACCTTTTCGTGCCTTTTGTGCCTGTGTCTCTGTCATGGAATATCTCGCTTCGGTCGAGGTCGAGTCTGACACAAAAGGGGTCGGGTCATCTTCGGGTTTCACCTTGGGGATTCGGTGGCATCTTCCCCAAGCTTCAAGTCAACAATAGCTTTGAGCACTGGCGGTTCAAATCCAACACCAATTCCTCTCAAACCCGCAATCATGAAAAGAGTAGAAGCACTGGTGCTCCTCGGCACCTTGTCAACCTCTATTCTCGCCGCAGAACCATCACGACCTCGCGGTGTAGGACCAGATTGTAAGTCTTCCCCAAACCAACAAAGTGTCCTATAAAACCCCCCGAGTGCACACACAATGAAATGACCATCAATTGACTTTTAAATTTAGTTGCTAAATTCTACAAGTCCGCGGATACTTTCACATGTATTTCCCACCCGGAAATCTCCCTCTCGCCTTCCCAGATCAACGATGAATACTGCGATTGCCCCGATGGTTCAGACGAACCTGGTACCGCTGCGTGTACTTACCTCTCGAGTCTCTCTCCACCACAGCCTCTCGCGGGGTCCGAAAATACATCATTAGCATTGCCTGGGTACTATTGCAAGAATAAAGGGCACATCCCAGGGTATATCCCGCATATGTATGTCAACGATGGCGTCTGCGATTATGAGCTTTGCTGTGATGGGAGCGATGAATGGGCTGGTGTGGGAGGCACGAAATGCGAGGACAAATGTAAGGAGATTGGGAAGGAGTGGAGACGGCTGGATGATATCAGGACGAAGAGTCTGCGGAATGCGCTGAAGAGGAAGGATGCGTTGTTGAAAGATGCGGGGGAGAAGCGTGCGGGGCTGGAGACTAGTATTTCCAATCTTGAGAGCGAGATTAGGGTTCTGGAACATAGAGAGCAGGATCTGAAGAAGGTGTATGAGGATGTGGAGAGGCGGGAGCGGGGGAGGGTGGTGGGTGGGAGCACGACGGGGAAGGTGTCTAAGGTTACGGTTCTTGCTGGGCTGGCGAAGGCGAGGGTTGAGGAGTTGAGAAGTACGTTGTTGGGGGTTGTGGAGAAGAGGAATAAGTTGAAGGAGAAGGTTGCGGAGCTTGAGGGCATTTTGGCGAAGTTTAAGGAGGAGAGGAATCCGAATTTTAATGATGAGGGTGTGAAGAGGGCCGTGCAGGCTTGGGAGGATTATGCTGCCAATAGACAGGGCGGTGAGGATGATGCTAGTGAGAGGGATGTGGAAGCTGTTTCGAAGGAGGATTCCGAGAGTGAGGGGATTAATTGGAAGGAGTGGGAGACGGAGGAGGAGGAGAGTGATGTTGAAGCTAGTAAGTTCTCTAACCTGATAACACTCATTTCATGCTAATATGAAAATAGTCTACAAGTTCGAGGAATATCTTCCAGAAGGAGTTCGCACCTGGGTCCACCAGAAGATCATCGACATGCGCATCATGCTCGTGGAAAACGGTATCCTCGCCGACAACGCCAACAGCGGCTCAGAATCCAAAGCCGTTTCTGACGCCCGCGCTTCATACCAATCCGTCTCTGACGACCTCAACGCCAAACGTGTCACCCTCGGCGAGTCTCAAACGGACCTCACCAAAGACTACGGACCCAACGACATCTTCCGCGCCCTCAAAAACGTCTGCATCTCCAAAGACTCAGGCGAATACGAATACGAGCTCTGCTGGATGGAAAACACGAAGCAGAAATCCAAGAAAGGGGGTGGTAGCACGGGGATGGGTAATTTCGTACGCTTCGATAAGGCGGTGTATGATGAGGAGGTCGGAGCTGATGGGAAGGGGGTCGGCAAGGGAGAGCGCGTCACGATGAGCTATGAGAATGGCCAGCATTGCTGGAATGGCCCGAATCGGCAGACGCTTGTCGTCCTGGCATGTGCGGAGAAGGATGAGATTTGGAGGGTGGTGGAGCAGGAAAAGTGTATGTATAGGATGGATGTGGGGACGCCGGCGGTTTGTGAGAGGGGTGGGAGTGGTGGGAATGGTGGGGAGAAGGGGAAGGGGAAGGATGAGTTGTAGATTTGGATGGGGGTGTGTAGTATAAATGAATGGAGAGTGTGTGTATTCTGTGACTTCTTTTTATTCGCTTGTTGAAAAGGGGTTTGTAGTAAGTAAAGAAACCTTCGACTGGAAAAATGTTTGCAGGCGCTGTTGTACGATGAGTCTTGCTCACGCTCAGCTATGGAGCCCAAAGTATAACCATCCAACGTTTTCTTGATTCGACGCGGTCTTGTAGGACTTAAGCCTGCCCTCTCCTTTGATTTCGACACGACGACTGCGTGTTTCGACGGTCCTCCTGCAGATCTGGTGTGCATTGAAAATCGTCTGCTCTCTCGCTACACGGCCCGTTGAATCTAGTGGGATGGGATGAGTAGACGACGTATTCACTAAATCGTCTACCCAATCGTGGTTTCCTCGGATTTCGATGTCCTATAATATTAAGCTGATGGCGATTCCATTACGTATACCAAATGACATCGCTCCACACACTGTAAGTGGATTAGTGAGGTTTTTCTGTACTCGACTTGTTGTTCTTTCTTGAGCTGTCTGTAGCTTGCTCGGAGTAAGTGTAAGCAGGAGGATGGGGAAGGTAGTTAGGTGAGCGTATATATAAATTTGTTTAAAGTAGATGAGATTATTCGTCTCTTTAGGTGTAAGGTCAAGGTTTTTAATAGCCTCCAAAATCCTTACTTACCTTAGTAGAATAGCTCGTAAGCATTATAATATAGTATCTTCCTCTAAGCGCTCTATTCGAATTCTAACCCGTGTGACGAGGAATTTCTATCCTAGCGAAACTCTCGGAGATTTGTGTTTTCGCGTTGCTGATAAAAAGAGGCTAGTCCATCTCTTGGAAATAGTGTTTTTTGAGAGAGAGTATATTCTAAGTTCGAGGGATTCGGAGAGAGGTTTGTAAAGAAGGTATAGTGCCTTTTTGAATTTTCGGGGTACTGTAATTATATAGGGAAGATGCTCAGGGTTTAGTTTGGGTAGGACTTAGGGTATGAGATTCGGGTTAGGACCTTGAGTTTATAGATAGCGGTCCTTTGCTCGCATGTGCGGATCCTTCCCGGTCTTCACCGATAATGTCACACAGTTGCGATGTATAAAGTACGTAGTACTAGAAAGTGGGTTGTAAAAGCTGTAGATTAGCTATCTACGTCTACTCTGCTAAATATTACGGTGTTGCTATAATAATCTGCAGAGTCTGCGCAGTCGCCCTGCGACAGATAAGAGCCGAATATATACTACCACATACCTCTACCGTAGTTCCCGTAGTACCCGTATACTCGTGTCATTACAGGTACTCGTGTATTAGGTAGGTATAGAGGTAGAGAGTATATTACCCTAAAATCACGTGTAATCTTCTTTCGGCTTAGTTCTATGCTATTCTTATATATATACCTCGTACGGGCTCTGCTTACTCACTTTCCTTTCGACATCTTAATACATTACCTTCTCACTCTATTGCTTACATTAGCACTTCCCCCCCACGAAGGCTTATAGAGTACTTTACTTTGTTATTCTAATGTGTAAAGCGTGCCGGCTGAAGATTAAGCGAGAATGGATGCCGTTAGCGACTTGAACAATGTCTAGAAGGTGTAGAGATTCGATACCGTATAACTGTAAAACACAGTTGGTACCACGGCACTATTTGGATCGCTTCTGTCGATAATTATGATTCGGGATATTCGTTACTCTATTCTACCCACGGTGAAGATCTTCTCTGTGTTTCTTCTCTAAGTTGCTTACGATGAGTAGAGGTAAATTGATTTTTGCTTTTACGCACTACTTGTTCCGTTTTGTTACTGATCAAGCAACCTAATATATACATCTATGGCGGGCCCTCCCTCGTAACTTCTAAATTAATAAACACTACACATTTCACTCAATCCTTCCACCCACGTCTCCGTCCAATAGCCTTAACTACATATACCAACGCCAACAGCACAGGCACCTCGATCAGCGGCCCAACCGTCGCCGCCAACGCTTGATCACTATTCGCCCCATATGTCGCAACCGCCACTGCAATCGCCAGCTCGAAATTATTGCTCGCCGCCGTGAAACTCTGCGTCGCCGCCAACTTGTATCCGAACCCCAGTTTGTGCGATACTAAAAGAGTGACGAAGAAGATGACGCCAAAATACACGACAAGCGGCGCGGCTACGCGCACTACGGAGACGATTTGATGGACCACCTGGCGCCCCTGGGATGCGAATAGCACGAGAATCGTAAAGAGAAGACCGATGAGCGACCATGGCGCCGCGAAGCGCAGGAATACACCATCGTACCACGCCGGGCCAGCGAGTTTCCGCAGCGCAAACCGCGTGAGTATCGCCGCACCAAGCGGGATGCCGAGGAACACGGCGACGGACTGGGCGACGACTTCGTAGGACACGTCGTCGCCCTTCGCGCCGCTGATGACGCGCAGGAAGAGGATGGCGAGAGGCGCGAAGAGAACCATCTGTAGCACTGAGTTGATGGCGACGAGGATGGCGCAGTACTCGTTGTCGCCGTTGGCGAGGTTGGTCCAGATTAGCACCATGGCGATGCAGCGGGCGAGACCAACGAGGATGAGTCCTTCACGGAGGGCGGGCTTGTCGGGGAGGAAGGCCCAGGAAAGTGCGAGCTGGGGGGACGTTAGTGTTGGGATGTGGTATGGATAGGTTTGGGGTTTGGGGGGACGTACCATAAGTAAAGGTGCGACGATCCAGTTTACGATGACACTAAAGCCGATTTGCACCCATATCTTGCGGTCTCGAAAGACGCGGTGGAGGGTTTCGTAGCGGACTTTACACAAGATGGGATACATCATTACTAGTAATCCAATTGCTGATCATATTAGCCAGACGCCCTTCTCAACCGAATCTGGGACTTACCAATGGGAACAGAAACTCCTACAAACTTCCCTTTTTGCAGTGCTGGACCGGTGTTGGGCACGAAGTTCCCGAGGATGATGCCAATGGCCATGGCTAGGAAGATCCATAGCGCGAGGAAGCGGTCGAGGAGGGCCAGGCCTTTGAATACAGAGTCCGTGGGTGATGAGGCGGTGTCCTTTGAGCCGGCTTTTTCTTGCTGCTCGATGTCGAGGACTGTGGAGTTTGGCGGTGGTTGGGAGGAGAGGGTGTGTTCTTTGCTTTCTGGCGTTGGTGTTTGAGGGTTATGTAGAGGAGAAGACATTATATTGAGTTGCTTGTATTGTTGTGTTTCGCGCAACAGCCTTTTTTGGTAGTGGAGAGCAGGAGTAGATGGTAGCCCTAGCTTACTGAGCTTGGATAAGTGCAGATACTGTAGATTTAATAAAGCAATTGAGGGAGAGAACGATCCGATGTCTGAAGCGTGGTTAAGTAGTTCATCGAGCTGTAGAATGGGTAGGGGCGAGGACTTTTGAGCTACCTCCCACGACGATTGTCGTGCAGCTCGAGCCAATCAGAGGGAAGAAGTGACATCCTCACCCAAGATTAAGCGAGTGACATGCCAGCTCCACGGGTATCACAACATCTTTCTTGACGGTTCTAGGTTGATTGAATTGATCATCAAGTACTTGTTTGATTCACAAGATGGCCCATCATCTCGCACGTTTTTGACGGATAGGCGTGTAAACCTGGTATATCAATATTAGTAATCCGTTTTTTAAGTTGGCCACATTTGCCTCCTCAACCTTTTGGCTCTGCAATCCTCACTTTATGACTTTGAGAAGTCCATTTCTCATAACAAAGTTCATTTTTAGCATCTCAAACCGCCGTGCCAAAATCTCAACCCCGAAGATGACTACAAGCAATCCCGGTCTCGGTGCAAAGGAAGTCGAGAAGCCATGGCATGCCGCCTACCCAGCACCAAAGACTACTGCTGCCGTCATCACTCGCGATAAACTTCTCTCATGGTTGAATCAAGGGCTAGTAGCGGGCGTAGACTTTGTCTTGGTGGATCTTCGTCGGACGGACTTTGAGGTGCGTCGCGGTTTCTTCCTTTTCCCATCAGCTCAAAGCTCCGGATTCGTGTGAGCTCCATGAACTCAGTTGACTTCCAAATCCAGGGTGGAACTATTCGTGGATCTGTAAATCTACCCGCTCAATCGTTGTACTCGACCATTCCCACGCTATACACTCTATTTTCTACCGCCGGCGTCCGCAACGTGATTTGGTATTGTGGTACGTTATTCTCTTTGCGTCGTCAACGATCGATGTTTGTAGCTAACTTTTTGAGGCTCCTCGCGCGGCCGAGGCAATCGTGCTGCTGGATGGTTTGCGGATTATATCAAGGAGCAGAAAGACTCTGAGATGGACAGTCTTACGCTTGAACAGGGGATAAAGGGGTGGGCGACAGGAGGTGATGAGTATGTGAGAATGATGGATGAATATGTTGAGGCAGTGTGGAAATAGAGGCCAGATGTTTTGTTCGCATGACGAAGGAGGCCTGTTCCGTTGTCCCAAAACATAGGGAAGTTTTCCATCAAAACCCTGTGAGAAAGCAGCACAATCTCTGGGTGGACTCAATATCGAAGTGTACTTCAACAAGACGGCTCTCAGTCCATGACTACTTACTCATAATTTCTCTTCCGTCGCGGTTTACCTGTACCGAGAAAGTTGCGCTATCTACCTGTGAAATACTTGGAACGGCCTGGTGAACTATATGCTGGCTATGGTATGGCAAACAGTTGGGCCGCGGTGAGTCAATAATACGCTGACATGTGTCGTTCAGTAGTTCTTGGGGTGCTAACCGCACGTTATTCTTGGTGCGCTACAGAGTGTTGATCTTCGCCTTTTGTGTGTATTTCTTGGGCAAGAAGCCTCTCTACTCCATTGCTCATGCCCAAAGTTTTAACTCTGGACATATCAAATACATAATGACTACTCGGAAAGGTAGCATGGCTATGCAGACGATACTAAGATTTGTCATGAGGTTTCATAGTTTCGAGCCTGGTCGACCACGATCCGACGTCGGCGAACTCGCCACAACTCCAAGACTATCAGGCTTGCGATGAGGTACGCTAAGCCTGCAAATATTTGAGGATAGAGAAACTCGCGTGCGGATTTTTCCCTTCTCAGTTTGAGTGCAATCACTTCGGAGACTAGATGAGGAGCACAGATGTCAGAAAATGTCACAACGTCGAAGGAGGTGCTTCTTACAGGTGGTTGGTAGCACAATCACCAACCAGGCTAGCGAGAGCATAGAGGGTAGCTCTACAAGCCCGACAACCTCCGTACATATTGGGCCGATAGTCTTGATGCGAGATCAGTTCTGAAGACAAAAAGTGTACCCTAAGATATTACTCACAACCCAAAAAACACCCAAAATCGCCCCATTGATGATTACAAAGAGAATAGTTACACCATATGATGTTGCTGGTACCCATATTGCAAAGACGGATATTGCACATACGAAAGTGATGAGTCCCGCCGTCTCGATACGACCATAGCGATCGCTGATAACTCCAATAAACGGTCTCCCAAGCGCAGTCCCTAGGTTCAGAAGGGCTGTAGCACTAGCGGCTTGAGAATCGTCTAGACCTATTGACCTAGCAAAGTTGGACATAGAAAAAAGCAACGTAATGTAGCCCAACATACTCACAAATGCCCACCCGAGGACAAGACCGACGTCGTACCGACCAAGCAAGTTCATGTCGAAAGGATGCTGTTTAGGCTGAATGATATGATTGCGACTCCGAATCGCAATTGTGGCCATGATATTCATGAAGCCACTGACGAGACCAGTCATCCGAAGTGCCCAAGCCAAGGAGATATTGCTAATAGCTGCGCGAACAGCAAAGGAGAAGATTAAACCACCGATACCAGATCCTGCAGCGCTGATGCCGTTAGCCAAGCTACGGCGGCGACTAAACCATTGCGACAGGATAGCAATGCTGGGAAGGTAAGAGAAGCCAACGCCGAGGCCAACCAAAACGCCCTGTGTAAGGTAGAGGTGCCAGATACGGGTTGCAAAAGATGCTGTGATAAATCCAGATGTTTGGAAAACTACACCCAGAAGCATGGGGAGGTGGATGCCAATAGGGTTACGCCGAACCAGAACTGTGACGGCTGGAGAGGCCAGCATCGCTACTGAAAAGTTCAATCCTCCAATGAAAGCAAAGTCCATAGGTGTCGCCGCTGGATAAATGTCTTTTTCTAGGTAGTATCCAAGGAAAACTCCGTACGACTATGGCTTGGTCAGTAACTGGCAGAAAGGCATGTGTCGTTTGTTCTTTGATGGAGACGCCGGATGTAGGGGGCATATCTTACAGATACCACTCCCCACGTGAAGCAGTTGATGGTAAAGCATGCCGCGACGCAAACCCAACCATAACCACCATCTGGTGGTCCCGGAACAGCTGAAGGTGGGTTTTCGGTGTCCTCTTCAACCCGGAGAGAGACGTTTGACATGCCCCTTGCCATACTGCTAACTGTCAACCAGACCGAGCGACCTTTGATTGAGCTGTTTGGCGGATAACAAATGCGTAGTGATGGGACCAGGCGGACAAGCTCTTTATTCAAGCCTGATCGGTATGTCACCGCTCCAGGATTGAGCGATGCACCGATCTGTCACTGCTGTGATAGGACCCTCGGCATGTCACCATTATTGAAATGATGGTTTGCAGCTTATTGTGTCGATAAAGGAGAGGTCTGCATTTTCAACCCTTTTCGCGTTTTGGTTCTACCAGTGGTACTGCTGTAGCTGGTTGACTGGCGACTTTAAGGTTACCTGATATCTTTTAGCTTATGGAATTCGGACGTGAGGGGCAGAAGAGTAGAGTCTTATGAGAACACATAGGACTGCTGCCAAACTGATCGTTACCTTTGTCTTCTGGACGCCCACAGCTCAGCGCCTGCTGTCAATTGATACATCATGCGCAATCACGGGTGTGCAGATATTATTGACAAGACTGAACGGATGAGGTTGTGATTACGACGATCCGAGGATCTCATCTGCAGGTGCTGTCTTGACCGAGGTCATCCACGTCCCTAGTTCTACCAGGACCTGCCTCAGCAACCCTCGACACCCACTTGTATAGTCATGCCACGGCCAAAAGTCGGAAAAGACGTTAGCTGTCCATCCCATCATTCACGGTGCGCTATTAACCGCGAAGCTTCTTGTAGGATGCCAATTTGATTCGAGTGCGCAATAATCAGCGGCGCTCCCGGGCCCAACGACGCGATTATGTCGCTGAGCTCGAGCGCCAGGTCTACGAACATGATGCTCGCAGCCCCCCATACGCAGCGGATGCTGCTCTTCAGCAGACCATCGGACGGCTCGAGGAGGAGAATAGCAGACTCCGGCAGATGTTGGCACTTGCTGGCGTGAAGCACGCTCTGGTCGACGCGCGTCTGGCGGAAGACCGCAGTGGCGTAGAGGTGACAGACAGTGCCAACCTTCTACCAAGTGTCCCAGAAGCGCCGCCCGAAAACACGGCAAGCGCGCAGAAAGGCAATGGTTATGATGTCCTTCCTTCGAGCATCCCAAAGTCGGACACGGTCGCTACCAAGACAACCATCCCCGTTGGCGAGGACGAACTGCTCACAGACGGCTACGGCCTCGGATTTGAGCTTTTGGCAGCAGCCTCCTCGTTAGATTCCTTCAGCATGATGCCAGGCGCATCCGCATGTTGCCAGTCCTTTCCATGGGACTCGTTCTCGTCCACGCCCAGCGACAACCCCATCGGCCTTTCCGAAATCCCATCCGAGCCCCAGCGCCCCCTCGAGACTACACCGTGTTCTGCCGCCTATGCACTGATTCGTGAACATAACAAGAAAGGGATCGACATGATCGAAATTGGCATTCTGCTTTGGAATGGATTCGCGAAGGGCGAAGGCGGCGGTGGCTGCACGGTTGACAAGAACTTGCTGTTGAGCGTTTTGGAATATATAAGAGGGTGATGTTTTGGAAGATTATGAAGCAGTCATGTCCACATTAGTCACGTATTGTACTGATATCTCACTCTAGTCATCCATCCTATAGATAACCTTCAAAAATCATCGCTTATCCAACATCGTTAGAAGATAGCGCGGGGAGTTGTCACTTGAAACTGTATCCAGGTGGTCCTCCTCGATTGCAACAACTGCCAGTATGCACGCACAACGACTCCTACCAGGATTTCTAATTCCATCATCCTTCGAGTGGCCTCTTTCTCTATTACTATATTGTCTCTCGACGTTACTGTTTCCGTTCTCTGTCTTCGTTCGTCAAGTTCTTAGATTCGTATCCCATCACTTATTATTAATAACACAAAATGGCATCCAAGTCGGCCAATTCCCATAGGTATATACACCAACAAGCCCAATGCGAAGAGTAATGTCAGAACAAGCTGGAATAGTTCTGCATTTGAGAATCAAACTGGCATTGGTTGTCTTTAAGCTTCGCACGACGAAGGGAATTCGGACTCAGATAAAGGCGGGTTTATTAGGATATTGATTGTAGGAATAACGAGTTTATTGTCCATTATTAAAATGAACAAGTAACTGAAATCACTAAGCTTTTCTTAATCGCACTTCAAGTTGATAAAATAGTAAGAAGTACCTACTAACTATTTTGTCCTCTACTGTTAGCTGTACACAGAAAGACAATCCTCGCTTAACACCCCTATCGTCCGACCCCACATATCCCACCTCCACCAAAGAGAAGAACCCACACCACACTGTCCCTCTATAATTAAATGGAATTCTGTCAAAAAGGATCAATTGTTTCAAAAGCAAAAGAAATGAACAGAGTGGGACTCGAACCCACGCCACTTTCGTGACCAGGAAATTGTAATTGCTTACAACATGATTAAGTGTATACCTTAACCTGGCGCCATAACCAGCTCGGCCATCTGTCCGCTGATTGGACGACAGTGTTCGGAAATAATATATATAGCAAAAACCCCAAGTCGGGAATAACGAAGTAATGTTGATAGTGGTATGTCTCTGCGAGAATCCGTCTCCGGCGCCTAAGGCCAAATGATGTCACAACACAATAATACTTAATCCCGATGTCTATGAAATGATTCATGTCAGTTCAGTTTAATTAATTCTTCCTAGGAGGATAACAGGATCGTTACCGTAATAAATCATAATAGTACAGCTGATAAGTATAAAAGTATAGGTTTCAAGTAGAGAGTGTACTAATGTGACGTAAACGGCAGTTCAACGTCCGCGTAGAGTATATGTCTTCAAGGTCGTGATTATGATATGTATTTTTCCTTTTGGTTTTTACAAGCTAATCTTTGAAATCCGCCTACGTCTCTCCCTAACTCCAATGTCAGCTTCTAACAATTATGCAGACACTTCCCAACGCCGATACAAATAAAGACTGCGAGCGTATTGCCATGCTCAACGCCAGTGGCGCATTAATCGGTGCGGCGTATGTGGGGTTGAATTTCTTGATTGTATATCTTATGCGTACTGTTTTCAGAATTGCGATAAGAGGAGGTATTAAAGAATGAGTAGACACTCCAGAAGACACTTGTACAGGCGAGATGATCTAGTAGTTCCATCCCTATTACTGTATCGTGGCTGCTAGAATAGAGATTGGGGAGGAAGCTGCACCATCGATTCGACACCGGTGAAGGATGATTCAAAGGCGCATTTGGTTGATTTTAGGAAGGGCCCAGAGGGGGCGTGGAAAGATAATAAGAAGGTAAAAGATAATGCTTTGAGCCTGTGAGAGGTTTTAGGGCCCAGCTCGCGGAGGACAAGATAAGTGTCAGTCATCTATCTACCCACTACTCTTGGACCGAATAGACAAACTTCGAATAGAGCTTAAGAAGTCTTATTTACTCAAAATAATTGACAGAATATGTGATATTGTTCTACTTCGATCCACTAAATATACACATTTCGTTAACTTAATTGAAGAAATGTCATGTTTCAACTGCCACTAATTTTGTCCACGAGGGTAGGGAAGTCTAAGTGTTCCGATTGCCGCTGGTACTGAGGAGATATATGGTGTGAAAAGCTTTTTAAGTCTACAGGATACTAGCGATTGTCTGTTTCGAGTTTAGATTTGTTACTTGAGAATGTATTTCTCCAAAATTTCGGACATCAACTCCCCGCGGTATTTTAGATTCTTCCATTTCGTGGAGATACATCTCATGAAACGTTGGCATATCGGAGGTCTCCATCTCTTTGTCTACAGTTTGTAGTAGAATCATGAAAATCGACTCGATCAGTAAGCACCATGCCTTGGTGTGTTCTGACCCCATTTCTTCACTGTGAGGGACAGTCGCGAGTGCCGTAAACTGACTTTTTTCCCTCTCACCATATACTCCTTCTGCATACTCGTATTGTAAGCATCTTTTTGCGGCCATCGTCCTGAGCCTGTGCTTCTCATTTTTGTGACAACTTATTCGGAAGTATGGCCCCCCGGCTCCCCAGGAACAGCCGACGTATCTCGCAGCTAGAAGAAAAGATGCTTTTGCCGCGAAATTGCCACAGGTAGACTCCTGCTTCCGCAGTGACTTTCTCCTCTCAATCGTCAAAGATCTCGTCGTCCCAAACAACCTCCTCCTCGTCTAACCAATTGAGTATGGTTTCGTGGGTGCAGTTCAACACAACCCCTATGATTTGTTGAGTTGAAAACTTATCCAGAATAATCCTCACACATGGCTCCAATTCCCACGCATGATTTGACTTGAATTCGAGGATTTGGTCGACCACTTGCGTAATTCGAATAGTAGCAACATCGTGATTTGAACCTTCAATACTGTCACTGGCGATTGACCCCAGCATTCCTACTTTCGAAGTGTCAATTGCCGGTTCTACAAGAACCACTGGAATGTCTGATGGAGCAACATTTCCGTAAGGTATCCCGGGTGGTAGCTGTGCGACTGATTTCTAGCCTTGCGAACGGTAGTATTGTAGCATCACTACTACACGTTTTTGAGAATGTTCGAATTTTTTCGCATATACTGGAGGTAACGTGTAAAGAACAGTGGCAAGGTACGAGCGAGATTAGAAGCTCTTTCATGTAGCTAGGGCATTCTCTGGATTTTAAGAATTCCTCCCAATATGCAACCGTAGCTGCGATATCTTCCATAGAATCGTGAAACATCTTCGCGCCGTCTGGTTTTCTTCTGGCGGGGATCACTGGCTGGGTGCTCGGCGGAGTACCCAGCCCTGAGTTGTTCACGGGCTCGATGCCATTGTGGAAGATATTGTCGAAGGTTTTCTTAAAGCCCGAACTTGGAAGGTAAGAGAAGTTGTGTCGTCGGGACAGTTGTTGATGATGATCTTGAGATTTCCTGTATCAATTCAATGGTGAGAGAGTCTGGTCACTTCGGTGTGGAGAGCGTGAATCAAATACAGTCAAAGATGAGGTCCACACTCGCTTTCCATTCCACATAGATCGAGATATTTTCGATACTTCGTCATCAAGTTTGCCTCGTGCCAACACCACGAATTTGTCATGTCGGATCAAGAATCAAGATCATTGGGGGTCAAGGAATATTAGCCAAAAATTTGTGAATCATATTGCGACGCATACCTGCGACGTCGGTGAACTGGCCAAATTTATCCCTACGGATATGCGTTCTGGCGTCTACACGCAGAAAGTATTGCAGAGACGCTTGCCGATTGAACAGAGGAGTGTTCAGATGAGAACACTGAATATATTTGCTCTTTTTAAGAGAATAAACTAGATTGTTAGCGTAATACAAATCATATTGGTACAGCTGATAAGTACAAAAGCAAAGTTTTTAACTTTATTTGGCCTTAGGCGCTTTAGAAAGAAATTTGATGTATCTTCGCAGAGTGAGGCGTGAAGGAAACCTGTCGAAGACAGAGAAGATGTTTCGGACGGCACAGCGGAATTGGGAATATGGGTACGCAGGCAAGGACGAGCCTTCAGTAGACGAAATTGCCGTAGTCGAGGACTTTGGGTGTGCTCAATGGGGATCCATTCAACCAGGCTCCATTACTATGGACTCGGTACTCAGGATGGCACAACCAAACATCTCGCTTTGCTATTCAAACGATGATAGCAACCCCTCTTTCGGGGGCCTATTTAGTCAAGATATCAACTTGAAGGTCGCTAGACTCCAGGTCAGTCCCAGAAAGCGCCGACCGGAACGCAAAGATCCTACATTGGGAGTCGATGAAGAAGAAGAAGTGGTGGGCCAAGTCAAGGCCATTTGCTTGCAGAAAAATAGATAAGGAAGGAGGAGTGGCATCCAGTCAGGATCGTTGTTCTAATAATAATAGAGGAAGAGAATCTGGCCTAATTAGTGCCAGTCTCAAACACCGGCTATGTACTTACTTTTGAGTGAGTTAGAAAATATAGCTTTAACTTCTTTACTGGCCTAACACTAAAACAATACGAAAATACGACCTATTAGAATTTCACAGGTAGCACAAGAACTACTTGGACCGTTACTTATATCAGAGAGTGGCTTGGGTTCGCGTCCCACTTTTAGAGTGGGCCACTCTGTTCAATCTTTGAGTTATTTTTGCTATACTAAAGACTTGTGTTTGACTCTAGAGGGACATTGTGGTTTTTCCAGCGGGGTGAGATCTGTAGGTCGCATGTGATAGGGGATGGTAAGCGAGGATTCGCCTTTGGTAGAGACGTTTTTCAAGCAGGGGACAAAATAAGTGCTAGAAAGAACCTCCAACCCATTTTATGGATTTTGACTACAATCAATGGAGACTCGTACGGTCAATTAATACTTTCTTTGAATGGCGTTTAAAACGTCTTCCTTACCTAAAATAACATCCATTTATTCCAATTTCATCCGACTTCGACCTTCATAGTGCGAAAGCTCAAAGACAGCAAAATCTATTTCACTACACTCACAGGTAATTATTCAAGTTTTCAGACGGGGGGCCTTGCCATCTGGTTCAAACTTTGGTGTTTGTAGTAGAGAAGTATTGTGTTGAGAATGGAACGCTTCACAAGGGCAGATCTTTTGCCATCGCTGCTAAGTCATCGAAGAATGCTTCGTGATACGGCGGACAGCAAGTTGCTGACACAGAGGTCGTCGAGACGTCTAGCTTGGAGCTGTGATCTTCTCTCTATGTTGGATTTCTGGTATAATTAGAAATTAAAGCCCCGTCCGCCGAGTGCGAAGTCGGGATTCTGAAGATACATGATAGTTCGTGAATTTGCTCGAACGAAAAGACATATTGTTTCGGCTACAGCCTGTTTCGTTCACCGCGAGCTGGGCAGATAGTTAATACAGAAAGTGTTCGATCAATTACTTCTTAACTATGTCGTATTTGAAAAGTAATGAGAGAATTATACATAAACTAAGCCTGATCTCTTAATCGTGTAATAGTTCATCTATACAAAGTACCCGATACGCCTCAGCGACAGGAGTAAGAGCACAATAAAAAAAATGCCAACTTGATGCATCCCTCCTAGTCCACAATCATTGATCACTACTCGCACCCTCACCCTCACCAGCTCAACTCAGCCCAACTGTCCAACCTCCCGCCCTAAAAGACCCAGCTTTTCTGCGTAGGCAGATTGTCCAACGACCACCCAAATTGACGGTGCAGACTTCCTCCCATAAATCTCATCTGCATCAACGGCACCTTGTTCGTCTCTAGAGGTTCATGGAATTGGAAACATGTTGCACAACCTCTAGCATCTTTTTGAAAGTGCCAGAGTGTACCATATTGCTTTCTTGGGTTAAATCCGATCGCATGCATTGCAAAGCAGAATTCCGGCCAGGAAAATCCACGTGGCTGCTTGCCAGAATTTCGCTCATAATTATAAAAGAGTGCCTCGAATATTTTGGAGACGCGATTGCTCATTAGCGTTCCGTTTGGGATGACGGTAGTGGAAATCTGGAGTCTCGCAAGCATTTTTTTATCGACTCCCTCCTCGACTAGTATTCTTTCCGTTCTGGACTCGCGAGTTGAAGAGACTCGATTACCCAATTTCGACAGCTCATTTCCGTCGAATAGCCCCGCTCTATCAAGCTCTTTAGCGTTACAGATTTGATTGTTCATTTCGGTCTTCTCAGAACTTGATTCTAAAGCAAGCGTGAGTTTTATATCAGGTCGAAGAGCATTCACCCACTTACGCTGTACATCAGGCTGCGGATAGACGCGATTATCTACCAAGTCTAAGAGTGTCTCGCCTATTTCAGCCTGCATAATTTGGTCTGCTGCATTCCAAAACTTCTCCAGTTTCTCCTCAACAGGTTCCGTGATCTGTTTAATCTAGACAAAATGTTAGACTGTAACTAAAACTACATAAAACCAAAGAGCCTAGAACAATGAAGACACGACAGAATAAAAGATTTGGACTTACACTGTCGCTGCTATGCAGGCCGCGAAATTGAAGTTCGTCTTCTCCAGGGAAGTGGGAGTTATACAGCTTCGCAAAAGCATGATTTCTTAATGATTTCTGAACGTATGCCGGTAAAGCGAATATTTTTTCCATGGCGCGCTCAAAAGTGGCTTCCTTATATGAGTATTCTTCATACAAACGAGCGGCAAGTGGTTGAAAAAGACTGATTTCCTCCATAGCAGTAGCGAATAGTCCTATTTCTGAAAATATTTCAGAAGTGTAAGGCGTAAAAAATTTCTTTTCTAGGCAATCGGTCACAAGCAATCGTTCTATATCTTTGACGAGTCGAGTGCAACCATATCGATTCCGAACTTCTTTTTGCGCAAGACGTCCAATGTGACCGAAAAGCTGATCCCTATATGCTCCGGCCGATGATCTTGCTGTATCATTTAATTCAGGCTGCTTCACATAACCTATGACGTTGTGTTGAACGAATGCGGCGTTCCCCGAGCTGGCAACAAACGCATTGTATAATTCTTCGGCAAGGCCTTGTAAAATGAGATCTAGTCTGTGAAGGAAGTTAGCTTGGAAGACAAGACAACCCTATTGAAGCTTACACTCCGTGGAATATGAAGAAGTCATAAGAAATATGACAAGGCGAAATTGCTTTTGCTCTCCGGTTTTCGAACCTCTGAACACTCTTCGTGAGTCTTTCCAGATGCGAACAGAGTGATGTCCACACTAATGCCGTTATGTGGGTATTCTCAATCAATTGACAAAGATTTACAGCCCAAGAACCACGCTCCCCCCAAGTCGTAGGATGGCTTACTTTGGAAGTCTTCAAGAGCAGGTCGGAAGCTTTCAAGAGCATGTGACCAAAGTCATATTGGCGCTTAAGAGTATAGAGAAAGAAATGTTGATCGTCTCTCAAGTGTAACACATGGTCTTCCGCATACTGCTTCCTTGCTAGAAAGATATTTTTCAACTGCGCGAGGTCGAGTTTTTTCGGTGCTGAGTATGGCTTTTCTGAATTCTCAATGGATACCATCCACCAGGCTCCTACCTTTCTCTCCACGCAAGAAGGCAATTCATTGGATTTTAGAACAGAATGTCCCGCATGCAATGAACGTTTCTCGCCAACAATCACTTTGCATGCCCGAAGAATGAAATTCAGAAGACGGTGCTGCAACTGCAGAGCAAAAACAGCTTGCGAGGCGGAGAAATGAAAGGAGTACCAGTCATGGTCGTTTTGTAGAGGTTTCGTGGTATGGTTCCATAGCCTGCCATAATATGAGCCATCAATATCCACAAGATCAATTTTGTATCCAGTCATGCACGGAAGCACAATTCTCCCAGAGTCCACCCCAAACCGGGCAGCTTCAAGATCATGTTGCAGAAACTCGTTCGGATGATATCGAGACCGAGATTCGACAAGAAGGAGAAAGGGTTTTGGTGTTCGAAGGTCTTCGATATTGATATGAGGGAACGCAAACGCCTCTACATTCCCCTCCGGTCTATATTCGCCTCCACGAAGAGCATAAACATCCTTTTTGTACTGTGTCATATCCGGACTATGTCCAGCCGGCATAATGCCCCAAGCCTTTGTAAGTATACGTACTCGCTCATTTCTATTCTTTTTGCTCCACAGGCTGCGGATAACAACTTCGTGCTGGCCAGTCATGACTTTCAAGGCTTCCCAGAGTCGAAGAACATCTCTACCTAGAAACTCGTTAAGAAATGCATTCTCGTCGCCAGTATCCTTGGGTAATGATGGAAGAGAAGCCACATTGTCGACCGCAGTTGATGAGGTAAGCCGTGTTGCTTTCATCAACGTGTTTAACGAAAATTCGTCACCATTGGCTTCGGCATCAGATATCATATTTTGAGAGTTATCCATACTGTGGATCCAAAACGATGCTGTGTTGCGTTTGATGGGCTGTAAAAATGGGACGACGCAAATGTTGACAGCTTTAGAAGTCCGGGCTCTAGGAGAGATACTAGAGGGAATCAATCGAGGAAAGAGCTCATGTCACCATGGAAGGTGCGTCTGACACAGCCGAATCGGATGAGAATTGCCCCCCTAACTCGAACCAGATCCCCACGAATTTCATTACTATACCAGTTCTGATTTGTCCCATTTTGACAATTTCAAGATTGATTCCACCTTTAGTTTTGATGTCATTTGGTACGATACAGAACATGTTATTGAAAATCTATGGTATCCCAGTCTAACAATATTGCTCCACAATCGAAAGTCTAGCCAGCGCCGTTGCTCCTCCAGATCTAAACGCCATTTCCAAGATATTCACATATGTACTATTCGCATGCCGAATTTTCAAATCAAACTTTCGTATGCATCAAGCCCAGTTTTTTGCCCAGGCTTGCCTTGAGAAGGCATCCCAAAGCTTGTGGGAAACGCATTATTCTGTGGTGCTGTAAATGTGGGTGGCGGTGGGAAAGAAGACTTTTGTTGAGCTCCAAAAGCAGGTGGTGCTGGGAAAGAGCTCATGCTTGTTTGCTGTGGAACATATGAATTCGCAGCTGGGGGAGGTGGTAGGGAGAACGAAGATTGTGCGCTCATAGCAGGTCTCTGCTGATTCAACGACAAATTTGAGACTGAGTTCCCAATGTTCCCCATTGGTGTAGTCGAATTGAGCGGCCTCGAGTTAGCCGTACTTGACCATGGGTTGGCAGCGGCTGCTCCCCAATTGACAGTAGTCGGTTGACTTTGAAGTACCGCTGGGGCTTGAGGCGCGGAGGACTGAGACCACGAGTTTGTTGTGGGCTGTAGCGGCGCATTGAACGGATTTGGTTGGAGCGGTTGTGAGTATTGAGTTGATGTCGGGGAAAGAGTTTCAAAGCGCGAAAGGTCCGGTGTGATTGTCCTTGATGGTGGTCCTCGCTGCTGTGGTTGTAGGCCTCCAGAAGTCGATGTGGCAGCCGCTGGCGTTGGGGTAGACCAAGAGAAGGCCGGCGGCTGTGCTTGTGTCGACACCGTCGCTGTATGGGACGAACTATCCCAACCTCCATCGATCGAATTTGAAGGTTTACTCATGCCAGCATTTCCTTTCACGAGGCTCTCGAAATCGACATCACCACCATCCGAGGCCCCATTGGTCGACGGAAAGGCGTTAGTCGCACCAAAAGACATGAAGTCATCACTCTTTTGAGCAGTGCCGTTCGTACCAGCCAATTCTTGAAGCTTCTTGGTTTGCTCAGCTTCGACGCGAGTCGATAAACTCTTGATCAACTCAATGAATGACTGGAATTGCGCCAGATCAAGCAAAGGCCCCAAACTCATACTCCACAAAATAGGTAGAATGTCCATTGCAACAAAGTCAGCATCCGCCACCCCACCAACTTGCCTCAGAGCGTTGAGTGACGCCATAGCCACAGCTGGTTCTTTAGTTTTAATTGCTCGAATGAGTGGGACTATTTTCTCCTGCATGGTATACTTGTCAAGCGCAGTTGACGAACTTTTTTTACTAGCTGTCGAGTTCATGATACCATCTAGACCATCGTTGCTAGCTGCAGGATCATTTGATCCTCCACACAAAATCACAAAGGCCTCCAAACCTCGTACTTTAATACCAAGACTGCTAGTTTTGGTAAATACAGAGGCGATTACAGGGAAAAGTTCGTTCTTGATTGTGCTAAAGTCGAGCACCGGGAGAACGATTGGCAAGCTTCGTAGCGCGGAATCAACGATTGTATGAGTTGGAGATTCAATAGCAAGATGTATGATAGGAAGAATGTCTACATGTGTTAGTAAAACTCGGAGCCCGGATTATCTAGTAGACTCACTATCCTTAAACTCCTTTCCGGAGCAGTTATTTGAAATTTCCTTGATGTGGTCCAAAAGCACCATCAGACCAGCTTCCTTGGCAGGATCACGCTCTGGTGCTGGTCCTTTGGCGTTCACCGGGGCCACGAAGATTTCTTTCAATCTGGGCATTATCTTTTCTGTAAATGGCCGCCGTCCAGATGGTAATAAGTCGATTATCTTGAATATGTTTTGCAAGATCAAGGACAGTAATTCACGATCCTTCATCTCTTCCAATAAAGCAGGAAGTAATTTCTTGTCGAGAACGGACTTTGGAAACGATGGTAGGACCCGAGCAAGCCCTCGCATAAATTGAGCCTTTTCGGTCGGGGTCTTTGCTGGCAGGGCATCTAAGAATCGAATTGTGGACATCAGAATGTTGTCGAAATAATCACTCTGTTGAAATTCCTTTGCTGTCATTCGCTGAGCTGGACGTCTTGTTATCAATCGCGGTAATACGCTAGCAGTCAAGTCTCTTGGTATGGGACGAGAGGAAAGAAAGCTGTTGTTGGCCGATGGTATGGTCGATTGGGCAGAAAATATGCGTTTATACGTCGATATGCTAGAGTTAGTCTGTAAAGGGGACGTATGTGGTGAGTTATACAGGGCAATGATCAACAATCCCATCGAAAACATATCTGCTCCAATATTCAAGTTTGAATCTAATACAAAGTCTGGGGAACAGTAGTCAAGGTTCATCTGTACTGAACGAGGTATCCTTGGATCAATATTCAATACCTCGGAGAGGTTAATTGGCTGTACTGAGGAAGCTTTCGTGGAGTTGTCGGGCGGACTTGAGAATGCCAATCCACTGATTTTCCAATCCGACTACAACCCATTAGTCTGTTGCAGCTCAACACATGCCAAAATTCCTTACCTTGGCGTTAATGAAGATGGCATCAGGCGTCAAGTTACCATGAACCAAACCTGCATTATCGTGCAAAAATTCCAGAGCTTTGCTGACTTGCAATAAGCCCTTTTGTATTTCCAGCTCATCAATCTCCAGCTCACGCCGCCTCCTGCCGCCTTCAGAATCTTCTGTGACATATCGACTCGATCGACCCCCAACGCCTCCAGCTCTCTCTTGGTCGTCTTTTTCTTGCAACAAGCCTGACAAAGACGCCGTCACAATCTCCGTAGCAAACTGTAAACCTCCATTTCTTGTATCCTCCACAGGTTCCACAAGCTCGAGAATGTTGGGATGTCGCAGTCTAGCCAGAGAAGATGCCTCCTTCTTCAATCTTTCTACCACCTCTTCTGTTGCTTTCTTTATTGAAGAAGCGCTCGAACGACCTAGAGAGCCTGCATTCGAGTCCAAAGATTTGCGATCGAGGACGAATATCGACACCGCTTTAGCTGTTGACTTCTTTTTCCCATCATATATTTTCCATGGCCCAGAAGTTGAACTGGGCGTAGAGGAGATTGTATAATTCGAGTTTATGTTGGACGAAAACGATTTCAGGGCTGAGCTGAACATCTTTGATCAAGACCTCCACCTGTCAATCTGCCACCTCGAATTCCAGCTTTGTTCTTTTCGCATGAAGACTCGACTGCCTTTGGTCTGTTCAATTGAGGTTATCGACACTTAACCGCCGGAATAGAAGTTGTTGTTCTCCTCCAGGATGCTTCGTCTGACTTATTCTTAGATCTGTTGTACTATGTCGCATACGATTGGTCTAGAGAAGAGACAGGAAGCCTGAGCCTCGTCCGTAGCAAGGCTGCGGTGGTTTGGCCCAATAGCAATAATTCGGGGTGGCCTTATCAAGCGGCGCGAATACCCGCTCGCTTATCAGAGGCTTACTCTGTCCGCTGTCGGAGGTCATGTACGACGGGAAATAATTGTTCAGGTCAAGCTAATAACTGAGCAAACATCCTCAATTGAGTCACACACTGTCGCAAGAGGAATATACAGGGAGTTTGCTTCTCAATCTTATCATAACCGCTTTTGATACTCCTATCTTGGGAACCAATTGCCTAAATGCTTCGTCAATTGCTTCCCAGAAGCTCCTTGAGCACCAAATCCAGCTCGAGGTTGTTAGCTGCGTGGGAACAGCCTTTACGGTATTACAGCATAAAAGCTACTGCCGCGTCAACAACGAAATTAAAAGAACTGGACGCCTCTACTTTGTCCATAACCAAAACCACGACGCCAAAAGAGCTTGTGCCATGGAATGAACTGGTCTTTGGGCGGTCATTTACTGGTGTTGTAGACCCCACCCATGAGATGAGTCTAATAGCTAACTTGCGCTTCCCCAGACCACATGCTCAGTATAGAATGGACAGCAGCAGACGGATGGCTTCCTGCGCGCATCACTCCTTATCAGAACCTCTCTCTCGACCCCGCGAGTTGTGTCTTCCACTATGCATTCGAATGTTTCGAGGGAATGAAGGCATACAAAGATAGCAAGGGACAAGTACGGCTTTTCCGACCAAATAAAAACATGCAACGTATGAACGAGTCCACCGCAAGGATAGCATTACCTACTTTCGAACAAGCAGCCATGATCCAGCTGATTTCAACATTCGCGAGTATGGAGGAGCGATTTATCCCGTCAACGAAAGGCTACTCTCTTTATCTGAGACCGACAATGATTGGCACACAAAGAACACTGGGTGTCGGACCACCAGGTTCTGCATTGCTGTACGTGATCGCGTCTCCGGTCGGTCCATATTATCCTACTGGATTCAAGGCCATCTCACTCGAAGCCACCGATTACGCCGTCCGTGCCTGGCCTGGTGGCGTCGGCGACAAGAAACTTGGTGCCAACTATGCGCCATGTATTGTGCCACAATTACAAGCAGCAAAGCGAGGATTTCACCAGAACCTATGGCTATTCGGCGAGGAGGAATTCGTCACTGAAGTCGGAACGATGAATATGTTTGTTGCCATGAAGAACAAGGAAACCGGGCAAAAGGAATTGATCACCGCACCTCTTGATGGTATGATCCTCGCTGGTGTTACTAGAGACTGTGTACTCTCCCTCGCCAAGGAAAAGCTCGTTCCTGAAGGATGGAATGTTGTTGAGCGAAAGTACACGATGAAGGAGCTTTCAGATGCTGCAAAGGACGGTCGATTAATAGAGGCATTCGGTTCGGGAACTGCTGCAATTGTCAGTCCGATCAGAAATATCAGCTGGAAAAATGAGCTTGTTGATTGCGGTTTACAGCCGGAACAGGAAGCTGGTGAGATTGCATTACAGATGAAGAACTGGATCGAAGAGATTCAATATGGAGATGTGGAGCATGAGTGGAGTTATGTACTTCCACAATCGAAATGAAAAGTTTGACAATGGAAGTCAACACACAGTAAAGGTCACAGCTCTCTGGAAGGACGAGCACTGGCTCTATGCGGAGCGTTCCGCTGCACATTGCCGTTTCACGGAGCGAAAGAGTGCTAGCATGTGAGTTCAGCTGTAACAAAGCACTCTCGGCGGCGAGTCGTTAAAGGCAAGGCGCTCACAACACTATTTGGATATTTTAGCGTTCAAAATAGTTCTAAAAGCTTAATATTTCTGATCAAGACATCTTTGTATCTATTTCACGCCCGTGACCCAAAGGAAAGTTTGAGATGATGCCCATAGGAAAACTGTGGAGCGATGTGTCACGATCATTTGCAACGTTTCTCTCGTAGTAATTCTACTTCATCGTCATTCATCTTCTTCGGTACGGGCTCAGAATACAGATTCAAGAGATGAAACGAGAAATGAGACGAGAAAGTTATATTTGAACAGCAGCCGCTGTTTAGACATTCTCTTCTCTTTGCGACTCCAGACCCAATGTCATTAATTCGAAAGGCGGCTGGTCTCCACCAATATACCACACACCTTCATTTCAAGCCGAATCAAAGGCTTCCTTTTCTTTACGTATATTGTTGTATATAATATCTCTGAAACCGTCTCGGAAATTCCTGGACCCTGGTGATCTGTGGAGAAGGATAATATGGACAGGCTACCGAAGTGAGACCTTAAAGGGCTACCCCGAATTAGAGGCTTGCCGCTTGTTATTATGCCAATTTCGAGGTTGAATTAATGATGACCGATGGATTATAGGGTTATCATGATTTTACTGGTTTTCGAAAATCGTGGTGGGAGTTTCGGTGGTGGGATGGGTTTCGGCAGCAGATTCGTTCTATAATCAAAAACCTAGTCTAGGTAGGTACAAATACATTACGCCTATAATTGAAGATAATAGGTGGAGCTGTGTTTTCAGGCTCTTCGATTAATATGAAGGTAAATTCTAATTGAAAAGAGACAGGTGAAGGAACACTAGGTGCAGCTCTCTTTGATTGGTCTTTGTCTTAATCAATGGCAGACTTCGTCGAAGGAGGTTTAATACTCACCTTTCCTACAAGATTCCTTCTTACAGTTAGCAAATAGTAAAACAGAAGCGGATAAAAACATGTAAAACATTTATCAAATAGATATGATGTAGGCCTCGCTATAAAAAACAGGATGTTCCAAAACTAAATAAAACTTGCTGGATAATTACTATATAACTATACATCATTTTCATAATAGTGCTTCCAAAAATAAGAGATTTTGCCTCCACTCAGTAAGCAAAACATCTTATAAGAAAGTAATACCTTTAAAAAAATCACCGTCACACGCTAAAGAAGTACAAGGAGACTTATGATGGCTTTTGAGACCTCTTTTTTTTAAATGTTCACATATAGAGACGAGAGATAATTCAAATTTAGAATTATCGCTCCTGTTTTTAAAGTATGTAATTAAGTGCCCACTTCAGCTTAAAACAGCTGTTTTCATAACACCCATTTCGGCAACAAGCCAACTTTCGGCGACACATATCTCACATCCCACACATCAACGATACTCAAAAAACATAAACTAACCCTATGCCTTGTATCCTTAGAGCATAAAACCCTACAAGCAGTAGACAATTAACAAGTTCTTAGTCCTCCTCTAATACCACCTTAGTTGAGGGTCGATGAGCAATCTCTCTACATTATTCCTAAATCTAGTATTAAACATACCTTAAACACGCCCATTTCCCACCAAATCATCAAATTTTCTACGTGCCTAGCTGTTTTTATAAATTATCCACCAACACACCTTTTCTTTCCAATTTAGAAACAAACCACACTCCCACCCACCCATCAATCGAACCCTCAATTTCAATTCCACATCCCAAAAGTCTGTACACATAAGCATAAAATCTGTCCCCACTCCACATACTCGCAGAGTAAACGGACATGATGCGTAAGCGCTCACCTCATCCTTGACTGAAGCGTGAGGGTCGTTGAGTGAGATACAATGCGATTAATGTGTACTGTTGGCGGAACGGAAAAAGAGAATCTTCAAGCCTGGGTGACTGAATGGGTAGCTAAAGGAGGTAAACATGGTTAGCTTTCGGTAGCGAATATGTTTTCGGTGACAAAATTTCAACTTCATGATATTTTCACAAGCCCTCTAATTGAAGCATAGACACCTTCAATCCTGAACAAAATCGAAATATTGTTGGTTTCGAAAATTCATTCGAAACTACTCAAATGTTCTTTCACGAAGCCTACTCTCTCAGTAATCAAGTCGGACCGCAAGCCACTGATGTCAAAAGAAAGGATTCCAAAGACTCTATTTGTGTAGTCGAGGTTCTTGGAAACTGAGCATGAAAAACGTTCCTTGTTAGAGGAAACAAAACATCTCTAAAAACCTCCATTCTATCACCCATCTATGCCATTGCAAACTACCAAATACACTCTTTCTCTCCCTGCCCTTCCTTGACTTGCAACTTTCCACTTCTCCCCATATCACCACCCCGCATCAAACCAAAATGCAAACGGAAAACCAGCAAGCAAACAAAAGAGATCCCAAAGCATATGTACACCCGTTCCACCACTCATTCGCGCGATATGCCGTCGTTATGATTTATCTTCCGGTTCTTTGAGGATGCCTTCGACTTCTAATCTTCTTCGAGCTTCTTCGAGTGCCCAGGTTTGTATCCTATTTTCGTGGTTAGCTCGTGTTCCATCTGCTTGTGTCTTTTGCGCCGTGAGCTCATAGCCTCCCTCCCCGCTTCTATCTCTGCTGCTAATCGTTCCTTCTCAATCCGTCTACCGCTTCGAGCATCTCCCTCAATGTCGCACATAACCAATTCCATCGCCTCTCTCTCATTTTCTCCCAGACCCGCCACTCCTCATCTCTTCTTCTCAACCGTCTCCTTTAACACATCTTCCCCATCTTGTCCAATCCCGTTCACCCTCTTCCTCGCCCCATCTTCACCTCTCCCCTCCATCCTCTCTCCTTCCCCTCCTTCCCATCCCCATCCATCCTCTCCCCTCCACCAATCCCCCCAGAAAATCAAAGAAATTTCAAGCACTCACGAAGTATCAGGTTTAAAAGCATACCCCACAACCCCCACCGCCAAACTCCCAAAAAACCCATACATCCAAATATTCTCCCACCCCTCCACCTTAGCCTTCTCCCCCGGTTTAACGCCAAACAGCCATCCGCCCGGTGGATCGTAGTGATCCGCGTGGGAATCCCCGGATCGCTTCGTTGGTGTGCTGGCGAACCCTCTTGTCGCTCCCGTCGCTCTCGCTGTCGTGACGGCCCTGGTTGCTGTGCTGGTGAGAAGTCTCATCGTGATCAATCAATTCGTTCGATTTGTAGAAGGGGTAGGGCGATGGTATCGCGGGTTCGTGGGGTTGTGATAGCTTCGAGATGGATGGGATGAGGTGAGGTTGGAAAGGCGCCTCCGACGAAGCGCACCGGGTTCGCTTAGGGCGTTAGTGTGGTTCTGGGTTTTTAGGGTGGTGAGTAACTCGGCCCCACTTTTCGGGTCGTGTTCGTTTCCCCTCAGTAACGGATGGGGGATGGGAAGTTGTAAAGGATGTGCGTCCGAGATCCGAGGGGTTGAGGAGGGTGATTCATGGTTTTTAGACTGATTGATATGACACGTAAGGAGAGATATATGTGATTCATTGTGTGAAAACGTCAGGAGAAGAACTTCAACTCTAAACTATAGCCCTGTGACTTTCGATACTTCTCACCTTGCGAAGTAGATGCACAGATCACAGTAATCAAGAAGTAGTTTTTGGTATCTCATTTTATTAATATCTCGCAGACCTATAGATGTATTACATACTACTTCCATCTAAGTATGTACGCACCAGTCCAACCATCTACAGATCTAACCCATCTCATTCTCCCATCCCAATCTACCACTCCCATGCCTTGATCCTCGGCTCAGCTGCTCGCCCATATTCTTCTTTATGAAGAAATATCCCTCTGCGCTTCATAGAGCACGCATACTCCATTACATCAGAAACAACAATACAAAGTAATAGAAAGGAGTTTTTTCAGGAAATGATATTTTTTGCTAATGATTCAATAAAAAAGATAAGACGTGCAACCGCCAACGCCAAAGAGCCAAACTCAAGCCTGGCCCCAAACTCCTGAAAGTCGTAGTAAGTTATGCGACTTGGAAAACGACGTGGCTTGATTATCGGTATATACAAAAGGAGACGCCAAGATTTGGAGTGTAGTGGTACAATATCTACACATGTAACTGAAGGATGAGCCATATCCTGTTCGGTGTTGAAGATTCGCTAAAAGGTCTTTATGAATTTTATTCATTCCTTAGGACTCTTCGCTGGCTCGGGTGAAACCTCCGGAATTTGACTTGGAGGTAATGGAAGGTTATGAATATCGTCGGTGACAACGGGGTCTGAGGCACTGGTGCCAGGGTGGATTTCCACATTAGGATCACGCTCTAGCTCTTGACGACCATGACCGCGGGTAAATGGGTGATTCTGACCGTCGTTGTAATTACGCTCGATTGGTGACCAACCAGCGACGGATCCAGCAATAATACCAGCCATAACTGTTGTAGCTCCTAGAGCAGAATTGGAACGAGATCTGTTGCTACGACCGCGCTTCCGTGACTCTGGGGTTGGTTGTGGTGGACCAAACTCATCCTCACGTTGCGACTCGCCGCCAGGTGTTTGAGGAGGAATGGAGTTGCTGCGAGAGCGAGAACCACTTCGAGATCGTGGCAAAAGGTTGTCTCGGGTTTGTTGCATGGCGAATTTGAGATTGTTAAGACGACCACCCTTCATCTTCTTAAGGAAGCTAAGCTCTTCCTTGACATCGGCCAATGGCTTAGGGAATCTGAATTGTTCCTCTTCGTCGGAAATGGTAACCTCTGGTCCCTTCGGCTTTCTCTTGAGATATTCAGGAATAAGTCTCAGGACGAGTTCATCGGGGATGAGACGGATGATCACTCCAACAGGAATCGAGAGAGCACCAAGGACGATAGAGTATGCCCATTGTGCTCCGTTTAGTCGGGTGACATTGAAAGCGCGGCCTCCAACGAAGATGATCATAACTTGACATCCAACCATGATACAGTTGATACCAATGAAGAAGATGTTGCGGTGGATACCTTCGAAGATATTGAACTTGTTATCCAGACGACGATTGCTGATGCTTGGTTAGTGTATGATCAGAATAAGGGGTGTAACTGTACTTACTTCCATTGATTAAAGATCTGCATCCAGACGAATGTGTTGAAAACTAGAGTAGGAATTTGGTCAATCTCGCGCTGGGAGGTGTATGATAGAATCTTCTCAGCACCAAAGTACAACAGAAGAGTAATGGCGAGTTGATAAATAGCCTCTCCGATGATCATCTTCCACATGGTAACGGTGATCAATCCAGCAGATTTAGGATCTGGTTTGCGATCGAGAATGCTGTCAGTTGGAGGATCGGTAGCCAAAGCAAGTGCAGCCATTGTGTCCATGATAAGGTTGACCCAAAGCAATTGTACAGCGGTCAAGACAGAAGTCTCAGATCCAGATGAAACGGCGGAAATGAAGGTTAGGAGAACGGCGGTAATGTTGACGGTGACTTGGAATTGCAAGAACTTCCGGACGGCATCGTTGACAGCACGACCCCACATCATAGCCTTGACAATAGATGCGAAGTTATCGTCCATCAAGATGATAGCGGAAGCCTCCTTTGCGACCTCAGTACCAGCGATACCCATAGAGAAACCCACATCAGCAGTCTTGAGAGCAGGCGCATCATTGGTACCATCACCAGTGACAGCGACGGTTTCACCGAGTTCCTTGAGGCGTTTCACCAAGATACGCTTGTCTTCAGGGCTAGATCGGGCAAGAACTTGAAGGCGCGGGATAGCTTGGTCCATCTTCTCCTTGCTCAATTTTCGGAAAGCAGGTCCCTCCATGATAATCCCACCTGGAGTGTAGATACCACATTCAGTTGCAATGGCTCTTGCAGTTACCAAGTTGTCTCCAGTAACCATACGAACGACAACACCAGCATTCTGGCATTTCTTGACTGCCTCTGGGACACCATCACGAAGTGGATCCTGGATACCAACAATGCTGAGGAGAACCATTTGTTTGAAGAGATCTTCGAAAACGACATCTCCATCGACGACACGAGCACCCTTCGCAGGCCACTTGTCGAATTCTCGGTAGACCATAGCGATGGTTCGAAGCGAGCGAGAGGCATAGTTGTCGATCAAGCCGAGGAGAGTTTGACGGTTGTCGTCGGTCATAGAAGAAACTTCAATTCCAGTGGTAGGGTCGCGGACGATGGCTGAGCATTTCTCAAGAATGATCTCGGATGCTCCCTTGATGTAGAGGCGGAATTTGCCTTCCTCGGTTTTGACAACGACACCCATACATTTGCGTCCAGAATCAAAGGGGTAAAGCTGTACAACTTCGACATTCGACCTCTCCTGGTCGACCTGTCCCATACCGAGATGGTCTTTGGCGAATTCAAGTAAAGCTGTCTCAGTCTTGGAGCCTATGAAAGTTGAAACTCCATCTGCAACACCTTCGAAGGCAGTCGAGTTCATAACAATAGAACCCAAAAGCATCTTCTTTACGGTTGGATCAAGCGAAGAAATGACTTCCTGAGCAGGAACGTTCTCAACAGTGACTGGGTGGGCTTGTTTGCCCTTGTCCAGAGGGTCGGCTTCTGCCAGCTCTACGGTTCCTCCGAATCGGGAGCTGGTACCGAGCGTACCCGCAACTACCTTCATCTTGTTTTGTGTGAGGGTTCCGGTCTTGTCGGAACAGATGGTGGTCGCGTTACCCATAACTTCGCAAGCCTTCAAGTGTCGGACCAGATTGTTGTCTTTCAACATTCGAGTAGTCGCAAAAGCTAGTGCGAGAGTGACTGCAAGCGGAAGACCTTCAGGAACAGCAACAACTACGATGGTGACGGTGACGATGAAAATGTTCAAGAATTGCTGTCCCTTGTCGGAAGGCGACGCGGTGTTCTTTGGCAGGCGGACAAGAAACTCGATGAACAGGACTATGAAGAGCAAACCACCAGCGGACGCACCCAACTTGGCAATGTATTCTGCAAGAGTGTTCAATTTTGACTGAAGAGGTGTAACTTCAGGATCTTCTCGTAGAGACATCAGGGTCTTTCCGTAACTCGAGTTGACACCAGTAGATGTGACCAAAAAGGTTCCGACACCTTCAGTGACCTGGGCGCCAGAAAGAATGAAAGGATCAAGTTTTCGGAGGCTTTCATGATTCTCGATAGCGGCGTACACAGCATCGGCAGGTGTTTTTCGCAGTAAGTCGGATTCTCCAGTAGTCTGAGATTCATCGCATTTGACGTTGTGACCATCGATGAAAATACCATCAACCGGAATCATGTCTCCCGGTTCTAGATGTAAAACATCACCAACCAGAATATCGAAGACGGAGATTTCCATGGTTTTGCCAGATCGTATAACATTAACATCTCGATCCTGCTTTTTCGCATTCAATTTGACGAATTGCCGTTCCTTTTGATAATCGTTGAGAGAGCCCACAACTACAACAATGACAATGGCCACAATAATTGCAACACCCTCAACCCATTCAATCTTGGGGTGGGATGGATCGTGTTTGGTGCCGAATGTCTGGTACAAACCAATAGCTAAGGAGATTGCCGCCGCAATCGACAAAAGTATCAGAACTTTGTCGTTGTAGGTAATCCACATGAGTTGCAGTAAACTCTTCCCCTTCTTCACGGGTAATCGATTGTCGTTGAAGACGCGCTTTCGGTCGAAGAAGGAATCGCTGGAAGCTGGTCCTCTCCTAGGTGGTGAGGAGTCCTTCGAGTCGACTCGGGCCATGGGCGTTTTCGAATCATCCCCAGAAGCACTGCGCGTATTTCTAGCAGCAGCTTTCGCTTCTTCAAAAGTGACCGTTCCGTCCAAATCAGCCTCATCCACGCTCAATCCGGATTTTCGGTTCGTTCGAAGACCCTTTTCTAAACCAGCTAAACCTCCGAGCGCGTAAAATGCCGACAAGCTCTTAGGGTTGATGAGCTTGTTCAATTGCCCGATGGTGTAGCCGAAACTGTTGTCCTCGCATTTAAAATCGTCTTCGTGTCCGGGATCTGCTTCTAAAGCCTCCGGATCATTCATGATATTTTCGTTTCCAGGAACGCTTCCCGCTTTATCTTTATCAGCCTGAGTACCATTCGCAAATGTGTCTCCGCTATAGTTCGTACTTGAGTGGTTGCCGTCTTCTGAATCAACAGAATTCTGGCGCGATCTCAATCCAGGTACTGCCAAAAACCCGCCTCCTTCCTTTCCTCTCGATGTTGGCGACGAAACATTGTGTGGTGATGTCGGCCGACTGTCTCTACTCTCGAATGACCCTGAGGGTCTTAATTCTGGTACTGATATTCGGCTCGCCTGACTCGGTGTGCTTCTGTGATATGATCCATTGCCCGATGCGTCGTTTCGCGTTGGACTCGAAGGGTCCGTGGTGCTGACTGGAGATGAAGACATTGCTTTGAGGGCCACGGCATCGCTGTCCATGTTCTGGGGAGGGCTCATATTACTAACGGCAGAGGTATCTATCGTGATCGTTGGACTGTAAACAATGTCAGCGAGGCTCGACTGATATACACTGATCCTCAACATGAACCAAGAAGGCTACGTACGCTCTTTGCCTTCGACCGCCTGGACTTGGCGATGGAGAAGGCGTATCGCCTTCAGGAGATGCCATGATGATAGACAGTGACCGAGAAAATTCCTTGCTTCAATGGATATGCTTTGTCCCGTTCACTCACAGCCTGGGGGCGCAGAGCCTTGGCGAGTAATTAGTAGCTGAGTGTTAGGCTTCGTCCACTTAGGCATCTGCAGAAGGCTGTGTGATGTGGTGGATGAATCGAACTGAGGTTCGAAAGGTTGGACAGAAGTGCCTAGGAGAGATGTATATAAGCTAGGGATCTCCCAAGACAGACCCGACTCTGTCAATTGCTGCCAAGTGGGCGGTCTGCGGCAATTTTGAGCGAAGGGCTTGGCTGATTGCACTCCAGTTTCTCGCGCAAAAGGCGAAGATGGAGCAAGTCGCTTCCCCAACGAAGGGTCTCTCGAGAGAGTTGCAGAGATGGCAGACTTTCGCGATGATGCTCTGATACAGAGGCGGAGTGGTTTTCTTACCTCTTGTGTTCTTCCCCTCGGTGACAATCAAACCACTGCCAAGGGCCAGCGTCCAGGTGGTGATGTACGGTACAGTTGGTGTGGGTTTTGTTGTTGTTGTTGAGCCTGTTGCAAGCACTCCCGCATTCCATGCACGAGCAAACGAAGCACTGCGGTCGACGAATCGAGGCTCGATTTGATTCGATTCACTCACTACTCACTCACTCTTTGCTGGCAGACTGGGCAGCATCGACGGGCGCAACAGAACCGGATTTCGCTGAGGAAAAGAAGCAGAAGCAAGATGAAAGTTCAGCGCTCCGCGTCGAAGGAGTTCCGGTATTGGTTCCTGTCGGAAATGGGCTGTCTTTGCGTGGTCTTGGAAGTCGCAACAAGCAGTTTTTCGAAGTTGACGGACCTACCTGGAGGGACTCACAGATCACCGCCAGGTCTTTCCTCTGGCCTTCATGGATGGTTGGGTCCAATCGAGAGCCCGCGAGTTGCTGGGCAGGGGGCGACAAAGGAGGCAGTGCAAACCACACAGGAAAGTGGGCTTGAGCTTAGGTTGCGCGAGTCTCGAGCGCCTAGGGAAACGCCCGAAGCAGGTGTGGGCGACTTTCGAATAGTTGTCAGCTCACGGCAAAAGTGCAGACTTCGTGAAGACTGGATTCATGATTCAATTGCATCGCTATCGTGAGATATCAGAGCTTCAAGTTTGCGCGTCTGCTATTTTTCGTTTGTCTGGCTGACTAGGGGCCTTGTCCGTCCGTTGACGTTTGACGCGGGCTGCAGCCTCAAGCGAATGCCTATTTCAGGCCTTACTTATTTCAGAATGGCCTTTCCGTGCCGATATCTGCTTCATTTTGAGCGCTGCGAAATACTTTTGGCGGGAATGACCCGTATCTTAGTTTATTTTCTATTCCTCCTCGACTCCTCAGTCTGAATAATACCTTTTGAACTCAAAAAGCACATCCCTTTCCTATCCTGTCCAAAATACGGTCCGGGAGCTAGCCTAGTGTTCCTTTCGCTTCATATCCGAACATCCTGCAGACACCTCCATCCCCAGGCAATATCCAATTCAAAATATATCATCGGCATGCCTCGATTGCGCGGCTTCCTTCTCTCTATCATTTAGTCCGGTCTTACCTCCTATTCATGACTACAGCGATATTCATCCCAGGCGACATCATCACTCATCTGCTTGTATCTCCAGCCAGCTCTTCTATTTTGATGCAGCATAAGCAACGTTTTCTGTCAGCCATCTCCATCACCTCACGCCCGTCTTCTAGTCAGCAAACCCGTTACACGAACCTGGAAATCACGAATACCATTCAGATCACCGTTACCAGAACCCAAGCGCTACAGAATCCAACTGCTTCTGTCCAGCCAAGAAGTGAGGCATCTCGATACCACCAGTCATGATTAAATGCCCATCACGTATGTCGTTGGATGCACAAGCGGCTAATGCAGGACGACAACACAAGACCTTGGGACGCCAAATCAAACGCCGCTCCCGTCATAGCAAACTGATATCAAGCTCTCGATCAAGACGCTTGACGACTTGTCTCCAAGGAATTCCAATAATCAAGCAAGTGATCAGCCGTCCAGTCAATTGATGGAGGATAGTTGAATGTGCTTGAACCTCCTGACATCTTGGTCGGCACTTGGGTCTGGCAATAATCCACCTGCGCTAAACTACGGATCATGTTCATGTTACTCCATGTTTTACGCTCTGGCCGTAGCACAACTCTTGGAGTGAGGCCAAACGTTCCAGAAAGTCGGTAGTTTGGTTGGCGGAAAGTCGTGACGATGGAGCTTCTCCGTTGAGACGAGGCTGAGCAAAGTGAGCAATCAACACCCGACTGACACGCGGATACTAGGTTTTCGATATCAGATGAAGCACGACACAGCATTCTTAATCGCCACCACCCATGTCCCAACATCTCTCCAACATCTGCCAGCTATGTTCAATCTCACGTGCAATACATGAGCAACACGACCTGGTTTGCTCCCACAATCTTTGAGTTCTACCAAATCTCGTGCAAGCGAGACGCTGCGAGCAATGCCCCCCTTGGCGACATTGGCAAACCAATTAATTCTCTTTTTGCCAATTACATCATTAAACACCTGTTACCGTATCGCCTTCCAAATACGGGCGTTACTCCAGTGCCTCGGGCCACATCGTATCAGCCAAAACAAAACTCAAATCAGAATACTGAAAAGAAATTTCAGATTCATCTTCACACGAACAAAGAAACAGTTCACAGCCTCGCCCCGGCTGACACTAAACACATGAAGATCCTGGTGTGGTGGAGAAGCCGCGCTGACAAGAGTGTAAGATGGGGAATTGTTTAGTGGGGCACAGCACGAGATAAGCGAGCGGGTGGATCTTTCAGGCGTTAGATCACGGGATTCCTTTCAAACCTCTCGCCTCGGTCTCGCCTCGGTAAAGAAAGAAAGGGGCCGCCTTTGTCAAATGGACATTTGACTTTGCCATCAGCTAAAACGCAGAGGCTGAGTATCTCTTTATTGCGCGTACAACGCTCAACAAATGTTCCAGATTCCAGACCGGTGAGTATCTAGGTGAAGCTGATTGACGCCGTTCTCCGAATTCTCGGGTCCCCCAGGTTTCATGCCATCCTCGCCACCCCGTGACCAAAGGCATGACCTTCAGATCCGATATTGAGGCTGAGTTCCCCGGATACTCGAATTCTCCGGTCTCAATCATCGTCTCAACTCACCTTATCACTGGTATCCATTCCAAATCGGAATTCGGACTGATCACGATCTTCAACTCGGCGGTAAATCATCCATACGAACAATACCACCTGAAAATTTTCGATAGTAGCAGCCAAGCGAAGTACTGAAGACTCCGCGGCCCACTATCAGAGTGGCTATGTTATTACGATGGACTTGCACAACACATAAGTGTGCTGCCGGTTCCAAGCGGAGCCAAGTCAGACGAGGAGTGAATGAGAATAAATGCCTCATAGAGTTTTGGAATCTTATGCTGACGCGGTTTAGGGCGGAGTAAGTATAAGATGTCTTGATTGTTGTAGACGAGAAGGTACGAAGTGACCCGGATGAGAGGCGCATGTCTTGAGAAGGCTGTCATCTTAGTTGATAGCCTTGGTTCACGAACATCTACCAGGTAGGTTGATACGAATGTAAGACTTGTTTTTACCGGCAATTTGGAAAGATCGAGAGCCCCGGTAAGTCGTGTAGTTCAATAACACACACTAGCTTTTGCTAGTATTTCGTTCTCGTCATTTGGAATCATACCTCACGAGTCTTTCCCAGTTCCGGCATTTTATCATACCGTCCTTTTCATTTTGATTCCCGCACGCGTTACTCGTCATGTCGTTGTTCCTTATACAAGGACTCTTACTAAGCCGCAAATATTACAGAGAGTGTAAGATCTTACAAAATATGAAGTGTATCGATATTTTCGACTCTGGATATTTGTACCAGGCACCACAGAACAAGTACACATGCAAACCCAGGTGAACGAGCATGAACATTTGAGCCGTCGGCCACAGGAAGCCACCTGCTTATAGCAAACTTATTGCAGCCAAAATCTCTAATTTAACACGTCTTCCTCATTCCTCATTTACATTATCCACAAATATTGACCTCTCTCTCACTTGAAGTCAACAAAAGCCACTAAAAGAAACCCCCTTCATTTAATACTACCATGAATAACTAACAGATTCGAAATCATGTCCCTCCCAGCCCTTATCCATTAACCTACAGAGTCTAGCTACAAAGTGTCCCTACAAAGAGATAACCTCATCCAAAAACACAAGTAGAGGATTTCGTATGGAGGAGGTTGCTTCGAGAAGGTCTGTGGGATTGAGGATATGTTTGAGATGGTTTAATGGTGTTAGATATGATAGGGTCGGTTTTGTTCAGTGGGGGTTTTGGTGGGTTGGAAAATTCTGAAGGACCGCTGGGTATGGTCCGGAAATACCGCATACTGAATTCAAGGGTCATAAACTTTCTATATTCTCCATACACACTTCTTGCTCATTCAATCTAAAACAACTAGTTCTCAGTACTCACCTACAATATCTTCATGCACGAGCGTCACTTCGAAAGAAGATATAAAACCACACTAGCCAATTGCGCAATAATCTTTGAGAAATAAAACTCATCTCATACTACGGATTATGCTTCCGCCAAACGAAGACGCATTAATGCGAAAAGCGACGGGGTTTGGCGTAGAGTGAATCTGAGTGATGGGGTTTTTGTTGGAGATGAGGGAGTGGAATGATGGAGAACGTATGGCTTGGATATACAGGTTAAAACTGAGGGGTGTAAATTTATCTCAGCATCACTAATCATAAACTTCATATCAGTTTCTGATGTAAAATTGTCTGCTCAGAATGAATATCACACACCTTCCTGGAAGACCTGGTAATTTATTTCAACAACCACCTGTCACTCATGCAAAGGCAAGAAAGTCATGTCCAAGAAACTGGAATTCGGGGAATCGGATTTCATCATCATGTCGCGGATTCATTTGAAAGGCTTTCTTGAAATATGGCATTTCAGGTAGGACTTCGTCTTCTTTCATAGCTCTTCGTGTTTAATACATCTTGAGAGCTGATGTCACTCTTGATTTGAGACAGCCTGGTGTGAATGTATTTTGTTTTGATGTATGATGGTTGAGAAAAGCTATGGGGATTTGAGAATCATGTTTTTTTGTCAAGTAAATATGTGGGAGAGGGGGGATTCAGTTGGCTTCCACCCCAAGTATGAATCTAATGGATCCTTTGTAGGATGTCATTACTCAAGATAGGAGAGGCTTTTTGTTGTGATATGTTGTCACAAAGGAATATGTTGTGATGTGTTGGGCCATCAACATATGTCTTCCCGTTCTGACATACGTTCTCAAAAGGAGCTCTTTGTGATTCAGCTTCTCATTTTTCATTCATTCACAGACTAACATGTTGTCATGTGTTGGTTTACATCAACATATGTCTTCCGAGTCCGACATATGTTATCAAAAAAGCGCTCTTTGTAGCTCATCTCCCAACATGTTATTCATGGATTTAGGAGAATGTTATTCACAACCTTCTCAAGGAGAAGTATAAAGACCTTCGAAACTCCAGGCTTTCTTCTTCTTCTTCTTCTCTCAAGTACAACATTCAGTACTTCGCTGGCATCACTTCATCGACACACATTCAAAATAATTAATTTACTATTTCCGAATTTCAGATCAGCAACATGTCCATCGACTTCCTTCTCGAAGATGCCAAAGCTCGTGTTGGCGAACCCAGACCAGTCCCTGAGTTTGGTCTCAGGATTACACCACTTTCCCGGGATAAAGTTAAGAAGATGTCGAATGACGAACAGGAGACAGAAAAAGTTAAAAGGACAAATTTTCTTAGTATCACTCATGGGAACTCCTTTTATTTCGATATGTTCGCATACGAACGTTTTCTCGCTGATCTAAAAGAAGCGGGCAAACTGGTAGAAGTCGCGCAGCTAACAATCGAGAAGTTCTTGGAATCTATGCGGTATGTAGCATAAAAGTTTTGCGTGCTCACTTGCTAATTTTTAGTGTAGATGGCTCAGGGAGAAATTTCCAAATGGTCCGGATTCTGAGGCCGCGAAGGACCAGCAGAAGCGGATCGTACGCCAACGTGATTTTGCTGGGATGGACGGAATCTTCCCAAAGCATCTTGAAGAGTTTAGAAAAACGAGGGTCTGTGAGAGATTGCTCGACCTTTTTATGAAACCCGTCGCCAAAGATGTCAAAGAGAATAGTAGAAGTACCAAACGTGAACTAAAGGATGGAGCTAAAAGAATAAGAAACATTGTTGCGTTCGGACTCGGGGAATTTGAACTTCCAGCCAGAAAGAACGCCGACAGCGATGCTCAAAACACCCTCATTCAACATGCTGCTGTTGTAGCCATTCGTGACGCGCTTGAGGCGCAGCTCGGTCTCCAGATTCCTGTCTTTCTTCAAGATCCGGTATATGTCCAGGCAGAGGTTGAATTGGCAAAGCAACACCGCATGACGATAGTCAGATATGGACCTGGCCACCAAGTCGGATGGAACAAGATTAACGAGAACTCTTTGGTCATTCATTTTGGTATCCCTTATCCGGTATTTGCTTTCATCGACGAATTCGAACAAGTTGGAGCTATTCTCAGTAGCCCTCAATACAAAAGGAAGTGGACTCCCTTCCCTGATGAGGACACGCTTCTATGGACAAAGTTCCTCAAATTCACCGACGAAAAGGGAGAAAGGCGCCTCCTATACTCGGCTAAACATGATGAGTAAGTGGCTCAAGGATGCCAGGTGTTCCAGACAAAAAGGCGGACATTTGTATTTGCTAACATTCAAGTCAGTAACGTTGTGGCTGATAAAGTTAACGCTGAATATGCGAAATTTCCACTCTGTTTGGATGATTTGGAACTCACTGAAATGGAGGGAATTGAGAAGAAACCGTCCTCATCGCACTTGGGTGGTTCGACTGCTCTTTATTTGCGCAAGAGCACAAACGCCTAGATGAAATTTCGCAGAGGCGAGAAAGCAGCCAAACGATACCAGATATGTTGAAGTATTGTGTAACCCCGGAGGCAGAGATGAGATGATATTTTCCTTGGTTTTTAGATTTCTTCAGATAGATTAGAACATTGATCGCAGGCATGGAGTCGTTGTGGATATAGATGATTAGATACAATATGCATAGACGAATAGATACTTAATGAAAAATTGAAGGCATGCAAACCTTAGCAACTTCGTAACCGACGAATGGTGCAGTGCATCTGGGGTTGCACCTTCCTGCAATTGGTGGTTGGCCTTCATTGCTGACCGACAGCCCAGGCTGCAACTTTCTTCACCTTTTCACCATTATAAACAGTTACATCTCCCACATCAAAACTATGCCACCATACAAACTAATACTTCGAAATGTCTGTTTCGGCGGAAGAAGTTCTAGCGTTTGATTTACCAGATGTGTCTACGAAATCAGAAGATTTAGATCTTGCGTCGCCAATTGTTACCTGGGAGTCGCCCTCGGAAGTGACGCTTTCTTCGCGTCTGCCGTGCAGAGTTTCCAACTTGAGCGAATCTGCGAATAGCGCTGACCTTGAGAGCCCTGTGATTATATCTACGACAGCACACTCCGATACACCAGTGTTCGAGAAGGTGCTTGAGAACAGTCCTGTTGATGCAATAACGAAAAACCCTACAGACTCTTCATATTCCGAGCAACGGAAAAATGACGACGCCATTCGCAATTGTTATATGAAGCATGACTCCGAAACGTTTGCGAAGAAAGTCAGCGTGGATTCTCAGAGTTCGCAACTATGCAAAGACTGTCAAAATGTATTCGATCACTGGACGGATGTACTCAGAGATGAACGAGGTGCCTTTCGGCATTGTGTGAGCAGGGAGGTACTTGAGAAATCTGCTGAGGCAGGCTGCTGTCTATGCTCCCAATTTCTGAAAGCGGTTCAGTCCGAATGGCAACCATCGGAAAATGTTTTTCCAGACTTCATGAAGTTATGCGGCCTTGAAGTGGATCTAACAGACGATGAGACAGCTGAGAGCGGGTTTCTGGTTATCAAGAAGGGTCCAGACATCATATTTGATCCTTTTCCTGCGCCGGAGCGTGAAGTCTTTGGAAATGATGATTGGATGATTAGTCTGTTATTCTTTCCCAATAAGACTCGTCCCAGTATAGAGATTCTTGATGTCAAAATGTCCCCGATTTCTCCATCGAGTATGCATTTTCCACCCCTTGGATGTCAATCTACTAAACAATCGCAGAATTTTCATACGATTCCATAAATTCGTTCCAGAATAACACTAGAGAGGCTTTGCCTCACATGCGCAACTGGCTTCGGAGCTGCTTAGAGGATCCCATTCAACATATGAAATGTGTCACTGATCAAGGTCAGGCGACCCCAACACGTTTAATATCTGTAAATGGGGACGAGATCAAACTATGCGAGACAGTCGACTGGAAACATTGCCCGAAGTACGCGACTTTAAGCCACGTTTGGGGGTTGACAGGATTTGAAAAATTGACTTCTGCCAATGTGAACTTGTTTAAGAAGTCAATCCCGGCTGGAGCTCTCTCAAAGACTTTTAGGGACGCAATAGAAGTTATTAGGTTCTTGGAAATTCAATACATCTGGATCGATTCGCTGTGTATTATCCAGGATCAATTGGACGATTGGGAGATTGAAGCGTCACGTATGGCAAGCGTTTACGGGAATTCAACTATTAATCTTGCTGCCTCTGCTGCAAAAGATGGAAACTTCGGGCTTTTCAATGACAGGACCAAGAGTTGGTGTTGTCGCATTTTCCTAGAATCCGGCTCTCGCAAGGTAGGTTACGTCTGTCAGCCCTCCAGAAAATGGACGGCAGTGAGCAGGTTGCCACTCGCATCTCGTGGCTGGGCTTTGCAGGTGCGTCATCATATTGGCCACTGATTTCTAGATCAACTATCAGACTCTCACAAAACTTCTAGGAACGGTACTTACCTCGGCGAACCTTGTATTTCACCCAAGATGAAGTGCTTTGGGGTTGTTACAGTACATCATTCGACGAAACGAATCCTTGCAGGTGTTCAACATCTAAGTTCGAACATGAGTTTCTAAGACCGCTTGTTGGACCTATATCTAAACTATCTTGGTACAATATAACAGCACAATATTGTTCGACGCAGTTGACATTCAGTAAAGATAGGCTTACGGCTATTGCAGGTCTCGCTCGGCAGCGGCATGCTTTCGTAAAAGATGAATACATAGCTGGCTTGTGGTGGAGAACCGCAATTCACGGCCTTTGCTGGATGTCTCATGGCGGACTTGGTAAGATACACCGGATCACTCCTTACGTTGCACCCACTTGGTCTTGTTTGTCCATAAACAATGAGATACTGCTGAACGGTAATTTCACTCTTGATGAAGATCGCATCAACCCGTTAGAGCGTTTACACGTCCACGTCCAGAGCGTGGCCATCACGCTCGCATCAGCGGATCGTTTTGGGGCTATCACAAAAGCGACTATGCGTCTGGCTTGTGGACACATGTTGAAATGTAAATTGCGCGACATGGAAGACACACCGATTGAGATTAGAGGCCACAACAAGTCGTTGATGACCTCCCTAACCGCAGACTGCTTCTCAAATCCCTTGATAAAGCAGTTCATCGACCAAGGACTTTCTGCTCAGGTGGACGACGTCCAGGTTGAGCCATTCGAATTTTACATCGTTCCCATTAAGTCAGCCGGGCCCTATGCTACTTTTGCCATGATGCTTTTGCCAGTCCCAGGCCAGCAAGGTGTGTATGAGAGAGTGGGAAGTACTTTCCCTTATGTGGTTGCTACGCCTGAGTGGCGTGAGGCTTTTGAAAATGAGAACTGTCAACCTATGCCGGAGGAGTGTGTTAGTATTGATGTGGATGAGAGGGGAAGGAAGATTTTTGTTATTGATCTTGTTTAGAAGTCTGCGAACGTGTCTGAAAAATCCATGGAAATTCTTCTGGGTACTGGATGGGGAGATAATGTCCTGTTATGAGAGATTTTGAAACGATCTCATGAAGTCTGATTACTGAGGGTCAGATGGGTGCTTGATCATAGCACCGTTATACTCATCATTCTTGAATGCCTATTAAGCACAGCGGGACGTATTGAATTTCCTTGACGGCGCTTGGCCCACCCTATCACGATTAAAGTTTAAAAAAAAAATCTTCTTTCTGGGAGACTAAGTGAGACATTTGATATGCTACAACTAACACCAGTTTAGCTGAGTAGACAAAGATGGATGTCTTCCGAGCAATAGATATGTTCGAAATAATTTGTGCCTAAGCGAGACCAGAGGAAGCTTGATACATCCTCCTTGAGACAAGATCATTATCATGAACCATCAATTCAATATCAGCACTGTTTTACACAAGCAAAAACCAGAAAAATGTATACTTTTATCTCTTTTCCGCGCGCTAATGCTTAATACCCTCTATAAACATCAAGTCTCAACAGACAATGAAAACCATGTACAAAACCAGCTTGAAACATGACAAAAACGCTCATATATCGCTGAAGAAAAGAATGCTAGGCGTGATTTACGGAACAGAGTAGACGGATATGAAAAGGAAAAGAAAACGTATAAAACATGAAACCATGCAAAACAAAACTCAAATACAAGATCCGTAGAAACTGATTTACTTCACAACCGTAAACCGATGACGACTCCTAAACCCCTCCACCGTCTCCACCTCAATCTTCTGATCCTTCGGAATCATCTCATGCTTCAACTCCCAACCCGCCCTCTCACACAGCTCCGCAACCACAACATCGCAGTCGCCTAGCATATCGACGTCGAAATTCACATGCGACACGGGCTCGCGCGAGATATACATCTGCGGGATATGCGGCGGGAGGAAGGGCACGACTTCCGACACAGGCGCAACTTTCAAGGACGTCCCGATCACGATGACGAGATCGACCTTGTCTTTATCGTGGTTGGTGAGCCGGTCCGAGAAGCGATCTGGCAGCGGTTCGCCGAAGAAGGTGATGTCGGGTTTCATGACGCCCGGTTCGGGGATGTCGTAGGTGCCTTCGGAGTCGGAGTCGGAGACGCCGTCAAAGCGTTTCTTTTTCTTCTTCTGCCCGTTGGAGGAGCGTTTGCGTTTCATCGGGTGCGAGGTTTTGGAGGTTTGGAGCCGCTCGATGCAGCGCGGGCATTGGGGGATCTTTTCGGCGCGGATGGACGGGTAGATGGTGGTGCCGGGGACTTGGTAGCGGCATTCGATGCAGGATGCTGTGGCGAAGGAGCCGTGGCATTGCACGAGCTTTTCGGGGAGGATGCCGGCGGTGGCTTCGATGTTGTCGATGTTTTGGGAGTAGTTGGTTAGGAGTTTGCCTTTTTGTTGGAGGAGGGCGATGAAGGCGTGGGTGGGTGTCGTTCGTGGCTCGTCGGTGATTAGGTCGCGAGCGACTGAGTAGAAGATTTTGGGGTTTTCTCGGAATTTGGAAATGTCGAATACCTCTTGGGGGTCATTGAGGTCGAGATGGGCGAGTTTGGAATATAAACCTGTGCCGGCTGATCTGAAATCTGGGATCCCCAGCGACGTTGAGATTCCCGCTCCTGTGAGCACGATGATGTTACTTGATTTTTTGATGAGCTCTACGGCATCGTCTACCGAATTATATGCTGGAAGCTTCACTCTCTTCGATAGCTCTCGACTGATGGCGAGACTCAAGAGGCTGTAGTACGCATCGTCGTCACACATTTCCAAGTATTCAGGGGGTTTCATCCCGAATGCTGTTAACAGCTTTTTGGCGGTGATAGTTTTGGCATCGATGGTTCTTTGAATAAAGACTTCTGGGCCAACATCTCGCAGTTCTTGTCGATACTGCATCGCTTCTTCATATGTGCACGTGTTTGGGGCTGATAGTGGCATTTAGCATGTTGTCCTCATCAAGATTCATTATGGGTACTTACTGCCATCATACAGGTGATTGTCCTCCATCTCGGGGAAGCTGTCTTCGAAGATGGATTCTATAGCCCACTCGTCGCCATCTTCATCGCTACCGTCCTGGCTGCCTGCGTCGTCCGACACGTGAATGGTAGGAATCTCTACGGCGCTGTTGATTGGGTGTGCGGCGGCGTTGAGGTTAAACGCGTCGCTGTTGTCAGAGCTAGAATCAAATCCCATTTCAACGACATTGCTTGCCGTCTGGTGAATGCTCTGATGCTCTCCTTTCAATACGAGCTTGGACGACGCACCAAGCGCCCTCATATTCGCATCCATTCTCACCGCACGCGGCGGTGGGTTGTCGTGAGGTTGAGAGCGACCCACAGTTAGTACCGAGGTGTTGTTGAAACAAAAGCAGAGTTGAATGTTTGAGCGGTAAGCGACGAAAATCAGGACAAATTTTATCACGTTCGCTCCTAGAATGGATGAGACCCTTTCAGCCAGAGGTCGGAGCCAGTCGGAGGTATTGTTGAGAGTGACTATTTATGGTGGCGTAGGGAGAAGGTGAGGCAATCAGGAGGTTGCTAGAATAACCCTCGATCTTCGGTAGCGAGTATAACGTCGATCCATCAACGAGCAAGCACGGGCAAAACTTACATTGCAGTTGAGCTTCGAGCTTTAAGCAACTCGAAGTTTACTAAATAGATTTTGACAATTGTTAAAAGCCTAAATATGATAAGACAACTCTTCACTTATGGCAGTGCCCTATTGAAGGCATCGCCTTGTAAACGCAGAAGGTGAAATTAAGCGAGCGAGGTGTGGCTTTAGACAACTTTCTGCTGTGGCTAGCTCAGGGAATTTCGGCAGTCGAGCAGACTATGAATTATTTTCGCAACTCAAATTGAAAAGATTCAGTTGAAATGCCATGAGAGGAATCTAATATCCCACCTAGCTCTTCAATTGTCCTGGCATTCAACAATGAACTTGGGCGTCATATAGCGACTGTTAATCTTGTCAAACATGGCCAATTGGCTGCGAGACATCGCCGGCGGTTATGATGGAATCTCCAGACCACAATATCGCAGATAAGGTTACACCACAACTGCTTCACCCACCTTCAATACGACCAGCTGAAGGAAACGAGCCAAGTCATAATGCGACAACTTCTTCTAACTTATCACCCAATGCATCTGGGTCTTCATCACGGGTTCATCGCCGGCGCTTCTCACGGAGTGGGAGACAAGAAGCAAAACACATCCGGCTCCAGGCTCTAGATCCCGGAACGAAATCATCTGCATCAAGCATATATTATGGCTCATTTAACAATCACGCAAGACGATCGAAATCATCACTTGGATCACGTGGTGGTTCTGTGCCACCGTCACCTCGAGATGCGCCAAGAGCAAGCATGAGCCATAGCCATCTCGAATCACTATTGCAAAATCTTGAATTGGACCTCGATACTTATGGCGTCGACGAGTTACGAGATGGGTTCTTTGATGCCTCTTTTACGAAGCCTCCAAAATTTAACAGGAAGGAGCTCAGAGAAAATGTGCAGGACACGCTCCCAGATACGTTTAAGGAAACAAATCCGCTGTCCCCAACACTTCTTCTACGCCAGCAATGGCTACAGCTTCGAGCACTAGTAAAAGAGGTGTCAGTTACTCGTGCAGGAATTAAGCTGACTAAGTCATTTCTTGGGTTCTTCGTTGCTTACATTTTATGCCTCGTTCCGGTCATCATGAATTGGTTGGGAAGATACAGTTACATCATGGTCTTATCTGCGATAATTGTCCATCCTGGCCGAACTGTAGGAGCACAAATTGATGGTGCTATTCTCACGACTGTTGGTACTGCTGGTGGTCTAGGGTGGGGGGCATTTGCGTTGGTATGCAACTTTTTCCTTTCTTGTCTTTTCAGCTGCCACCTTAAGTGAGTGGGAGGGAGTTTAGTCCTTAAACAGACTCGTATGTCCAAAGCATGAACAAATGGTATGCTAATTTGTTCTAGTGGATCTCAGACTCATCGGCCACAGCGAGAAAAGGATATGGAGGAATATTGGCAGCCTTTCTTGTCATTTTCATGGGCAGTATTGCGGCACTTCGTTCTTACTATGTCAGAATTTATCAGCTGGTGCTTTGTGCAGGTATTGCCGTTATCTATACTTGTTTGGCAGATACCTCCGAGTCTGTGAACTGGGGTAAGCTGTTTGACTACGGTATTCCATGGCTGTTCGGTCAAGCAATCTCACTCATTGTGTGCTGTACTGTCTTTCCAGATGCTGGCGCACGACCTCTTGCCGTCTCGCTGCACAGTGCCCTTGGAGTGATGCAAGATGGACTTGTCCTTCCACATCCAGATGATGTCACGATTCGAAGACAATTGGCGTTGACGTTTGTCAACTTGTCACAAGCACATCGTGACCTTACGTTGGACATTTCGATTACTCGCTTTCCACCATCAGACGTTATCGCTCTTCGAAATCTTATGCAGGGTGTCATTCGATCTCTTCTTTCTTTAAAGATGCAAACTGCTCTGTTCGACTCGAAGGAAGAGCCTGTGGAAGTGAAAATGAATGGCAGGGGTCACGAACAATTGCCTAGTTCTCGAGCGGGCGACTCAGTCATAGATATTGATGGCGCGAAACGGCCCTCGATCGCGCGCACAACAACAGGAGAAAGAGCTGTCTTGCTAGTGACTAGTAGACTATCACAGCCAACTATGGATCTTCTTTCGTGTATGAGGAAATCCTTCAAACGATGTGATGCTGTTCTGATGGACATGTCAGGTTACAGGAGATATATTGGACCTGATAAAGAAACATCATCAGATATTATTGGTATATTGACCAAGTTACGGAAAGTAATGATTAAGTATGATGAAGAAGAAGATTCTTTAATGGAAAACCCGGCTCTCCCGCCAACATATTCTGATCATCCGGAGGTTGTTGAATTGTTCCTATTCGTCCATCCTGTCAGACAAGCAGCTCGAACCGTCGAAGCTTTACTAGTTAAGGTCATGGAAATGCAGCAAAGGCGACGAGGATGGAGAATCTATCTACCATCATACCCGCTCAAAAAAGGGTTACAGAGAACGAACGCTCAGGTCAGACATGATCGAGGCGGCGTTACAGCGGGTTTCTACTTCAGGAGTCAAACACAATTGGCCAAAAGCATGCGAGGAATGGCAAATATCTACAAGCCATTACCACATCTGAACGGCCCGCAGAAAGAAGAAGACCCAGAACCACAAGCGATGGCAAGAAGTGAAACCATGGGAAAATATGAAGAAGAGGAAGATGTAGCTATGGATCGAAACTCTCAGATCTCAAAGAAACAGCGTTTCCGCTATCGAGTATGGCTGGTTCTTCATCGATTGCAAGGCTTCGAAACTAGGTTTGCGCTCAAGGTCATTATCATGACTTCTCTATTAGCCGTTCCCGCATGGCTTCCTCAAAGTAGAGGATGGTGGAATAAATATGAAAGTTGGTGGTGCGTTGCCATGGTTTGGATTATGTCTCACCCAAGAGTTGGTGGAAACGTGCAGGATGTGCTTACACGAGCTCTCTGTGCTGTACTTGGAGCTGTATGGGGAGGATTCGCGTATGCTGCCAGAAATGGGAACCCTTATGTCATGGCTGTGTTTGCTGCGATATACATGATACCGATGATGTACAGATTTACGCAGAGTTCTCATCCGCGGTCTGGGATCGTGGGGTGTGTTTCTTTTATAGTAGTCTCGCTTGCTGCTAAAGCTGAAGAGAATCACGAGTCCACGGTTATGATTGCGTGGACTCGCGGGGTAGCTTTTGTGATAGGTGTTGTGACGGCAGTAACAGTGAGTTCGATATTGTGGCCTTTTGTGGCTAGACATGAGCTTCGAAAAGCTTTGTCTGCGATGATGATATATTCAAGTATCATTTATCGAGGTGTCGTTGCGAGGTATGTATATTATGAGAAAGGAAATGAACCAGGAGAGGAGGATATCAAACGATCTGGTATGTCAATGTGATCACTGCCCTACTGAACTCCACTAACGCCTACGCAGAAATGCTAGAAGGTCGTCTCCGCGAGGGTTTCGTCCGAATCCGCCAACTCATGGTACATCTCTTCCCCTTCCCCACCCTCATCCTCTCCCCTTTCCCTTCTACCGACTAACACCCCCAGGCGCTCACTCGCCACGAAATCCGTCTCCGCGGCCCCTTTGATCCCCTCCCCTACTCCGCTCTCATAGACGCTAGCGAACGCTTCTTCGAATACCTCGTCTCCGTCCGCCAATCCTCCCTCTTCTTCCACCCCCACTACATAACCCACACCGAAGCCGCCGCCGACGCCCTCCTCTCTTTCCGCCGCGACGCCGTCGCCGCGATTCTGATGAACCTCTATGTCCTTGCTGGCGCATTGCGCGGAGGTCGTAAAGTACCTGTATGCCTCCTGTCCCCCTATCCCCTGCCTGCTCATTCCTCTCCTACAACCGTCTAACATACCCCAGCGTTACCTCCCCTCCGCCGCCCTCGCCCGAAAAAGGCTGTTGGACAAGATGGCCGAGCTCGAAGCCTCACAAGCGCAAACCCGCGAGCTAGAACGCATTTCATCTGGTCAATCCGCGGGAGAAGATCGACGGTGGAGTCAGATCTACAGTTATAGCTATAGTCAGAGCTTGACGGGGTGTGTGCGGGAGCTGGAACAGTTGGTGGTGTGGACTAAGGAGGTTGTTGGGGAACAGGGGTTCGATCCTGTGAGTGATTTGGAGTATGAGGGGCATATGGTTGAGACTTGAAGGGTGTATGTATATCACGTCGGAATGAGGTGGTACATACGACTGTATATATGTCACGGCTGTTTGAAGTATACCGAGGTCTTAGGAAGAGATGAAATGTGAGGACAACGGCCTTGGAGGATTCCTGTACAAAAATCCCCTAGTGGGTTGTAAATAGGGAAGACTGTCGTTTCTTGCGTAGTGGAAAGGGAAGAGTTGTGCAAAAGACGTAGATACAAGGAACACAATCATATTTTGTACTCGAGAGGAATGATTCGTACAAAAGAAACTACAAGAATGTATATCACTTTTCAAGTTAGACACTGACGATGTGTTATAAAGCCGCAAATCAAATCAAATCAAGTCAATCACGGTAAGCAACATATTAGAACATCACAACCCCTAAGCCAACACAACTTATCCATCTGCAATATTATCTCATCATTTCTTCTGTCAATCAAATATGCTACTCTACAAGTCAACACCGCAAAAATTCCCGATTTCCAGTCCTCCAACAAAACTCCAATCACACCATCTAATGCCAGACCAGAAATCAAACACCCCATCCATACCCAAGCAACTCCCAAAACACCCCAGGCTTCAGACCAAGACTCGAGCAACTCTCAAAAATCCACGAGGCCACCACAAACCGCTTCCGACCATCAGTGCAAAACACGAGGCCATGAAAGGGAATGAATGTCATCACTGGACCTCCAAAAGCGGCCGATACACTATCCAAGATCAAATTCCATCAAGAGTTCACGAGGCCACCACAGACCCTTTCCGACCATCAGTGTCAAGACACGAGATCATGAAAAGGAATGAATGCCATCAATGAACCCCATCCGATGCTGTCCAGAATATCTCTTACAAAATTATATCGATCAATAAACTCATGCAGCCTCAACGTGAGGACCCGCTAAAACACCAAATTGTCCACCTACACCCGCCCATGTGAGTTTCTTGCCACGCACAGCAGTATTGTCGACAAGAGTTGCCAATGGAATATCATCAGCAGATCCTTGACCGGTTTGCAAGTTGCCGTTGAATCCCCATGAGTAGGCTTTTCCGTCGACGTCGATCGCGATTGCTGTGTCTGTTGCGGTGGCTATTGTGGCTCCTTTGATATCTGGAACGACGGTTGGCTTGAAGAGATATCGTGGCTTGTCATCTTTGTCGTAAAAGACGTCAATCTGAGGGAGTTTGCTGACATCGACACCGCATTGCTTGTTCTCAGATCGACCCCAGGCTAGGACTTGTCCGGCTTCTGTCAGTGCAATAGTGTGATGTGCGCCACCAGATATCTGTTTGATCGAGTGACTCTTTAATGATTTGACTACTGTTGGGGCTGCAACGGTGTCATCATCCTCGTCAACCTTTGGTATTCCGCATTGTCCGAAAGAGTTAAGTCCCCATGCATAGACGTCTCCTTTCTCTGTGACCGCAAAACTATGATAATCTCCCGCACCAATGTGAGCGATTTTCTTGCGCTGGAGACCAAATTCGCGAGGAACTAAGGCCCCAGTAGCTGTACGTGACACTACACGACGGCCGAGTTGATTTTGTTCTCCAGCTCCCCAGATGAAACACTTTCCTTTATTATCTAATGCGATAACATGATTGGTACCCGTGACAATGTCAACGATGTTCTTTAGATCTGGGATCAAAATTGGTGTAGTTGCCACTTTGATATCGTTGGTGAAGCCAAGAATGCCATCATTACCCTGGGAAAATTAGCAATGTACTACAAATTAAAGTGAGGATCGAGGGCTACTTACTCTAAATGTACCCCAGCCATATACAAGGCCAGTAGTAGTCAGCGCGAATGTGTTACTATCACCAGCATATAGACCAGCAAACTCAGTACCTTCCGGGAAGTGGCTAGGATCAACAGGACGGGGCTCTGCTTCAGCTGGATTCAATCCTGAGTCTTCATCGAAATCGTCATCAGAATCGGAATCACTTGCGTCGGCATCTTTCATTTTCACTTCTTCAGGATCTGCATCAGATGGCCGACCAAGAGCGCCTTGATCATTCACACCCCATGTCAAGATTTTGTTGTCATGAGTGAGTGCTGCACAATGCATCCCACCAACTGCGATTGCGACAATGCCAACTTCTTTTGCGGCCAGGAATGGGTTCAGACGTGGACGACCAACGTCGATGACCATCCGACCTCTGGCATTCTTAGCTCCTAGGCCAAGCTCACCATTTCCATTCTCTCCAAAGCAATAAACGTCAAGTAATTGTGTAGGTCTGGCATTTAGGATTGGCGCAGCCTTCTGTGCCTTGGCTCTTCTTGGTGCAGCTGAGACAGGAGTCTTTGGTGCAGGCTTTGCTTTAGGTTCGGCCTTTGCCTTCGGGGCAGCTTTGGGTTTCGGTGCAGGTTTTGCCTTGACTTCGACCTTGGGCTTGGATGCGGCGACCTTTTTTGGAGCCTGCAAAGGAATGTTAGTTGAAGTTGCCCGGTAAGAAGTTGATAGAGTATGTCTTACTGGTTTCGCGGCTGCTTTCTTTGCAGTTGTACTCTTAGCAACAGAGGCCTTTCGAGGAGCAGGGGCAGGTTCAGCAACAACCGATTTCGCTTTCTTTGATTTTGGTTCGTCCTCGGATTCTTCAGAGGCTTTCCGCTTCTTGGGAGGATTGGGTGGTAGTGCAGCAGCAGAAGCTTTCCCGCCTTTGGCAGCAACCTATAAACAATTAGAAATTGGAAAAAATGTTGGTAGATCGGCTTGAGCTTGGAACTTACTGGAACTTTCTTGGGCGCGGCCTTCTTTGGAGCGGCTTTCGGAGCTGTGACAGGATCTGCTGAGCTTGCACTCGTTGCAGATGCTGCACTTGTAATACTTGCACGCTTCGCTGATGTTGCTGCTTTGGAGGCACGCGGTTTTTTTGTGACGCCAGCTGGTGAAGCAGCTTTTTTCGGTGCGGCCTTTGCGGCCTTTTTTGGAGGCATTTTAGACTAGATGCGCGAAAGCGACTTTTGCAAACGATACTCTATGCGTGGCGCGATTGAGTAGAGAAGATTTTGCTTCGATGTGCGAGTTCTCAATGCGAGAGGCTCAGTACGACGAGTAAAACGTTCGATGTTGTTGAAGCAACAAGTTGTGGTGTGAGAAGTGTTGGTTCTTTATATCGCGAGATCAAGGGCGCGTCGCTTTTCGGACAGGGGTGATAAACAAAAGATGTGAAGGTGGCCCGAGCTTCGAGGTGAATTCGTCAGTTTGGAAGCTCATCCTTGCTGCAGATCTTGACCCATGCATTAATTAGCGCTGAATCGAGCAAACTTCGTCACAACCAACAACTGAATTAAGGGATAACTTCGTCTTTGATAACAACATTCAAATAACTAGATAGTGCATCCATCAGTAAGACAATCTCCACGAATTTGGCTGATTCCTTATCCATCTTCAGATCACGCGTCTTTGAGTATTACCATAGATCAGCTTGTACTGTTCCATATTTCCTCACTTGCTTATCTGGAGGGTGGGTGGTACGTATCACGAGCACGAATGGCAAGATTCACTGATCGCCTCACATAGGTATCTCAGTGTTCTGTTATCTACCGAAGAGCAAGACGATTTGCTTTCAAGATGGCAGATATGTAATCTCGAATCGATATACCGAATTTTAAAGTTGCATAAATATGCTTTTTATGACTAGACTCATTACTATCTGGCTGATGTATACATATCTCGACCATCTCTTCAAATCTAGATCCGCCGTCTTCCTGGGAAGTGTACTGAATGGTACGATCGAATAGTGGACCTGGACAAACGTTCGTTATTGCAAATTTAAACTCCGCTCAGAAGATATGTTATTAGATAGTGCTTTTCCTGATTTAAGTAATGCAGATTTGTATAATGGCACCTAAGCGACGCAGGTTCGATAACATTTTCCTCGAATCTCGTGGCGACGGCAATGATCTTTGCTTTGTCCAATCGACTGCATCAGGCAAGTCAGACCTTAAGAGATTTGTCTGCTCGTTTTCAGGACTTCTTCGCTTGATATTCCTCGAGAATACCTCCAATTAATGCTTCGACGTACCCACCACCCTCCCAGTACATTCTCCAAAGCCAACACCCTCACCCGCCTTGCCCCTAAAGGTAGCCACATCCCCATCCAATAACCATTTTCTCGTATTCATCCCAGCCAACATAAGTTCCTCACCCTCCTTGCCATCCTTTCCCATTTCAAGTAAACTTCCTAATTCGTTCTTCGATGTCCCGCTGATAGTCCCACTTCCCAATAAATCACCTACATTCATAGGGCATCCACCCATAGTATGATGAGCTATCATTTGTGGAAATGACCAGAGCAGATTTGAGGACGATACTTTTGCTATTGTGGTAGTTGCAGGGTCCTCATCACCGCCGATTGTGAGGTCGATTGAGAGGGAGATGTCGTAGACTGTATCTTGCCGCTTCTCTTGTAAATATGGTAGTAATTCTGTTTTATTCTCCAACTTCTTCACTCGATAGGGTTCCAAAGCTCCAGGGAGCACAACCCAAGGACTTATCGTCGTTCCAAAATTCTTGCCGTTAAAAGGCCCTAGTGGTACGTATTCCCAGCGCTGGATATCTCTTGATGACCAGTCGTTCATTAATACGTATCCAAAAATGGCTTCCTCTGCATCTCCGTTAAGTTTGAGACTTGTTCCCATCGGGTTCGAAGTACAGAGAAGACATCCAAGCTCTAATTCTATATCTAGCTTTTTACTAGGTCCGTGTATGGGTGTTTGGGAGCCTGGAGGGAGAATTTGACCCTGGGGTCGATGAATTGGGGTACCTGAAACCACTACTGAGGAGGCTCGGCCGTGGTAACCGACTGGGAGATGAGTGTAATTAGGCTTGAGTGCATTTTCGGGATCCCGGAAAAGACATCTAGTGGAGGTGTTAGCATTTCACATGATCAATAGTAATAATCATTATCGGTATGGATGTCAGATCTTACCCAGCATTAAAAGCATGATTGTAACCAGCATAGAAATCGGTGTAATCTCCAATCTTCATCGGCAAGAGGTTTTTCGTCTCATGTTTGGGAAGCAATGCTGCTTTTTGTAATTCAGAATTATCTTTTAAAATCTCAGGATGCGACGTTGATTCGGAAAACACATCTTGAATATATTTGCGAACATTTTCATGAGTCTTCTGACCCAAAGCCGCAAAATCATTGAGCGTTGTTGAATCGAAGACTGAAAGATGTTCTTTTGGAAACGAAGTGAGTTCTGCAAATCCACCCGCGCTTGAAAATGCTTTAAGATCCAGAACGTGGTTTCCAATAGGTATTGCTGGTCTGTGCCCGTCTGAAAACTTGGATCTAATAATTCCAAATGGTATGTTGGCGAGTGAGAAATCACTGTCTTCGGGAATCGAAAGCCATGATTTGGGAGGCGCCATGCTGGTATAGTGTTGTCGGATATGGACACGCAGTTGAAGTGTCAAGTTGATGAAAGAGCGTGACGTGGCGGGTGAGGGAGCTCTGAAACAACTGTACATGAAATTGATGCTTCGATTACGTTTTTGAAGCTATTCACAACTTTTGTTTTGTTGTCGTGAGGAGATGAGGGGCAGAGTTTAGCGTGTAGTGGGGTGGGAGTGAAAGTGCGGCCGTCTTCCGCTGACCCCTGTAACCCGTTTCTTGGCCCTGGAGGGGACGAACTATCAGTTGAACAGGTGTGCTATTAGAATTATCCCCTCTTCGCTAGACTGCATCCGCTTGCTCATTCCGTTTGCGCGTCGACAAATGCAGCACATCAGCGATGGACCTATGCGCCCTGATTCCGCTGTGGAAAGTTCCTCTAATCTGGGGAAGCACTACTTGCTCGCAAAGCACCATGTGTACCAATCACAGCTCACAAATTCCGACTTGCATCTGTGAATCTGGATTGACTTGAGCATTTGTCGAACTGGCACCAGTCCCGCATCGTCAGTAGTAATATTATCCCACCAAGGCTAAAGTAGCCACTAAAATTCTCTCCTCAATTGCTTGATCTCCTCCCTTATATCACAGAACTTGAGTTTGATTCATCGAAGAAAGAGCCAACCTGGTGACTTCTTTTTTCTCTGCCAGAGTCCTTTTCGTCTTTCGCAACTCACCCGCCATGACTTTACAAACAACAGGCGTCGCCTTGGTGGCAGTCGTTTATTTTATTATCAGATACTTGAACAAGACAGACTATCCTAAAATCAAGAACCTCCCAGAAATTCCAGGAGTTCCCATCTTTGGAAACTTACTTCAATTTGGAGATAGCCACGCCAGAGTTGCGGGGGCGTTGGCAAAGAAGTTTGGTCCTGTGTTTCAGGTCAGGTTAGGAAACAGAGTACGCGACATTTCTTCACAAATTCCCTCAAGAGGCCAAGCTGACAAATAGTAGCGTATCATCTTTGCAAATACCTTTGACTCGGTCAGACACCTTTGGATCACCAATCAGTCCGCTCTAATCTCCCGACCAACCCTTCATACCTTTCATACGGTCGTCTCCTCTTCGCAGGGCTATACTATTGGAACCTCCCCTTGGGACGAATCGTGCAAACAGCGACGAAAAGCAGCAGCGACAGCTTTGAATCGTCCGGCTGTCCAGAGTTATATGCCGATTATAGACCTCGAATCGAATGCGTCCATCAAAGAGCTTGTAGAAGACAGTTGCAATGGCACCAAAGATGTAGATCCCATTGCTTACTTCCAAAGATTCGCCCTTAACACTTCTCTGACTTTGAACTATGGTTCAAGAATCGATGGGAAGGTAGACGATGAGTTGTTGCAAGAAATCTGTGACGTCGAAAGAGCTATTAGCAATTTCAGATCTACCAGCAACAACTGGCAAGATTACATCCCTTTGATGCGATTATTGCCCATGGGGAAGGCCAGTGACAAGGCAGACGAGTATCGACAGCGTAGGGATAAGTATCTTACTTTCCTCCTCTCCAAGTTGAAAAAAGAAATCGCGGAGGGTTCAGATAAACCATGTATCACTGGTAACATCCTAAAAGACCCAGAAGCCAAACTTAATGAAAGTTAGTATATTTGTCTCAACTTACCAGAATCCAAGCTAACATATTCTGACTAGACGAAATCAAATCAATCTGCCTGACAATGGTTTCAGCCGGTCTGGATACCGTTCCTGGCAATCTCATAATGGGCATCGCCTACCTTTCCTCTGCTCACGGCCAGGAAATTCAAGCTCGCGCATATTCAGAAATTCAAAAGGTCTATCCAAACGGCGAGGCATGGTTCGCCTGTGTGGATGAGGAAAAGGTACCATATGTAACCGCATTCGTCCGCGAAGTTCTTCGATTCTTTACCGTCATTCCAATTTGCCTCCCTCGAACGTCCATCAAAGATATCAAATACGAAGACGCAGTTATCCCTGCCGGAAGCGTATTCTATATGAACGCATGGGCTGCAGACTTTGACGAAAGCCATTTCAAATCAGCAAAAGAATTCAACGTTGAGAGATACCTGGAAAATCCAGAAGGTAGTGGAACTCCGCATTATGCTTATGGAGCTGGCTCCAGAATGTGTGCTGGTTCTCATCTCGCAAATCGCGAGTTATATACTGCATTTGTGCGGCTGATTGTTGCGTTCCATATTGATCCGCCGAAGGAAAAGAAAGATGAAGCTGTCCTCGATTGCTTAGATTGCAATGCCATACCAACGAGTTTGACGACCGACCCAAAACCTTTCAAGGTCGGATTCCGTGCGAGAGATCCTGCCAAGTTGAATGAGTGGATGAGGAAAAGTGATGAGCAAACGGCGCATTTGATGAGTTAACGAGGTGGCGGGTTGCTGGGAGTTCAATTTGTTGTTTGCATTTCAGATTAACAGGAGCTTTGTATCGCTATGTCCTTTTATATTACCAGATATCGTTTTATGTCTTGCATTTAAAAAGAAATAGATTACTGTATTGAGCAAACCCCACAACCTAACCTCACCCCACTCTCAAGCTTCCCGTCCCGACTCCCCTTTATCCGCCCCACCAAAGCTCCTGTGCTCCCCTGGCTATTGCATCATACACAAAAAATAGGTATTCCTCCTTCTCAGCTTCGAACTGTTTAGCGAGGTTTTTCCAGCAATCATTGCTCGTTTTACCAATTGGAAGAAGCAAAAGTTGTAATATGCAACCACTTCAATAGGTCTAGAAGCTCTTGTGCTCATATGAGATAGGCTATTCCCAATTGATGTTGACACGATACGAAATGGGGATCCCTATGACGGGGACAACGTGCTTAACGCCATCCAACACGGCTTAACGCCATTATCCCCGCTACCTGCTTCAGGCTATGTTGATTGAGGGGTGTTATACTTGAGGGGGTGAATATGGGAGTTATCCCACTTTGGATTGATACATATAGACGTACTTCCTCTCGCTTTCTTGACGTAAATATTTCTGCATATAGCAAACAATCAATTGGAAATCTGATCATCATACGACTGAACATAATACAGAAGGAAATCCATAAACATGTCGACACCACAAATGCCCAAGTCCCTTGCCGCTTCGGTGGAGGGGAGTAAAGCAGAGTATGTGCGACTGGGGAAATCGGGACTTAAGATCTCGGTGCCGGTGTTTGGGACGATGAGTATTGGAGATCCGGGATGGATTGACTGGGTTGAGGGGGAGGAGAAGGTATGTTAAATCAATCTCCACCTATGGTTTCAATAACCTTCTTTTAATTGGAATTTCTAGCTAATATCACACTCAATAGTCCCTACCACTCCTCAAAGCAGCCTACGACATGGGCCTCAACACCTGGGACACCGCGAACGTCTACTCTAATGGAGCATCCGAGATCCTCGTCGGCAAGGCGATTAAGAAATATAATATCCCGCGCAACAAGGTGGTGGTGTTGACGAAGTGTTTTGGGGCTGTGGGCGAGGAGATGGGTGTTAGATCTGTGATGTTCCCGAAGGAGATTAAGGCCAGTAAGGATTATGTTAATAATCATGGTAAGTTTGTATTTCTTGTGTGATTAGCAAGGGGAGATGGGGGGCTAATGGTGTCTAGGGTTGTCAAGAGCAGCTATTTTCAACGCCGTAGATGCGTCGTTGAAGAGGTTGGAGTTGGATTATATTGATCTCCTCCAGATTCATCGATTTGACCCTGATACGCCGCATGAGGAGACGATGGAGGCGTTACATGATTTGATTAAGTCTGGCAAGGTTCGATATATTGGCGCGAGTAGTATGTGGGCGACACAATTCGCACAATTGCAGTTTGTGGCGGAGAAGAATGGATGGACAAAATTCATCAGTATGCAGAATCATTATTCGTTGTTGTATCGGGAGGAGGAGAGGGAGATGAATCGCTTCTGTAATGATACTGGGGTGGGATTGATTCCTGTAAGTTATACTCATTCATCCCTTTGGTTGTTGCTAGGTGGAGGACTGATGAAATATAGTGGGCTCCTCTATTCCGCGGCCATCTCGCTCGTCCTCTTTCGAATCTTGGAAAGACGACTAGATCTGCTCCGGAAGCTGATAAGGGTCTTACTGAGGCGGATGAGGGTATCGTCAAGCGTGTGCAAGAACTTGCGGATAAGAAGGGCTGGAAGATGAGCCATGTTGCGCTTGCTTGGATTAATAAGAGGGTTAGCAGTCCGATTATTGGGTTCAGTAGTGTGGAGAGGATTCAAGAGGCGCTTGATGCGAGAGGAAAGACTTTGACTGATGAGGAGGAGAAATATTTGGAGGAGTTGTATGCGCCGAAGAATATTATTGGACATTCGTAGGGATGACGGGAGCTAGAGGCTTATCCCGTAGATAATCGGAGGATGTGGGAAATTTGGAAATACGTGTTGGTACATATTTCAATTCCTTAATACAAGAGATTCGCCTTGCCATCAGATTGAGTACATTTACTCGCAACATGGTTTGTTGAATTTGTTAATCGTGATGTCGTCCGCCAGTGAGTGTAGAAGTGAGCTGATTGATTATTGGCCTATGCCAAGCCACCAGGGCACTGTCGGAATTGGAGTCAGGTCATCCGCCATTCTCGTACCACTTCACGCAACGCAGCTTGATCGTCAATTGCAGGTGACGATTCAGTGAAGATGAAATCACTTACAAATGATTTCTATCCGATAAATGTTTATGATCGGAATCGAACGCCATGTTGGTGTTGATACCCAGACCCCTTGCACTTGACGGGCACGGGCGCTTTTACCCCAGGAATGCGGGGAAGGAGCTTGGGTGGGTCAGCTTCATAATGTGACGCTAGGGAGTTTCACTCGCGTGGTCTATCAAAGACGAGGAGGGTGAACAAACACAAAAGGAAAAGAAGATGAATTGTGATATTGACGCCACTAGGAATCACCTACAACGAAAGGAAAGCTAGAGAATCGGCACAAGAAGATGCCGTGAAGTGACTCCCAACTCCGTGGATGCCGGATTGGGAAGTAAGTATCAAGCCTACTTGCCCTGCTGGCGACTCAGATCGTCGTAAGCCAGACGCTAGCCCTCTTTCAAGGTCACCACGTGAGGCTTCTTGCGTGACTGCCATTGACCCCGCATCGTCTCAATGAACAACTACCTCCTCTTCCTGCATCGTACCTGATCTTCTCCTTCCATCAAAACACTCATCGTCTTCATCTCATACAATCTGTGACAGCTTTCCAAGCATCAAACAACTCAATAACAATCATCTTGCGTATTCAATCGCGAGATACAGCTACCTTTGACCTTTACTACCTAGTACAAAGTCAATAACCCCAATCATGTCTGCCGCCGACGCCGCACCTACCCCTTTATCAAAGGTCGACTCTGCCGTTCAAGGTCTATCATCAAGCCCTCCTAAGGATGATGCGAAGGCGGAACCAAAGCGAAGAGCGAGCTCAAGTGTACCTGGTGTATACAACATCAATGACTTAGGTATGTCAGCTCCACTCCCGTTTGCTGAGCATCAGACTATAACATATCTGTTTGGAACAAACGAATACAAAGCTGACATCTGGAATAGAAAAGGAAGGAACAGAAATCCAGATCGCAAAAGAAACACAGAAGCTCAACTGGTAAGACGGAACTCCTCGATATGTTATCCTTACCCCGCTTCGACCTTCAGCCGAATTGAACAAGAACCACTTTGAATGAACTTCTGCTAATCATCACTTCTACCTAGGCGTATCAACAAGTCTCCAATGGGGTTAGAAGAACCAGAAAAGAGCATGCTAAAGAAGCACCTCACCACTCCACCAGTCAAGAAGATCGACCTACATTTCCCACTGGGGCTTGAGGTGTCAGCTCGGAACATGAAGGGTGTAACAATCAAAGATGCATTAGATGCCATCTACAAGCAATTTCGAAAGAAGGTAAGCTTAGCCCAAAACACCCGTTTTCTAGATAGAAAGAAGACCCACATCCCATGTCGACCAAATCCAGTAGAGACGCTAACGCCTATTCCGTCTACAGGCAGATGACGAACTCGAGACCCCAGTCCTAGCAGGCTTCGAATGGGACAAAGAAGAGTCATGGACCCAACTCATCGTTCACTGCAAGAAGGAGGGTGCTCCACAACCCAAGAAGAAGGGAAAGAAAGGTGCCGTTGAAGAGGAAATCTAGACTCAGCAACCTATTCCACAATTCCTGCTTGGCTCTGCGCATAAAGGTTGCTAGCCGGCGGGCTGGCTGTATTCGTTGATTTCGAGGTAATCTCAGACATGATCCGGCATGAACACGCCGAAGATATTTACATAAGGATGGAACAACTTGGCGGACGAGCTGTCTACCATGGCTGGTGTACTTTTACTAGCTCTTGCGCAGATGGTTAATCTTGCTGCAATGTATTCTCATCTCTATCCGTTTCTGTCTGTCGTGATTTTGTTTCGCAATCGTTGTTTTGTCCATCCCTCGTTGATCTCGCAAAGCATATTTGCATTTCGTTTTATCGTTGGGAGAGTGCGTGACTCGTCATCTGGATAGACATAAATCTGTCTGGAGGAGTGTCGTTGTTCGAAGAGCATGGGAAGGATTTACGGAACTTCTGATGAGACCCACTTCGAGTTTTCACGATCCCCAATCCAGCAAGTACATGCGGGGCACTTCTTCTTCGGCCGTTTAATTTTGAGGCTTAACATCATCTGGTCTTCCGTACAACTTAAAGATAAGATCACATTCATCGCGGTCGACGCTTTTGAAAGGTCACAGGTAGGTTGTTTCTATCTATCGTTTATTGTTTGGCTGATTTGAATCATTTTGCGATCCCCGAGACCAGCCGCTAGATTCACTAAAGTTTGCTCCTCGATGTTTTCTAGATAAGGCACTTTCTCTCTACTCCATTCAAGTTCTTTTCCAGTCCTATTTCAAACACGAAACAGATATGGACGCTCGTACAAACCTTCCAGTATTTTTCCCTCGTCCGGATCCTACTGCTAGTTACTGGCAAAATCACCCTGATCCATATCTTGGAAATGTGACCGACGATCAAGACCGCGACCAGCATGTTATCAAAACACTCCTCATAGGCAGTGGCATAACCGGCGCAAGTGTAGCCTGGAATATTCTACAACAGCCACCTTCGCAGAGAGGTAGGGTTGTCATGCTTGAAGCAAGGCCAGTTTGCTCTGGTGCTACAGGCAGAAATGGTATGTAATTAACCACGATCCTACTTTTAAAACTACCCAGTACTAATAGTATAATGCAGGTGGCCATACAAAAGGAGCATCATATCGCTCTTTTCCTTCGAACTATCGTACCCTAGGTAAAATCGAAGCTATCAAGATCGCCCGACTTGAATACGCCAACATCCGCGCGACCCATCAGTTTGCTGCCGAACACAAAATAGATTGCGAGTCAAGAAGCTGCGATACCGTTGATGCAATATATGATCCGGTGCAATGGGAAGAGTGTGCTTCCGCTGTAAAGCTTATGAAGGATTGCTTCACAGAGCCAGGGGACGCTGAGGGCATTTATCGGTATCATCTTTGGACTCCAGAGGAAGCGAAAGAAAAGTTTCACATCCAGGGAACGGGACCCGATGGCGAGCCACTCGTAGGTGCTGTCAGTTATGAAGCAGGCAGTATTCATGCCTACCGCTTTGTAACCGGAGTCTTGAACCTTTGTGTACAAGAGGGTTTAGAGCTGAGAACTAATACTCCTGCCACAAAGACCATAAGGACTTCTGACGGAAAGTGGTCTGTTGAAACTCCGCAACAAACCTTTATAGCCAATCGTGTTGTGCTAGCTACAAATGGCTACACGGCGGCACTCTGTCCAGAAATGCAAGGAGTCATCGTGCCGTTACGTGGTCAAGTTACTGCTCATCGTTCTGGAACGAATATGCCAAAGACTGGCTTGGTAAACACCTTCTCGTTTGTGTACAAGAATGGGTTCGACTACATGATTCCACGTCCGGCTGGTACCGAGTTTGAGGGAGATATCATTATCGGAGGTGGTCTTTTCAGAACGCCTGACAACGGACTCGAGGAGCATGGTAATACGGATGATACCTCTTTAAACTCCGCCATTAGTTCCTATCTTCATGAGAGTACCCCAACCTATTTTGGCAATTCCTGGGGTGAAGATCAACCTGAAGGTAGGATCAGACAGGAGTGGACCGGAATTATGGGATATACTCTTGACGGATTCCCTCATGTTGGTCATATAAGGGACAATCTATGGATTGGTGCTGGGTTTCAGGGTCATGGCATGGTACTTTGCTGGTTGTCCGGAAAAGCACTTGTGGAGAAACTGGATGGGATCGAGGGGGACGTGGATTCGTGGTTTCCCAAGGCGTTCTGGACTTCTGAAGAGAGGAGGACTGCCAAAGGGACGTTGGATATACATTAGGATACACATTTGAGTATCTGGTCGTGAGGGTCGGAATTTTGGAGAGGCGATACCCTTATGCTGTTGGCGTTTGCGCTTTTTAGGTAGGACTTAGTGACACTGTTACAAGCGATTGCTTGTGTAGCTGCAACAACTCTCATGATACTTGAAAATTAAAGCATCTAGTCAAACTACTGGACATCAGATTCACGAATTTATAAACATGACTTCCTATTGTAGTCGAATAAATCCAGCCCTCAACCACCAAAACGCATTCCCCCAGCCAATCATAACCGTCCCCTCCACATCCCGAATCCCGACTCCACAACGCCAACCCCCGCAATCATCCCAGCACCGCGAAAAGCAGACAACGAAGACTCCCAATGCTACCCGGGATTCCACCACCGCATGCACCCAATGTCCCGTCCAAACCATGGCCAACATCGCAGAGCAAGTCGCGGACCTGACTTATCTGGTTGACTCGCCCATCGCCACGCCGTATCCTTCTGGGTCCAACGGGTCCCTCGCACAGCTCGAGATGAACGGCGGGCGTCAGAGCAGCAGTGCGGAGAGTCCCGCGGATGGGGGCGGAAAGAAGAGGAAGGTGGATGAGGTGGATGGGGGGAGTGGGAATACAGAGGGGACGAATGGAAATGGGAATGCGACGACGAATGGGGCGCATACGAGGGCGAAGCGGAATCGGTATATTTCTATTGCTTGGTGAGTTTGTGTGAATTCTTTGTTTAGTTGCAGTTTTGGCTTGGACAACTGGAGGGGGGAATGGGGAACGTGTTGCAGGGTATTTGTTTGTTCGGATGGATGCATATGTGGAACAGGAATTGCAGTATGCTTCCGCTGTGTAATCGGGTATACTTCATCTGGAACGCTTTTGATTATTTGTCGTTGCATTGCCACTGCTTGTGCTTCATTGCGGGTATCTCAATTAGAGTTATATGGAGAAGACCGCATGCTAACATATATCTAGCAACGAATGCAAGCGAAGGAAAATAAAATGCAATGGCAATACCCCGTGCCAGCGATGCGGAAACCTCAATCTCGAATGCCAATATGCGCCGAACTGCTGTACCAATGGTTTCAAAGAATCCGAGGAGTTTCGACAGATGAACAATCAGCTGGCAACTCTCCAAGAACAGGTCGATAATCTATATGCGAATTTAAGTGCTCTGCGGAGTAATGGCGGAGATGGCATATCATTTGCTGCTCAAACAGAGAGGTCAATGTCGATTAGCCAACCTCCTTCTGGACCACAGCCTACATCGCCGGTGTCTAGGTATAGACCATCTTCGAGACATACTTCGTATCGCGGCCCTACTAGTTCAGCATTTGGTCTTGATGTGGCCAAAAATACATTGCATAATATGGGATATCAAGGTCTAGGTGTGGATGAGGGAACTACGACTCAAGATCCAACTCCAATGGCGTCGCCTCGGTTGCGGCCAGCTCTACCACTTGTAACACCAAATGGAGCTCCTTTACGCGATCCTATTTGGGCACTATCAAAAGAAGAGATGATCCGTCTCTGTCGTGTCTACGAGGAAGAAATGGGTATTATGTACCCTGTGGTTGATATTGAAAAAGTTATCATACATGGGACGAATTTGTATACTTTTACAGAAGCGGCAAGGCGTAACGGTTTTTCCAATGATAATACCGCTAAGGGGTTGACGGATGAGGGTACTTCGGCGCTGAAAATGGTGCTTGCGTGTTCTACGCTGACGGAAGGGAATGGGCGGAGTGAGGTTGCTTATAGACTTTTTGAGAGCGTAAGGGAAGCTGCTGATAGGATATTACATGGGGAAACGTTTGGAATTAAGGATTTGGCGTTTTTGGTGCTTGTGGTGAGTTATTGTTATAATCCATGCGATATAACAGACACGCTAATTCTATTCTTAGGCTATTTATCACTTTCACTGTGATGAAGAAGCGCTGGCCTGGCGAATTATTGGGCAGGTAGCTCGCATGTGTATAGAATTAGGTTTACATCGACGAGACTCACTTTCCAAGGTAGTATCTGACGATGAGGAACGAGCACAAGCTATCAACCTCTTCTGGTCAGTTTATGTGCTTGATCGAAGGTGGAGTTTTGGTACTGGAATGCCTTTTGCATTGCAAGATGCAGATATTGATCCTAACCTACCAGAGCCAGTAAGTACTCCTACCCAACCTTAGAAACATCGTGTTAACAACTCCAGGAACTTAGCATCCCTTACCTCAACGTAATGATAGCCTATTCCCGCATCGGCTCCAAAGTCTGGCGCTCCGTCTCCTCCTTCTCGCCCTCCCCCACCCTCAACATTGAAGAAATAGGCTACCTAGACTACCAAGTTCAACACTGGCAAAAGTCCATTCCTTCCTCCCTCCAACTCTCTTCCGCTCCCTCTTCCCAGACCTCCACGCGCGCCATCCGTCGCCTCCAAATCCTCCTCTATGTCCGCGCGAACCAGATGCGCATCCTCATCTACCGACCTGTCCTCCACTCCGCGTCGTCGATCCAGGAAAACATCCAATATGCCTCCACTGCCGTCGAGCTTGCTAAGGATACCATTCGCGCTCTCACTCATCTCAATCAAACCTCGGATATCTACCGTACGCAACAAGTCTGCTTTAATTACTTCCTCACTTCGGCCATTGCAGTCATCTTCCTCGCTTCTTGCCACGCGCCCGTGCATTTCTCGAGTATATGTCGCGAGGAGTTTTATATGGCGCTAGATCTAGTCAAGGGCTTTAGCACTAAATCTTGGGTGACCCGCCGTCTGTGGAAGACGATCAAAGGGTTGAAAGAGGTAGGACCGAAACTTGGACTTGTTACAGTGGAGGGCGAGGATCCGCACTCGAGTGCTGCGCTGGCGATGGCCGGGTTGGCGGGACATGAGATTCATGGGCTAGGGCATGGAGCGGGGTTTGCGGACGGATTGATGGAGAGTCCGAATGGGTTTCAGATGAGTCATGATATGACTAGTTTGTTTGAGGCGGCGTTGGGGAGTGTAGGGGGAGAGGGACGGGGCGGTGGAGGAGGGTATGGGATTGCGGATGATGGAGGCGTGGGTATGAATAGTGTCGGGGCGAACGGGAATGGGCATGGGAGTCATGTTTTTGGGGGTGAGGATGAGCTGTATAGACAGTTGAGGGATTTGTTTTAGTGGGGTCTGCAAAGAGGGGATTTCCTCGGGGGAAGGGGATTGTGGTTGAAATGAAGGGAGCGAAGAAGGTAAATAGCGGCGTTGGGTGTATATATGGGTTTGACTAGGTTGGGAAAAGGTTCAAAGGCACAAGGGCAGAAGGTAGCTCAATAGGATAGCTTGATTGAACAGCTTATAGCGGCTATACACTTTCTAGCGAATAGATCGAAGTAGCACAAAAGGCATGGATTGAAATCACTGCTGACCACACTGATTCATTCAAGCTCAACAATCCATCCAAAAACCGAGATCATATTTAAGCTTACACAAGCCTAACTCTTGCAGCCCATCTCTAGACACTTACTGTCATCGCTCATCTACAACTCCTTGCAATGATTGTAGTGATTTTCTCTTCTCCGTGATGTCCTCTCCCAACTCCGACACTACAGGTCTCGGCTCTAAGAACTCCAATTTGAAATTCCAATTTAACCAACATAGCATTTTCATGTACAAAAGGTCTGTTGATAGGTAGAAAACCTATATTCGTGTGGATTGGAGAAGGGTTGGATTGATGTATGTAGAGGTGGGAGGGTGGGAGGCTTGGTGCGTTTTTAAATGAGGGTGGAAAAGTTCACATATCATCACAAGTAACAAGGTCTTTGTTCTTAAGCATGTTCGGGGTGTCAGAGACCAATTCGTAACTTACAATTCGTAATCACTGATAAAGAATGGCAATTCCATCACTACTATCTTTGCATTTTATCATCACACGCTGCTCTCTTCAAATCAATGTTATGACACAATGCACAGTCAGATATATTAAATTTCTTAATTATCTACCCCTATGAATCGCTAATTTACAACCTTCCTCATTTCACTCCCTCACTTCCCCTCACCACCCTCGACCAAATGACTAACCCTCTTCATTCCCTCCCCCATCTTAAAATGCGCCGGCAGTGGAGTCCAACTATGTTCATTATAATCTCCCTGTACCTTCTTACAAGTCTTAAGACCCCACTCGGTAACGCCCACCATCAAACAACTCTCAAACATAAACGCCATGCTGCCCTCTCCAATCTTAACCGGTTTAAGCTCCGCATTACTAGCTTTAGCATGGGAATCCGCGTCGGGGCCGTGAGCACTCATGATGTTATGGAGACTTGCGCCAGCGGGTTGGAAGCCACCGCCGGTTTTGGCATCGTATTCGCCGCCGATGAGACCCATGAATTCGGACATGGTGTTGCGGTGGTACCAAGGGGGGCGGAATGTGTCTTCGCCGACTAGCCAGCGTGGTGGAAAGATTACGAAATCTGCGATGGCGGTGCCGACGGTTGGTGAGGGAGCGGAGAGAACAGTGAAGATGGAGGGGTCTGGATGGTCGAAGGATATGGAGCCGATGGTGTTGAAGCGGCCGAGGTCATATTTGTAAGGGTAATAGAGACCGTGCCAGGCTACTACGTCGAAGGGGGTGTGTGTTTGCTCGGCTGCGAAGAGGTGACCGTTGAATTTGGAGATTAAGGTGTATTTGCCGGTTGTGTCTTCGTCGAAGCAGGCTACTGGTGCTTGAAAGTCGCGAGCGTTGGCGAGACAGTTTGAACCGATTGGACCGAGTTCTGGGAGTTGGAAGTGGCCTTGATATAGCTCTAAGATGTATCCTCGAACTGGACCTTTTGGTAATTCGACTCGATATCTGATTCCTCTTGGAATGACACAGATCTCATTTGGTCGTACTAATAGTCTTCCAAGTTCTGTCTGGATATCTAGGACTCCCGTCTGCAGCACAATCAAGAAATCTCCATCAGCACTGTAGAATGCCTCGTTCTCCTTCATGCTCTTGCCTGCAGCGAATATGAAGATTCCGAGCCCAGATTTCATCGTAGGATCACCGGCTCCAGCGACAAGCTTTAGACTGTGTATCCAATCGACAGTCTCGTCCATATCGAATGGATCCCAGCGCAATTGATCTGGTATCTGATGCATCTTCTCGCCTTCTGGGTTGGTATTGTATGAGGAGGCTTCGCGAGGATGGAAAGGAGAGTGTGAAGCGGAGGGGAGAATTCGGTACAGCCATGACTGCTGGTTCTCGTGGCGGGGTGCTGTAAAAGCTGTTCCTGACAGTTTCTCTGCGTAGAGTCCAAAGGGAGGCTTTTGAGGTGAGTTTCCACCGATTGGAAGAGCGCCCTCTATGGCTTCGGATCTAGAAATATTGTTAGGGCGGTAGCAGAGGCATATGAAAGAGGACTTACTCGTGGTATGACTGAAAGCCATTTTGGTACTTGTATTTCTCTGGTGTAGTAAACTTGGTCACAGGCATGATGAAGAATTGTGGGATGAAGGTGGAAATGTAATTTGCTGTCAAGAAGTTCTTGATTACGAAAAGAAAGAAGTGAGAGTATCAAACCTTGATGTACCTTTGATACGCGGCATCCATATGTCTTCGCGTTGCGTAGTGTTGTGATTGTTCAATCCCCCGCAAACAGCAAGGTGTCAAAGCCGGAGGAAAGCGCGACAGGCGTCAAGCTGGGGGAATTGGAAGGGTGCGGAAAGCACCCGCGCTGGGGTTCCGCGCGTGAATTGATTGTGATCGTGACACTCGGTCCTGTCCATGTCCGGCTCCGGTCATACGGCCCATCTTCCATGATACAAGTTTCGTCAATATATCCTCGCGCATTCATCCATTGGAACGATTCTCATTAAATTCCCAAGCACTAAAAGTTAACCCGTTAGAGACAAAGAGATCAACGAAGAGGTAGGTAATTTCTCCCGCACGCAACATACCACAAGGATTAGCACTGCGATTCAAAAATACCCTTTTCTCTCCTCTTCATCACCTGCTCCCCGAACTTGCTTCCACGTCTGTTTCCTTCATCTTGCTTTCCAACTCTTCAACTTTGCTCATATACCACTCAAGCCTCCTCTTCTCATCGGGAAAAGTCTCCTCGATATTCTTTTCCATTTGCAAAATTCCCGACGAGGTTGAACGCAGGCGGGTAAGAATTTCCACTGTGGAAATCCCCGTGAACATAGCGAGGAACATTGCCAGTCCTGGCCTCGAAGAGTCCAATACTCTGAGAAAAACCCACCATAGGACCAACCATATGGGAGTTTTGATTTTTGGCGGCCAGTCGATCCAGTCAATGTTGTTTCGGTCAGGGGTGGGACTCGAATTCATCGTGAGGTTTGGTGTTGCTGGTGGTGAGGGGATTGAGGATATATATATTTAGGATTTTGGTAGCAGCTCTCATGCCAAGTTGTTTCGCGAGTTGTTCAATTTCAGAATCAAATGCCAATCTTCGAATCTTGGAAAGTTAAAAAAAGGGGCGAGGTAGTAATTTCGTCAGCTCATCCCGATCGGGCTCTGTTGTTGGAACCTTGCAGGGAATAATGAACAGGCAATAAATTGCGGTAAAAAAAAGATACCTCACCACTTGCTGCATACGAGAAATTCACATATTCCAGTCAAAGATGAGTTCAAAGCCAGCTTGATTGACTGCTTACTTCATTTGCTTTAAGAGATGTCAAGTCATTGGTTTGGAAATTTAGCAAATCACCCGATAAACATCATTCTGTCACGCCCTCTTGTTTTAAGGCTGGCCTCAATTTTCGAGAATAATAAATGTAAAGAAAGAAAACCATTTTGATCGCGCGACATCCTATAGCGAGTCCGTAAGAAACCCAGGGTCGTGACACTCCCCCTCCCCCTTTCTTATGTTAAAAATTAAGCGAAATTCGTCACATCAGCTTCATCGCATTAAGCAAGGAAACCGATTATTTTAGAATCGCATTGATCACATAGTATTAGCCAGCACACATTGTTTTGTTTCGAGATTTCTTAAATTTTACATTGGGTCGAACATCTACCACCACTAGCAAATTATCCACTGGATTGAGGACGAGGTTGTTCAACCTCAAACCTTCCATCCAACCAGGAGTTGTTAAAGACTTGGACGATAAGGTTAGCCTCCTCTGCAATTTCACTAAGAGTAAGGTGTTGACGACCAGGAGATCCCGGCTCAGCGACCTGGAAATCTTCCTGATGGCTTACTCCCTCCATCCTCTCTCCAAAGTAACCACTAGCGGAGACCATTCTCACGTCCTCCTGTGGTTGCTGTTCGATTTGAGAATTTAGTTGCCCCGAGTCTCTCTGCCCAGCTTTCAGTTGCTTCTGCTGAACCTCATCGGAAAAGTAGATCTCCCGTAGTTCAGCAGCTAGTTGAGGATCTCTAAAGAATTCCCAGATAGCGCGATGCGTTAACTCGTTAAGATTGTCGAGAAAATCGTCGATCTCGCGGGTAATTTCTTGGTCGTTCGCGACGTTATCTAGTTCTGCTTCACCGCGCTTATGAGCTTTGTGAAGCACTAATAAGAGGTCGTATAGAGTTGCCGCTGCTGGGTGGTGCAGCATTCTACTAAGGGTGGAGGGAGTGAGCAGTGTGCATTCCTTTTCGAAATCATCTTCTACCTGTAAACCTAGAGGGTCGTAATCTAGTGGTACTAGGATCACTGTTGTAGAGAATGGAAGTACGTGCGTCAACTCGTAGTCGTAGAGGGGACAGAATTTGTGAAGCTCTGAGTGAGAATTTCTCACACCTCTGTTCTCTGGCGCTTGAGTATGCCATTTCGGGAGTGACATATTTAGAGGCCTAATATGATCAACCTGTCGACGGTCGTCCTCATTGTGCGGTGGGGCATCTGCCATTTCTTCATCTTCATCATCTTCGTCTTCTTCGCTTTCAGATGGCTCATAGACAGACCCTTCGTCATCATGCTCATCATTATCACCGAAGAATTGATCGCTCTCATCTTCAGAGTCTTCGTCCTCGGAAGAGCCATCATCATCATCAGAGTCATCAGAGTCAGAATCATCATCAGAATCATCATCAGAATTATCATCAGAATCATCATCAGAATCAGAATCATCATCTGTGAATTCGAAATCATCTAAAAACTCCGGGACCTCAGATGGCGAAAGAATTCGTTCTCCAAAGACTTTGATCAAATCTGTCGTAGGCTCGCAATCCCCTTCGAATGTTCGGAGAAGCATAGGTCGAAACTGAGCCCGATGTTGATCCGCCTCTGCTCGAAGCTGTCCCATTAATTCTATGACTTCCTGCCCTTGTTCTACAATTCCAAGTACTCGTTCCACTCTTGTAAAGACGAGATTATCGACCTTGTGAAACCGGTTCATGTACTCGAGAATTTGTGGATCCGACAGAACTCTGTCAAACACATAATCATCTCTGCCGTATTGACTTTTTCCAATGTGAGTCTTGAAAAACTGCAGGGTTTGCTCGAAATCATCCTGAAAGTCTTTGGTTTGTTCTTTGAGCGATTGAAAGCCACCAAAGTCGTTGGCGTGTAGTGCTTCGAAATGCGCACGACACATGGGACATGTACAGTTCCTTCCTAGCCATACTTGTATACAGCCAGCGCCAAATGTGTGACCACATTCAAGTTTGACTGCTGGCTCAGTTCTCCCCTGCTCTTCTGGCTTTCCAAACGGTGTAAGGCATATTGAGCAAGTATTGGCGTTTGATACTCCTACTACATGATCTTCAAGCTCCAACTCTTCATCTGGCACGATATCGCGTGTCAGCTTCGTCACAGCAGCTATTCTCCGTTGAGCTGTCAGACCAAAAACTGGATCGTTCGGTGATGCTCGGTTTTCATCAATGCGACGGATAGCGTCCCTCAGTTGTTTCTTTCTGTAAGGGTCTTCTCTGGGAGCTATTTGGTATAGATAACGAAGCCTGTTCTCTTGAGGTAATGTTAGCTCTCGGAGACGAATTTCCGTTAGGCGACACAGGGAATTTTCTTCCTGCCAACGTTCTTCCCGATAAATTGGGACTGGAGATCTTTCAGTCCAAGATGTATTGCTTGTTTCTGGTATGATTTTGAAGAGTTGGTGGGAGATGGCGGCCGGGTCAAAATCGATTTTTCTTTGAGTTTGCATGAGGAGTGACAGTGATTTAATTTATATGAAGGAAAGATCAGTCGATTATACAATTGTTCAGTATGAGAAGACAGCAAAGAGTTTGTCTGTTCGTGTGGTGAGAGATCGAGGCACAGCGGCATTTGAAGAAACAGAGCCGGCCAGCTACCAAGTACAGTACGGTAAAGGAACAAAGAACACAAAAATGTGGAATCTGCATTGCGAATAAAAATTAGCATGAGAGAGCCTAGTGCTGACTATTGTGATATAAGATTCACCACAAGTTGAGACCTGCAAGCGAATTATGAGGAGATGATATTTGTACCCACACATGCCATACGTTGCATCAATCCTAAGATTTGAGAATTTGAAAGTTTCAGAGTTGCGATTAAGAGTGAATTATGTTTCATTATTTCTTTTGCTAAAATAAGCTCTTAATGACAGATCACGTCTGCTTTTCGTTACTATTGTCCTACTTGTTGAAACTTGTTCAAAATTGCAAGAAAGTGAGTTTGCAAGGCGGCGCATCAGTGTGCGAGATATTGTGCATCCAAGGATGCGGGTATTTGCAGTTTTCGAGTGGTAAATCATATAAGGTAGGTGAATGAGTCTAATAATATTAAAAATTTACGCAAAGGCACTAAGAAAATTGAGGGGAGAATAGGTGTTTTAGAAGATCTTGGAACAAATTCATTGTTCTGGGATTACGAAAAGATCGAATAAATAAAGAAACGAAAGTTGACCAAAGAATTCGGTCAGAGACTTAGCATCAATCAACAGGATGTCCAACCATAACGGAAAACCAAGCAATTCTTCTCTTCAGAACCCCTCACAAGCAAATCTCTTCATCACAGCATCCCCATCACTTACTACAGTAATGAAGATCAATCCCGCCGACCCCAATTATTACCAAAAAAGACTGGAGCAGATCCATGAGAACCGCCGCCAGTTCGAAGCTCTCAAGTTCGAAATGACCAAGTTTTGCTACACAGCCCAAGAGAGGCAAGCCAACACAAAGATGTTGATAGCAGCAATTGCGGACTTAGATCTTTTGGAGAGCACTACTGGAATTAACAAGAGAATGGTGCAGCGATGGGCTGAGGCTATGGCCATACGTAAACAGATCAGCGAGCTTGAAGAACGACAAAATGACTTGTTGGAAGAGGTAAATGAGCTCGGTGATGCTCTTTTTCCGGAGCTCGATCTCTCTAGTAGCATGAGCTCAAAAATCGATGAACGAAAAATGGAAATCAAGCTCCTTGAAGCTCGAATCAAGGATTTGGAGGAGAAGGAAGAGACTTTGATATGTGAAGCTCAAATGTTGGAACAGCTATTCCAGGATCTCAGTAAACAATTGGGGATAGTTGAAAGGTCTGAGGAGGCACAAATGGATGTGTCCATGTTGAAAGGAGATGAAGTCCAACACAAAAATTGCATCCAATCGGCTTTCGAGAGCATTGTCTCCAGAGTGAAGAATCTCAGACAAGATGACTCCTGAAGTCATAGCAACTTCGATGTTTTCTTCGATTGGTGAGAGTACGCTCATTTAGCTTTGAACTTTGTCTAGAGGTAGCGAGAGGTAAATTGGAGTCAAATTGGAAAATCAATCGAATTATCAGAGCAGAAATACCTGGGGTGCATTGATACGAGGCGCGGGAATGGAATAAATGAAATGGGTTTCAATTTGGGGGAAAAGGGGTTGACGAACTTTTTAGTTGTGAAAGCTGCGTTTGATAACGGGATGTAATCAAGGCACTTACGTTTGAGCTCATTCGAGCCTGTATATCGAGACAACTGCCTACGCCTTGGAGAATCAAGGCGTCTCATCTGTCAAAACGAATGACTAATACCACTCATTCTTGATGGGCTGACTGCTTGATCTGCACCAATTTCCATGCCACACAAAGCCTTGACGTGCAATTGCAGTAGCGTAGCATAGGATTCCGGTGATAGATGACCCATCAAGGTCGCGGGCCAGCAGAATTTGTGCTCTCTGGTGTTAGTAAAATGAACTAATGTCTTGTCGTTCATTCTATTGTATGGACTTCCATCCTTTCGTACGGAATCAGCCCAAAGAATAGATAAGTCATTTTCGGCAGGAGCAGCGTAATGATCATCATACTCGCGTATGGATAAGTAGTGGTTCTTGCAGGGTTTGTTCTTGAGACCTGTTGCACCATGTGTTAGGATTGGAACTACGGTAGCATGATCGCCATCGTAAACCTTCAAGACTACGTACTTTCTTCCTTTTGAGAAGACTACTGTTCCGTCTTTTGCTCTAGATAAGTTTGGACCCCATGCATCGCCTTGGCCAATGTCTCTTTCGAAGTGCGTCGCTTGAATAATCATACCTGGCTGATACTGGTAGCGGGTTAAATATTCTCCAGAGTAGCCAGAAAATAACGAATAATCACTACCTAGTTCTCGAAGGTCCCTCAAGCTTCTTGTGGATGAAGACAGTCTTCTTCTTGGGCTCTCAGGAGACGACTTTGGCTGTTCACGAATGCTATAGGGTTTAGTATTGAGATAGCCATCAGATAGTTTTGATGTCTCTAAGGACTTACCTTTACTATCCTCCAATTTGGACATTGCTTTAATCCTCTGATTCCTTCTGAAAGTCTCTAAGGCTTTCCTTTTTCTGTCGGCTTCCATCTGGATAGTTCTAGAGCTAGAAATGGAAGTTAAGATATGTGAAATTGTGGGAGGTTTAACCAAGTCTTTGTGAGTCTCGTTCAGAGGAAGTTGATTCAAACTTTCCGATACAGCTACCTGAGCAGCATCACTTTTTTCAACTTTTTGACATTCAGCGCTTTCTTGAAGTTTCTTCTGTCTCTTATCAAACTGCATCTTTCTCAGAACTTGAATTTTGCGTTTAAATTCCTCCGTTCTATCAGGGACTTTCTTGCAGATGACGTTGACAGCAATCTTATGAGATGGAGTCAAATCCACTACCGTTGATGCTTTCTTTGCCGCTGCCATTATTGAAGGTGCCATCTTGATGAGAGTATCTGAAATTCAGTTTTCGTTGGAAAAAGGGGGAAAGCTGGAAAGTCGAGATTCCTGTGTCATATAAATACTATTTCTTCATTGCGTTATTTTCTAGAACAAGTTTCCTGTTTTCAGTCAGAACAGAACTCAATTAACCTGTTCTGAACCCGAAACTAGAGTTCTAGCGAAATTTTGGCAGCCATGTCGCAATCCAGTTGGTCAGAATTGTTGATCTCGTCAATAACAAAGCGAAACAAAGCATTGTTACGACAATCAAAGGAAGGGCTCTTCTCTTTGTCTCACATGCACTAGTGTAACTTTTTTCCTAACTTCGAATGGCCACACAGAATACCAAGAGGTCGCAGGTGAAAGTTGAAATTCAAAAGCTGATGAGAGTAAAGCCGAGGTTCCAACATGTCGTAACAACAGAAGAGGGCTGGGAAATAGTTTTAATGAAATCGAAAATTCTAATATTATATGAGAAGACTGTGTTTGAAAGTAAGCGTGAGTTAGGTTAGGAAATGTTGTTTTTAGTTGGAGTCGTGTTTTGAGGTATACATTTAAATTTACTGGGTAGTCTGGGCAATTCAAATGTAACTTGAGCCACTGGAATGATATTACGAGATAATTACGACTCTCGATTAGGCTTCAGCGGTGCTCTGCCAGCAGATGGCGAGTGGCCTAAAGACATCTTAATGCCGAAGGACCTAATTGATCCATTCTTGAGCTTCGCGATTTCTCCCCAATGGTAGAAGGCGCTCCTGTTGCTCTATTCTTGAATGCAGCAGCCGATGACGGTATTGCCACACCTCGGGCTCTTATAGTAGTGGTATCTGGAGCTCTTGTGTTAGAGTCGACGAGTATACGCGGCTTCACTACGGCACTCATTTGGGACATTGTTGAAATGACCGACCCTGTACCTTTGCTTACTGCGAGTTTAGGAAAGTGCAGCTTATCATTTACTTGCGGTGGCTCTTGCAAGCTTTGAGATACATTCTCAGGAAACTTTTCTACGAACTTGTGATGAGTCATTCCATCCATGAATAATTTCTTGAGGGATGCGAAAGAAGCTTCTGTCATTTTGCCATTTATCGCTGCTGGGCATCCAAACTTATGTTCTCTACAATTGGTAAAATGGATAACCGCAGTATTGCTCATTTTCTGCCAGGCTGAAGCAATCTTATGGGTTTTCAGTGTCTGTGTCCACAATATAGGGTGCTCGCTTTCAGCAGGTGCAGCCTTTTCGCGATCCTCAACGTCTCTGATCGAGACATAGTTGTGTTTAGCGATCTTCCTCGATAGTCCCGTTCCTGAATGGGTAAGTATGGGTAAGACAGCCACATGTGTTGGGAAGACGCGGAGCACAACAAACTTTCTCATCTTCTCATAAACGACTGTTGACTGGCTGGTTATTGACTGGTGTTTGTCTTGAGGATCGAAGCACTGTCTGAAATCCCATTCTGGAATCTTAGCACTTATAATCATGCCTTCTTCAAATTCAGAAGGTTGAGATATGGTTCCATAACCACGAGTGGGAGTCATGTGCACATTCGAGATTTTGTCGTACTCCATTTTAGAAGGCACCCCACGCATGGGAGCATATCTGTTTTGTGTGTATGCATTTGAAATACGAGTCCTGGCCATTGATGGCGCATACCGGTCTTGTTTCGAGCCATTCGGGGGATTTAAACCCAGCTCTCTAAAATCCTTTGACAAGCCAGGCAAACGCCCACAATTTTGAAATTGATGCTGTACTGATGACATTTTTGGAAGTTATCAAGACTTTTTGCTAGTTTTGATGAGAGTAGTGATGTAGTCTCAATGAATTCAAGTATAATCAGCAGTTCAGTTGAATTTCTTTCCAATGATTTCGATCCCGTATCGAGCTGAAATTTAAGACATTACGCAAGTCCTGTTCTCCTGTTCAAAACATTCTGTTCAATAGAAAATTACAAACAACATCAACGACCAATTACCCCTCAGTTGCCTGCAGATTAAGAGATAACAGGAGAAATTTATTCTTCAAAAAGGGAAATAGCAACCCAAAGAAGCAATGTCGCTTAGCGTTTCATGAGACAAACAGTCTAGGCTGACCAGACGTTAATACATCAACAGAGTAAAGTTGTGTCTCAAGAAGATTTGTGATATTTTTTCGTCTTAGAACAAAGCCTATGTAAGGAGGATGAGGTTTGATGTACATGAAACCTCTCATACTCCATCAATACTCTGTTTTCCTAAGAACAATGACAACCCATAGGATAAAACAACAGGCAAAGGTATCTGATAAATACCTCTGTTGACGACCAAAACTCAAACTGATAGAAAATAACAGTCAAGAAGACTTACACAAGAACCTTATCAAAAGTCGAGCGCCTTTTCCAAAGCTTAGAACACTCGATTATAATGGCTACACAAAACTTGAGAGTAAACATCGGATGGTTTGCACCGGGAGCCATATTAAAGGATCTATATAATAGAAGCGTTGCATGCTTTTGGGCGGACGTAAAATCTGATGAATTGGGAGCCGGATCTCCCCAACGAGAAAGTTATGTCGCCGATACCGAGGGAGAGGCAAGTGGCTCAAATATTCTAAGCTCGAATAATGTGGCAAGTGAAGTTCTGGACACAGAACAAAGACTAAGATTGACAGAGGAGTGTGAATCCGAGCTCAAGAAAGTACTACGGTGCGAAAAGAAGATTTCAACTTACGAAGCTATGATCAGATTTATCGAGACAGAAATCATCGAGATCCAAGATACGTGCAATAGTGTCAACGAGCAACTCCAGACTGGAGATTTCGACGATAGAGCTGAGAGATTAGAAGTACTAGATGTAGGCAGAATTATGATCGGCGATCGAAGAGCCCAGCATTCCGAGTTGACTCAGAAACTCATCCATGCGACCCAAGAACGATCCCTACCAGGTACCCTCTTTTGGCTCAACCTAGAAGAAACACTCGTCCGGTATAATCTCATTGATGAAACCCATATCGAAGAATCTTTGCAGGCATTCGTAGACCATGATGAAAACCCAGCTCCTTCCCCCAACCAGGAGGACCCGGAACTATACCAAGAGAACCAAGAATTCTCAGATCAATCCGAATTACAAGCTGATCAGGTCATGGAAGAGGAAACACGCCGACTTTCCGCATCAACAGACTTAGAAATGGCAGTCGACGAGGTCCCAGATGTTGGAGCACGTCAAAATGCATGGGAAAGATTGCATTTGGCCCAAGGCGGATATGATGAAGCCCGTGAGAAGTTCGACGACTGGCCACAATATTACCATCATCAGTATGTAGGATACCAAGCTGGCTATGACAGAGGTGCCATTAGCACAACCAAAACGGAATTCGACAACATCCTTTTTATCCGAGAGAGACAGGCCGGTCTTGAGCTTATTGAGGCTGAAAAGCAACTTCAAGAAGCCCGTAAAGACATAAAGTCATTAGGACTTGACCCAGAAAGTGGGTTTGTGGAGTCTTTCTACGACGAAGATGAAGCCGCTCTGGAGTTTGACCCAGACTGTGTTGATCGTTCAAAGATCGAAAAGTGGTTGAGTGGAAACCCTCCACATGATTCCATTGACGATGAGATGTGGTTGCCACATCCAGAGAAGCAGGGCGACTGGGCAGATGATGCTTGCAGTCTCGCATTTGGGGAAAGCGTGAGCGTCGTTGCTGAAGGCCCGGAAAGAGTGGAGATTGATGAATGGAAAGTAGAATGCGCGAGGGTTTATCGAGAAAGTCAGAGGATTTATCGAGAAAGCCTCACTGCCTAGATTCTTCTTCAATTTGAGTTTGAACCCAATTTCCTACAATTCTTCGCTTGTATACAGGATATCAAGAACTTTTAGAACCATTACTGCATCTCACATTATCTTCAGTGACAGAGTGCTCAAATTTACCTAATGCAAATCCACTTAACTCCAAATTTTATAATGCTCCATCTCATCGACCAATGCGTTTCAAAAATATAGACTCTTCGCCAGTGATAAAGACACATTATTATAATACTAGTCAGACTTCTTTAACATAGATGCGAAGCTCACAAGACCTAAATAAAAGTGGGAAAGTGAAAAGTCGAAAGTGAAAAGTCCAACGGTGTAAAATAATAGTGAATGACTGGAGATAAACTTTTAAAAGCAAGCTCTAATAGCACGTTGTTTAATCTTTAAAAATGCCAAAACGGCTGTCCAGACCATACTCCTATACCCCAATATTAGACGATAAATTCCCCGAAGAGTACCCTTTCCACCTAGTTGGGGGTGTGAAAGGGAGATAGATATACTTTGGGTTGCAGATAATGTGCAAATATTTGTGAAGTGATGTTGAGGTGGAGTGTAGTGTTGATACCAACGACTAGGAGATTTTGATAGTCTGTCACTACGTTCCAAATAATAACAAACGAATGGCAGATCTTCAAGTTGGATAACCTGAGACCCAGAGATTTTTACTCCAGATCACACAGACGTAAATAGCACACACTTTTAAAGTAAACTATTGTTTTTGGCCTTCAGTCTGACGTTTTCGCTTTTTGATCTTTTATAATTCTGATCTTGATGCAATCAATGTGCCATATGTGGCTGACCCTACGAAACAAAAAAATATACATTATGATCAATGGTACTTAGAACAAAACATAAAATGGAACTATTCAAGTAATGTGCAAGATGTTGACTCGAAAAGAATTCATTATTTACTACAATCCGTACTTCTCTAGACTAGATACATGCGATGGCCAGTCATTGCTCTCCGTTGTGAAAATGTCTGTCATCTTCCTCATAGAGATCATCATGCTCGCGGCTGATGTTATCGTCCATATGCCGTTGCGTGTCCTCGCACACACATCGCCAGTGGTCGATTCTTTTTCTTGAGAAGCCCTCCGCAATCACACTCACACCCTCTCCAAAACCAATACTCTTGAAATCCCAGTCATCGCAAGCGGGCGCTGCAGGTTCTCCATCACTCGTCATACCCATCCATTTTTCAATTCTGTGGCTGTCGACGTGATCGATCAGGTCATGTTCGATGGATAACCTGTAGCCGTCATTCTCTTGCGCGCGGAACTGCTCCAGGAAATCTGAATCTTGTTCTTCGTCTTTGAAAATGACCCCCAACTGCTGTGCGTCATGAATTGCAACTTTGTAGTCGAGCTCTGCACGACCAAGGTCTTGCGTTGCTTCTATCTCCTCCTGAAGGAGCAGAACATCAAATTCGGTTCTAGTTGTATCTAAATCAACGCCTGCGTCGACAAGCTCGTTATAATCCTTCAGCTTAGCCTCGTAGACTTCGTGCCAGTTGGCAACCCTGTCACGAGCAGCTCGCAAAAGTCCCTCCATTCGTCCCTTGGTATCCCTGGCCTGCCACTGTTGGATCTCTAACGTTTCGTGGGCGATTTGGCTTGGGGTTTTCTCTGGTGCTTCAACCTGTTCAGGTGCCGCTGCTGGCACATCGGCGTTCCAGGGAAGGTGATCTGGGTCGTTTCCAGAGATGTCTTCAAGGAGGTTATTTTTGGCAAGCAAAAACTCCAAATCTCGGTACATTCCCTCTTTCGGCATCGACAGCTCTTCTCTTGCTAGTTCGATCTTCTCCAACCACTCAATTCTCTCCCCTTGAAGATCAGCCACCGTGTCGTACATAGTCTGCAAGTTCTTTTCATGGGGAGACAAGTCTTCTCCAGCCTCGAGATTATCAATGTGGCTCTTGATCTTCTCAATCATGTCGCTTACTTTGTCGTGCGTGTCGTCAATCTCTTCGATTTTCACCTGAAAGTGTCTTATTTTGTTCTCACAGCGAAAAACCGTGTTCATCTCCCAAACGAGCTTTTCTGTCAACGAAATGGCTGAGCCTGGGCTGCCATTCCGTGCAGAGTATGGTACTATCCGCGGATATCGGCCCACGAGCGGAGGTCTTTCTGCTGAACCTGACTCGACTCCATTCATTTCGTCGGTATTTTCCTCTTGCTGCACCATGTTCTGGCCAAAATTTTCATCGCGGTCATTTGACGGCTGAGATCCATCCTGCCGTAACAATCGTCCTGGAGTCTTGTTCATATGATGAATGGGTAATTCGGGTACCTCTCGCGCTATCACGAATTGTTCATCTGCGTTGAGATCGTTATCTGATTCGCTTGATGGTACGCTTTGTGACCTTTTAGGTCGTTTGAGATTGCGGTCATCCTGTTCACCAGAAGAAGATTCAGTCTCAAGTGTCCCTCCATTGAGTCCTTTCCAATAACGAATCAAGTTATTCATTTTCAAATTGTAAATCTTTGCAGCTGCTGTTCTTTTGCTGACTGAGTATCCGTTCTCTGGCGATGTCTGGGGAGTTTTCCTCGACCGGAGATTCGGACGCTGAAATGTGCTGATATTAAGGGCGTTTCAAGCCTTGAGTATCATGAAAGTAGGAAGCAGCATACTTATGTTCCTGAGCTGATGTTTTAGGTTTCTGTTTCGCTTGTTCAGATGTGATAAAGAACCGTGGATATGTTCGCAGCTTCGTGCTCTCATCATTTCTTTGTCATGTCGAATACTCTCAGCATTTTGGGGGCTCATATCCCCTTTATCATCAACAATGAAAAAGAATGCCGCAAAAGGAAATTCCAGAATAATCCTTTCAGGTTTGGAAATTTCCCTTCCAATTGCAGTCGTTTCCCTCCGAAGTCATCAATCAATCTTCTCAACGTTCTACAACATTTATAGCAACTCTCCTTTATTCGAAGCACATTAGCATCATTCGTAAACATGGCTTCTCAGCGAGGTACAAATGCTCTAGGTTCACTTGTCTCGGGGTATTCGCAAACCGAAAGCAAACCGAAAAATGACAGGCCAAGCACAGGAAGCACCCTTTCCTACAGCTCAGCACTTGCTGGTAATGTTGGGAGCAAACTCAAGATTCACGATACCGGATCAACACAAGCAGGAAATAGTGGAGTTGGAAGCACATCGAGATCTTCAGTATATAATGCCAGTACACTTCGCGATCCAGTGGCAACGCGTCAATCAACAAACTATCCACCAAGTGGACAACCAAGTTCAAGGGGCCTGAATGCTCACCTGCCAGGGCATGCTGCTACATTCTGTGGAGCTCGAAGTGCACATAGCCGAGCAGCGTCAAGTACATACTCAACAAAACCAGCTTCCACAGATAATGGGAAGGTTCTACCTTCGTATGTTTACACGGAGGGGAAGGTGTTTAGTGCCGTGTTCCACGAACAAGATTTTAATCAATCGGGCCAAATACAGAACAATTTCCAAACAATAACACCACTCGGTACCATTTATTCGAAACTTCGAAAGTATGTTGTAGTAGCAACATTTGATGATCATTGTATTTGCGTACCCATCGGGACTTCCGACGGCAAAGGTCTCCAGAACAAGACACTGAAGGATCAGTTCATCTCGATCAGAGAACATGCTTACAAAGAAACAGCAGCTCCAGCCGAAACAGAATTCGGGGTCTTGTGGGCGGAGGCGTCTCAAGAGATGCGAAATGTTGGCAAGTGGGGAAGAATGACTGACCAAACGCATGTGAACTTCACATCCCCAGTCACTCACTTCTTCAATCGACGAGCAACCATCTGCGGCTCTTTGAGACCCGAATCCATAACTCGACTTCGAAAGCTTTGGCTAGGTGCAGCAGCTGTTCTTTCTGATTTGGACGATGACCCTGAAACACCCAAGGCGGAAAATCACAACTCAAAGAGAGCGAGAGGGGATTCTCCATCAGCATACTCCTCAAGATCATCAGTCTATTCCACTTCCTCGTCAACTAGACCAAGAGTCCCTTCCAGGCTCCGTGAAGATTCAACAACAAGCTCCAGGTATGAGGGATCCAGATATGAGGGTTCTAGAAATGAAGGATCTAGATATGAGGGATCCAGGTATGATGAATCCAGACGTGAGGGATCCAGACATGAGGGATCTAGATATGAGGGATCCAGACATGAGAAGTCCAGCGAGTGGGATTTCCAGCAGAAGCTCGAGCGTAGCGTATCATTTGAGGACAGGACTTTTTTTCTTTGACAACGTAAGGCAGGGTCGCCACCTTGTATGGCGCAACAAGAGTGGTATTTCGTGGGATACCTAGGTAGTTTGGTGTGAATTGTAATGCGTTACTTGTCTTGTTTGATAGTTGGTTAGGCGCGCTTTTTTATAGGTTTGCACACAATGTTAGAATTCTTTTGCTTAAACAGAATTACCTACCAATTGTAGAAAGAATAACCCAAATTAAAATGGGGAATAATGGAGGAAGCATTTGCTTCTTGAGGTTGAAATCCTGGATCTCCACCGTTTGCGGGCAAGCGACTTCGGCACGTGCTTGCAACTTCCAAGGTTAAAAGGACCTTGGTGTGGCGGTGCGGGCTAGGTGTGGCACTTAGTGCCTAAGGCTGCACAGATAATTTTCCAAAAATCGCTTTGTGGGCTCGCTTCTACCGAACCATCAGGGCTACTACGCCAAAAGATTTCGTGCAAATCCGACATCACGACAATCGACAACAGAATTCTTGATCGCAATCCGACAAAATGGCGATCAAGCACAACCAGCAGATTCCTCACAACCGTACGGCGCTTCCATTCATTGGCGACCAGATTGAGTGCTAATTCAAAGTAGATTTCCGCAAGGATTGGCAACGACGAGTCCGAGTTCACTTCGACCAGGTAAATACCAAACACAGATGGATGGACAGGATGGAGAGGAAGTTCTAACACAGAATCAATAGCCTGGCCGCAAACTCAGACGCCGTAATGCTCGTCTCTCAAAGGCCGCAGCTGTCGCCCCACGACCAGTCGACAAATTGAGACCAATTGTCCGATGCCCAACAATCAAATACAACCGCCGTGTACGAGCTGGACGTGGTTTCACCTTGACCGAATTGAAGGTAAGAGACTAGATAGCGCAGGGGCTTGGAGGTTGGAGAACTCGTTTCTAACAATTCGCAGGAAGCTGGTATCCCACGCAAGCTCGCACCAACGATCGGTATTTCCGTTGACCCCCGCCGCCAAAACCTCTCCACCGAATCCCTCTCCGTCAACGTCGAACGTCTAAAGGCATACCGCGCCCGTCTTATTCTCTTCCCACGCAAATTGGGTCAACACAAGAAGGGTGATGCCACCAAGGAGGAGTTGTCTGGAGCCAAGAACACCATCACAAGCGTCAAGGCTAGCCTTCCAATTGTCAACGCTGAGGCCGGATTCACAGAGATCAAGAAGGGTGATGAGCCATCGCCAGTTGAGGGTGGTGCGTTCAGAAAACTCAGGGATGCGAGAAGCGAGAAGCGAAACCAAGGAAAGAGGGAGAAGAGAGCAAGAGAGAAGGCTGATGAGGCTGCCGCTGCTAAGAAATAAAGGGCGTGATTTTCTCTGGTGTTTTCTTGTCGATTACGCAGGTTGGGTGAGGGTTTACATGGGCATGGTTAAGGCTTGCTTAGGTGTACTTTCATGAATGCAAACGACCATTGCAAAGCATCCGTTGGCTATTCTGGGATACTCTTGTGACGAATTTTAGAGATTGCTAAGTATTGGGCCATCGCATGTGCAGCATGGTATCAGTGTTCGAGACGCGTCTATTGTGTTCAAATCGACCATCGCACCATTAACTATCAATCTAATCTCAAGACCCGTTACAGCATTTCGCAGGCCATCCCAAGAGCAAGGCCTCAGGCGTCGAATTATCCTGAATTGGAGGGCGGAAGATGGATTTCTGCAGCATATTTCTTGGCTCCTGAAAGAGCAGATGGGTTATATACGAATCACAGCTTGTTAACAGTCTACAGGGTGAATAAGATTCGCGTCGGGAAAGCCGCACTCATCGAAGCAGATTCGACGGAATACTCGAACCCAGCCATTAATTCTAGCATTTTCGTGTGTCATTCAATAAGGCGAATTTCGAAGTACAAACAACATTGAGGCAGACTTTTACGATGGTAACTGGTTGTCTACCAATGACTGTGAAACGAGGAGGTAGCGAGGAAAAACAAGGCCTCAATTATTAGAACAGGTACTATCTGGAAGGTTGATGGACTCTGTAGATTCGGACTACAGGGCCATGTCACTTTTCTTTCAATGATGTTGAAGTTTTATGTATGTTTGTAGCTGGGAATATGGAATGCTATGTGGGGGACCCGAAGGATTGTGTAGTTGTAAGTAATAAGTTGTATGTCTTCTTCGTACATTTTTCATACTTGCTGCTGCTCGAACTACCCTGCTCAAGTTCGTTCTTGTTTAATCCATCCTGTGAGCAGTAACAAACTTGTGGACAGTTTGACTATTAGCCTCCCTCTTTTCCACCTCCATTGCTCCTTGAAAACTATTATTTTTCTTAATGAGTATTTTGTCTGTCGATAGCAAACCTACTTGGGTAATCTGAATGTATATTTCCGAAATCGTGAGCTGGTGGCATGCAAATGATAGTGGTTTCTTACTCAATACAGCATACCTAGCATAGATTCACCAAACTTCGGGATAACAAATGTTGTTCCTCATTTTCATCTCACCCCTCTCAAAATCCATCCTACCGATCTCCCAGAATCATTTCACTCATAACCGACCTCCAACCATCTAACCAAAAATGGCCGACAAGCCAAAACGCCCCTACCATCGACGCGAACCTGCCGTCTCACTTCCCAGCATCTCACCCCCAGAACGTCTCCTCCTCCCCTTAACCTCCAAATCCAAGCGATTCAAAGGTCCAATTTCAGGTCCAAATGGAAGGCAACCACTACTCTTCCGCATCTCCACATTCGCAAATCACAATTGTGGACAAGGACTCCTCGCAAACCAAGCTATATCCGCGGGATCTCAGATATGGGAGGAGAAACCTATTTGGACTGGTCCTACGGCTGTTTTGGGTATGAAGCCAAGTAAGGAATTGGAGGAAAGTTTAGAGACGAGTTTTAAGGGGGTGACGAAGGAGGAGATGAAGATTTTGAGGGAGATGGGGAATAATCAGGAGTTTGTGGCGGTGGATGAGGGTTTTTTGGATACGCCTTGGTTGTATGTGACCTTTGATTCCCTATCTTTATATAGACCACCCACTTATTCGAGTGCAGAGGTCTCGTAAAAACAAACGCCATCCCCCTGACCCATAACACCACCTCCCCTCACCACAACACCCTGGGGATCTTCCTCTCCTACCTCTCCAAATTAAACCACGCCTGTAAACCCAACACACTCCAAACTTACGACAGCTCCCGCGATCTCCTTCTCCTCTACGCCATCACCGACATCGCCGAAGACGAAGAACTAACCATCTCCTACATCCCCGACCTCCGTCTCTCAAACCCTTATTTGAAGAAGTATTTCGGATTCACTTGTTGGTGTAACAATTGGTGTCGGTATCCTGAATCCAAGGGGAAGAAGAAAGCGCAAGAGAGAGCGGTGTTGGTTGATAGATTGTGGACGAAGATCCATGAGGATGTGGTAGGGGATGAGAAGATTGAGTTGGGGACGACGATGATGTTGGGACGGTGTCTTTGGGGGTTGTTGGTTGATGAGGGAATGGATACTGATTTTAGGATTGCGAGGTTGTTTTTGGATTGCATGAGGCTTATGGGATATGTGAAGGATTTGGTTAGGTTTGAGGATTTTGTGAGTGTTGTATTACCTACAAAGTGTACCCTAAGGATACTAACATGACCGATGTCAGGCACTGCTGGCACATAAAGCATACCTCTCATGTACAGGTCCTTCGGCGCCCGAGGTTGAGCGCATCAAAACCGAAATATCAGTGCTTAGTGAGAAGACGTTAAGCGATGATCAGTGGAAGAAGTATTTGAAGGAGAAATACACTGTTTTGGATGGTAGATTCACAGAGGACCCGTCGGATGAGGTTATGGATGAACTCTTTCACAGGGAGCTTTGGGCGGAGAAGTATGCTAAAGGTGGGTTGGAAGCGGAGATTGACAAGCTGATGGGTTTGGATGCTGGATCAGTTAAGGAAGTGGTAAAGGTGGAGGTTTCGGATGAAGAAGTGAGGTCGGAAGCTTCAAATGAAGAGGTGATGGAAGAGGAGAACTTGGATGAAGAAGTGGTGGAAGAGGAGAATTCGGATGAAGAGGTGAGGTCGGAGACTTCAGATGAAGAAATGGTGGATGAGAGTGAGTAGATGCATGGTGGACATGGAGCTTTGATGGGACGTTGAATTGCGTATGGCACTTTTTGAGGTAAAATTGAGCAGCTTAAAAGCTCACAAGTACAGTATTAGCTTTTCTTGAAAGAACGAGTCAGAGTCAATACTTTAGCTTCAGATCCGGGACTGTTTCCTTGAATCTGATCACACAAATCACAATTTCAGAACATAATTTGGGGGGGGGTGGAGTTGATTCTATTTTTATTTTGTATATGAAGCAGATTTATGCGACTTTATGCCTTTGGGTTTCGTAGGTAACATGGCTACCTGGGTATGCTTGATTCATTACTTTCGCCTGTGCGCAAAATATATAGCAAAGCGCTCGAGCCTGTCGTGATCTATCGTAATAAGAGATGCATCCATTCCATGAATTGCGGGGTAAAAAGTCAGCGAGGTATGAACTAGAATAAGTGCTGAGGTTTTCATCAAGTTTTGCTCGGAATCCCAGCCTCGACATCCGTTTCCTTGGATTTATCTTTCAGAGAAGCCAGGTCCGGAGCAACGAATAGCGTTCCGTTCGCAACACCCTGAATGGTTTTTATTGCAACAACGATCCACAGAAGCGTCACGGCTGTTGCAGTAATCTGTACTTGATATCAGTAAATGTCGCATAATATATAGAACAGAAATGAGCAGACACGTACTGTCCCGAAGATATCAAAGAACCGACTTGGCAACTCCCGTCCCATTTGAAGAGTGCTAGATGTAAAGACACCCAATGGGAAAGTGAAGGCCCACCAACCCATATTAAAGGGAAACCTCATTCTGCTGACACTCATCACCGCGAAGAACAGCCAGACCAGAGCAAATCCCCACATAATGGTAGCAGTCAGCCAACCCACCACGTATAGTATCTCGCCAGCATTAACCATATGTTCGGAGAGTGTGTGGGTTTCAGGAAAGACTATAAGTGCTAGTTTGCCGAGCTTCATGATACCGTAACCACCTTGGCCGAGTGGTCCTAGAGGAAGGAATACTGATACAGCGACTTCAATTGGGGGTAAGGAAACCATGGTGAGCCGTTGAAAATAGATCACCAAAATGACCATGGCTGTAGGGACACCGATTCCCCAGAGGATGTACGACGCGATTATAGTCCAGAGAGCCTCTTGCGGAGGGAGAACGCTGGCAACGACTGCACCAGTAGCGGCTGCAACGATGGGTGCTACGATTGGCAGAAGCCAAGGGGCTGTCATCTTGTTCAAAGACGTTGTATGGAGAGTCATGCTATCCTGCTGTTAGGAAATGACTAATCTGAAAGGCCAAGGGAGAAAACCTACATCGCAAACGGAACGTAGAAGCAGCAAGCTATAGATACTGCAGCATCGAACCACCATAGAGTCCAAGCCTGTGAATGTCAGAACCCGTGCGTAAATACTTGGTAAGATGAAACAACTTACAAGTTGTATTGCCCGATGTCCCATAACAGGAACACATACCAAGACAAGCATGTTTATGATTGTAGCAAGTCCCATTGGAAAGGTTCCCAGAAAAAGACTTTGGCCCGGGTGTCTGATCATGGCGCCCCAAATCTCAGGATATAGGGTGTATCGGAGAAAAGAGACGGCGAAGAAAGTGCAAAATAAGATGACATTGAGCGCAAAGATTGCGATTGAGATCCAGTAGAGCCAGCTTCCGTTGAATGGAATGGTATGAAGGAGTATTGAGACTATACCTGTCCCCATATTCACAGAGAACCATCTTGGAGGAGATCGTTAGCCTTTAAGATAATACTTATGCTAACATAGGGAGGCTCGAAACTCGGATATGGGAAGTCGAGAAATGTTAGAAAGCCTGGGGAGATGCTTACGATGGTGTGAAATTTCGGACGATCTTGCGCCATCCTTCGTCTTCAGTCGATTGTTGGATTTTGTCTGCATGCTGGCTTTTGTTTTGGTCTCCGGTCGTCGCTGGGGGATCTGAGGAAGAGAACTTCTGACTACTCGGTCCAGCAAAGATTCCTGAAGATGAGACGCTTAGATCTGGTGGTGCTGTACTTGCTAAATTCGTCATTCTAGAAGCAGAAATAGTCGCCATTATGTGTAAAAAGATATGCTTGGTGGACGAGAAGAGAGTTCGAAATAAGATCGTAGGAAAGGAAAAGACGACGTTCGAAAATATAGATGGCAAGAAGAAGCGGTGCGTAGCTAGACTGACGTCCGGTCTTCACTCTCTGTTGTAGCACAGTATTACCAAGATATAAGTCTAGACTATATGACAGAGAATCGTTGTCGTCGGCTGAGTGCCATGTGGTAAGGTGAAGAGAGCAGGAGGTTAACCTGATTCCTCTTCTTGTCCCATGTATAGTCTAGCTCACCTTTACCCACCTCGAATCACCGCCCATTCAAATCAACCAGATTCAAACGATTGATTCATCGACTGCGCTTTGCTACCTCAATGAGCCAAGGTTGGAAAAAGTAGGAAATCCGCGTATCGACGGCAATCCCAGAAAAATAACAAGTTGTGAGCAATTCAATTGCAACTAGATTTAGTTCGTAAGAGAATTAGACCAGCAACAGGCTTTGAGGTGTACTTTCGGGTAGTAGACGTTTCAAGTCGAGTCAATATGAGTTACAAACGAGTGCTGACATACTAGAAGAATTTTGACTTCAGAATAGCCAGCACTACCACCTCAGCCGACGACAAACATAAATCGAACCACAGCATACAGTATAGCTACCGGTTATGGTGATACCCAATTACTCAACAGGGAATGTGACTCAAAGGCATGCGCGCATCCAAATCGATCTGGCAGATCACTGTCGTACCGCCAATAGGTAAAGCTGGCAGTTTGACATCCTTAATGAACAAGCGGGCTTTTATAGAACGGTCGCTGATGGACGCATGCCAATAATTCGTTATCCGTTGTGATCAATGGGTAACACAAATCTAGGACGCCGGTCCATCGCTGATGTAGGTAGTGTCACAAACGTGTTTGATACGGACATACCGCTGTGCGAAATCCCAGACCGATCGTTTTCGTGTAATCATCCCATAACAGCGGGATCCAAGAAGTCTTGGAAACGAATCATGTTTGAATCTGTAAGGTAAGGTATAAAAAATCGTGTTAAAGTAGGTTGTAGCAATGTAACCGGAGTCTGAAGCAAAAGAAGTCGACGTTAGAAATGTGGCTAACCTCATTAGGTCATAGTGGGCCTCAATTGAAATCATCCATGGTGAAGCTCTCGACGGTGAGAATCGCGAACGCCAGAGATATGCTCAGTTCAATTCAAAAAATACCCGTACGCGGCATTTGATACACTATCGCCACGTTTTAGCAATTCGCGAGATACGGAGCTGCCGCGTGTACAACACCTTCCGGTTCCTTTGATCACCAATTCGTACCCCGAGTACCACAGCCATTTCGACAAATGTCGATTCGGCTTTGCGACAGAACGCTTCTAGAAATCGAGGCTACCATGTCGGCGAAGAATTATTTGGGGTACACTGTGTAATCGATTGACACCACGCGTGCGAATATCTTCACCGCCTGCAATATCTTCTAGCTGAGACCCAAACGCTACTCTTTTGCTGCACCCGAGACCATGGACGACGACGATGAGTATGGCACAGATGCCGACTTTTTAGCAGCTCTGGTAGCATCATCTGAAGCTGCTGTAACGCCAGCCTCTTCAGCTCGTATACAACAACCCACGCCACAACGCGTTGAGCAACCTACACCTCAAAGACTCGATCGTGCTCCTCCTGCGCCGAATACTTCTGGGCCGAAGGTCGTCCAACCCACGCCACAAGCCATTGCGTCGAAGTCTACAGGTTCTTCCATTCTAGTATCGACGCGCCAGAAAGGAAATCCGATTCTCACAAATCTGCGGTCCTTCGCCTGGGAGTATTCCGACATACTCGCCGATTATGTTCTTGGTCTTACGACATGTGCTCTGTTTCTCTCCCTGAAATACCACCGTCTACACCCGGAATACATATACAATCGCATCAAAGGTCTTCAAGGAAAGTTCAATCTGCGGATTTTGCTTACTATGGTGGATATTACGAATCATGAAGAGAGCTTGAAAGAGCTGTCAAAGTCGAGCATGATCAACAATGTCACGGTCATATTGTGCTGGAGCGCCGCGGAAGCAGCGCGGTATCTGGAGCTTTACAAGAGCTTTGAGCATGCCAAACCATCAGCCATCCGAGGATCAGAGAGTAAAGGATATGCAGAGAAAATGGTGGAGTTTATCACCATTCCACGGAGTATCAATAAAACCGATGCCGTTTCGTTGGTGAGTGCTTTCGGCAGTATCAAAAACGCTGTCAATGCGAGGCCAGAGGAAATAGCCATAGTTGGTGGCTGGGGTGAAAAAAAGGTTCGAAAATGGTGTACTGTTGTTGATGAGCCATTTAGAGCTCGCAAAGCTGCGAGACGTGGTCTTACCAGGAAGGAAACGACACAAGACGGAGAAGCAGATTCTAGTGATGTTCTGAACCGAGCCGTTGGCCTTGACACGATCCCCGCACGGGACCGGCCTTTGGGTAGGGAGAATGACACGCCGAACGACACGGTTCAGGGCTTGCAAAGGCCATTTGAGTTACTAGACCCTGCTGACGATGACGAAGAAGATGCTTTGATGAGCGCTGCAGCGGAAGAAGAGGCACGATTAGCCAAGGAAAGAAAGCGAGAAATCTCCAGAAAGGATAATGAACTGAGTGAGGGCATCGCAGCTGTGCTCGCAAATCTCAGAAGCGGTTGATTTTGAGTCGGACGCCATCATATACATACATTACGTTTGACATTCAATGTAAATTCTTCGTATCTCGTTCTCCAGTGGGCATCAACTCAGCCATTTGTGGGCAGGTCTTGTCGGTCAGGGTTCGATACATCAGAAATCAACCTTCCCCAAACAGCGCCAAGCAACCACATGAGATATTTAAGTTAACCATATGGATATAACAATGATCATCACGACCAAAAGGATAAAGTGAAGGGGCCATTTTGTGAGTTTATTTCACGCTTTGGGACGGCAGCGGTGTCCTTGATATTGAATTCATCTATATCGCCCAGAGGCTACCCATATGTACTCTATCGGATCTCCATCATATTTCCGTATCTCATAGCAACGCTTCAGCTCAGTACTCTTTTCATTACAAAAATCTCATCCCTCTATTTTGAACTCTGAGATGGATCTGTTGTCTTGCTGACGGTCTCCTTGATGTGGTCTTGGAGGACTGGTTTTGGGTTTGATGAAAGATCCTATTGATACATCTGTAAGCCTGTGTCACTTGGGTTCAGGATTTGATATCGAGAAACATAAACATACATCAAGCTGGGACTTGCTCTCCTCCTTGTTGTTGGTGTTTGGGTTTACTCCCTGTCCATCACCTGGGGTGTCTTGTTGCTGAGCTCCAGTGGATTCCTCTGGTGCAGGAGATTGACGACCTTCTTTTGAAGACATCTTGATGTTGTTATGGATTGAAAGTTTTTCTATCAACCGTTAGACTCAACTCTTGTGAAAGGTTTGCAGCGTAATGAGGGGTAGAAATGGGCCGGTGTCCCCGGGTTGCAATGGGTAGAATTGTGATGAGATGAGGCCGCTTGATGCAATCATTTGCTGCCAGAAATGAAATCAGACGGGTTACTTACAATTGTATTCTTCTGAGTTCGACAAGTTTGATGGGAAAGTGAGGGAAATTGTTGACATTGCGATTGTGGTTCTCGGTTTTGTCCCCCACCATACCATCTACGTCATAATATCGCCTTCTAACCGGTTGACGAGGCTGATCAGGTGGGGTGGAACATAAGGCTGATAAACTCCTTTTCACGTGATAGGCCTGGACCCTTGCTCCGTACCGTTGCATTGGCCCGAACATGACCCAGGACAACTCACTTCAATCATGCATCTATTGACGCGTTCCTGTCAACAAACAAACGAAAGCTGGAGAGGAATTTAGATGATATAAACTTCTAAGACTAAGATCATTCACATATATCTTCGTAAGAGCATTAAATCAATCCATCATGGCTCCTGATCTCAATTCCGTCCCACCATCCCCTCGACCACCTGCCGCATCCCCTCGAAACAGCTCCAGACCAGCGTCTCAGCAAATGCCTCCACCCAGTCTCCCTCCCACCTCTCCTTCTCTGAACATCCTGCCATCAAATCAGAGTACCGTTGCACATCATACTATTTCGCCACCATTGGCTTCCCCTGGAATGGCTTCTACCACAACAACAGGCACACAGGTTATTGGGGATAGCACTGGGGTAGGAACGGGCCCTGGACCATTGAGACATCCTAGACCTTTGACCGCTGCAGATTTGCATTTACAGTTGGAGAAGGAACAGGAAGCCGTGGTAAGTAGCATTTTCGTTGATGGTGGGCGTGGGTACATGACCGACGAGATGATACTCCTGTTCAACTATCTTTCAGACTCGTTACATTTTGGTACTGTTTGCAGAAGCATCTTGAGGCAGGCTGGCTATGCTTTCGCGGAACCTATGCAATTACATTTTTGACAGGCAGTTACTGACACATCCCAAACAGGTCAATCGATTAACCCGCGAACTCTCTTTGCTTCGAGCAGCTCAGAATGCCTCTGTCGTTTCAAATGCATCTTCTACCTCTACTGGTCTTCCAGACAGCACAGATAACCACTCAAACCACCTCCTTTCTGGACCAAGCCACCCAGCACCCTCTCAAAGACGCCATCACCGAACTTCATCCTCCACCAGCACACGTAGCATTACATCAGGCACTGCTGGTATCGCTGGTTTAGTACCGTCCTCAACCGCAGACCGAACTCGGGGAAATATACCACGCCACGATTCGATCCCTCAATCACAATCTCTGAGTCGTCAAAACTCAATGCAAGGGCGGAGCGGAGCAAGCAGCCCAGCACTCCTGAGTTCTAGCTATCAGCACCCAGAACACTTCCCATACTTCTATTCACAACGACCGGCTCTACCTCAACACCGCGAGCCATCATCAGGGCACATCACAGGGTTGCATGGTGGAGATGGTCATCGTTCAGACTCTGTCACAAGTGTGCAGACTTCTGGACGCTATGAAGAGACGGCATACCACCGTCACGAACTCGAGGCTGTGAAACGCGAGAACGAGACCCTCAAGCGACGAATCAGGGAACTGGAACGCACAATCCGGGTAAGGCGCCAGAGTGACGCGAGTAGGACCAGAAGCGAGAGTGTGTCTACGAGCGCAAGTGTGATGGAGAATATCTCTGGTGTGGGAAGGGGAAGGGAAAGAGAGAAGGAAGGTGAGGAAGATGGTGTGAGGGTCGGTGAGAGTGCTAGGAGTGCTGGGGTTTTAAGGTAGGGTTTCATCGGTATAGGAAAGAGGAGCTGAGCGTGGCTTTTATGATTTGATACCTATGATAGGAATTCCTGTGGCTGTTAACGAGGAATATTACTGAAACCGAGTTATGGAAGGCGAACAAAATGAATGGCGTTTGGGTGGTCTTTTAGTTAAGGATATCAAATACAGATCAATGATCATAAGGTTCTGTTTCAATGGCTTTGTCCGCCCGAGAACGATCTTGACCTATGCTCGACATGTGCAGTTGTTCGATTACTATAAAGTAAGATTTCGTTCATGGCCAAGAAGGACAAGAGCAGTAGCGGAACCTCCTGTACATTCCGATGAGCCAAATCATTAGTTTGCAAGGTACTTGTGCTCAGCGTTCAAGTCGATGATGTGTCAACTTGATCGAAGAAATATACATTTCTCGACAGCGAGCATGCTTCACGAACAGTGGTTCCAAGGATGTGTTCGAAAATATGGGATTGCATTAAATATCATCCATTCGCATCATAAAAGACGTCGCTATTCATATTCAACTCGCATCGCTCTCCATCCATCATAACCCGCTGAAAACACGCCCTCTCCCATCATATCCGTTTTTTCGCAGCCCCATAAAATCAAAGAACCTCCGCTAAGCATAAGAAGCCTTTTCCGAAGCAGCAGCAGGCGCACCAGATGCATCGTATGCAGGTGGTTCAGAAGTGGTACTAGCTGCAAGACACACAAACACACCATGTCAGCAGGCACCCTCGCCCCAAAGTGAGAATAATAATAAAACATTTTAAGAAAATCGGTCCGTCTAAAAGTCGATCGATCAGGTCGTCTTTTCAGTGGCACTCTTGGTGTCGGCTTTTGGGCACGATCCGCAAGTACATTCTCCTGGAGCGCAACCACACACACCACTGTCGCCAGCGCAGTTGCATTTGGTCTTCCCATCTGCTACTTTCTTGACGTCCGATTTCTCACATCCAGTGCAGGCACAGGCGCCAGGAGCACAAGGACATTGCTCTGCATTGCTTCCGCACTTACAAGTTGTCTTCTCGGTCCCTGGAACGGTGGTCACACCACTATCTTGCTTCTTCAAATCTGCCAAGCGTCTTGCCTCTGCGTGGATATCCTGAACTTGTCGTGATGTCTGGGAGTAGAAGTTGACGAGCTTCTGGCCGGTTGGAGTATCTGTGGCCTTGACGAAGTAGGATGATAGGCCTGACAAAAGGCTGTTGGTCTTCTGGGTAACACCATATGATTGATCGACGGACTTGGCCTTGTCGGTGGCGTGGTATTTGCTATCGAGGTTTGAAAGGGTGGCCATGAATCTGCTAGAGACGCCGTGCTTGGAATCGAGATCGATAGCCTTTTGTACTGCGTTGTCGCCAATTACGTATCCATGAGCTAGGTATTCTGCGACGATACGGCTTCTTGGCTTCTCTTCTTGGGTGATGTCGTCGCTATCTCGCTGCTCGTTTGAGGTGGCGTGGCTTCCATCGTCGTCTGAAGATGAAGAACCTCCGGTAGCGCTTGCGACCTTGACCTGGGTGGCACCCAAAGAGGTGTTGTCAAGGAGGAGTGCTGTCTTGGCGGCGGTGGGCTTCTCAAAGGTGACTGTGGCCTTTTGCGTCTCGCCGGTAGAAGTGATCTCGATGTTTGAAATCTTACCACTGTGAAAGAGAGTTAGCGCAAGACAAATATGGGTGGCATCATTTGAAGCTTACCAGAATGAAAAGAAGTCTTTGACCTCCTTCTCGCTCGTCTGAGAGCTAATGTTGGTAACGTAAACTGTGGCTGCCGACATCTTGCTGGGTAATGGAATGGTATCTGGAATAAGTTTGAGGGTGATTTGAGTGTTCTATTGTATGTGAGAGATTTTGTTCTTGTGAGTATGGTTTTGTGTAGTGGTGGTGGAATGGAATCCTCAGCTCTTAAACAACAAGGAGCGCGGGGCAATGGTGGCGGTGCGACTACCGCAACGATGGTACGTCATCACTAGCGTGGATTGGGGGGCATGTGGCTGGTGGTCTGACGACAAAGGACCCTTTTCCTTGGTTGGTACTGAACTAACATGTGAGAGTAGGCTCCAGTAACTTCCGAACAATTCTACCATACACTTCACTTGAAAGGCTCACGGTAGATAGGAGAAGTGGCAGACAAATCACGATGGTTTCTCAAAATGATTGATAAAATATCGTTATCTCGTCTATGATTTTCAGCAATTGAGAAATGGCGTGCACTGCGAGAAGAGGCGCCTCGAACAGATCATCACGGCGGATGAGTACCCTTCGCGTTAGGCTCTTCGAACTACCTCAATGTGGAGATTAAGCGGTAGTCAAAACACAATAATGTTTACTCAAAATTATTAACGCATTCCGTCTACTATTCTCGGTAAACAGGACCTTTGGAGACTGATCAAACTACATACGTACTGAAACTATTCAACAGCTCCACAGATGATCTACGAGCTCGTGACCTTGTGCGGTAAACATGGTGAACTTCTGTCAGCTGTCAAAAGAGTAAAATCGGTAGAAAGCACACTATCTTAACTTGCATAAGTCGACTCTCCCTGCATTTAGCTTCTTCTAAATTGACTTTCTTGAAGCCACTTAGCTGCAAGTAGATGAGCTCCACGTGATAAAACAACAATAAGCTCTCGTGACCAAAAGCTTTTTTCGAAGTATCAATGTTTGAACCTTATCTCCCGCTTCCCTTCGTGTTTGCTACGAGCCAACGAGAAATGTCTGGATTTTGTCTTCAATAACCAATATTTTCGTCATAGGACAAGCTTGATGGTGGTTATTTCACTTCCATTCTGCCAAATATTCTTCTCATCCATTCTGAAATGAGCAACGTCTGCTGGCTAGCCATTAATGGATTGATGGAGATTTTGCACCAGCTTTTAAGCTAAAGTTGTGCGATTATGATGTTCTCTCCTCGTCTCCGAAGAAGTCTTCGATGTTTTTGAAGGCAAAACTGCCAATACATGAGCATACAAGGAGAAAATTTTAAGTGAAAATGGAAAGACATTCGATATTCATGCACAATCCAGCACAACTCTCAAATTTCATCCAGAGCTGTTCAATGATCTGCTATTTACGTCGTTTGTGGCGCTCTTGATCAATTGCTCGAGTTCAGCCGAGTGGTCTGCTGCAATGTAAGATTGCATTTTCCCGGCCTTCACAAGCAAGAGTCTGACTAAGGTTGATGCTTGATCTCTTATTATCATTCCTGTCACCGAGTCACTCACTCCGGCGTTTTCTATCCATTTATACATGAGAATATATATGCAACTTTTCAGCTTCAACATGACTAAAGCAAATGCTTGTTCTTATGTTATATTACTATCCTTTCTATTACCGAGTCGCTCAACTTGGAAACTTAGTATTTACCGGCTGTTGATATATAAAAGCACAGCTGCACTTGCGAGGAGACTGTGTATGCAATCAATTGAACAGAAACTCACATCGTTTACCTCACTCTTCTCTAATAAATACGCCAATCAAGGACAAGCAGATATCTACTATAGTACTACAGAACTTCGATAACCGACATGACTTCTCTACCACCCAATGTAGACTCGTTGGTCTCTCGCAATAAGTATGGTCCCTTTCTTGGTTTGTATGGAACCAGCACTGATTTTGTTTCAGAGAGTATTCCAAAACTTACACATCTCCCCATGATGTCGCTCATTTCTTAAGCGGCAAAGGAAAATTCGCCATGGTCATATTGAGTAAGTTCACATCACTTCACTAGCACTTTCCTTTAATCATGATTACCCAGTTACTGATATACTTAAATAGTATCATGTTGTGATCCCCGCATAATTCCTGAAGAGTTCGGCCTCTTCAAGCGCGAAGGTACGCCTTCCACCATTATACAGCCTTATCTCAGATGCTGACCATCATCATCAGAGTATGTAGTCGTCCGCAATGCCGGTGGTCGCGCTGAACCAGCAATCCGCGACATATGCGTTCTCTCTACAATGACAGAAATAACAGACGTCGTCGTGATCCATCATTCAGGTACGTGATCCTCTTTACCTACTTTGCAAAATTGAACTGATATCATCAGACTGCGGCATGACACATCTCACAAACGATGCGATCCGTAGCAGTATGAAATCTCGTGGTCTCGGGGATGAGAAATTAGATACTTTCGAGTTTGGCGAGATTTTGAAGTAAGTGAAACATAGTATTTTTGGAAGAATTGCTAATGATAGTGCCGGGTAGTTTGAAACAGAGTGTCAAGGATGATATTGAGTTTTTAAAGAACTCGCCTTATATTTCGAAAGAAATTAAAGTCTCCGGATTCGTTTTTGATTTGTTGGATACTGGGCTTTTAATTCCTGTTTAGATTTTTGGTTGTCGAAGAGCTTCAAGGGCCAGCAATCCAGACTTGATCAATGATCATTCCTGCGACGGTACTGACCCCTGTTGGAGCATATTTCCTCATGATTAAAGCTGTCAATGAAATCGTGCTTCTTCTCGCTTATAATACGTAGAAAACGATAGCCAAAGAAAGAGGCACTTTCGCACCATTCATTTGAACATTCATTGGCTCTCAATGACAACAATCAAATCATAACTAACTTCCTACGTATCACGAAGTATCTTGGCCGGCTTGAACGATGAATATGATTTTCTTGATAGCTTATTTCACGCGACAAAGGTAGTTGACTGTGGATGATACTTTTCTTCCAAGAGCAGTCTCTTTCTAGAAATGTATCTAGGCAAACAAAAAGCTGATTTTACTAGCTCTTGTACAATTTTGGTTTCCTTCCTAACCATATCGTTATATTGATTCGTGAACTCCGTTACCTAAAGTCGAATAGGAGCATGTCGCTAAAGCCCGGCCTCTACCCACCTCCTGTCATCCCATGAGCGGAGCAAGGATCTCTTCCTTCAAACATCTACAAACCTCTTGAGGGGCTTCCTACGATCAACCGAGTATTGAATACCTATCCGACAACAGACCCTACAGCATGCTATAGTTCTAAGTAGCTCCAAACTCCACGATGTCGGGTTCTCGAAGTGCGTCCGTAGATCCCTGCGTCTGCATCAATTTCGCCATTTCGATCCAGTCAATCGACATCAAAGGCAACCAACCACACAGCTCACTTTCCGGCGAAGACTCTTCGCCGTTTTCTGTTAGTCGATAATGAAATTGCTAAAGAATGGGATGAGAGTACAAAACAACGGTACCTGAAATCTTGCATCGGAGTGTGAACTCCAAATAGGTAAGCGCTAGAGACCACCTTTTACGTCTGTGAGGGAAAGCATTCATTTCACATTTTTCATCCTCATTTTATCTCTTAATTCCTCTGGGTTTACTCAGGTTTGTTTGACCTGTTGATCGATTTCCCTCTGTCTTTTGTCACAATGGCTACCACTAGCAATCCGCCACCAGCGACAACCGCAACTGAGCGTACATCGCTACTCGAGAATACTCAGGTGAGTTAGGCAAATGTAGCCTTTACAAAAGCTAACATTTCAAGCGTGACGATGACGAATCCACATTAGGAGAAACGCCAGATACTTCTGATCCCCCTCGTGCTCCGACGAGTTTCGGGGTTTTAGCAGTTCTACTGATTGGTATGAAATGCAAAACCTCAGACCGACGTTTGAGTGTTCTATGCTAATATCAAGGAGGTGCTTTTATTTCAAACTCAGATGGGTCTCTTGTCCTCGCGACATACGGAAACATCTCATCTCATTTCAATGACTTCGAAAGTGGGAGGTGGCTTCTCACATCTGCTATGCTCGCGTCATGCGCAGCGCAACCTATTGTGAGTAGCTAGCTATATCATTGCATGTAGACTTGTCGCTGATTTAGCGTACCAGTATGGTAAACTGAGCAATATCTATGGACGTAAAGTAATTTTGCTCTTGAACTATGTTCTTTTTGGGCTTGGATCTGCGATATCGTAAGTATGCCTTTATGCTCAAACATGTGACACTCCTGCCCAAATCATCGTCTCTTACAAGTCTTACGCAGTGGGTCTGGACAGTCTATGGGTCAAATCATCTTTGGACGAGTAGTGGGAGGCACAGGAGCTGCTGGTATGGTGTCCATGGTTTCTATCCTGATATCTGGTAAGCGTTCAATCTCAGCGTAAAGCAAGGAATCGGAATTAATAGTAATCTCAGATCTCGTTCCTATGAAAGAAGTAGCTACCTATAGAAGCTATGTCAACGTAATATCGACTACAGGCCGCAGTATAGGAGGTCCACTTGGTGGCTATATAGCTCAAAATTTCGGTTGGAGATGGTCTGTTGGATTTACCAAATTACTTGAAGAATCATGTTAACATGTATCCTTAGGTCATTCTACTTCCAATGTCCAATAGCTCTCTTAGCTTTCGTCCTGGTCGCCTGGCAGCTAAAACTCCCAAAGACCAACACCCACGTCAAGCAATCCCACTGGGAAAAGTTCTCTCGCATAGACTTCCTAGGCTCACTCTTCCTCTCCCTCTCCATAGTACTAATCCTCCTCTCCCTGGATCTCTTCGCCAAAGCAAAGTACCTCTCAGATGCCGTACCCATAGCCTCAATATCCATCGGCCTCGCATCCCTCATAACATTCTGCCTCATCGAAAAATACCAGGCCTCCGAACCAATCTTCCCCCTAAAACTCCTCGTCCAAAGAGACGTAGTATCCTGCTACGCAATCCTCGCCCTCCAAAGTGGCGCTCAACTTACAGTAACCCCCCTATTATCCTCACCGTCCAAACCCTCTCTAACATTCTTCTCCAGTTAATGTCCACCATCCCCCTCTACTTCCAAATCACCCTCCGCGCCACCCCCGGCAAAGCAGGTCTCTACCTCATCTCCGCCGTCCTCGGCAACACGTTTGGCGGCATCCTGACCGGTATCTACATCAAGCGCTCCGCCAAATACCTACTCCCCACCATCCTCTCCGGGGTGTTCGGCTGCATCACCTACACTCTCCTCATCATCCGCTGGAACGGCCACACCTCTTTCCCCGAATCCTTATATGTCTTCGGCGGCGGTCTCGCGCTCGGGACGTCTTACTCGGCGTTGTTTATCGCGGTGGCGGCGTGTGTGAGTGAGGAGGAATTCGCGATTGCCGGGTCGGGATTGTATATGTTTTCGAGTATTGGGACGGTGGCGGGGATTAGTATCTCAGGCGCTTTGTTTAAGTGGGGGGCTGGGAAGGGAGTTAATTTTCACTTGAAAGGGGTCAAGAATGGGTTGCAGGTAAGTTTGCTTTCTGGGCTGTGTGTGGGTTGAGAGGGACTGATGATGGGATAGATTGCAAACCGAGCTCTTGAGGATATTGAGTATATCAACACGCTTAGTGAGAAGATACATAGACTAGTCGTTTCTGGGTATCTGAGCGGGTTCAAAGCAGCTTTTGGTACGTCACATCCTTCAAGTTCTCTTTGATATTTCAGTACAGTCACTCACATAGCCATTTATAGCTTTCTCGCTCGCAAGCGCTGCCATCTCACTTATCATAGCTGTCACGGTACGACAACATAAACTTAGATCTTGAATGTATAAACATGAGACAGGAAGTCAAGGAGGGGGATGCTGCTTCCACCACAAGTCTCATAGAAGCCTAGCTAAGACAGCAGAAATCTTAAGATTTCGAGAAAACCATTGCCAAGCGAGCACGTTCAAAGACCTTACATTTATAGACAAAAAGTAGAATTGCCTAATTTTCTATGTGAAAGATCGCGAATAGTAGGTCTACAGCCCAAAAAGAGACATGCGCGGCTCTATATGCAAGTATTTTGGTAAGGTGCGAGTTTTTGGAGACATGTTGAGTATTGATGGTTTATAAACATATCTAAGTAGACACACGTTAGTGCCACTAACTTAATGGCTGATGTGTATGTGTTAGTCTCTTAATTACGAGAAAAAGCTCAAGTGTGTGTACATTCATTCCATATCTTGAAATTGTATACTAGCGAGGTTCCCTCAAATACTTGTAAAAAGCATCCAGCTAGCTCCAAAGCATGAGACAAGCGTCAGACATTCATATATCTTCACACAAAATGCTCTCATGTATTTCCAACAAAGAACATTACATTTAAATACTCCTACGTAACCCTCACACCCCCTCACCACCCATCAACAACCCAACCACAACCCTAACCGCCCCCAACGGACCTTTCTCTTTCACTAACCCTTGAAACATCTTCGGTATACCAGCCAGACTATTCCTCTCGTCCGCATCACGCCCTATCAAACCGTTAGTCACTTGCCGAACCCCATATCAAACACCAAAACCAAGACCCAAAACAAGCAAGAAAAGGAAATAATAAAGGAATAAAAAGAGAAAGGAATAAAAGGGGCAAGGGGGAAAACTCACAAACATCCAAAACCCTAACATCAACCCCCAAATCACACTCCACCTCTCCCGTCCAATCAAACCCAATCCCCCAATGCACCAAGATCTCCACCTCTTCATTCACAATCTCCATCCTCGTCCGTCCTATATGCACAAGCAACTCCTTTCTCGTAGGCGGTACTCTTTCCTCGTTTTCATCCTCCTCTACAACCTTCCGCTTAGCCTTCCTCCCTAATTTCCGCAACGACTTCAGCCTCGCTTCGGGCGTTTGCAATTCATTCTGAACGGCATGCCAGAACCTCGCGCGCTTGATAGCAGTCTCGCTCCAACGTGTCATGGCCCAGCATATGACGTTTATATCTTTGCCAATAGAGTTGGCACCGCTTGCGCGACCGCGGACGAATGTGCCGAGTTCGTTTTCAGCGGCGGGGTCGACGGTTGGAGTGATGGATTTGACTTTGAGGGTTGAAGTGTCGACGGTCATTGAGATGCGAGCGGAGAAGAGACCGGATGGGTGGGAGGCGGTGATGAGATGGTGTTGGAGGATTGGCTGCTCCGTGTCTTGGGTAGTTGATGCTGAGGAATTCTGTTCTGTAGGAAGTAAAGTGATTGTTGATTTATATGTGAGAGTACTGAAAGCCTTGAGATATGAAATGGGGTCATCGACTTCCAGAGGCCGATGAGAGGGTATGGGTTTGTTGAGCTCTGCAATTCCTGCAGCTTGACGCTTCCGTCGAGATGAGAATGGAAGAAACGAGCTGATATCTTTGAAGATGCTAGGTGGGTTGCTCACTGGCTTTACCGGCGCTGCTGTAGTCCTTTGGAGTAAGGCTACAATTTCTTCAGCATTAGGCGCTGGCTGTGCGCGCTTCTTCTTCGAATCTTGATTTTGACGCAACCTCTCATTCTCTTGATTTGCCAAAGCGACGTCTGCTTGAAGCTGCTGTAATTCCTTCAACAGCGCATCACGCGCTGCTCTCTTCTCAGCATAAGGGTCAGGAGTAATGGTAAATCGTGCTGATTTCCGACGCACAGATAATTCTTTTGCCTTTGCTTTCCCAGTGGAACTTATCACAGGCTCTTCTGGGAATGAATCTGGGATTATTTCCTGGCTTGACATTTGTGGTGGTGGATCTCTGGGTTTAAGTGGCGACGATTTCAACCTCTCGCTTAGAGCTCTGCTTTTCCGTACTTTTTTGCTTGGAGTGTTTTTGATACCTGCCGGCGGAGTAGTCATAACAGGGTCAGGAATGCCTCGTTGGGTTGGAGTAGGTGGCAAGTCTGGTTCCTCACGCCGAGTACGTCTGCTTGGTGGTCCATGTGCAACAGGTTTTGGTAGGGGTATGTCTAAAAGTGCTTTCTTCGGAAACGCAAGCGGCAGAACTGGCTCTTGTTGACGTTGTGTATTTTTGAGAGCACTAGACCTCGTGGTAGGCAAGTTGGCTGCCTCTCTTAGAACTGATGCCTCGGACTCTTCTTGTTGGTCAATGGAAGTATCTACATCAGCGGGTATGAAAGCTGGTGGAGATTCTCTTGGGGTAGTTGACTCTGTAACCTGCACTGGCTCTTCAAGTTGGGTTTGATTATGTGTCGGTGTAGCTTCTTGTGCCGTTGGCGACTGGTTCAGTGAAGCCTGCCTCGCAATTGGCGGCTCGAGCTCTTCAGGCCCTCTTTCTGAACTTGCGGCAAGGCTCTCTCTCAACCTTGGAGATCTCCGTCTCGTCAATACCGTATTTTCTAGTGTCGTCCTAGCTGCATTCGTTTCAACAATTGGACTCTCAACCTCTGTCGGTTGCAAAACGTTCACCACAGGAGACCTTCTCAGGGCACCTTTCCGCACGGGTGATATCCCTGGATGATTCCCATGTTGCGGAATACTCGGGCTGGATGGAAGCAAACTCGGTACAGCGCCTAGAGTAGGAGACAGTCGCAATGCAGCCTCTGCAATTCTTCTAACATCCTCCGGCGTCGTTTCTTGAACATTATCTACGATCAAAGTAGGAGGTGGTGGTAAACCAAGTATTGGTGATCTCCTAAGCGCACCCCTTCGGACTGGAGAAGCTCCTGCGTGAGTTCCAACTTGACCTATAGGCTCAGCAAGAGTTAAGGCTTCCGTTATGATTGGAGATCTCCTAAGAGCGCTCTTGCGAGCAGGCGTGGCCACTTGAGGGGGTCCATTCGGCGCGATTGTCGGCTCCTCAATAGCGGTAGGTTGTGAGGGGATTGGGGATCTCCTCAACGTGGCTTTCTTTTGAAAAGGATTATCATCCTCCGCTTGGTTTTCCTTGAAAGATGAAGTCGTGTCAATCACCGGCTGCGATGAAATCGGTGAACGTCTCAGCCCGGTCTTCTTCTGAAATGGATTATCGGGTAGATTTTCACCCAGTATCCCAATTCCTCTTGGTGCAGCACTATCCGTCTGTTTGACTGGAGATTTAAATGGTGATTGAGATCCCCTTCTTGGCTTTGCTGATAGTCCCTCGCCCACCGCTGATGCACCCTTTGCGCTCTGTGGAAATCGTCTCGGCCCTTCAGGGGTTTGTTTATCATCTCCTAGAACTCTTGATCCTCGTGAAGGCGGTCTTCGCGGCGACTCTCCAATTCCAGGCGTACGTTCTCCCACCTTAGCATTCGATTCCCCCAGCGCCTTTGCAAATAAATCATCTAGCTTTCCCTTATTCCCAGGCTTCTCAGAACCTTGTCCCGACGATAGAGGTCTATTCAACAACTGCGGATTATGTCTCGCGATACTGGCTTTCGTAGGAGACGCAAAGGAAGGCCTACGTGTAGGAGTCCTCGTGCCATCTTGCTGCGATGGTGGTAGTCGTCCTAGGGTCGTCGGCGCGTCAACTGGTACTGATGTCGTTGGCGATGTTTTGCGCCGTTTCTGTGGGGGTGTGCGTTGCATTGTTTTTGGAGTAGTTCAGGGCTCCTCCATATTCTTTGAATAGTTCTACACGTTATATATCCCTACTCGAACAGGTTGATGGCGGCGTGTTGTTGTATATAATTTTTTATGTGGTGTTGAGGAGACGCGCTGGGGATTCGGGGAGTCGCGTTGAGGGGGCCGAGCCGAAGCGAAGCTCCCGATTTGAAGCTTGACATTTTTAGGACCTGCAGAGAGAGCGCATGATGGTATACACAGGGCACTTAGATTTTAGAAATCATATTCATCATGGAAATGCGAATGTTAGCTAAACAAGCTAAACAGTACGAACAAGACTATTAAGAAGCTTTCGACAATATTATTCGAGTCTTCAAGTACTTTGTCAAAATCATTCAGCGACAACCCCCTGTCAAAGGGCTCCGCAAATAAACAAACCTCAATGACGTCCGAAGCACCCAGAACTTTTGCCATCCCATGCAATTACTAACCCACGTCCAAACCATACATATACTCCCACGTAACCTGCAGCCCTAATCCCCCTCCATTACGACAACTCAAAATACTCAAAATATCACCATGGAAACGAGATTCCTCCTCCGCTGCACCAAGCGCCTCCGACTGAACCCCAAATCCCGACCCTTTCACACCCGTCCTCCCCTCCGAGACCAACAAGCAAACCCAATAGGCGATTACTACGCTTCCCTCCTCGAGAGCTCTTCCCCGACTATAACGAGCAACCCACCGACCACAGCTACACCCTCCAGCACTCCTCCCATATCCGTGCAAGATGAAGCGCCCGAAGACAGCGGTCCCGCGATATTATTCTCCTCGCGCCTCTCCTCGCCCTTAGAACGGCGGTCCGAGATTCGCAAAAAGAGCGAGTTGATAGCGGGGATATGGGTGCCTCCCAAACCAGAGGAGCCGGATAACTGCTGTATGAGCGGGTGTGTGAATTGCGTGTGGGATCGGTACGGGGAAGAGGTTGAGGAGTGGGCTGCTGCGAAGAAGGCGTCTGATGTGGCGATGCAGAAGGAGAGGGGGTTTGAGAAGGGAAGGGCGAGGAGGAGAGGGGAGTTGGTGGGGATGAGTATGGATGATGATGGGGGTGGGAGTGAGAGTAATTGGGGTAATGGGGAGATGAATGATGATTTGTTTAAGGATGTGCCGGTGGGGATTAGGGAGTTTATGAAGCAGGAGAAGAGGTTGAAGCAGAGACACGCGCTGGAGGGGACGAGTGGTGGGTAGTTATGGTGTATGATTAATGTTATTGTATATATGCGCTGTTAAAATGGAGCGGGTGGTTTCCTTTCAGCATAGACTTATAGAATCTCGCTGGGTCCCTTCAAAGCTGGGATATATTCTTATATGCTGAGCTTCCAAATATATCTAACCCAATGTCGTGTTGATCCTTCTTGGCCAGCCACTTAATCGACATCAACTCCCTTCGTTCTCAAATCAGCTCTTGCCAGCTCAATTTCTGCCATCAATTCCGCATGTGCTTTTGGTACGTCGTTGAATGTGAATACACCGAGTCCTAATTTGAATAGTAGGTATGCGCCGAAGGAAACTAGAGCCCAGAAGGGTAGCTAAATTGTGTTAGCCAATGTTCTACAAAAGTGAAATCCCAGTGCTAAAATGATATGCGGCTGTTTAAAGGCTTGAGTTGTTCCCCCTTCATGCTATTCCAAGATTTATTGTGATTGAATTGAAATGTGTCGCATGGCGGTGTATTTAAAACCATCTTGCAAATCATAGCTGAAGCACCTCAAAATTTGACCGCAAGAAGCTGGACGAAGTCTGCCCATGTTGACACAGCGTTGTGTTCGAATTGTTCCTCGAGGCTTTTCGCATAAAAAAGACGTGTACATACCACAGGTAGAATCTCTTCCGAGACCAAAGCCGGTAATGGGACAAGCTGGAGGTATAGCGCAAGGTAGAGCTATAAACAAATTAGCATATTGCTTGTTGACCAAATTACATGCCCTCAGAGGATTCGGGATGCGTACAGAAGTGACAAGAAGTCCAATCGAGATGGTTTGTTGTGCTCGAGTCATCTTTTGAATATCGTTTTCGAATTCGCAGGTCTTCTATGTATGAACTTTGGACGGGTTTTGGGGGTCTGGTAAGGAGCGTGGTTCGTAAGGAGTCTATTGTTCAGAATTGAGGACAGAGATCGCGAGGCGACGGGCTGGATTTTGGGATCGCGTTTTGGTCAGGTGATGAGGGTCAAATTGATGGGGTTTTGGTTTTGGAGACAACAAGTCACAGATCACAGCTCAGAAGATGTTGCGAGAAAAGAGAAGGTACCGCTAGACAGAGAAACGACTGGATTAATCATCGTTGTCAATCGAAGAAGTCGTTTTGGTCAACCGGCTTCTCTACGTAATCCACAGAGCTCTAAGACAACATTACGGGTATGGACAGCTAGAAGTGCTTTCCATAATACAGGAAATTCCATGTTATTTCAGCTCTCTACTCGAGTATAATGAGCATCTAACCTTACTTGTTTGCATAGGGAATACTCGGACCCTCAAAGTAATTGGACTGTCGCAGTGAATATGTCCCAATTCCATCCTAAACCCCAAGGCTTAACTTTCACGTGATACCTTTACGGTCACGTTCCTCGCTAAACACTAGCTCGACGCTAAGAAAAGAGTTTCCCTTAAGTATCTCGTCCACCCTCAAACCCTCTTTCCTTCTTCATACTTACCTTGTTGACAACCTCGTAGCTCAAGAATTACGAGTTGGCAGGACGAGCCCTCCATTGCACATCGGGGCGGCGAGATCTGTTCAGTATCCTTCGGGGTCCTGATCGGCGGAATTTTTGATTGCATCCCTGTGGGACCTTTTCTTTTCATCGTGGTTATGGCTTGAGGGCTGTGACATGAAGAAGAGCCAAAACAATTTGTCAACGTTGATATTAGATCGCGGTTTAGAAACGTCTGGGACCTTGTCGTAATGATGATTGTTGCTTTCGAAATTTAATGATTCTACTTTCATCTTACTATCCATCATGAGTTACTAAGTCTTACTGTATGTGTCTCTACGTGCTTATCTTGGGACAAAATAGATCGAATCATCTGTCAGATCTCTATGGTGTTGTTGACCCACGAAAGAATCTTCCTGAGCTCAGCAAAGGCTGCTCTGTACCATGAGGAAATGAATTCCTTCTGATACTATATCACCGTTCTAAGGTCATCAAGATTAACATTTCAATCGTTGCAAAGCTATCTGCTGACGGAAAATGCACACTGTCATCGCTTTCCAGGTTCCTGTCGTGAAAATTCTGCGTCAACAACAATTTACATCTTGTACGGCACCCAACATGTGACGCGATTGTCAATTTGCCGTGCCTCCAAAAACGCGACACGTCCATGATGCCCCTTCAGAGACATGATATAATGTCAAATTAAAGCTGAAAGGTGAGGTATCATGAAGAGAAGATGTAGAATCGAGGCCTTCACTGCGTGTTTTTTATTGCTTCACCTTGTGTTGGCCGGATTTGACCGTGGCGACCGATACGTAAGATGACCTCCTTCTCGCGTTGAAATGTAATGACCTGTTGTGTGCTTGAATCCTTGTGAGGAAGCTGCTTGATTCAAAATATTCGCGTCGTTCGCCCGCATTCTGGAGAAGTTTTATTCATGCTGCGCAGCGTACTGACGATCTCAGTGGAACGGTCGACCACAGTCCATCGGGATAGATTTCGCGCCCAACTTTGTGTACGTTCGACTCGCTTCCTCAAGCTCAAGAATTAATATCGTCCAGAACTGCTGTCCTTGCTGATGGCCCAAAAAACTTCACTCCGCTGGCTCTTGTCCAGCCAGGTCCGGGGCCCAACCCATACGAAGGGTTTATGTACGATGCCTATAGAGGGAACGTCCTCTTCAGTGATGGAACGATAAATGAAATTATCGACAAGGAATCGAAGTTCGAGCAATGGTATCAACAAATTACTACTTCCGCCATCTCATGGCTGATAGATCTCAAAAATCGCTCTTGTTGGAGTGCGGTGCCCCAACTCGGAAACTTCGATCTGTTCCAGAAATTCTGCTTCCCGGAACCAGACTTCTACGAATACTCACCTGTGAAGCCAATATCCAGATTTCGAAGCCTACTTTCCCAAAGACGATCGTATCGACTCAGGACCATGATGCCGAAATGGTTTCGAGATTCTCCGAAAAGATCGTCCCCCAGACGCGAGTTCATCTCTGCAACATTAGATTTACTCCTAAGGATCAAAAGCATAGCACTGAATGATTATAACATTACCATCACTTCGGCAGCAATCTCTAGACCAGGATGGATGGGTAATGGACTTGAAGATTTATTTGACGAGGCATGCTTGTTAGCTGATATTGAAACTTTCGAGCAGCCTCGTGGTCGAGCTGAAATGGGAAGTCGAATAGTAGAGTTCGTACCAGAAAAGGATAATTTGACGGTGGTGGAACATGGTGCTTATTGCCTCGAAATCCATCGCATGAGTTACGATATGGAAGAAAAGGCATTCCGGAGGATCATGTCAACCACCACACAACTTGGGACAATGAATTTAATCCGCATTACCCTTAAGACAGTTCTTGGATATGATACGAACCGATCCTTAGCAGAGGAAGAGCATCTACGAAGTCTTGATCATAGATTGTTGATGCAAGAGACGCACTCTGCCAGATGGAATATCAGCCATAACAATTCTCAGCATCCTGAGGTTCCTTTCGAAGATCGGTATTTGACACTAGACAGCGCATATCCAGTAATAATCAATCTGACTGGCCGCGACATCATCGCTGCGGATGAAGAATACCGTGATCTTCTACAAAAAATGATCGTTGATTCCCGAGAAGATCACCTAGCTCTGCACAGAAACTGGCAGTGTAAGTTTTATCCATCTTGTGTTTAATTCAACACCACTTCAAACCGACTAATTTTGATAGCTCCTCTTTTGGCATTCAGAGATGCAAATGACTTCAAAGAGCATTTCGCTTCGATTAACAATCATAAGCGCCACGACATTTCGCAACCCAAGAGCGACGATAGGAAACTTCCGGTTGACCAAGTTCTAATCATAGACTCTGGAGCGTTGGAACCATTGGTGTACTCCGCTGCCTCCAGGGCCCTTAACATCACCCCATACCCAGACGACGATACCCAAACATGTGTTTCATCCGTTTATACACCCGCACGAGGCGCGGCGCTGAGAGCTGCGGACTGGGTCACGTATTATGAAGCGGAGTTTGGTGGCGTTTCTGGGGGGTATTATGAAGTGGACGGAGTTTATGAGTGGGTGGAGGATCTGGGACAACTTTGAGAGAGTTGAACACATAGGATATCGAACAGGAGGGAAATAGTTGGCTATAAGCTTAATTTGAACAACAACAGTCAAAAGTGTGCGAGTATGAGGCTTGAGGTAGTGCTTGCAGAGGAGGGAAGGCCAGACGGTGAATGACCTACCCGAAGCAAGGAGTGTGACCAGTTTTGATATCGTCAGAATCTATCAATTTGGGCGGGGTCTTATCTAGGTATGTCGAGCTCTTTCAACTGGTCTACAAGTCCACCGTAATTCACCTAACTTCTCATTCGATTGGAAACTAGACTCCGGATGTTTCATACAATAAGCCCTCGATCGCAGTATCTCTACTGGCGGAGTGCTCCAATGACAGCAAATGGACATTCAGCTGATTTTATACTAACTCAAATGGCTTGAAAAAAGCAATTGCGTGAAATATCCCTTGATTCCACCAACTGGTGGCAGTGGAAGAGGAAGAACTTGACCTATCTTAATGTCAGTATAGCGAGTCGAGATTTGATCACATTCACTTTCCACCTGCAACTGTTTCATTCCGCGGGTACGTTCAATTACATCACACTAAGTCTCGCGCTATCTACTACTTTATCTCTCTCGACACAGCTTTACTTCTCTGCCGCCCCGATTCTTAAGGGTTTGAATTGACTATTAGGTCGATGTCGCCTCTATTCGGAATCACCCTCATTAAACATCTACCCGCCCTCAGAATGTCCTCTCTCCACTCCCTTCTCCGATCTCTTTGCCTTCTCTTTCTCCTCCTCCAATTCACAAACGCTGACCGCAAACAACCAAACATCATTCTCATCCTGACCGATGATCAAGACCAGAAACTCCAATCCCTTGATTACATGCCACTTCTCAAGAAGTATATTGCTGATCAAGGAACCACTTTCAACAAACACTATTGCACGGTGTCCATCTGTTGTCCATCGAGGGTCAATTTGTTGACGGGAAGGGCGGCTCACAATACTAATGTGACAGATGTTATTCCTCCCTTTGGTAAGTTTGCTTTTTCTTTCTCTTGAGCTGAGCCATAAGCGAGCGTCTTGGATACGAGTGGATATCTGAGAGTATGTCACTCGCCGAGTGAGAGTAAACTCACAACTGCCGTATTATAAACACAAGCTAAGCGACTATATCAGGTGGATATCCAAAGTTCATAGCCGAGGGTCTGAACGAGAACAATCTGCCTGTTTGGCTTCAACAAGCTGGCTACAACACCTACTACGTTGGCAAATACCTCAATGGACATACGCTTGATAACTACAACAAACCACTCGCCAAAGGTTTCACCGGATCTGAGTTTCTCCTCGACCCTTCCACCTATCAATACTACAATGCTTCCATGTCCCGAAATGGTGGTATACCAGTCAATTACCCAGGACAATATTCAAACGATCTCGTCGCCAACAAAGCATACGATTTCCTCGACGATGCCATCGCTGCTGGCAAGCCCTTCTTTCTAGGCATAGCACCTATAGGACCACACAGCGAATTCCAATTCGCAACCTGTAAGTCCCGTCATCCCATCTCCTATTCCAATCTAACAACTCTCAGTAGAAGCATCCGCTCCTCAATACCCCCCTCGCCACGCCAACCTCTTCAACACCATCACCGTCCCTCGAACCCCCAACTTCAATCCCTCCACCCCCGGCGGCACCTCATGGATCTCCACACTCCCCCCTCTAACACCCGAAGCCCTCGCCTACGGCGACACTTTCTACCGCGCGCGTCTCCGCTCCCTGCAATCCATCGACGAAATGATCGAGTCCCTCACGCTCCGCCTAAACACAAAGAAACTTCTCGAAAACACCTACATAATCTATACCTCCGACAACGGCTTCCACATCTCCCAACACCGTCTGCCCCCCGGAAAGAACTGCGGCTTCGAGGAAGACATCAACATCCCCCTCTTAATCCGCGGTCCAGGCGTGTCCAAAGGCGTGTCCACCCAAAAAGTAAGCTCCCACACCGACATCGCGCCTACAATCATGTCTCTCGCTCTCGGCAAGAACGGATTAGACGGGCATGGCTTCGACGGGAAGCCCATCTCGCTCGACATCAAAGAGGAAGGCGGCAGCGATAGCGTCAATATCGAGTATTGGGGGCGCGCCTTACCAGAGGGTGATTTCGCAGCACAGCTGTTTTACGGGAATAACACGTATAAAGCGGTACGTATCATGGGAGAAGGATATAGTTATTACTACGCCGTGTGGTGTACGAATGAGAGGGAGTTGTATGATATGTTGGTATGTCCCCTTTCCCTTTCCCCTTCCTCTTTCCCTTCCCCTAACAACTCTCTAGGCCGACCCCTACCAACTAACCAACCTCGCCCTCCCCATCCCTTCCCCCAATCCTGTCCCTAGCCCATCATCCACCCCCCGCACCCCCTCCCCGCCCTCCTAAACCGTCTCGACACCCTCCTCCTCGTCCTCAAATCCTGCAAAGGACTTTAATGCAGCGAGCCCTGGAAAACCATCCATCCACAGGGGGATGTAGACACCCTGCTTGACGCGTTGGATAAGAGGTATGATGCGTTTTATGCGGGACAGCCGCGCGTGTCGTTCTCGGCGTGTGAATTGGGGTATCTTGTGGGGAGTGAAGGGCCGCAGAGGGGGAGGGTTTGGGGGTCAAAGGAGGAGGTGGGGATGTATGATTTTTATAAGAATGGGGATTGGAGATGAGTTGATGTTGGTGGGTTTTGGTATCTGCGTTGTTAGTAAAAGGACTTGAATGTGCTATTCACGGTCATCACGTTGATTATCAAGATACGCTCGACATATAATGTCCTTGTCTTTTTGGGTTTGCATTTTCGCTTAAGTATCGCTTGATTCAATACTACTTAAGGCCTCAGAATTTCCCAGGGGGTGAAAATCGCTATGGGTGAGAAAACCACCGCACCCCTTAGACCTCGTCCTCGAAATCAGCAACACCATTTCCTATCCTCTCCCTACAACACAAACATATTCAATCCCCCCTCCCCCCACCAAATGCAATATTTCCAACCCCCCGTAACAAAATATCCCAACTCCCCCCTAACTCCTCGCTAACCCCATACAAAAAGAAAATGAATATCCTAACAATAAAAAATCCAACAACCCGTAACATATCACCCTATCCCAAAGCCTCATTATAAACATCCATCAAAACGCTCTGTCTCGGAATCTTGAAAGGTTTCTGCCCAACATGAATCTTCTTCGGCATCCTCCTCCGAAGATTCTCCTTCTCAGTCCCAACATCCCTGAGTCCAGGATCAGTCTCGCGTTTATTCTCCGGTTCAGCCGTCACATCTTCGAGGATTTTGAATTGGGTGCCCCGACTAGCGGTGGCAGTAACCTGTGTATTCCCATCCTCAAAACAATGATCGCCTAACGCCGTCGCGGGCAGATCGTAAACCCACTTCCTCTTCTCCAAAAGGGTGATGAATTCTGCGATCATTTCCTCTTTGCCATCTTTATCTTTGCCATTCCCTTTCAGTGTTTCTCTGCTGCCGATGACCAGGAGCTTAGTTTTCGCGCGCGTGAAAGCGACGTTGATACGTCTCCAATCTTTGAGCAGTTCGCCGATGGAGTGAGCGGGGTTGCTGCGGACGAGAGAGAGGATGATGACTTCTTTGTCGCGGCCTTGGAAGCGGTCTGCGGTGTGCATTTCGACGTCGGCGTGTTGACGGAGGTTGTGTTTGAGGAGGGCGAGTTGGGAGCGGTAATGGGTCATTACGCCGATGGAGGAGGCGTCGATGCCGACGCTGAGGAGGGATTCGACGAGTTGGGTGCAGATGATTGCTTCGGTGGGGTTGACGATGCGGTTTCCTTTTGCTTCTTCGAGGGCGCCGGGGAGGAGGGTGTCGGTGTTTAGGAAGGCGACTTTGATGGAGGGATCGAGCATGTCGCGGATCCAACAGCGGCCGCGTGATGGGCCTTTGCAAATGCTCTTTTGACTTCGTGACATTGTTGATGGTGAGAAGTGATGAGTTCGAAGGCCATCCATGTTGGGAATTGTGATTTGGCGTTCAGCTACTTCTTTGCTGCCGCATTTGAGTCGACCTTGATAGATCAGATTGTTACTTAATGACATGACGTCTTCGCACATGCGATATTGATGCTCGAGATAGACGACAGAGCTGGGGTTCGTATCGGATAAGTGCTTGAAAAGACTGATGTCAAGTCCACCCAAACGAGCCTCCTCGTTTTGGACAAGTGGTGGAAGCTGATTGTGATCTCCTACAAGAATGAATGTCTTTGACAGACATATGGGACCAAGACAGACTGGAAGTGTAATCTGAGAAGCTTCATCCACAATGCAATAGTCAAAAGTTCTCTCCTTGAATATGGCATGATTGATACCCAGACATGTCGTGGCAACAATTGGACTATCGTGCCAAGCACTTTTGACTTCATCAAATGTCGCTTTGGTAGTGGCAGCGAGGGTCGCAAATTCCTTTACCTCTGGATGAATTTTAGCTGTATTCCCCAACCGAAGTACTTTCTCGGCTTTGAGCTTTAGCAGGATATTGTCCACAGCTGTATGCGTGTACGAGGTGAGAAGTACGCTCTTTCCTTGTGATACAAGAGCGCGAATGATGTGCGCGATTGTTGTCGTTTTCCCAGTACCGGGCATCCCGAGCACCAGAGCATAGTCCTCAGCACTCATCACCTTTTCAATTGCTCTCTGTTGATCCACGTTGAGGCTTTCACGATCTTTCAACACGTAAGCGGTGGATTGTGTTTTAAACCGTGGAGCATTCAAGTCAACCACTAATCCTCTGATATGGCGAGAACCAATAGGTCCGTCAGCCATAACATGAATGAGATTGTTCCGAACAGTAGCCATGCCATTGCTGAATTCGTCTTTGTCAAGTCTGTACAGAACAGGCTGTTCTTCAGGCTTAGCCGCCAGTAGCTCCATTGGTGACATGCCAACTTGCATAATGCCGGAAAATACTTGGTTATCAACATCATCAAAATCGCGCTGGCGTACGCGTGCATTGTGTAGGCGACGGTCGACCGCAACAGTAATTCTTCGTTTCCCAACTTTGGTGACGTATCCGTTAGCGAGCGCAAAATGACCTTTCTCATCCGACACGACAATAGGCTCCCCAATAACTATTTGAGATTCGAGAAACGAGAAGCCCGGGAGGCGCTGTTGTTTCGTAAATGTGTAGCTAAATCGGTTGATCTTAGGGTTGTTGACATCTTCGAAAGCCGAGCCGGGTTCAATAACAACATTGGAAAAGCATCGACCGAGTTTCTCTCGTTCTGAAGATAACATTGTCCATAATTCGCGTCGGAACTTCATGCTCTCTTTTTCTTCTTTTGTGAGCAGATTGTCCCACTTCAAGAAGAATTCCTTATGCCTGGGTGTCAGATGCTTCACAATGTCATCGAACTTAGTCCCCAATCCACTGGTCTCCCCAGTTCCATCGTCAGCGAGTCGGTGATAAATGAAACAGGGAACCTTAGCATAGCATCGTCCGCATAGATTCTCCTTCTTTTCCATCTCTGGAAGCTCGGCGTGCCGCTCTCGTACGAAACAGGCCAGTTCGTTCCGCTTCATGATCATATGAATGAGCTCATTCCGAAATTTGGGAATGCGTACAGTCTCCGATGTTTCCATATAGTAAAGAATACCGTAAGCTACCTCCATATCGTAACGATCTGACAGTAAAAGGTTATACAGCGCCGTCTGCGCCCGGTGTGACGCGCTTGGATTCTTCCCCGTCTTCACTTCAAAAGGTACGGTCAAAGTCCGGCGCTCATGATCGTCTTGCATAGTAACTTGAACTGTTGCGTCTATATTGCCTTTCAGGCCATACATTGGCGACCACACGTGTTCTTCGACATCAAGAAGTTTACTGACGCACATGCCCGCTCTCTTACCGTGGCGGTCATGTACGATTGCTTCGGGCTAACCACCAGTTAGCGAGTAATAATTGAACTTGGGTATTACAAACCTTTGGCTGAGAAGAAATGAACAGCTCAGCCCATGACTGGAGCTCGCCCATTTTGCTAAGTAAATATTCTGTGGCGTCTTCCACTTGAATCTTTATGGTGTAAAGATCCTCAACGTGTTTCGTAGCTACGTCTTCGATGATTTCACCCAGATACTCAATGTCCCATCTATTCGCAACTAAGGCTGTTTGGAAAATTTCGTGTAGGATAGTGCCATAAACCATAGGAGGTGCCGCATCACCGGTAGCTTTGACTCTGTCTTGAAGGACTGCACGACGAGTGCAGCTAAACGAATCGGCCACTACTGTAGCTGAAACTAAATGATCAGGATGTAGGATCAACATGTTGTGATTGTTGTCAATGATGCATCGACTTCCAACGAATGTCCCAATAACGTGGACATAGGCCTTTTCAGTCACAGGTGACATATACCAAAAGCCACGAAGATGGACGAATCTGGTACTTTTGGTCCCTTCAGCTTTCAACTCAAGGACTTGTTCTTTACATGTCCGCCGGTTGGTGTCCTCGTATTGTGTTTTAGAGATACTTGTTACCAAATATCTTTGTATGGCCTGTATGTCACGAGTCGCCTGGTGTTGACTTAGCAATTGTTAATACTATTTATGCTATGAATATCTGGTACGTACAGGTAAAAGATCGTTAGATTTTCGCAAGGACTGGGTCGCTGCAACTGCTGCTTCAAAATCATTTTCATCTATTCCATCGTCGCCAAATTCATCCTCAGAATCGGCCTCCTGTGCAGCTCTTCCTGGTGGGGGGCCGCTACAAGACGGCTTGTCTGGCTTCATCACAGATGTCCCCGTGTCGAACTGTGAAACGACCTGCTCCAGGTCACCAAACACATCGTCATCAAAGTCGCCAAATTCGTCCTCGTCATCGTCTCCTTCATTCATTCCAAAAGATTCCTCGTCTACAAGAACTGGTAGGCTAGCTTTTCTTGGTGAGCAAGATGGCTGTCTGGCTGGAGCTGTGGGTGGTTGTAGAGGACGTTCAACTTCCAGAGGAAACTGTACTGGTGGTTGCGATTCCAGCGCATCAAGGACACAGGAGTCGATTGCATCGTCATCAAAGTCACCATAATCTGTCTGAACCGAGGCTTGCCTCTCCAGACGGTGGTTGTCCGCTTTCTGAGGGGTTCCAATACGGGATGCCGGATCTGATAAATTCTCTGACGATTCTCGATGTTGCCCACGGCTAGCGTTCGAAATTGCCTCATCGACTGTGGAAAGTCCTTGTTTTGGAGATCCACGCGCTCGGCATGAACATTCATCGATAGGTTTCAGCTGCGACATTCCTTCCTGCACTCTTTCAATCAGGACGGACAATCGTGAGGGGCCAATATTTGCAGGTTCCGTGAACACATCTCCATCCGATCCACCAACCCTCCTGCGCTTTGGAAATGTTGTGCCACAGCTATTCGCTCGTCGGAAGCTTGATAACGTTCTTGGTGTTGTTCCGTGTCTAACAGGCTGCGGTGAAGATGTCTGCATCAAATGCGCCAATGCAGGGACAGATGGCCCTAATGGTGTTGTCGCGTTGGGACCGTTGAGAGAGTACCGTCCCCATAACTCCGATCCTGGATCTATCTGAGGTTGTTCTCCCTTCCCATAAGCTGGTGATGAAGCTATAGGAGACGAGCTTCTCGCCCTCTTGTTCGCCCTCCGTATCCCTTGAAACGGCGTTGAATCCTGGCTACTATCCTTGCTATAGTCCCATTCTACCCGATCATCAGGAGATATGATTTCGACTGCTCGTTCCACGTCGCTCATGCCAATTAAATCCGGTAATGCTAGCCTGCTAGCCGGTGTAGAGGGGCAAGTTTTTTTGGGAGTGTCTGATCGAAGTTCTGTCTCGTCATTTTTCTCTTTTGCGAGCCGAGTTTTCGTGTGCTTTTGACTGGCCCTGTTTCCCAAATTCTCCTTCTCATCCGAAGAAAGGAGACTTATCACAGCATTCCCTTCCTTTTCGACATTGCTCGTCTTGGCGAGGAAATTGCTAAGTTTGTTTTTTGTGGCGGTCGACACAGGAACAGGTGGTTTCTCCTGTAGGGGCTTCGATTGCGGGTTATGCCTCGAAGTCTGCTGTCCCTGGAAGCTCCTATTTCGACCCCATTGTCGGTTTTGTTCGGACTGTATTATCATCAGTGAGGAAAAAAACTTGGAGGGCTAGTAATCTCACTTTTCCTTTGACTGAGTGGTTTTGATCGGAAAAGGACTTCTGAAGAGGCATCTCCCCTTCCAACAGGCGTCAATGGAGCAAGATGCTAAGTTATCTGGTTGTGTAAACAATGAAATGCTCCTCGTTCAAAAAGCCCCACATGCAGCATCTGTATACAATTCAAGTCGCGACTTACCGCGGACGCGACGTGCTGCCGATTTTGGCCCGACAAATACGCCTTACATAATAGCTGTAGCTCCCCACAGTTTGATCCACATCCTTGCATCTCCGTCAATCAGCGCGGTGGCAGCTCGCATCTCGAAATCTTATCTTCTGAACCTCACCCCACCAGACACTGTACCTCAAATTGCCGGCATATTCAAGGTACGCTTTCCTCTCCTCTTCATGTACTGGTCTTGCTCTCGAACTCGACCTCTACTTAACCATTTCAATTGACTAACTTCTAACCAACAGAGGTCGTCGCCATCATGTCTTCCGACAAGCCTCTCCCATTCATTTACCAGTTCGCAGCAGGTAAGTCGGCCTTCTTCACCATGTGAATAGAACCCCGGGCTTACACTCTGTACAGGTGCTGTTGCTGGTGTGTCTGAGGTATGTCTTGTGGACTGTTTCTCCAACATGCGACTTGTTGGCTAATACACGCAACTGGTAGATTTTGGTTATGTTAGTGTCCCATCCTTGATTTCCGAGTCGCATTTGGCCCAGCAACAAAATCATATAACTGACGGCTCGAAATAGGTACCCATTGGATGTGGTCAAAACCAGAGTGTAAGACTCGGCAACCGCTACATGTTATTCCCGCGCAAGTGTGTTAACTAGCGCATAGACAACTACAAACGGGAAAGGGTACAGGGGCAGACTCCTATAATGGCATGGTGGATTGCTTTCGAAAGATCATCAAGCATGAAGGGTACAATCGCTCGGTCCTTGAAATGAGTTGATCTAACACTAACGCAGTTTCGGACGTCTATACCGTGGTATTGAAGCCCCAATCATGATGGAAGCCCCAAAAAGAGCGACAAAGTTTGCTGCCAATGATGCTTGGGGAAAAGTGTACCGAGATCTGTTTGCTATGCAAAAGATGAATCAATCACTCTCCATTCTTACAGGAGCTACAGCTGGTGCAACTGAGGCTTTTGTGGTGGTTCCGTTTGAGCTGGTCAAGATCCGTTTACAAGACAAGGCCTCTGCTGGAAAATACACTTCTACATTGGACGCAGTCACCAAAATCGTCAAAGCGGAAGGACCTATGGCGCTATATAACGGGCTCGAAAGCACAATGTGGAGACACATCCTATGGAATGCCGGTTATTTCGGGTGTATCTTTCAAGTTCGAGAGCTTCTGCCAAAAGCCGATAACAAGACAACACAGATGGGCTACGATTTGATTTCTGGAGCTACTGGTGGAACCTTTGGTACCATACTGAACACTCCTCTGGATGTAGTAAAGTCCCGTATTCAGAATAGCCCCAGAGTTGCGGGGCAAATCCCCAAGTATAACTGGGCGTTCCCTGCCGTCGGGACCGTGTTCAAAGAGGAGGGATTTGGCGCACTTTACAAAGGGTTCATTCCCAAAGTGTTGAGATTGGGTCCCGGTGGAGGAATCTTGCTGGTCGTCTTCACCGGTGTTATGGATTTCTTCAGGAAATACAGAGGAGATGTTTAAACTCGATGCCAATATGTGATCCAAAGGCCTCTATCATATACCCTTGAGTAATCTCCTGCATTACTCGTTTGTATACTCTCTCCGTTGGAATGGAAATATGGGAATGGTATGGCATTGGAAGGCCTTGAAAAGTCCTAGAGCTTGCTGAGGTGGTGTTAAGCCTGTTTGTCAATATTACAAAAAGAGAAGACCGTAATACAACACATAGAGATTGATTAAAGCATTGTTCTGGTATCTGTTTGACCCATCTTTAGATATTCATGTTGCTGACAAACTTACCACTTTTAAGTTCCCCATACAACCACAAGTAACAGCGGCTCCTTTCATCCAAACACGCAAGCTACTTAATAAACTTGCAAGCAAGCTGAAGTATTTATTTATTAATCCTTCAGATGTCCTCACCCAGTTTCCAAAAGTTATCTCAACTGTAAACAAGTTGCTACGAATGGCGGTTCCGGCCTTTATCATCTCATTGACAAGATCTGGATCATTTATATTTAAGTGCTACGAGTATGTTTTGAAGTACTAGGACCGTTCGGAAAACGCCTCAAGGAACAGCTTTGAAACTCATCAAGGAGTTGGCACATTTCGTCATAGGAAAGAACTCATAGGAAACAAACTCAACGGAAGGCAGAGCAATCTGGCTATGGAAGCGGATTGGACAACCTCTTACAGCATAAAGACTCACTGCAATCCCAAAACAGGCAGCTGCAACTTCCAGGTTGTCAGCGGCTCGAGGCTCGCTTAACACAAGGAGTCAATACAGAAAGCAACATGTGAACAAGAAGGTCCATTATGACTACAAATTGGATGACTGATTTAATAGTGAAACGGCTGTGAAGGTGTATCTTATATTCACATTATCAGAATTTGACTCAAAATTTCCACTATGATTGTGTCGACATTAGATGGTTTTACCCGTGCGGCTATCCTCCAGACTCGTGGCTTAGCGTGGAGGGCTGCATCAACACCAGCAACGACGCATCCTCCTTCCCACCTCTTCTCCCTAACATAAACACAACAACAACACACGGAATACCTTTCTCAACCAAATTCGAAACTCTTCCTTGTCGCGCGACAAGATTCAAACAAATTTAACCATCTTTAAATAAGCTATTTATCACCAACCGTAAGTCTAATCAGCATATCCCCATTTGTCGCGCCAGATGACGGACGCGCCTTGAAATGCGCCATACGATCGCAAACCACCACAACGAACAGATTTTCTAACAAACTTATAGGCAGCAATGGCTCGTGAGGGAACTCGATCTGCAACTGGTCAGTGCTTACTTTACACTCTCGCTGCTATCGCCAACTTTCATGAAGTTCGGCGCGTAGCACTGCTTTCGAACCCATACTGAACCTGATAACAGGCAACTCTAGACCAAGAGTCTTCGACACAGTTCCAGAGGTCGCCACAACCAAGAAGCGCGCGACCGCAAACACTGGAGCAAAGCGAACTACAAAGAAGGCGCCTGCTGTCAAGGCCAGCAAGCCTGTCGGTGTCACCAAGAAAAAAGCAGCAGTTCCTGCTAAGAAACCAACTGTCGCGACAAAGGTACGTCTTTTAGGATCCACTTGCGCAACGTATAGCTAACAATACCATCAGGCCAAGGGCGTTGTCAAGAAGGTGGAGGGTGCCGTCACCGGCAACCCAGAAAAGAAGGTATGTTTGAGGGTGTTATTTTGTTATGATCAGCGCTTCGACGCGTCGAAAACCCCTGTCTCCAAGTACCATCCCGAAACAACGAAAGCATGTTTACACTATCTTTAAGGCAGGGCCTTTATGATAAAGCTATGTGTTAGATGGGATAAGACGGCCGTTTCATCTCCAGCTTGTGACCGCCTATAAACGAGTTTGCTTGGCTATTTAAGATATTTCACTTGAAAGAATTTTGCTGACCCCTCCTCTTCTCAAGGCTGCTGGTACCAAGAAGATCAAGGGCACCGATGTAGCCGCTGCTAAGAAGGGTGCTGCTACCAAGAAGAAGTAGATGCGGACACTCACCATCCAACAATACCGCCACATAGCCTCCAAAATGAGAGACACGGACGTACACTGCAACAACTCGTTCACATATCTCCACGTTACTGGGCGGTTGTAGCAATGTTCTATGAATCGTGTCTTCGTTTATGACTAGTCATTACCGACTGGAGCAGAAATGAATGGCGTTCGAGGAGTTAATGTTGTGCACAGGATAGCGAGGGAGCTTGGGATGTTCATGCAGACAGGGAAATGAAGGGTTTTTTCATGAGGGGATTCGGGCTTTTTCTTTTTGGACATCATGATATCAAGCATGCAGGCTTTTCGTTTTCTTGGTCTTTCTTGTTCGCGCGCGAAGTATTTCTTGTTGGTTCTTGATAGCCGCTGCTTGTTCATTATAATCGGGTTTGGTAATCGCGATATCTGTATTGTTCATATAGAGAAGATCAATGGGTTCATTGCAAGCCTATCAGCCTGACCCTCCAAGAAACGCGACTGTAGCTTGAGGCTTAGTCCAGAGCTTTGCACTATTCGGGCACCTGAGTACCAGAGCGAGCCCACATCACTATCTCTGACTTAATCAAATTTCCCCCACATCGGGCCTTCCTACGATCTCCTATCCTCCGTTGCTTGTTCTACTTCCGCAGTCATGTTAACGGGCGTTGAAGTAGCAGGTTTAGTTTTCGGAGCCATTGGCCTGATTCCCATCTTCAAGGAAGCGTACAAACTCGCGCGAGTACGCCGACAGGGCTCTGGAACGTCCGATACGACCACAGTAGCCAACGAGATCCGAAATAGCGAATCGTCTGTAACAAGTCGGTATCAAGAGTTTCTCGGCGTGTACGGCGATGCGTTACTGAGGGAGATGGTAAGACCTGACGCTATATCAAAATCGACGGAGACCTTGTCCATGATACTATGAGGCTAACGATTATTTCAGGAATCGCCTGCGACCGTCTCAAAGACCTGATTATTCAACTCCAACACGGACTTCTGATCGAGCTTCAACGAGGTGGACGTATTTATAACCCGGCTAGCCTTGTTACGATCATTGTCACTGGTCGAAGCGATGCTTTCACAGCGCTTTCTGTGCTTGCTCAGAGACTGGCTACGGCGATGCCGATAGATAATCTTCTTGGAAGTACCGGCGCTGCGCGGTATCCATATAAACGGAATAATCTCTCCACAGTGGACTCTTTCTGAATGAGCTATCTAAATGCGCAAAAGGCATCGTCACGCCCAGGAGACGTTTGGTCGGAGGATCGGATCTGGTATAGGAACGAGACGTATCCCTTTTGAGGATACCCCAGCTTTGCAGCTTCCTTCCGCCGAGTAGGGCAGTTGTACCTTGATCTGCCAGTGGAAGGATCGACAAGAAGAGAGTCTACTCCGCTCGAGCTGAGCCGCTACACTAGATACGCTTGTTAATAATGTTCGGCGGGGGCGGAAGCGCTAGGGTTTCCAAGGGCAGTAATGAGCTGTGAATGTGTGATGAATTATGGGGAAGATGAGGAGGTTGTTTAGTTGGGCGGTGGAGGGGACTTTTGAAGGGTTCAGGGGAGTAGGAGGTGACGGGTGCGAGGAGATGGTGATGAAAGATTTGGAATGTAGCATCTTTCGAGAGCATGTTGATAGGTCTTCATAGCTTGTTAAAATTCTCGGGAATTGGGTTTTTCATTAGTGTATGAGCTTGGGTCTGGCTGTCTAGTGTGATTGAGATTTGAGTGTGATAAGGAAGGTATATAGCTTCAAGTAGGTAGGAAAGAGTTAGCTGGGAGGCGTAAGCTTTGATATACGCATGGGGACGAGTGTTTTTCTCGTCTACGAGCATGACTAACGCTGCAAAATTCAAATTATGAACAACAAGAAGTGTATCGGTCAATGAGTTAATAGTATAAGAAAGCTTATTAACTAAGGTTATCTAGACAAGTAGTAAGAGTGGATATGTTAATGTTTAGATATATTATAGAGCAGTAGTAGTGGGAGATTAGAGTGGTATTAATGACTTATAGTGTTAACGAAGAGTATATGGCATTTTTATTGTGACATTAGTTATCTTTGAAATAAAGAGTTCAATTTAACTACATCAACCACTAAGTCGTCTCAAAATTCTGCCCAGTTTACTCAAAGCTTACTTCCTCCCCAACTCCACATCCCCAACAAGCACCAACCCCTCCCCATCTCCCTCCCCCTTTCTCTCCATCCCAAAGAAACCCCCCACCACCTCCTCAACCACACCCTCCCACAACCCCCCCACAATCCCCCTAAGTTCCCCACCCGTCTGTCCAAAATCAGGAAACGCATTAACCTCCAACAACCAAGCCCGTCCCACCTCATCAACCAGAAAATCCACTCCAAAAACCTCAAACGCGTTAGGCAGAGTCTGGAAATGTACCATCATGCCCCTTGCCGCAGCTTCGAAAACCTCTGCCGTAGTGCCGCATATCTGTCTGAATATCTCTTCTTTGATTTCGGTGGGGAGAGGGAGGGACCAGAATGCTGATACTGGGTTATAGTCTAGGGTTTGAGAGGAGGAGGAGGTTTGGAGGCAGGTGTTTGTGAGATGAGGTGCTAGATCTTGGGATTCCCATGGTGGGACGTAGGCTGTGGAGGCGAAAAGTGCGAGCATTGGTTTATAGACGTAGATTTTTAGGGAGCCGGCGGCGAGGACGTAAGTCCTGATGTGGAATTTTGTGGGTTCGCCCGTGGGACCTGGGAGGAGGAGGGGAGGATGGATGTAAGGTTGGGCGATGAAGTGGCGGAGGTGGGAGGTTACTATGTAGTCGTCTTTTTCATCTTCTTTGGTTGATGTATTTGGGGTTTCGTCTTCCTCGTCGGAATCAGGTTGATCGGCTTCCCATTCTTCAAAGATAGATTGGAGTTCTTCCTCTGTGCTGAAAAGACGGATGCCTTGTCCTCGATCTGACATTCCTGGTTTTAAAATCCACCATTCTCTCTCACTTGCCTCTTTGCCCTCATTCTTCTCGAAGCTTTCTTTCAATTCCCATGCTTCGACCAATGCGTCGTCCAAGAATTCAGCGTAGTCGAGCTCGAAGTCGCAAGATGGCTTGAGATTCGTAGCGAGGATGGACTCTGGATGTTTCGCTATCCAATTGTGGCGAGTGGTGGAAAGATAATGTTTTCGTATGAGAGCTTTCCGGATGATATATGCATTTATGAGACTTGTTTTTGGGTATGATAAGGCGTGTTCGAAAGGAAGGGACTCGTAAGAGGATATCTGGAGGATAGCTGTATCCGGGGAGGGTAATTGGGATATATCGTCGATGAGTGTATATGATCCTTCTGGCAATTTAGACTTGAGTGCCGCCAGAATCAGAGGCTGAACGTATTTGTCTTCGTAGTTGATTAAAGCGTACAAATGACCTGGTTTCGATGGCTCAAGAGATAATTTCTCCATGGCAAGTTCCTGTGCTCGTCTGAGAAATCGTTGATTAGATGCTGGACCTACAGAAAATAGTTTGGAGAATATGTTTATTGGTCTAACATAGTCTAATGCTCCACGCTATGCATCCTTTAACTCACAACTTCAACTCTCCCGATGACTGTGCGTTCGCTCCCATGAAATTTGCCTTTAAAGGTGTTACACTATAGAACTATTAGCTGATCCTCGCTCAATTTTCTTTATGCCACTTACCTCGAAAACTTCTCCCTAATAGCCCAACCATCATTACCTGGGGGAGCCTCCTCCACAGACTTGTACACATCCGTGAACCTCGGGTTCCATTTGAAGTGTTTATGTGTATGTCTCGTGACCGAATTCTCCTCCTCTGGCTTCCCCTCTTCGCCCTCTCTAATCCTCTGCTCCTCTTCATCAGCATTGCCCTCATCATCCTCAGTCTCTTTGAAGCAACTGCCCTGGCCCCAGTAATTCTGCAGCATATTTGTCCACATGACCTTTCTACTCTCCACTCCCTCTACTAGAGGTACATTAATCGAATAAACATCAACATCTTGGCCCCAATTATCGTATAAATACTGTATTAACTTTGTAGATAATCTTGTCGCCGCAGCAATAATCTCAGGATCATGTGCCGAATCTGGTTTCGAAGGACTTTCCATGCTGAAAAATGCATAGCTCAGAGCTATCGCCTTCCTCTTGCAAACAGCAGCCTCTAACGCACCACCTAGAGTTCCACTGCTCAAACTAAACACAGCCGTGCTATTCCTGCCATAATTGGGTCCCGAAACGACGAGATCGATTGGCCCTCTATTTTGAAAATAATGGTATAATCCAATTTGCACGCAGCTAGCCGGTGTGCCGTCTACCAGCACCCATTCTTCAGATTCGGTGGATCCGGCGGGAAGGGGTCGAGAATGCGTGGTTCCGTCGTCCTTGTGTAGGGTTCCTGGTCTGAAATATGTTGGCTTGACAGTCTGGCCTACCATATGCGCTTTGCCTATCCACGAGCGTTGGGTGTGCGGGAGCACTACGGAGACGACATGGCCGGCGGATTGAAGGGCTTTGACAAGTGAGTGGACGTAGGGAGAGGATTGCTGGGAAGGTGGTCCGTCATCGTTCACTACCTGGATGTTTGCGTCAGAATTCGCAACACGCTGGGAGCAGAAGTGGAGAGATTGGCAGTGGTCACTTACGAGAATATGCATTATGAAAGCGTGGTCTGGTAACGAGCAAATACCTTCCGAGTCGGGTCTACGCTGATTATCTATTATATCAAGACGCGTGAGCAATAATCAAAGACAACAAAATGGAGAATGGAAAATTGTTGGCATATCAGCTCAGCCCTGCGGATACCGAGTGGCGGGGTAGAAAAGCCCCGCCAGCAAGGGAGACCACCCCACTATTTATTCGCCATATGAGGCCTGGAAGGCGAGCAAAACTGGACGAATACCTAGCTTAGGTAGACTGCTGGGTAGTTGAATTTGTATGTGAAGCTCATTCACCCCTAGCTTAGGTCCTGTGGGAAAAGAAGTCACTTATAAGTCAAATCGCCTTCTTTTCATGCTCTAAGTGAAACATAAAATACATTTAATGGGACGGGAGATGGCAATTGGAGCATCTCCCGCTTGACTAACGGCTTATGAAGTTGCACTAGTATATGTGTCCACCAAGTTATCCTACCAGATATTTTGTCGAATACGATGGCGATTTATGTTTGACGGTCTTCACAGGAAGCCAGTTTCGGAGATGTACTTGAGTAGCTTGTTTCAATAATATTAATATGTTGTTTATCGAAACTCACTTGTCAAACATCATCTGGTACCGGCCCAAGGCCTACCTCTGACCAAGTCCAATTTATCTGGAACTTTGCTTGCTTCCAAGAAAATCACAACAACCATGCTTCAAAAGCCCTGCTTCAACTCACCCCGCTACTATAACTCCCTCTTCTTCGAAATAATTGTAAACATTACCTCATGACGTGCCAAACCATTTTAGAGATTACCGACCCAAAGCTGTCGCAAAATCCTTTTCGTGCATGCTCTTAAGATGACACGCGCTCCAAACATAATGCATAATGCGCTAAAGTGAATACCGACTATCCGAATTGATGTAGTGTGAGCCAGGCGCTAAAGACTAAAATGTGTCGAAAAAGCTAGACTCGACGAGCCTTCTTTCCGGTCGAGGACTGCGGCAATGATGTCGCTTGTCTCTTTTTAGTGCTCGTAGCGGCCTCGCCTTTTGTCCGTTGCCAACCCATGAAAGGACTAACCCTTTTCGAGGCGGTAAGCTTATGTGTAGGAGTAGTTGGCCGATCGTCGTCGCTTTCAGTCGGAGGATCACTTAGCTCCAGCTTCTGGGATCTGGTAGCTCTGCCGGTCGTAGGAGGGGAGTAAGGCGCAAAGCGTGGAGCTTTTGGAGTGGTAATATCGCAGTCCACTTGTTCAGAAGGTGTAGACTCCATGAGCGCATCAGTGCGATTTCCAGTGCGACGACGAGAACTGCTTGATGCCATGATGGGAAGCTCGATATCGGTATCAGCTTCTTCTTCCTCGGCAGCTTTCAAACGCGCCTCTTTTTCCTTTTTCTGTTCTTCGGTTGCAAACAGGAGTCTTGGGACTACAGATGAGCGAGTAAGAGGTCCTTGATGATTTGGAAGGTCGTTCACATCAATCTCAGTCTCTGAGGATTCCCCGATCGGTGCAGTATTTGAGACGTCTTCATCGACATCAACGGCATCAGAAAACCTTCGAAACACTCGTTTACCACGGCTAGGTACCATGTTAGCGTGTGTTTAATTAGCGTTGACATGTGACTTACAAGATATAAACGAGCCCGTCCTTGCGACTGCCAATATCGGTCATTTCTTGATCCTCTTCTCCTTTCACTGAAACCTTTCTGCGCTTGCTGGTACGTCGAACAGGCTCGGCTGGTACGTTATTGTGCTGGCTGTAAAATGGATTATCCTCGCTGATATCAGGCGAGGGTACCCGATCATGAGAATCGGTAAAAATTGCGATTGGAGAGTCCTCTTCATCGACGCCGAAACTGTTAATTGTGAAGCCACTATATTTCTTATTGCTCTTTTTTCTTGGTGTGGGCATGATTTCATCATCGGTACCACCGCGAGTGGGAAATATATTGCGCGCAACCCCCTTCACGGCCAGATTTGTGGCACTGGCACGCTGCGGAGTCTTTGCCGGTGTGGGCAACATGCCGTTGTTTCGCAAAGCAGATCGAGAGACATCCATCTTATCGGTTCTTGAGGGTGTAGGTAGACCAAGGACAGTGGCTGCGGAAGAAGTAGACTCAATGTCAAGAGCGCCCGATCTTGATCCTCCTTCGAAGTGACCTAGTTGTCTCGGGGTTCGTCTCTTGGAGGTCATTGGAGGAGAGGCTGGCGTGTTGGCAAAAGCATTCGAAGTTGAAGCAATGCGTGATGTTTGTGGAGTTGATTTATTTCGCATACTGCTCGAGGTTTGACGAGGAGGTGGAGTATTGGTGTCTCGAGCTCGTTGAGATATGCGGCTTGACTTTCGTGGCGAGTATGGCTGATAGTCGTCTTCGAAAGCTCCATGTCGAGGTGTTCTAGGAGTGTTGAGGGTAGAATGTGGAGGGGGAGTGCTTGGTGGTTGTAGTGCAGTCGCCATGGCGAAAGCCTTTGGGATTCACCTTTGGCTTTTCGTAAGGTGAGAGGATGAATACCGGTCTTTGCACGACCGTTCAGGGTGAAAGTGAGCGAAGTTCGATTCGAAGTTGTAGTTGAATTGTAAAGGTTCAGTGAACGACAGAATGTTCCTGTTTAGCGGTGTCGTCGACGGTTGCAGGGACAATTACCAGCAAGGGATGAAGGGGAATTGTGTTTATGAGCAAGAGCAAAACAAACGATACGTGTGCCAGTAGATGAGCAATCGTGCTGTTGTCGCAAGGCGAACAGGTTCAGTATTTTTCGTGGGGATATCAAAATTGGGGAGGTTGGAGGTTCAAAACACAGGGATTGGAACGACGAGGTTGGGTGGTCATGAAGAGTGGCTAGCTGCCAGCGCAAAAGCGGCCGCCAATATGATATTCTTGCCAGTTATGAGATCCTGACATTATTATGCGACCTGAATAGTTGACAGTGATTTATATCGTTGTATATATGCAAGAGGCTTTCTAAGTCAAACAAGGCTATTCTGGAGGGAGAAAACCATCTGGGAAGTCATCTAGTAATCAACCTAAGTCAACTATTCCCCAGAAGGAAGCGCTGCTTTTCTACGGACAATTCTCACGTGTTGACAGCCCTGCACCCTTGACAGCGCACACTGCTCCGTGCGGGAGTACCGTCATCTCAACGCGTCTATACGCGTAAATTCTGTAACTGTTTATTTTGATTTACAAGTAGGTTGCGCATTAGGTCTCCGGTAACCGCCTGGTTTTTGCCCAATCCACCGTTCTAAAATTAAATCATTTCATCATGTCCACTCCTGATATTGGCAGACTGGATCTCTCCGACTCGGATCCCGAAGACCTGTTCGCTTCCCCCTCCAAAGTCTCGAAGCCGCAGAAAGCCCACGCTAAGACGGAAAGTTCAGGCGCAAACGCAGGAGCACAGCGGAATGGGGAAAGTAAATATGATGCAGAGGCTACGAGGGAGGCGAATTTGAGGAAAGAGTTGGAGAGTGTGAGGAATATTAATGAGGTGATTGAGGGTGTATTGTCGAGTTTGGAATCTGCGAAAGGAAATATGGAAGTATGTTATAATGGCGGGGCAAAGTGACACCTTAAATGGGTAAGACTAACTGGTTTATACAGACAGTCTCTCGAACTGTTACCTCATCATCTACACTACTGAATACCTGGATACGGATATTGTCGCAGACGGAGCATAACCAGAGACTAATACTAAATCCCAATTGGAATGGCGCAAGTCAGGATATTGCAGATATGGAGAATGAGACAGTATTGAAGGCACAGGCCGCACAAAGACGAGCAGCCGAAGAAGAAAGGAGGAGAGAGGCTGCAAGACAACGGGCAGAAGATGAAGAGCGGCAGCGTCAAGTTGGTACGCCTGCCCCGCGTGGTAGTCGGGGAACAAGAGGTCGTGGTAGAGGGGTAGGAAGGGCGCCTAGCAGTGGTTATGGAAGTAGTGGTTATACTGCGGGAGGACCAAGTTCGATAGGAGGATCTCGCGGAACGACACAGCCTACGCGTCCTAGCAGTGGAATAGGGAGAGGAATAGGAAGCGTGAGGGGGAGAAGAGCTCCAAAATGAAACTAAAATCGACATGTTATCCTACACAACTCCAGCTATGCCCCAAGGGTGTATGAACCAGGTAATCCTTCCTTTTAACGCCTTTCGTCCAGAGGAACTCCACAAAATCCGAGCTCTACAGTGCTCACTTCTTCTTGAAGAAGTCGCTCATCTTTTTCATACCGCTAACATTAACCTTCTTCAGGTTCTTCACACCTCTGCTCTCCCCGGCCTTTTTTCTCTTCTCCTCCTCTTCCTTCTTACGTTTCTTCTCGGCTCGACTCTCGCCGTTCCCTTCTTCATCCTCGTCATCGAAACACCGCTTCCGCGAAGCATCGCCCAATGACCTTGTTGCAAGGGCTTCCTGGCGTAATTTTGCTAAATGGGCGAGGTGATTATCAAGAGGTGTAAAGTCTTTAGCCGAAGCTGAGGAATTGGCAAGCGACTTGATGGTTTCGCTTATTTTGGGAGAAAGATATTTTGAACAGATGAAAGAAAGTGCAGTTCGTAACCTTAAGAGATCTGCAACTCCTTCCGGCGCTTCAATTGATGGTTCGACGGGCTGTATGACAACCTTGGTAGTCGTAATAGAAGATTCCTCGGAGAATGATGTAGCGGCTGTCGAAGCTTCTGAGAACGAAGTGGCTAAGCTTTCTCCCGAGAGAGTTGTTGATTGCGTGTCTGGGGTTTCCGCTTGAGGCGTCGAAAGTGTCGATTTGGTCACCTCTTCTTCGACAATCACTAGCGGGGTTGGCACATCAAGGGCCTTCTTGACAAACTTCTCCTCCAAACTAGGTGTCAATCCATTCATGACCATTCTCTCGGCCTTTTTCATTAGCTCTATTAACAGCTTCTCCTCACTGATCCGGTACATGGTTTCATCTCCTGCATCGACTGTATCACAAATCGCTGCCATCCTTTTTTCCAAAAGGACCCTGACCGATTCGTTCTTCAAAAGCGGTCTAATATCTGGCGAATCCGATGCCAGTTTTTCCAGGTAATCTTCTCCCGAGAGAAACAACTTCTTTTCGGCGCCTTTCGTCTCTGATTTGGAAGTTAATGCCGGAAGCATCAGAAATAATGAGTCAATTGGAGTCGCCACTAATAAGTTGGCATTCCGCAAGACGTAACCATCATTTGAGATGTTGTTGACCAATTTTGACTCGGCTCCTTCCTCTCCCTTTGCTATATTATCGGGCGTATCCAATCCTTGGGAAAGCAACCAACTTCGAGGTGTGGATTTTGGCGCAGCAATTCGAGTGAATTCATAAAACCCAGTCTCAGGGCAGACAAGATAAGAACTGTTTGTAGACTGTCGTGCATTTTCAAGCTGTACAATCCGTGCTTCCTGGCCGAGGTTCTCTGGGAGAATAAATAGTTGTGGCGGATTGGAGACCTCGGCTTTCAACGGCGTTTTTTGTCCAGTTGCGATGGGCTTCGAGTCCGTCGTATCTTTCTCAGCACTGGCTGCTGGTCTCCCTCGAGTTTTTGCCATGCTGTGGGATTGTTGAATGGCAGTTCCAAAAACCTGAAAGTTATATTGATTTTGAACTGTCACTCACGGGTGACGCGACTCAACCGAACCAAGACGCGTTTCGCGTTTAGCCGAAGTTTCACCTGTTCGTCGTCCTGATCGTTCCAAATCTGGGTTGGACAAGTAAAATGTGATCCAACGTTGAGCTCAGTCGAAAAGTGCTGCAGGTGTAAGGACAGGAATATGGCCATGATATCAGATCTCTTCGAATCATTATAAATTTGTTGTCGAAATACTATATTACAAGGATTACTTTGTTTTGTGTCCAGAATAGCATCAATTCCATCCCTGTGTAATCCGCATGGATCCGTGTCAAATAACGTCTTTTTGGGCTTTGAACGACGTGTAATAAAGACCCATGGCTTTCGTAGAGTTACAATATGTCAAAAGGTAACTGTCTCAAGGAACTGTGTGATATTGCGCTGACTTTCTCGTTGGTGGTAACCCCGAATGGCCGCCGCGATCCCCTCACGATGTTCTCATGAGCACACCAGGAGGGCGCGACAGACTGCGTCGCCTCGCCGAGCGCACATCGCCATCTCCATCACCTATCAAGCGATCAGTCTCTACAGCATCGATGCGAAATAAAGCTAAAGCATTACTAGATTCGAGTATGGACGGCACGGAATCAGAAGACGATGAGGAAACCTTGCAGCTACAATTACAGGAGATTCAGATGCGCCTGAAGTTGAAGAAAGCGCAGAAGAAAAAGGCGCAAGGCTCTGAATCTGAGAATGAATCCAGGTCGCAACCAGCGTCGCTGAGTAGAGCCAATTCTGCTGCCGCCGGGCGAGCTCAATCCAGACTAGAAGGCATACGAGAAAGACAATTACAACGATCGAAGTCACAGACCCAAATAGATGTTCCGGTTTCTCCAGTAAGGCGAGTCAAACCTATCGAACCTCAACATTCGCCGCAGAGAGTACTTCTAGGAATTGATAAGGGCTTAACGGGTAGAGACATCTCACTCAAAAGGGCTCCCAGTCTTAGGAAATTGGACGATGGAAATGCCCAGGATCGTCGGCTGGGACCTTTCCTATCGAGACCCAATTCACAGGTTAGCGGACGGGCATCTTCGGCCGCTACGTCAACTCAGGATGAAGAACGACCCAAGACTTTTAGTGAGCGTATGGCTGCTATTCGTGCAAAGGATCTCGAGAGACAAGAGCGAGAGAAACGGATAAAGGCCAAACGAAATACCGCGTTCGATATAAGTCAGGAGCAGCTAGAAACGTTCAAGGAAACCGCAGTTGAGCTACCAGAAGCACCTCGAAGAATTCTCGATTTCACTCGGGAAGATGTGCTGGAGTCTTATGAAAAGCCAAGCTCGAATATGCCCCGGACTTCACAAACTCCAGGTCTACGATCTGCAATAAGAGATATCAGTAGTACGGCTACAGCTACAATATCCAGCAGGTCGGACTCCAGGACTTCCGCGGATTCTCAGCCGAGGAAGAAGTCCAATGCCAGCTCTAAAGTTCCGCCCAATGAGGTTAGCGAAGCAGAGGCATCTCAATTTGAACCATTTTCAGCAGCACATCTCTCGAAACGAATTATCCCTCACCAAGTCCTTACCCGAACACTTTCAGGAAAGAAGACATTTCAGATACCAGACCTATTGCGCACAGTGAAAGCTCCTGACTTTTCTGGTCCCGATGTGGAGGAAGACGTAGTCGTTCTAGCTATTATCGCGAAGAAAACAGATCCACGATCACACCGGCCGAATGGCGGCAAGAACGAGAAGCGTGGGAAATACATGATGATGGGACTAACAGACTTGAAATGGGAGTTGGACCTGGCGCTCTTCGACACTGCTTTCGAAAAGTTCTGGAAAATTCCGACAGGCACAATCATCGCCATTCTTAACCCTGGTTTTATGCCTCCACCGAAAGGGAAGGCTGATACTGGCAAATTCAGCTTGGTACTGAATTCAGATTGTGATACGATACTGGAGATCGGCACAGCGAGGGATTTAGGTTATTGCAAAAGTGTCAAAAAGGATGGCCACGTCTGCGACACATGGGTGGACAAGCGTCATACGGAATTTTGTGATTTCCACGTCAATCTACAGCTTCAGAAGACTCGGTCATCAAGGATGGAAATCAACACGATGAATTTCGGCAAAGGAGATTATAGCACTGCACGCAAGAACAATAGTAAAGATATGACGGGCTATCTGGAAGGTAAGAAAAAGGCTGCAATGGAAAAGAAGACGTTCTATGATCGTGAAAGCCATTCAAATGTCTTTATAGGCAAGCGGACGACGGCAAATCTACTAGATGATCCCGATTACGACCCTGATCACTTCCATCGAGGCTCAAGCAAGGAAGAGAGAATGACCCGGCAAATCCTAGCTCAGGAGAAGGAGAGGCAACTCGAGGAAAGGCTCAGTATGGAAGGCAACGGCATGGGTAGTGCCTACATGCGCGCCAAAAACACCTCACGACCAGGAGCCATCCGACCCCAACCTCAAAACGACGACGGCCCACCACCGCCACCAGACGCCGCCGCACTCGGTCTCCTCGGCGGCAAAGCAATGGATATCAGTCTCAGTCCCATCAAACGCAAGAGAGTCAACACCCTATCAAGCACCGCAGGCCGCGGATGGGGGTCCGGCCTCGCTAAAGACCTGAATCGGATGCGTGACGGCGAGAATCTACAGCCTGTGAAGAAGAAAACTAGGTTTGTGACTGAGAAAGGGATTCGGGAGGCGGGGAGGGAGAGTATTGGGGGTGAGGCGGCGAAGGCGGTGTTAGATGACTTGGATGATGACAGTGATCTGGATATTGTGCGGGAGTAGGGCGTTTGGGGGGTTATTTATACCAGTCAGGCTTTGGTGTTTATTGTGTGTTAGGATGGGTTGGTTTTATCAATTGGACATTTTTGAGTCCGCTATATGCTTTCTGTTAGTCACGCGATTCGATCAAACCAAATCCTCCCATCAATCCCCATCTCCGGCTCAGCTGCTATCCCAAACCTATCTACAACTCCATCAGCGCTGATCTTGAACTCCGCTGGTACAGCTTGTCTGAATATCAATCCTGGAGACTTCGTTGATTCGACGTAGGCTATGAAGTAATCCCCGCTGATGTGTTTGAGCGTGAAGTATACGACCCAAGTTGCTTCCCGTAACGCATACAACTGCTCTACGGACGAGGTGTTATTGAGTGTGAGTGTTATATTGTGATAAGCGGGATGGAAATACGTTCCTGTGTAGTTTGAAAGGGGACGGGAGAGCGGGAGTGGTGGGGAGGGGATGTTTGGGTAGTAGATGGATTGTGCGTTGTCGTATATTTGTTCGATGTATTTGAGTTGAGCTGTGTTACTGGGAGATGTTAGTTTATTATGTTACCATTGAAGGAGAGGTGGAGGAGGACGTACAACTCATCCCAATCAAAGCGCTCAGAAGCTGGGACATTCAGTTTATCGTCAATGAGACGCCATATCAACGACAATTCCGCGTAATTAGACGTCACGCCTGTATTGCCAAACGCGGTGATCCCGTAATTCAGATCTGGGAAGAAAACTAATTCCAATCAGCCACCCATCACTTCAACTGCCCATTCTAAAGATTTATGTATACTTACTAACTTGCGCACCAAAAGCCTCCATCCCGCCCGAATGTTCAAAATACTCGTAACCCCTATAATTCCCATTGATCCACCCCAAAGCGTAAGCTTTCGGACCTTTCAGCCAGGGTTCTTTCTCTAGAACGATGGTTCGGGGTGTGAGGAGTTCGCGAATTGAGGATGGGGAGAGAGGGCCCGTGAGTGTGAGGAGGGAGCGAACCCATTTGGAGTAGTCGAGGACGTTGGAGATTATGGAACCGGCGCCGGAGACGGAGGTCAGATCCATCTGGGGTGGAGTGAGTTGGGTGTGGGAAGGGATAGAAGATGGATGTGTGACAGGAGAGGGAGAGGGTGAGGGGAGGACTTACATATGGAACTTCAACATATGTAGAGTTCGTGTAAACATAACCTTTTGCTAGAGGCTCAGGTGCAGCGAGAGCGTCTTCGTTCGAGAAGTACTAGGTGTTGTCAGTTACCGATAGATAGAATCCTTTTATGTTTTTGAGATGCTCGATCGTTCGAAAGTAAAATGCTGCAATAGAGATGCATCATTTAGGATTTCCATTTGCTCTGAATATGGGAGTATATTTCGTCGATGACAATTGGGATTAGTCAGTAGAAGAGAAGATCGACAGCCGTTCAAAAGATTGTGTCTTCTCTTCTCCACGCCATTCGAAGCTTAAGGGATAGTGAGTGTCCAATATTCCCCTTTTCAGACCACTTGATCTCAACTCGAACTGACTCCCGGCTTCTTAAACTCACTCAAACCCAAAGAAAAAGGGCCAAACTCACCGTTGCATTCATCCCCAGCTTCCCCCAAATCTCCCTCTTCAAGAAATCACCCAGCCATACTCCACTCAACGTCTCAACAACATAACTAGCAACCACATACATCATATTGCAATACTGAAATCTCTCTCTCAGTCCCGCCGTAAGCGGTAAATACCTCAGATTCCTAACAAGATCTCTCGGCGTATACGACTTAGAAGTTTTCGGGTCACTACCGCCATATGAGATATCATCTACACTCCTATCAGCACAAATTCATGTCCAAGCCCATAACTCTCAAGAAAAGCAATTGGTAGATAGATAATCGCTTGCAACCGGAAACAACAGAAACTCACGTCTCGGCATCCCCGTGCGATGCGAAAGCACATCCTCAACCGTAACCAACCCCGTCCTCACCACATCCTCCAGCACAAAATCATCTCGAATCAACTCCCCAACGGGCGTTTTCCAGGATAAGCCCGTGTGGTTACCACTAGCTATCAACCGCGCCAATGCAGCGGCTGTGAATGCCTTGGTAGTGCTGCCGCCGAAGAAGAGTGTTTCGGGTGTGACTGGAGTGGATGGGAATTGGGAGATTCCGTAGCCCTGAGGATGTCAGTTTCGGTGAGGTGATGATTGGGAGGAGTATGTGGAATGAGGGTGAGGGGTAGTACTTGTGCCCAGGTATCATTGCCGTCGACGATTGATATTGCGATGCCAGGGACGTGCCAGCGATTTATTTGATCGTTTGCTAGAGCTTTGAAGGCTCCATCTTCTAGTGGGTTAGTTCGCTTTTGTAAAGGCTTCTGCTCTGTCGTGGAGAAAAGCGAGATGAGAGAGAGCGGGGTGGAGATGTTGAGAAGCTTCATTCTGGGTGTCTGGGATTCTATCAATGAGCTGTTTGGTTTATGTTGGAAAGAGTAGAAGTTCTCATACGACTTTCACAATTTTATATACTGTACAATGAATTTGTGTGAGATCTTAGCAGAATGTTATGACACTGGGGCGTATTGTTGCCTTGAGGTTGTGGAGATCGAATGCGTATTGCAACTTGCCAGGGTTCAAGATACTTTGTACAACAAGGCCAAACTATACCCCGAGTCCGAGTAATCACCCAATATTCTATTAGAAGTTCCAAGAATGGCCATATTGTACCATAATTATACATATGTTAGATCTTGTTCTGACCACCTCTGATGACAGAACGATACAAGGCTATTATCTAAGCAACTTGCTTCCCAGTCAATAGGTCAATTATGGTACCTCCTTCTACAAATGTGCGGCACGGAAGGCCGTCACTTCACACTTCAGCATAACGCAACGAATATATGTGCGGAGCTTGCCTTCCTAGCCACCGGCGTCAGACCTCCCTTTGTATGCACCTTGTCTGACGCTATTCTCCCTCGCCTTGCCCACTGAATTCCAATTCCGACAAGACATAGACAGTTTCCAAACTTTGGCTGTAAAGAAGCATCGAAGCTAAACAAGTGGGTGTATATTCCTCTTACTTTGCCGTACCTCTTGAAGAAATTCTCATAATTCTTCTTCCTCTTCCATCTTCACGCTCGGGATAGCGGGTTCGGGAAGCTGCGAGTGGGCGGCTTCAGCGGCTGCTACTATATCACCACTCGCAAACCCACTCCCTAGTCGCTTCTGCATTATATCACTGTCTAAACCATTGATGCTGGCTCTGTGCTTTTTCAGAGGACTGCCAATCCCACTCTCCTGTAAGGTGCTTGATCCGAAAATAGTGCTTGAAAGAGTCGGGCCGACATTGGAATCTGTATCTGCTGGAGGCGTTGTTCCCATAGAGCTATTGCCTGCGGGTGATTTGCGAGAATTGAGAGGTTCGGTCGAATGCTGGCGCTTCAGCTATTCTATGTGTAAGCCAATTTTCTTTTGCAAGTGTTCAAAGCTAATCTTACCTTAATTCTATTCACTCCATCTGCGATCTCGCTTTGAGACTTTGCGTCATCTGGACTTAGCAATGTCTTGACATCTTTGTCTTCGACATCCTCCATCTTGCCGATTACTTCAGACACGTCGTCCTCTTCCTCGCTATCTTCATCCATTGCTTCATCAACACCGACGTTGCCGTTACTCTTCTTTCTCGACTTTTTCCCCCGTGCAGGGCCCTCATTATCTCTGAAAGTAGTAAACCCAACCGTTCCTGTAGGCTTTAGAGGAGTTAGATTCCCAAAGTCGAGTTGAGTGGACCTCCTTTTGCCCGCGACGCCGGCCGTAGCTTTCTGGCCCTTTGAAGCAAGGATGCCCATTTTCTGCAATTGTCCTGCAGTCTGTTAGCAATGTTCAAGTTAGGTGACTGACAAACTTACGCTCGCCCCTGTAGAAAAAGGTAAAGACAGCGAATGGCTTGTCAGGCCCATCAATACCAGTGACTGTTTGCGTGCTAATGGACTTTGGGTCGAGCGTTTTCGGTTTTGCGAAACTGGTGGTGTGATCAATGTCTCCTCCGTCTCCTCCATTCTTATCTTTCCCTTCATCATCGTCGTGGGCATCAAACTGTGGAGAATATTCTCCTCTCTTAATTTCCCCAGAAGCTAAAACTCTAAACATGGCAACCTTAATTTGGCCTGCGGCTTCTGGAAGAGCGTCATCATCATCAGAATCTGAGCTGAACCCTTCATCGTCAGACAACTTCTCTACAGGAGAGCTCGCATCAGCTCCATATCTAAGGACGTCTCGTGGGCCAGAAACTTTGCGTGGAGACATAGCATCAGCTAATTCATCGTCACTGCCCTTTCCTTCCTTCTTTCGACGACGACGCTTCTCAAATTTCTGTCTGCGCTTCTCGATCCTGGCCGCAGCATCTTGCCCATCGAGGTCCAGTCCATTCAGCCAACGTTCCAGTCCCACTTCACGAAACAGAAATTCCCGTTCAGCTAATCCTCCCCCTTCTGATTCCGGCACCTGGACCCAACGCGAGTTGACCCATGTCTCCTCACCAGGTCTTAGCAGTGTGGCAACCTCTTCTTTTGCACGGCCATCAAAATAAATATAGGCAGCAATGGTCTCATTTTCAGACTTGGTGATCGGGATGTAAGGACCGATAGTGCCAGCATACAGCCCTCGTTGCGAAGTTATGCCAGGCAGTCCCCCGACGGTCTGTGGTTGCGGGTTTGGATTCTCTTCGGTAGCTTTTGGCGTCGAGTATGGCACTGGTAGCCCCGGCGTGAGGAGAGTGATAGAGATTGCGAATTTGGAGGGTTCTGGCTTATTCGAGCTAGAATCGGCTGGTATTTTTGGCTTTGGTACTGGGATATAAGTGTTGACGCGCGAAACTCTCGACTGCTTCTGAACCTGATGTTCTGGAAGGGGAGCACCCTCAGCGTGGACGCTGACCGCGATACCTTTGAAGCACGGCATTCTGCTTCAGGTTGAGGGCTACGTTGCCAGATTTGTGCCGCAGATGTTCAAGTCGTGTGCGCTTTCGAGAGAACACGTAGGGTATAGTGGTAAGTTTGTGATGAGGCTTTGTACTGGGGTTTGTGAACGCGGGAGGAGGCTGAACTATGGAAGCGTCGAGAGAATTAAGTAGCGGAGGTCCAAGCTGCGTGAGAATTGGCGGTTATTGGGCAGGATTCGAAATCGGAAGCGCTACGAGCGTATCTTATTCTATCAGCACCATTTTCTGAGCTGTGTGTGAGTAGCAAGGTGTGGTGTTGAATGCGATGGTTTAGTTGTATGGGTGGACTTTACACAGGTTCGGCGTCTGGCCCGAAGAAGACGCGGCTAGGTAGCGGTGAATTGCAAGGATGGGGCTTCACTTATTTTGGGAATCACCTGGGCAATGTGGAGTAAATATGTCAGAATGTGACCGGGTGAGCTTCAATTTTTGCATTTATGCGAAGAATGGCATCCTAAGTCTAAACTAGGTTGCTTTCCTCCCGGCCTAACTATGTCTAAAATTTCAAGCTCCAATGGCAGATGAAAGACCCCAATAAGCTCTGGCCGCGACCAGCAACGACGTGCACTTGCAGTCTTGCTCACACCAACCGACCAACACGAGGAAATCATGTCCCGCAGCTTCGTGATTGTTCACTCGCAGCCCTCTATCCAATGTACTAATGGCTCTCGGTCTGAATGAACGTTTCCAACACCGCGAACCTGTTCTTTTTCCAAGTTAGCCTTCGTCCACCAGTGAAATCGGCAATGGCATGAAAACCGCGATGAAGCTTGGTAAAGTTCAGACTGTTGAGCTTGATATTTGTTTTGATCAACATAAATTATTTCTGTTGGCCGTTCTTAAGGGCAGAAGTGTAGTCATCAGAGAAGCTGGAGAGAGGAATGGAAGTGGTATCAAACGTACAGTCAATTGCACATCGTCGATGGCGAGATCAGCGGTTCCTTTGCCATGAGCAGAATTCAAGGCAAAGGAGCATGTTGGGGAAGCAAGAAAATAGGTGCTGGTGAAATGCGCATTTTGTGTTGTGTTGAGCAAGTCGAAAAATTGAAGCCGAACAAAATTTCGAAAACCTGTGTAGTTTCGCTAGTTCAGGCTAACCTCTTTGGGAATAACTTCAGTGGGACACGGTCGCGATCGCATCCTACAAAAATTACCCCACCAAGACGAAGACAAACACCGACAATCTTCACTGCACCATCGGAAATATAACCATAAGCTTTATATACGCCGCACTTCAAGATGGCAAGTAAGTACTATTTGCGCTCAAGTCCTTTTGAGAAAAACAACGGCACTAATCTATCTCTCTAGCCCACGACTACGCGGAGCTTGCCCGTGAGTAACAACCATTCCAGCCCTACCCGACTACGTCTTCGATGGCACAGAGTTCTAGGCTCTCATATATATGCTGCATCGCAGACTGATATGTCTCGCAGGGCAATTCACACAAGCATACTACGAATTTCTGAATGGCGATGTCTACAAGTTGGCGGGCGTATATGTATATCACCTAATGCTGCCTGGTTGGACGAAGTTGCTAAATCATCTGCCAGCGAGACAACTCTATGTTGACATTCGAGTCCGATTCCTTCCTTGGCGCTTCATCCATCGTTGAACATTACAATGTTAGTACCTGAAGGATCTGATTGATTCTGTGTGTTAGCAGCCTTGTTGATGTTATACAGAAACAAAAGGTCGAAGGAAAAGTGGTGGTCCCAGCAACTCAAGACGCGCAGCCGTCGAACGACCAAGGTGGAGTTATTGTACTCGTGACTGGATTGATTGAGGTCAGTTTACCGCCAATGTTTTCGATAATCACTGCTAATATAACTCATAGATTCACGTAGGTTCCTCATAGCGTGCTGTGCGACAGCTACTAACACTATTACACACAGACACCAGATGAAGTCCAGTCCTTCAAGTTCAGCCAAGTCTTCCAACTCCTGCAAGATGCCCAAGGGTTCTTTGTTTTCAACGATGTGTTTAAGTTGGTTTACGGATAAAGTGCATGCGCGACAGATGTTTGGTACATAAGGAGAGGCGCAAAGAGGGACGTCGTGTGGGACTCCGTGATAGATTTGCAGGGAGGATACTAAGGTGTCGGCAGCATTACATGTCACGACTACAACGATCAAGGGACCCACCATTGTTTAGGTGTAGAGCGAATCTATCTTCTTCATAAATCGGACAAGTGTTCTAAGTAAATGGATTTCCATGGGATGCAGACGGGGTAGCATCGAGGCAAGCAGCCAGTATAGATGATCATGAGAAAAACTGGCCCTCTATATTTCCGCTTCATGACTACAGCCCAGTATTCCAGTCGCAACAAATCGATCTAGTCATATGGTCTGTATGCTTGTATTCCGAGTGAATTACTTTGTCCTGTTCACTCCTGCTTCTCTCGCAAACCTCCAAGATTCTCTATGTGAAAACTTACCTGCGCATTCCCACATATACAGTTCGTCTAAACTCAAAGCTTTATCACCCTAGCGTATTCTTTTGCATCACTCTTTTCAAAACCTAAATCCATCTTCACAACCCTTCTGTTCCTTCTGTTCTCGAGGACATTCCCTCGGAGAGAAAAAGATAAGTAGCAGAACCTCTTTCAGGTATGTAAATTCACATACACGTATGTATAATCATTGTGTCGTTTTTACAGAGTTTGAAAAGGGACTATGTAGTAGACGTAGTCTGCGACAAGAAATATCGAGTTCCCACTGCCACTTATTTTGCCCGCCGCGAGGTATTTGAGCTTACCGTAAAACCTGCTCCTGAGCCTATTACACTACAGCGCATCGCAAGTTTGCTTCTACACAGCCCAATGCTCATATAAATGACCCTGGCATAGTCAAGCGAACAGCGTACTAGATGATCACATTTTGCGAATCAGATGTGTCTTTAAAGCATACTATTCATACTAGAAGATATGTGTTTGATATTTGATACATGTTTCAATCTTCGCCTCGGAAGTTCTCTTATTCTCAATATCATATCAGCATCCAACAATTTTGTTCCCGCTTTTAAATGAACGCTCATTCAATCACCATCACCGATCATCCACTCTCACCAACCAACCCATCAACCCTCCTCTCCCACTCCTTAAATGCCTTTCCCCAAACCTTCCCCCCTTTATACACCCAACTTTCACCCTGCCATCCTCTAACCTGCTCTCTCAACGCGCACGCCTCATCCCCATTCAACTCCGTAAGTGGCTGCATAAACGTCCTTACCGTAAACAGTACCGCGTGACTCTTTGGCAGTCTTCGAAAAGTCTGTCGTTCCCGACGGACGTAGAGACAGTCAGGTGTGGTGGAAGTACTGGGTTCCTCAGGAGCGTCCATGAAGAGATGTGGTGAGGATTGGATGAAAAGGTTGTAGCGTTCCATGGATGTTCGTGGATTCAGGTGATCGAAGTAGCTGGTGAAAGTTAGTTTGACGAAGGGTTTAGGGGAGATGGAGGACATACCGATTAACGCTTCCGCCTAAATTCTTCTTCCAAGCCGGGACTGGAGCGTGTAACTGAGCCATGCTGAAGCCGATCCTTTTGTTGAGTTTCCAGCCTGCGGGGAAGAGTGTTGCTGAGGCCATGAGGTGGTGGTCGCCTGTTTCTGGGTCTTTGACCAGGATGTTGAAGTCTTCCATTGCTAACCTTGCAGCAGTTTCTAGTGGAGTTCTACACTTATTCCCCACTTCGAAACTTTCTCCTGTGAGGTGATTGTGGATCGCAGGACCAGAAGGCGTATCTCTCGTGGTAAAGTGTTGGGGGTAGCGAGTGCTGAGGAACTCAACTGCGAGATCCAAAACTTCGTAGCATGCTTGTTCTGATCCTTCAAGACATCGAACAACTTGTGAATGATGCGTGGTAAATAGCGTCTTTCGGAGGCTGTGCTCATACAGATATTTCTCATCAATAATGAGCCAGTTAGCAGATTCAAGCCTCCTCAATCCCATTGAAGTTGGTGAAGGGCCTTTTGGTTGAAGGCTTGGCAAAGTGTACCGAGGGGTGTCCTTCAACGATATTTCACTTGTCTGGGTCAGAGCAGGAGACTCGAGACCTTTGAAAAGAGGAGAAAATGCTTTCCAATTCCGGTGGCATTGTGAATAGACATTGGTGTGGGTATAGGTTGCTCTGAGGATTACAATACCACAAACTAGCAGAAAAAGAAAAACTGTAATTGCTTCCATTGCGGAAAATGGCTGGGAAGACGGAGTCTGAGTAATAGAAGTTGGAGGAGCAGTATGAAACAAAATGAGGGACATGATGAATATATAAGAGTAGATATAGGATAAATCAAAGGGCAAACTCTTTGGGAAACTGCCTTCTGGTAGCTGCGAGGATGTCCTTTCCACAATTACGCAAGCTCTTTCCGAATCCGCACACCTAATTTCATAGTGTACATACCAGCTGTCATGGTGATGAAACCGTAACCAAAAGGAAAATAAGAGTTTATATTGCGTGCTGTGACATTCATGTCTACTCTCAGTATAAATTTCCACTCGAGTTAATTATCGAAAGCGTCCCATCCGTACTCCATAGTGGCGTGCCAAATGGAAAATATCTTTGGGATACTTCCCAGTGGTCAGTCTGCAGTGAGAGCATGTAAAGAAGGTACGAAGAGACGGCAAATACCGCCAGTCTGGACTGACGATGAGAGCCCAGATGGTGGAGGTGGGGTGGAGATGTCTTGTTTCGAGCTTTAATAGCGCCGCAGACCTGGAACAAGCCAATGGCAACAGACATTAGCAACAGCTGTCCCAGTGAAGGGCTCAGAGAACCGGGATTTGACAGTTTGCTAAAGGTACAAATGCTGCAGCCAGCCACTTATTAGCAAGTTACTAGACGTTGGTGTACAACAACTCCACGAGTTACCAAGAATGCATCATACACTGGCCATTCTATGACTTGTCGCCTTCCAATTCGAATGATATCAAAAGATAGCTGTCATCGAGGCGTAGTGCAACATTACCACTTGGCGAATTTCGTTTCGACTGACGGAAGAATACGTCTGGGTATTTCGACATTGGCGGAGCGCATTTACCGCGACATGCGAGACAGAATTTCCAAGGCTTGATCGCAACAATGATAAACTTTGCGGCTTTGCGGTTGATGCGAAGCCATGGAAGCTTGCTGGCGCGATCTGGCGGGAAGGCACATACGGAACCCGCGACGGGGGCACCATTGGTCAGGCGGAGTGGAATGATTCTGCAAAGAACGATTCAAGGGCCGCCATCTTTGTGTTGAGACTGCATAACTGCATCAATCGAACTAGTCATTCGACGAGAAGCAAACACTCCTCGAGATCGATAGCAAACTGGTGTGGATGAAATCTCATGCCCATCAAGACGGGAAAGTAGCGTAAAAGAGGGAGCCGTCGAACGAAATCGTCGACTGGATCTTGATCCTGTTAAAAAGCCATAGACCATGGTTGTAGCTTCTTTAGAAACAATACACTTATAGCATTTGACTCCATTGCTGGTGCTATTATGTCAAGCATTGCCATGGTTGATGGATTAAATGTTTGAAAAGAGTGAAAGACGATGAAGGTGCAAGTCGAGGAAAGCGATCGCGATATTGAAACCGGGTCCAGGCCGGGCCCGGGGCTTTCAGCTAGGACTTCTTAGTGCGTCCTAAATGACGCTAATCCCTGCTCCTCCAATATTGGATCTGCTTCTTCTCATCTAAGAATTCATCTTTCATCATCCAACAATTCATCATTGATATATCACATCAGCCTCTCTTCAGCGTCGAAGCTGTATGCGCCATGAAGTCAAAGCATTTGACCGAACTAGGAAAGTAGGACCTTGAATATGCCCGCCATATCAAGGATATTGCAAAGCCACCAAGGAGAAGGATTGCTAGTAATGTCTAAGGAGAAACTCCTTGTCAATTAGTCTGTAAGTATAGATGTTTCACTTATATAGCTTCGGTACCAACATTACTGTCTTTACATCATTAAATAACAAGGTTTCACCGAAGGTAGCGACTAAAGTGCTTGTTCATACACTTCGTTTCGTCAATTAAATGATCATCAAACACCCTCGGGAGGTTACTAAATACACATATCCCCATCGCAAACAAACATGCGCCAGGTATACTGCGGAAATTCTGCTCGATTTGACATAAAGGAGGGCTGGTCACGTGATTGACGCTCCTCGAAAACGTTCTTTTAATCCCGAGAGAACGTCTAGATCTTCTGAAATTACAAACAGAGGCTTCTGTGATATCTGAGACTCGAGTTCCGTTTATTGAAACGCTTTATTGAGACCGTAAGTTTTAGCCAGGTGAGGTGTTCTGTCTTTCACTCCGATTATCACTACCGAGAGTCGGTATTCCGACTAAGTCTTTCATTTCGTTCGAGGTGAAGCTACTGCATACTATACATTTCCACACATCCGATTGCACAGTCTCATGGTTCAGTTTGTGTTTGGGATTGACTAGTCTCAACTTTCTGACAGAGGAATGCTAATAAGATTGACTACCCCGCGTCTTCAACCCCGCCTTGTGCCCAATCAAGTGCGACGGTCTTTGCGAATCACCTTATATCCGAACAGAGCAACACTTCAATTCGAAGAATTCTCAAACTTCATCTCTTGAGTCGAAACTGTACCAATCTCACACTTATTTTATTCAAATTCTGACTTCAAGAAACGGCCGAGGTTCTAAACATGACGTCTAAGCTTCCGTTCGAGGTGAGTTACATGAGCAAACGTCCAACACCACCACTTAGCAGAGCCGAGGACAACAAAACTTACTCTCACAGCTCAAAAATTCCGGGCTCTTCAAAGAAAAGTCTTACGTCAATGGAAACTGGGTAGAATCTAAATCTGGAAAACGATTCGACGTTATTGGTATGGAATTACACCACAATATTATTCCACCTACAAATATTGACAATTCTCAGATCCAGGAAGTGGCAAAGTATGGGCATCAGCTCCAGACAACAATGCCGACGACGTCGATGTCGCCGTAAAAGCCGCTTACGTAGCTTTCGAGAGCTACAAAAAGACGACGCCCAAATCCAGAGCGCAATTGCTCCTCAGATGGGATGCTCTTATTCGAGAAAACAGGGACGACATTGCTAATATCGTCACGTATGAGACTGGAAAGCCACTTGCGGAGTCTCAGGGCGAGTTGGATTATGCATTGGGTTTTACTTGGTGGTTCGCGGGTGAGGCGGAGAGAGTCACGGGAACTATTCAGACACCTTCGGTTCCAGGACGGAGAATCTTGACTGTCAAGCAGCCTGTTGGTGTTGTTGCTGCTCTTGTGCCGTGGAATTTCCCAATTGCGTGAGTTTCATGAGCTTTGTCTTCAAGAGACGTACTGAACTCTTCAGTATGGTGTTGAGAAAAGCTGGTGCAGCATTGGCAGCTGGTTGCACTCTTGTAGTGAAACCCTCACCCGAAACACCACTTTCCGTATTAGCCCTCGCAAATCTGGCAGAACAAGCTGGATTCCCGAAAGGTGCCTTCAATGTCCTGACAACGAGTCTGGAAAATACGCCACCATTGAGTGAAGCTCTATGTCGCCATCCGTCTGTAAAGAAAGTCACATTTACTGGATCGGTAAGATGTCCTTCCGAAATATACATATTGGATACTCATCTGTGTCTATAGACTCGAGTTGGCAAATTGGTAGCAAAGCACTGCGCTGACGGTCTCAAAAAACTTACTTTGGAACTAGGCGGCAACTGCCCCTTCATAATCTTCGACGACGCAGACCTAAACCAAGCCGCCGACGGTACCGCCCCCAATCTCATTTCTCACACCCACTAACCCCTCTTAGCACTCATGGGCCTCAAATGGCGACACGCAGGCCAAGCCTGTATAACTGCCAACCGCGTCTACGTCCAAAGCGGCGTCTACAAAGCCTTTTCCGACCTCATCGCCCAAAAAACATCCAAATTAGTAGTCGGTCACGGCTCCGAGAAATCCTCAACAATGGGCCCGGTAACCACGCCCCAAGGTCTCACGAAAGCCGCCAACCAAGTCGAAGACGCCAGAAAACAAGGCGGTCAGATCATCCTCGGCGGAAACAAGATCGATGGAAAAGGCGGATATTTTTTCGAGCCCACGATCATCACGGGTGCGAAGAAGGAGATGTTGATTACGTCGGAAGAAACATTCGGTCCCGTCTTAGCGCTTTACGAGTTTCAGGATGAGGAAGAAGCTGTGAAAGCAGCGAATGATACGAGTATGGGTCTTGCATCCTATTTCTTCACGAAGAATGTGGATCGTACGTGGCGGCTGTTGGAGAATTTGGAGGCGGGCATGATTGGGATGAACACTGGTATGTCCACCTCTTGCTTATGTTTTGGTATTATTGATGATAACAGCACGTTTAGGAGCCATGTCAGCGGCGGAATCTCCGTTTGGAGGGATCAAAGAGTCGGGATATGGGAAGGAGTCCGGGAAGGATGTTGCTATTAATGAGTATCTGGTAACTAAGACGGGGACTATGACGCTTGATGGACATTTTTAGGAGAGGGGCTCTGTGTTTGGAGGTTAGTGTTGGTGCTTGAGAAGGGGGGAATTAGTGTGTAAACTATGAGGATGATGAATAGTTGCTTGTGTTATTTTCTTCGAGAATCCAAAAACATGGTCGAAACGTTTGTGGCTAGACAGGTGAGAATTTCTCCAGCAGTCCATAGTCCAAATATTGAGGCATTTTGCATTAAAACATGCGAAACATATCTCCTAAAAATGTCAGTCAGTCATACTGATATCTCGCATTACCCTCACTTACCACCTTCAAAGCATACATATTTGAAGTCCAGTTCGAGACTCGGGCAGAGGTCATGTGGTAAATCTGAGTCTTGCGTTATTCAACCGAATACTTGGAAAAATGTGATCAAGAAAGATCAGAGGAATGAAATTAGAAGAAACTGTTTAATTTCAGACCAATTGAGATACATAACTCATGAGTGTCTGTCCATCAAGCGTACGGAAAGTGTTCGTTCAAATACATCAAAATACTATACATTCAACAACGAAGATTCATATAATAATTCAGACTACACACACGTTAGCATAAGCCCATATTTTTAAAGGTTCACATACCCTAAACCCATCCCATCCCATCACCCCACTCAAATCCACAACCTCACGCCCCTAACAAAAGACATTCCAAACATTCAACACAGCACTAACACAAACCAACCCCGTCCTCCCAAGCCTGTTTTCACTCATTAGCAAACAACCCTCCACCCTTTCCTTTCTTTCACTCACTGCAAAACCCCCCACCAATCAACAAGTTCATGCACACTTTCCAAGCTCCCCACCCTCCCCATCTCCCCCTCCTCAACCCCCTCCGCCATCCCCATCAACCTCCCATTAACCCCCCTCATAAACACAACCGTATACGGTATAATCCCCACACTAGTCAGTCCCGCGAAGAGATACGACGGGAGCGTGTACGCGGAGCGGGAATAGAGATAGAAGTTGGCGCCGGCGGAGATGACGGACAGGAGCGGGAGCGCGGCGCGGCCAGCTATGAAGTTGTGTTTCCATTGTTTGACGAGGACGGGGGCGGGGGCGAGGAGGAAGGTTGGGACGTTTACTTTGGGGTGTAAGTTTGTGGGGAGGGGGTGAGGTGAGGGGGATAGGATGTGAGGGAGGATGAGATGAAGGGATAAGATGAGTCTTCAAACAGGCAGAAATACACGCTTTTCCAACACCACCCCGCCTCTAACAAATATGAAATCCACAAAACTAAAAGATTCAACGTACTAAAACTCATAACCAAACTCGCACCAGCCAATATCGCCGAACCCGTCAAGCCAATGGCCTGCGCGGTACGAATCGCAGGTGGATGGATATGAAGGGTGTTCATTTTCACTTGTTCTATTCCTTAGATGTTGACTTCGTTACAAAAGATATGGTTCACTTAATGTTGAGAAGGAAGTTGTGTAGTAGATGAGAGGTTGAGATGAGATGAGGAGTGAAGTGAGGTGATCTTAAAAGTGGGCCGCGCGGTCCAACCAACTATAAGTTGTGGCCAATTAGGGTGCAGGAATATATTAGATGAGCTACGGATGCAACTAGACGAGTAGTGAAAGGAGGGGCATATAGTTCATTAATGAATATCTGAACTCAAAGATAAGAAGAGGTCCGATATCAATTAAAAGTAGTGCGTTTGAATAGAAGTTCAGAAGTATCCGTACTCTATTGAATCTGCTTATATACGAAGTGCTAAGAAACAACTATGCTAGCAATAATGTGCGCGCTATACTACAAACAATAGCAACGAAGTGCCGATATGTTCCCTGGGGTATCTCTACATTTATCTCATAACTCCTTTTTGACACCATGACTCCGTGACTTCATATAACGTCTATTTCATCAACGCTGGTTCAGGTCATTTCGACTTCGACCAAAGCGACTCAATCCAGTTCGACGTCCCATACCCATACTCGTACCCCTTTCCGACTTACCATCACCCTTCGCACCTTTTGTCAGTTTCGTGTACCAGGCGTCCGTCATATGCCCTCCAGCTGGCAAGAATCGAGAATTATCTTCCTTCCTGGCATATGCTTGTTGAAATTCCCAAAGACTTTTCTTCGCAGTACTAGTCATACAATAGCCCTGAAGTGTCGTAAAAGCTCGACGGTATCTACCCTCCGCATCATCCTGACGCATCACATCGTCGTCCGCGGGATCATTTGCCGTTGACTTGGTCGTCTCCTTACTTTTCTTGTCCTTCGACAGTCGTGGAGGATCGAAACTTTCAGGTGTGGGTGCCGTCCGTTTCTTGAGCTGTTCGGGGTCTTTAATCGTCGCTTCTAGCATGTCGTTGCTGTATTTGTTGTACAAACCGGAGAGTCTGCCAACCCAATAGCTATTTGGCATTGCCTCGTGAACTTCTTTGATCCTTTCTTCCTCGCTAACATCCGTTGCCATGAGTGTGATTGCAGACAAAGACGAATGTCGTGAGTGGCTCATTGTTGAAGCAGCAGTAATATCAGAAATAGCTGTGGTGGGGGGCGCCGTGGTTCGTAGATTGATTGTGGACTTGCTTTTATTCATGTCGGATCTGCTGCCACCAAAGGAAGAATGTGATGATTGTCGAGTGGGTAGGGAGTTTCGATTGCTGCCGTAGCTTAGGTGAAGATTATTGCGTGAGAAGGAGGTGATGCTGGAAAGCACTCCCATAGTCCTGGACTTGGAGATACCTGTAGTAGGCTGACTGTACGATGGAGATATAGGACCCATCAACCGTGTTTGTTTTTGTGGCACATTCTGGTAGATGGTCAATGGGTGTGTCGGCATTCAAAGACCACCAAAGGAATTTCTTACCTCCTTTCTATCCCCAGTCATTACCGCTGGGGCAGTAACATATCTCAACGTACGAGTGCGACCTTTTGCATCTGTCGGGGACGGTATGCGCGTTGGGCTGACCATGTTTCGATGTAAAGGTGGTGATGAACGGAGAAGAGGCGGAGACTTCAATTGCTGGAGTGAGATGGAATTGACAAGCCTACCGGACTTCCGAGGCGGGTAGGCCATGATTGTAGCTTCCTGTTGGGTTGTAATTTGAGCTGTTGTCCCAGACAAGAATGACAAGTGCGATTGAGTACTTACAACATCGTCCTCCGCGATTACATTGAGATTGAGACTCAGATTTCCACTGAATGACCGCTGCATACGGACTGCAGTAGCACGATGATAAACGAACTCTCTCTGAGTTTCTGTTGCCAAGTTTTCATATATTACACCGATGTTTTGGGAATATATCGAACTTTGGTTGTTGTTGGAGTTGAAGTTCGATTGTTTTGATAGTTGTTGTTTGTTGACATCTCGCCGCCAGTACCGCCATTTTCCTGTATCAGCTTTAGGGGCTGGCAGTAGCTGGTCCATGTTTGAACTTCGTCTTGAAGAGCGTTTGTATGGATGGAAAACATTTTGATGTTTTGACTTTCGTTTTGTAAAGAATGGAGTTTTCGGCATCTTGGACAGCCGGCATAGGCGATTAAAATCAATCGATACTATGAGGTTATCTGACGCAAAGCTGAATCGACGTATGACCAAAAGTGGATAAAATGTGGTGAATATTGAGGTCGCAGCGAAAATGACAGTGGTTCCCAAATTGCATCAATTCTCCAGAGCCCCTAGGGGTTGGAAATATAATTCTGTCTCCCTAAGTACAGCTGCCTACCTACCTTCTGAACATGCATGAAGTCGACACCACGAAAGTAGCGTGCTTGGGTTATCTGCCTGCGCAATATATATTCACCAGCATGAAGTGCAACTTGTAGTGACTGGCCCAATTGAAACCCAATATGTCAGAGCAAATTTTACCTGGGCCGAGAGGTGAGCCAAAATCTCCAATAAATAACCAGCAGTCACTTAGGCAATCTTAACGACGTAACCCAGCTTTCAATCAAGTCAAACGTAGAGAGGATTATGAGAAAGATGATTGCAAGACTAACTACCTTACTTATAAAATATTTACTTATGAAGTGGATTGTTACTCATGATACGCCAACCAAACGCCAGTCCATGTAGTTTCAGCGTAATATCGCACTCTATATGGGTTGTTAGACGCCCCCATCTAGCACTCAGTGCAAACTCGTTGTACTTACTCAGCTATTCCAGCCATCGATCTTAAATTCAAATTTCATATCCCCATATCCTCGCTGAATTGGGTGGCCCTTGGGATCCCATAACGATCGTTCCCTAAAAGAAGCATTTCCTTCCCAGTCCACAAGAATTATTGTTTGTCTTTGGGTTCCATATAGACCAGTCATGGGTGCTTGTGGTGGAGGGGTCGGTCGTTCAGTGGCCTGCAACACTGCTGCTAACCTACCCTGCGCGTTGTTGATGGCTGTGTGATGTTCTGCGTGCCCATTCCCATTGATGACTTCCGGTTGTGCTGAAGCAATTTCATCCGCGCGCGGGACGTCTTTGGATTCTTCGTTTCCAATCGGAGGGATATAAATGGAATGTCGAAGCTGATAGATGTAGTCTTCGAAGTCCTGGCCTTCCTGTTTCGGGAGAGTGTCGGTATCGAGGACATCATACAGCTTCCTGACCAATTCCTCTTCCCCGAGAGCATTCTTGACCACGTCTTCAATCACGTCCATCACCTTCTCTTTGCCCATCTTTACTTTCGGCCATGTTTCAGGATCGTCATAGACGGTGTTGCTTAATCCGTAAACTTCGCCCCTTTGCTTTCCGATCCAAGGTACATCGTCAGACGAGCCACATCGATTCGAGATTATTGCTAGAGGCTCGATTTGATTTTCCGATTGCTTGGTTTTCCTCAGGTTTCCACAAAGCAGAGAGAAGCCGCCAACATCCGCCACACCATCGTCTAACAGTCGTTTCACGAAATGCTGGATATCCTCTTCTGTTGGGCTTTCGAGCCATGCTGTTACCATTCCACCCCGACTCCTAGCTCCTTGCACTGGATGGTCTGCATCATGCGTATCGGTTTCGCGGTAGTTCGTTAAGACTGCGAATTTTCCCGCCTTTGTTATACCCATCCAAGTTCCTTGTTCCGCCCTTTGCAGGTCTCGCGCTGACAGAATTTCATGATCTCCCGATGTCCACCAATGCGGTCGACTCGTCGGTCGTAGAATGAATTCATCTCGATTGTCGATGATGATGAGGGAGTAGTGTGGATGTGCGGTTGTGACGAGGACGATGCACATGATGCTGATCGGTTGTAGTGTTCTTCTGCAAGGGTGCAGGTGAGGTGCTCATCTGGCAGTTATCACAAAAATACAAGTGACCGCAATGATACGTCCTGTTTCACGGCGGAGGAAGAAAAGACGGGGAAAGATAGCCACGATATATGGTAGTACTCCCAATTACCTTTGCATCACAGGACAGTCGCCGCATGTCAGTCAATCACTAACAGCATATGTAGTGAGTGGTCTGACTGCCTTCTCCTGTGGAATATTCTCCAGTATTTTTGTGAGCTGTTGTTGCGGTCGGAGGTCTTGTGTTTTTTCTAGTCAATTGAGTGCTGGCTTTTCCGCCACGACTTGATCCAATACTACCTGTCCGACTCTATCTCTCCGTTGTCGGTCGATGTTGGATGAGCTGTTCTTTTTCTGCTGCTGCAGTACAGGTGCAGGACGCACGACAACTTATGCCTCGGGTGCTCCAGCCACAGGGGAAATGTTTGAAATGGCATTCAGTGGAACGGGAATATCGATCCAGCTTCCGGTTCACTGGGCGCCTCCACGAGTTTCCCCAAGCCTTCGGCGACCGAGTGATAACGCTACCAGAAGGGGCTGAATTGGGACTGACGGCGGGGACAGTAAGGCTGCAGCTGATCACACTTGAGAAGCCGAAGTAGAATTCGCGCGTGACCTGTTCATTCCAGAAGTGAGACTATTGGAGTATTGGAGTATTGGAGTTAGCAACCTGGGCGTGAATAGTTCGAGACTCGAATAATCTCTGTAGGTAGAAGAAGTAGTGTAGAAGCAATAGTCTACGTGTCTTTGCAAAGTGAAGCAGCAGGCAGACAAGAAATTCATCCACGAAGGGAACTTGAACGCCAGCTGCGAGCCGATTAAGCTGCCAGATAAGCAGGCGCAGGGGTCAGCCTCCCTCACTCTGGCTGTTCGTACTCTTACGAAGCTCAAGACAAACGGCCTCCTTCTCCATGACTCGTCAATGAGCGCGCTTTGTTAGACATTCACACTTACAACATTCTCGAAGAGGACGACATATGTACCGTCCATCCTAAATACATCTCCAAGTCCGTTGCACCAAGTGTGCACATTTCAATTTGATCATGTTCGATACTTTTGCAAGACTCTTATCGTAAGACTACCCCGCCATGTATCTTAAGCTGCGTAACCAGCGCCAACGAGGTCATATTATCCTCAGAGAAGATATCATATACTAACTTCTCTATAGCTCGATTCCTACATTTCTCTTCCCAGTCTTCGCCTCCTACAAAGCTCTCAAAACCTCAGACCCGGCACTTCTCGCGCCATGGTTGATGTATTGGGTGGTGTTAGCTGTCGCTCTCACCGTTGAAGCTTGGGCAGGATTCATTCTTTTCTGGTATGTCTGCAAACATGATCTTCAATCCGGAGGAATCTGGCTATTAGTCCACAAGCTGACGCCTGCCTTAGGATTCCATTCTACTCTTGGTTCCGCCTAGGCTTCCTCCTTTACCTTATCCTACCCCAGACACAAGGCGCCCGGGTTCTCTACCAAGAACATGTACATCCCTTCCTCCGAGAGAATGAAGCTGCCATTGAGGAGTTTATCTCCTCCGCGCACGATCGCGCTAAGGCAGCAGGTGTTGGATATATTAAACAAGTAGTCGAATACATCAAGCAACAGCTTCTCGGTCTCCCTCCCAAAGAATCTACCCCACCAGCGACTCCCAGCCCATACTATAGCTATGCTTCAAGCCTCATTGCGCGATTTAATCTGCCTTCCGAACGGCCATCAGCTCCTCCTAATGGGTCTACAAGCACTGCCAACGACTTCTATGGCCTCCTAGCAGCAGCCGTCAATGCGGCTACCTCGAACACGGGATTTGGCAGCTCCAGCACACGCGATCTTTCCAATTCCGGCACTCTCATTCCACCATCTGTAAAAGGCGACGAAGAGCGGATGACGTTCATTGCAGCACAACGCGAGCGACTCTCTACATTGATCACAGCGCTTGACAAGGAAGCCACCAATCTTCAAGGAAATCCGGTACGAGCCCGGAATGTACCCAGTATGTTCTTCGACGGTAGCAGCGAGGATGATCCCAACGACAGACCTAAGAGTGGTCTCAGCAGCCGCAAGAGTGAAGGTGATTTCGAAAAGATTGACGCGGAAAGCGGCACCGAAGACGCAGATAACAAGAAACGTAGACAAACGAGCAGACAGACTAGTGGAGGCAGCTGGATGCCATGGAGCTGGGGAGCGCAACCGGCACCTACTTCTACATCTGGAGAGGATACACCGATGAGAGAACCTTCTCAAGAACCAAGCTCTGGGAAGAGCTCTGGTCTTGAGTACTAAGGGTGTTTGGGTAAATACTATTGGACTGGGAGTTGTCTCTATTGCGTTGGTGTTTGGATTTGGGATCGGCCGGTAGGCCACATACATACCACATGGTTAGGGTTACGGGATGTGTGAGACTGGACATCAGGGAATACAGTAGTAAACTGAAACACGCTCGTTAGAGTAGCAATACTCACGTATACATGTACACGTATTCCACCTCTTGGATCTCTGTGCTTGTGATCAAGGGAGTTTTATGACACCGTCTACTCAGGGTACAGCTCTGTCTCGCCAGTCGGGGTGTAATCGAGACTGCGTAACGTGGAATTAAAAATCTTTAACACCTCTACGTTTCCTTTTGTACTCCAAACGCGCTGGTATCTACTGAGACTGCAGCCTAATTATGAGGCTAGGTACAGAAGTAACGCGTACATAAGTAACCTGAACAGTTACTATCAGCCATCATCATCATGTTGGCTCTTAACTTTCAAGATTACAAACATTTCTAGAATGGACGAAGCAAAGTGCCATATGGACGTGAGGTTCCAGCTGTGAGTCGCTTATATGTAATTTCTACTACGGATGAATCTCACTAAACCCTAGAGACAAAGGGGATACTGGCGGGATCTTAGCTTTCTGAAATTGAAGTCATACTGTCGTGCGACTAAGAGGCATTTGAGAAATATAAAGAATTGATATATGTTACTCCGGCAGCAGGCCAAGGGAAATATGAACAGCTCAAGAGCTGTCCTTATATGTATATATATGAAAAATCTATCCAAGGCTGAGGAAACTACGCTACATCAGGTAGCTAGGCTACTTGCATAGATTTGGGGGTCGATCACCAGTAGTCGCTTTATTTCCTAGGAAACCCTGAATGCCAGACACTCTTTTCCTATATGATTTTCACATCCCTCATCACCCAGTCCTCAAGCTCATCTATTCCACCCTTACCAGCACGACCCATCGTAAAATAACATCCCATCCTCCTAAACGCAAACTCATTTGCATCCCGCTCTTTCGTCTCCTCCTTCGTCAGATAGAAGTAAGACGACACAAGAACTAAGCCTACAAAATCTAGCTCACTGTTATTTTGCCTCTCGCCTATATGGAGTAATACCACGTCCCGACTCCAATCATCATTCGTTCTCAGATCACTCTCAATAGCATCGAGCGATATAAGAAAAGTCTCCAAATTATTTCGAAAAGCACTTTTTCCCTTGCCTAGTCGCATGCTGTGAGTGTAGCCTCTAACTACCAAATAGCCAGCATCAACTTCACCAAATGGTGCAGATGGATACTTGAGTGTGATCGAATCTTCCATAATCTTCGCATTGGCACGAATGGTTCCATGATTCATGAAGAAGGACACTTCCCCGTCAATCGATGCCCACGACCAGGAAGGCGCCCGGTAAACGGATGGCCGTTCATTTCTTTTGGATACTACTTTCCAGTACAAAGCTCCAGGAAGCTGATGATACCAGACACCTGCAAGATATCTAGGAACCACTACGCCTTGCTCCGTGTATAACCTCGCAGCTTCGCCAGCTATCGCCGAAAGCGCAACGAGTTTATCTTGAGCACGACCTAAGATGCGTTTGGAATAACTTTCAACCACACTGTTCCACAGCGCAGGACTCTTCCACACACGCGTATCCCTATCTTGTTCGCGGACGTCTTTGTCAGGCTCGACGTCAGAATATTCATGACTCCAAGACGCCGAAGGACAGCGCCAGAGAAGCATGTTCGAACAGAAGCTGAGCGAGCGGGTAGATAGCATTTGTTCCTGCATTGTCCACGCTCTTGAATCAATTGCCTGCGTATCAGGTATTTCTTCCCGTTTCGCTCTATCCGGTGTGACTAAGCCTACCGCACCAGTCGTCCCGTCAGGACATCGATACTTGACAGCGACACGAGTTTTGCTGGCTAGTTTTAGAGCATCGTCGCGCGTCTGAACGAAGCCATCTTTCGAAGAACTCGCCGAGGCTGCTTGGAGTGTGAAAAAGGCGTTGTCGTAGATATCGCCCATTACAGCGAGTTCTTTTAGGAGATCTGCTTGGTCGTCTTGGATTATACAGAGTCGATCGATCCAGATGTGCGGTTTTCCTACAGACCTGGTGGTATGGATTGCATGTTGGATGGTCTTTGGTAGGTCGGAGTGTGGAATAGCTTGTTTCCATGCTGTGAGGTTGTCAGTAGTCAGTTTCATGGATTCGTCGCCTCCCCAGCAGTAGGATAGAGCTACGTAGGATGTTGCTTGGGCGCAAGGAACTAGGCGTATGTCTTCGTTGGTGGAGCCGATAAACAATACTCGCGAAGGCTTGTGATGTGAAGTCTCCCCCGGCCTCGGTGATCCACATCCTGTATGATTTTGACAATCTTCAATCCCAGTGCGAATGATTCCAACTGTAGCAGCGGAAAAGACATACGGATATCTTGGTCTTTTGAAGACATAGGTCCCTGCTGCATTTCCTAAGAGATTGTTACTTGAACTCAGCAGCGGCATGATTGTATGGAATTCGATCATACCTTCTTCAGCGTCAACAGTATAGTCGAAGAGAGTAAATTGTAAACCCCAACCTGTTTTCAGGTTCTCCGTTTTAGAGACATCATCAGCCCAGTGCCAATCTAGTTTAATGTGTGTCAGATCAAGTGCATGTTTGGTTCTACTTGAGATTTTAGCTTTGGAAATCAAGTAGGCAAATGTTTCCTTGTCTGTGTCGTGTATCAGGTGGAGGTCTTCCATTCCGACCTTTTCAGCCTGGGAGTCATTCGACGTCAGAAACTTCTCATTTTGCTCTTTTCGCCGTTCAAGCACATGTTCAAAGATAGGACAACCTTTGATGGTAGCTTCAAGTATGTCACCACTCGTGAAATCCTGTCGATGAACAGAGTAGCGCTCATTTTGGATATCAAAAGTAGGAAAGGATGCGTTGTGTAGATCAATTACCAGCCTTTTACAATAAGTACACGAGTGATACGCGTCGGTAAAGGTAGGTTGGCCTATCTTATTCGAAGGTAAAGCCATAATACTAGCGGCGGACTGCCAACCCGAACGTACAGCGGATTCGCCAGGATAAGGAACTCTGAGACACGCCTGTTCAATTGCAATACATGTTCTTTCGTGACATCAGCTGCGAAGATGGTAGAATGCAACAAGTCTGTCGAATTGTCATTCCGCCCTACTGTTGTGGACGTTGTCAAACTAAATATTTCAAGCCAATCAGTGGCCACAGAGCAGCAGGTGCATGCCGAGGTTGTATAGCAACTGTAGCATGAGCTTCGCCTGAATCCAGAGACTATATCTTCCTCTTCAAAAGTCCTTTAAAGAAGTCAAAGCTGTTACTATCACTTTGCAACTCCCAAACCTTTCCGGTAGGACGGTCTTCCCAGCCTAGCTCTTCAGCCAACAAAAGGCCCCAATTTCTTGTGATCCCTTTAATACGTGCTCTGGCGCCGCCTTCCGTTTCAATAGTTACAATCTGATCGGTATGCAACCAATGATCGTAATACACTTGTTCCAGATTGCGATCGAAGCCGTTGCGACAGAACCTCTTGTATATAACCTCAAACTTCGTGAGAATTCTCGCTAATAACTTTTCAAGCGTGAAGGGCGTCTGGGTAGACGGTAGTAATGCATTCAATGATGTGGTCGGCGCCGCATTTGTGGTATTAAGACCGATACCAACTACAAGATCATAGTTGCCGTTCGAGTATGATGAATTGACAAGAATACCGCCAATTTTAGCATACTCTTTCTTCCCAGGTTTTGACGGATCTTGCGCATCTAAATATGTTAGTTCTAATACCTTTCACATTAGAATAACCTTACAGATATCGTTGGGCCATTTCAGTTTCACTGGCACCTTTTTATAGCCTTCGTCATATGATTGAATGCCTTCTACAATCGCAATAGCTGCCAAGTATTGGATGAAAACAACAGGTGCTACGTTGCTGAGCTCCATGGGGTGCTTTAGACAAACAGAAAACACAAGTGAACCTGCTGGTGACACCCAAACATTTGACCCACGGCCACGCCCAGCCACTTGGGTTGTCGCTGTAGCCGTGAAACCATCTGGGGCGAGAGACAGTAGCTTCGTATTTCTACGAACAGTTAGCAAGCGGGCTGCGCAGGATGCGGCAATGATTTACTTCTCTAAAATTGTATTTGTACTTGTGATAACCTCACCATAGAGTAAATACTTACCAAAATCTTCTGCATCTCCGCCTGTTTCTTGCTGATACTTTTTCAAATTGGCGTAATATGAGTGGTGATTGAAATAAGGTGTCTCTTTTGTACCGGGCCATTGATCCTCGTGCGTTATAATTCGCTTCGTTATCTTGTCATAGTCGACTATTCTATCCTCCAGCACAGCGACGTGCTTCTCATCAGCTATATGTTCTTTGGCTTGGCTTGCTATGGGCAGCGAGGGAAGAGATTTGACAAGATTGTTCAACGACCATCGAGACTCTTGCTTCTCGAAATGAAAAGTGTCGTTTTCCCCTATGATATATTCTTCCCCATTCTCAACCGTGATTATATCCTCCCACGAGGAAAGCAGTTCTCCAACTAGGTAATGATGCTGGGATGATAGATGAAGGCGAGAAAGGGACGGTACCGAAGAGCTTTCCTGGCTTATCACCAGACCAAGTTTTGCCAAACATGCCTTGAGAAAATTGACCCGAAGCTCGTCATCTTGCGCAATGTCTTTTACAACTTTCGGATAACCTGGGCCGTCTGATTTGGGATCAAGATTGACCGCGGCGAACCTGTCGAAGAACATTAGCTACCTCTTCTTCGTGGCTTAAGTAGTCGTACTCAGGATGTGGGCCTGTCAGCAAAGCGCCACCTTCTCCAATCTTGCAATAGACCACTGCAGCAGGCCCGTCACCTCCTTCAACATCAGTGCTATCTGTGTATGTTGCAAGCGTCTCGACGCCCTTGTCTGCGAATTTCTTTGCGTCCACAAAAAGCCCACCACCATTGTAGTAAGATTTGAAAGTCTCAGGTACAAGTGCCCCGCCAAATGCTTCCTTGTTGACGTCCAATCGTACAGCTTTAGCACCCTCTTCGCTGTGGTATACGAACCCTTTGAAAGCGCAGCCGCGACAAATACCAGGAAAGAATGATAATTCTCGGGATCCAACCACTTCTAATTTCTTGTTTCCGACCTCAAACTCACACCTCGAACTGCCATAATAAGCTCCAGCACAGAAACCTAAATAGGCACCGCCACGGCGAACATATTGCTCGATGCGACGATTACCTTCGCCATTGAGGGAGCGGCAATAGCCCAGGTCAGCTCCGCCTGGGAAGACCAATAATGCACATGAAGCTGTCCATGGCTCTTTCAATATCACTGTGTCAGTGATGCTAATGACAGCATAATTAGGCGATAATAGGCGGCGCAGGGTATATAAACAGTGTCGAACAGACTCAATCGTGCTTCCGTTACCTATCAAATTGATTAACACATACGTTTTAACATTATTTTTTTAATCTGGGAAGTGAATGTACCAGAATAGACGAGGACGTTCAATTTTCTTGGTGCCATAATGGAATCGCACGATCCAGCTCAACCGAGAGTAGTACACTTGCAATGTCTCCCGACAACCCGGTCTTCACCTACTTAGGTACTCTACTACAGTCACTGAAGATGTCGAAAGCAAGTACCGAACCGCAGAAAAAAACTGCAATTGATTTTGATGATGAGCCAGATGATTGGTGAGTATGTCCTTTCGTATCCAAAATTTTGGATCTGACTTGTTTTGTAGGGACAAACGGATTTTCAGCACTGGATGTGCAGGTAAGATCACCGAGCTCCTCGGTCACCGGCAAAGATGCTGAAAAAAACCACCAACAGAAGAAAATACAAAGATGAATGACTGTTTCTATGAAAAGAAGGATTGGAGAGTATGCAAGAACGAGGTGAGTTGGAGAACGCGTCGAAATTAGCGGTCGTCCGGACTGCATCACGTGCCAATGTTGAAGGAAAGGACAATTGGGAACCTTTTACTGACATATTTCTTCTTATAGCTGGAGAATTTCAAGCAGTGCTGGAAGAGGCAGCAAAATGACAAAAGAACGTCGATGAAGGATGCTTGATTCTGTGGTACAGAACATCGGTGGCAACGCATGATGGTGGCTTAATCATTCCAACATAAAAGACCGAATAATTGTAAATAACACATAACTCCCCTCAAACTCAATTAAGTAACAAATCGATTGATGTTATTATCATAAGGCAAAATGTTTGGTGTTAACCTGGGTATCATTTGCACATGACTTCGTGACATTTTCGTCGCGGCGTCGCGGTTATCTAATTCGCGGTTCGAGGACAAGGCATTCTTTTACAACCACATCAATTATGGCAACAAATCTTCCACGAGCCGCACGCTCTGTTCTATCAGGAGCTGCATATAGACAAGCTACAAATCATATGAGATTACAGTTCCACTGTTCAGTTCGATCACAATCTATATCTTCGACTGCGAGGACCGCCGCGAGCCCAAATCCACCGTATGTCCGTAAAGCCAACAATGGCAGCCCGCCGCCAGCGAAACAAACTCCCGCCCCAGCGAAAGCAGCCGCAGCAGCACCTAGACCTGCGCAAAACCAGGCAGTATCCATGGTCGATGATCAGTCGCCTATAAAGGATATGAGCTCTGGTCTGGCAGATGAGCCAATAATTCTGGACGAAGACTCGAAGCAGGTTGACTGGGGGAGGTCTTTCCACGGACTATCAACCCAACCTTTTTCGAAAGAAGCTGCAGATATCTTGCTCACCCCTATACCCTTTGATGACGTGGAAGTGAAGCCGGATGGAATTATATATTTCCCAGAGATCAAATATCGCAGGGTGCTGAATAGAGCTTTCGGTCCTGGAGGCTGGGGGCTAGCTCCAAGAGGAGAAACGATTGTTACTCCAAAAAGCATTACTAGAGAATATGCGTTAGTTGCGCATGGCAGGTGAGTTATATACAGCCCATCGACACATCTGTTCGAGCTTGAACTAACCACATGCCTCTCCAGATTAGTCTCCGTCGCTCGGGGTGAGCAACAGTACTTTGATCCGGAGGGAATCCCCACAGCCACCGAGGGCTGTAAATCCAACGCCCTTATGAGATGTTGCAAGGACTTGGGAGTCGCCAGTGAGCTTTGGGATCCACGATACATTCGAAAGTTCATGAAGGAAAAGGCAAAACAAGTTTGGGTGGAACATGTGGTCAGCAAGAAGAAGAAGCAAATATGGATCAGAAAAGACGATGAGGTTCGGTATCCATTTAAGGAATCCAAATTTGGGGCATAAGTAGTTGTTCGAGGCTACATACACACCTTTTATGCTATGCTCAAATATAGAGGGTCGTGGCTACGCGGCAACTGTACAATAACGAGACGTTAAGCACATACAGAGAGGATTATTGCGAGTTATGTCAGATACCAGAAATTGTGGGCACTTTCGAGCGGGTGTATGGATATGGACATATATTACATCTCAGCTTTATATAATTAAAGCTCTAAACTACCTAGGCAGCTTTTGCTTTGATAGATCTATCAATTGCCCGAGCTTAAATGTTGAAGATGAAAAGACCTTTGTGAATTGAAATTTCGTATCTGCTGGGCCAAAGATGGCTCTGTCAAGATACCTACCCACTGGGTCGTGATTGAAGATCGAAAGAGCTACCTAGTATTCCACAGCTCTACAGCTTCACAACCACTTAAGTCTCCACCTCGCCACAATTAAGTCAGTTCCAATAGTATTTTAGGCCTGTTGGTGTAGTTCTTCTTTTGGGAATAACTACGATGTCAAAAGCCACAAGGAGACCTTCAAGCTAGAATCGACTGGTTACCGTAGAGAAGACTTCGGCTGCTGGGAGTTACACATGCACGCGGTGGACAAAAAAGACCGGATTTTTGGATCTAAAAATCCGACCCCTAAGTCAGTACCTCCCAGCCAGCTTGTAATTTATATAACAATTTAGTTTAGGCCAATGTTAAAAGGCTATAATACAGAAAGGTAGTTCTCTATAAGAAGAAATACTGTCTTAACTTTTAAGTTTTTCTAATTATACGGCCTTTTTTATGGTATTTAGAAGTCGAGTAGTTCTTGTGTTTTGGGTAGGTAGCCGGGGGTAGTTCGGCTCCCCAAAAAATCCGGTCTTTTTTGTCCACCGCGTGACATGATCATAGACCGGCTTTTGAAATTGAAAATCTACGAAGTACATGACCTAGACCATTGGAACTCCTATTTTGTCGTAACCCTTCACTTGGGGTCCAAAACAAAATAGTCGTTAGCAGGAGTCCAGACGTGTTACTCTTACATCGAACAGTGATTTACATCTAGCAGTCGGTGGAGAATCCCGATTGCACTATTGTCTTGCTTTTATATGTATATCTCTCGATTTGATTAATCTCGTCCGTCTGGAGCCAACAAATACCAAAGCCCGTCGCTCCCGACAGCTGGCGGGAGGCCCGGGCCCGGCTCCATGAAGATAAAGCCACAAGTACCCGTCGGCAAACGCCACAGCCCTTCCGTCACCGTCATCCCAGGCCCATGTGCTGATCAGGTACAGCGTCAAACCTACCATAGACTCTGAATAAAGACTCGATTGTACGATGTCCTAGGGAAGGCGGCAGCTATCTATCAAAACTGAAAGGATTGAGAGATCAATTCAAAGGACTGCAGGTTGACAACAGTAAATAATTATTGAGGTGCTCGTTGGACGGCATCGAGAAATCAAACAATTCGCTTCTTGAGAATCTCGCTTCCCCGCATGAGAGAGCTGTTCTCCGGGATGACGACACAGGATTTTGCTCCCTGGAACCGCAAGCAAAATTTCATGACAGCATGGCTAAACACAGCTAGTCGCCTTCTGTACCTGCGTAATTCCGGTCATAATTGGCTTTTGACAAACGATATCCAAGGTCCTTTTCTTTTCTCGTCATTCTTCTTCCCTCACAAAGCTTTCTCATTTCTCAAATTCATCCTCCACGACTTGCATTCCTTTCAATTGCTTTCCAAAACCACTACATACTAGCAAACATGATCGCGTCGAGAGCAGCTACCAGAGCAGCAACCCGTGCTGCTCGCAAACCAGTTTCCAGAACTCAATTCCGTTATGCTACCACAAATCAACAAGCAGCCGCCGCCGGTGGGTCATCAGGTCTTGTAGGAGGAATTGCAGGAGGTGCACTTGTATTCCTTGTAAGCAACGATTGAAGCAATTGTAGTTGATCATATACTAACGCGATCCAGGCCGGCTATGGCTACTATTACATGTCTGGCGCAAAGACGGTGGTCAATGCCGCCTCCGCGACAAAAGCAGAATTCAAGAGAATGACCGATCAACTCCAATCAAAAGCACCTGAGCCAAATGAAGCTATCAAGTGGTTACGGTCAACTGCCAATTCATATGCAGCTTTCATTCCAGGTGGAAGAGGATATGTTGATGCTCTCTTCAAGGACTTAGAAACTGTTCAGGAGAAGCATGGAAAGGAAGTTGAGAAGATTGTTAACGACGCATACGCAGAGCTGAAACAAGCTAGCTCAGGCGGCTTGAACATGCAAAGCGTTGCGAGTGCCTGGGGGGTTATCGAGAAGGCCGCGACCCAGCTGAAGGATCTAGCCGGTGACTCTGCTAGCGATATCCTTGACAACCATCCTGGTGTCAAGGAGAAGTTCGGCGGTCAGGTCGAGCAACTGAAAGGAATGGCAGATAAGCTAGGTCCAGAAGCCAAGAAGGAAATGGATGATGTCTGGAATGCGGTTTCTGATGCTGTCAAGGGTGGTTTCAGTGCTTCATCGGTGACAAAGGTCAAGCAATTAATCGAGGACAAGTCGAAGAAGATCCAACAGTTGGGAGATAAAGCTTGGGATAAAGGACTCGAGCAGATGAAGCCCTACCTCGACAAGAACCCACAGGTTAAGCAGGTCATCGAGGAGAATGCTGAGTCGCTGAAGCAAGGCAACGTGTCAGAGATCTATGAGCAAGTCAAGAACGCTGTCAGCTCAGGGAACGTTGACGATTTGAAGAAATACGTCAAGGACGCTGGTGAGAAGGCTAAGAACAGCAGTTTCGGAGACAGCTTCCAGAAATACGCCAAGATGATCCCAGGTGGCAGTGAGATCTTCCCAAAACTTCAGAAATTGCAGGAAGTTGCGAATAAGAGAGGCGACGAGGCTGAGAAGATCGTGAAGGGTGCTTACAAGGACATCCAGGATGTATTACAGAAGAGGACCGAGGAAGCGGAAAAGCTGGCGGAAAAAGCGAAGAAGGATTGAGATGTTAAGATATTTTGTAACGATAGCGATGAGAGTAAGATCAATACTTTAACGTAGTGCATTCAGCTTGGGCATCAGCCGGCGTCTTCGATGTTTAAATAAAAAGTTCATTTGTCCCGAAAACTGCATTTTATTATGACCACATTTTACCGGAGCTTGTTTAAATGTATCAGCGCATTCAAATCCAATAAACTTCTTTGCTAAGACAAAGAAAGACATAGGTAAGTCTGCTACAACCCACAGTGGACAGAACACACTCAAAGCCAATCATCCTGCAAATATTCACAACACTCTAACAGATAATATTTGTTTGATTTGACAGAATGATTAGATGTACGAAAGGTACAAACCAAACCACAACGTTCGTCTAGCCTTTTAGACGGTTGGTTGCACAGGGCTCTTTTTTGTCCATCGGGCGTATGTAGCAACCCGCATTCGTGAGACGCACACTAATGGAAAGATAACTACTTGTGCTTGTATAATAATGAATCGGAATATGTTAGTATGGACAAAGCGATAGCTAATTGGAACTGGAATGAATGTCAGCATTGATAAGTCGCTCGGTGAGGCTTCTTGCCTGAAGACGCTCAAGCTTCCAGCCAATTAGAGGCGGCCTATTTCGAATTCTCGTGAAACGTGACCAGGAATCGAATGTCATTGAAAGGCAACTGGAATACTTAAGACTTCTCATCGATCCATTGTTCCTTCTGTATTAAATATCTAACACAGTTTTAATCTTCTAAATCAAACATCGAAAGATAATTGCTCAGTTCCTCTTCAACTCTCCATTTCCAAAACCAGTCCCCAACACCACCCATCAAAATGGTTACTCCATCAACATGCTGCAAAAAGGCAGGAGACACCTGCGTCTGCGCCCAGCAGGCCACTTGCTCCTGCGGAAAACAACCAGCTCTCAGCTGCAACTGCGAGAAGGCACCATCCGAGAATGATACTAGCGGCCCAAGATGCTCATGTCGTAAGTCCTGCAACAAACGCTTCCTCCAACCACATATCATTTCCATCCATATACTAATCAGTACATATAGTCAAGCACAAAGCTGGAGAGTGTACATGTTCACGTGCAGACGCTGAGAATTCTAAAGTCACTGGTTCGACGTGTGCTTGTGGTGCTAAGCCTGCTGGTATGATTGTACATTGGTTACTAGGAACTTTGCTGATATGTGACCAGACGCGTGCAATTGCGAGAAATCTTCAGCGAGTAGCAGTAGTCTAGAGACGGATTTCACCACTCAATAGTTGATCAGCGAGAAACGACGCTGCAGGACATAGCACGCTTCGTTGGACGCTTCGTTGCACGTTGCAAAATGTACGATTTTAATCAGTGGCGGGTCTTTCGTTACGGTCGTGTAATATATCAAACCATTCTATCTATTATGAACCCGGCGCCATTGGGATGTTATCAGCTCGGACTTGGCTTCGAATTCTTTCCAGTCGACTACCTCACCGCTACAGTCTTGTTATTTTTCATTTACTCCTACCTGAAAGGCTTTTCGGAGCCTGTTATTTCAATTGCTTTTAAGTCCGTCGTTTTTGGTCTCTTGGCACAATCTCAAATTCGCCTTCTTCCAGCGGCTCTAAAGGCTCTCGCTACCAGCTTTCTCGAAAATTGTCCTGCCTTTTTCTGGTGGAACGTCTCATCTGAACGCCCAACAACTACGAACGAAGAATCTGAACCTGCTGTTCCGATGGCCACAATTTGGCATATGAATATCACACAAGAAGTTGGCATACAAGAATTAGCGCGCGGGAACCATTTGGGGCCGGGAGAAATGAGAAAAATTGGGACGTTAAGACATCGGGCAGAACGGGCAACGGAACAGCATTATTGAAAAGGCTTCTTCTTCGACGAAACCTAAGAGAAGCTCGATTCCACAAGACTAGGATATGCTTCAGGGTTTGGATATTGTCATCGGCGTTGTATAGCAATAGCGTTGTCCAGATATCAAAAATATTTCCAGCGAATTGTTCGAAGCGACATTTGTCCTAATTGCGACCATGAATATCTTTTTCTGATGTTTCCCTAAGACTTTAACATGAATCCACAAATAATGTCTACCATGAAAAGTTTGTCCACTGAGGCTCAAAGGAGTGTAATTAAGTAGCATCTTCAACTTTTCTGGTAATCTCTAAACAGCGAGTAAGTACTAAACGGCAAAGTGTCAGGACGTCTGACCGAAAACACTGTCACACCAAACTACAGTAGGGAAATAAGATGAAATGTCTCTTGAGTCAAGTGTTCAATGTTCCACAGAAGTGATGTATTTCTTTTTATTTGCACATTGTAAACGTCCAATACTAATGCATCTTTTAAAGTAAGCATCCCCTCATTGTAGTGTCTTATTTCAAAGCTTCATTGCGTACATATAAATTACAGTTATTCACGTCTTCCTTCCGACCTATCTACTTAGTCTCCTCAATCCTAAAAACATACTTCGTAGCCGAATTAACCCCATCCTTCAAATTCTCCAATCCCTTCTGCACACCATTCAACCCCCCGGGAACAACCTCATGCGGATGCGGCTCGAACCACCCCTCTTGCAGGCCACGCCCAAAGAATCTAAAAAACACAAACCCAAATTCCTTGTCGCTGATCTTGATCCCCTCTTTAGCCCTTGGAGAATCTTGATGAACACTTCCAACAGTAGTCACACTATGCGTAATCGACTCCGGGATATCGCCGTAATCACGTCCTGGGAGCACGAGTGTGATTTTGCTGCCTCCTTTAGTGGAGAGAATTTTGCTGAGGTTTTGGTAACTGCCTTTCTCGCTTACGGCGTCGAAGGCGTAGTGGATGTCCTGGCCTTTGAGAGCGTCTTTGATACTGGAGACGAGTGCCTCGTCGCCGTTGCGGTAGTCGACTATGGTGTCGCCTTTGCTGCGGTCGATGAGCTTTTCAACGAATGACTGGCCGCGTCCGGCGACGGCGATGATGGGGTGGATGTTTGAGAGTTGAGCGAGCTGGATGGCATAGGCTCCCTGTTTACTAGTTAGAGTTAAGGGTTATTGAGCGGATTGATACTTACCACGGCGCTTGAGGCACCATAGACAATCAACGGAATAGGAGAGCTAGCGGCTTGCCATGGTTCTGGTAGGCCCAATCGGGTAGTTGAATAAAGACCAAGAGCAGCTGTCATAGCAGCCAGGGGAATCGTGGCACCCTACGGATGTTAGTGAAGATCTTAATATTTTATTCATGTGACTTTACTTCTTCGAATGATATTTTCTTTGGAAGATGGAATGTTGTATGGGACCAAGCAATCCCGTATTCTGCAAAACTTCCATGTGCGGTTCTCATCTCATGAAAGGCCGCAACCCGATCACCTTTCTTGAACTCTGTGACATTTTCGCCAACTTCCTCCACAAAGCCAGCGATGTCGTCACCTGAATTAGATGTTTCCTTCATCCACATGGGCACTTTCCAGTCCTTTGGGTTTGAACCGGAGACAACAATTTTGATCAGAACTTGGTCTGCGTTTGGCTTCGGCACTGGCACATCATGGATCTCGACCTTCAGGTCTTTATCAACGACAAGTTCTTTCATGATGAAGGATGTGTATGGTTGTAAGAAATGATCTGTTGAAAACTTATTCTCCTGAGATATTGGGTTTCAAGTAATAAGGGCAATTATGAGTCCTTGAAGAGGGAAATATTGACTAGGAAATGTTCGCTCAAGCGGAGAAAGAGCCCAGCACGAGCACATAATTTTCGGGGTTAGCAGAGCGCTCCATATTAGACCCAATAATCGACCCACTGGTAGAAGGACATATTAATAATGACCCAGCCCTACCGAATCATATTGCTGCATTCGCAGAATGTTTACTTCGAATAATGGGCATAAATCTATGACGACAGCGGGGTTGAGGCAATGTGCCGGCAATCGGCTACCTGGTATGGCTATGGTCCGGCCCGTCCTCTTTTTACCTCGTTAGCCTAGAATCTAGATGTCCGAAGCGGTCTTATTAGAGTTTTGAGGGAAATCCTTCGATACTACCTCCCTGTGATTGACTGTAGGTAGTATGGCAGCTGAGGAGTTTGTGGAGTCATCCTTATCATGCCTGGACTCGGGGAGGTTTTTTGATATCAAATTCACAGAAAGTCGAGAAAACGATATGTTCATTTTTGTCGGATGTTTTTTGCCTTCCGTTTCTTGAAAACAATTCCAGTAGCACTTTGTCCGACTCCTTCTTGCTTCGGTGTGACATCTGAGTCGGGTATATCTGCAAGTATATTTGGTACCTCCTCCTCTTTGACACCCTCTGTAGAGCTGTTTGCAGCGCCGCTCTCCAGCAAACAGGCCGTAGGAGTAGGTTCGACCTTGATCTCAGATTTGATATGTTCAAGTTTCTCGTCCTCAGTTTTCACCTCTGGCTTGATCGCTGGCTCGCGACTTCTTGCTGTAGCTTGAATTAAGAGAGTATCAAGGTCAGCATTATCCTCTTCTGTTGGATGTGCGCGGAATTTCGAGCCCCATCTCTTCTTCTTGAGCTCAGCGGCTTCCGGATCATCTTCCTCTTCTCCGCGTTCTCTCTTAACCCCCATGGCTTTGGCTTCGACCTTCGTCTCGCTATCAGGCTCCAAAACTCTTTCTGAAGTGACCTGCCACTCGCCTGCCATTGCCATATCCGGTCGAAACTCGTCTGGTATGCTAACTCCAAGCTCAGCTAGCTGGGCAAGTTGTTGTTTCCTTTGAGCCGCTGAAGCTTGTGGTTTCGGTACTGATGGTGTTGGTCCTCTACCGAATCCTGAACCAGATGAACTTGCGCCAGAGCCTCCGCCAGCCACCAAACCATTCAGTCTTGCTACCTCGGATTTTGCGCGCTCCTTGTCCTTCTCCTCCTTCTCGTGTCCACGGTGTATATCTCGTACAAACCTCTTGAGATTGCCTTGATGCCTCGGGGTCGCCTCATGATTTGTCTTTTCCAGCTTCGTGTCGCGAACGAATACTTTACAATGCTTACACCAATATTTAGGCTACCGACAGCGTTAGTAGGAATGTCTAAACTCAAATACATCGATCCACTTACTGTTGACTTCCAATATTCAGACATGTTTATGGTAATGCGTGTTGATTGGAACTGGTCTTCAGACTAACATGTGTAAACATGTGTTATGGCGATATGTCTGGCTCTTCTGGGGAGGCTGTGAAAGAGAGTCAATATCTGCATAGGATTTGCGCTCGTCTGATGTTGTTGAAAGTTGAGTCGCAAGGCGGAAGTCTCGCCTCGTGATGACGGGGCGTCGGTGCGAGGTGACAAAATTTAGGCTCGTCGCGCTCCCCCCAACCTGGTAATCGTGAACGGAATCAACCGCACACATCAAATCGCCATTATGGAGGTGATAAACCGAACAGTTTTAAACGGACCTGCGCTCAGTAAGAATCTTTCCTCGACGATTCCAGCGATCTTAGCTAGGAGGAGCTTGCCATTGGTGCGATCTTCCAGCTTGCCACTGTATCGAGCTCAACACCAGCGAAGACAGCTTCACCTTACCTCGAGAACGAAAGCGCCGAACAACAGTCTATTGGGAATCAGCAGCAATCCAAACATCCCAAATTCTTACTTTCAGCGCCCCTCCCTACCTGCCAACACAATCATCCGATTCGTACCGCAACAAACAGCATGGATCGTGGAAAGAATGGGAAAGTTCAGCAGAATTCTGGCACCAGGATTAGCCATTTTGGTTCCAGTTATCGATCGCATAGCATATGTTAAGAGCTTGAAGGAGTCTGCTATCGAAATACCAAGTCAAAGTGCGATTACAGCGGACAATGTCACTCTGGAGCTGGATGGTGTTTTATATACCAGAGTATTTGATGCGTATAAGGCCAGGTAATTACATATCCATATCCGCCTGAACAATGCTGACTTTATCTAAGTTACGGAGTTGAAGACGCCGAATATGCAATTTCTCAATTGGCTCAAACAACAATGCGATCCGAAATCGGTCAACTGACACTCGACCATGTTCTCAAAGAGCGAGCCGCCCTTAATACCAATATCACACAGGCAATTAACGAGGCAGCACAAGAATGGGGTGTTGTCTGTCTACGATACGAGATTAGAGATATCCACGCCCCAGAGGGAGTCGTGGCTGCTATGCATCGACAAGTTACCGCAGAGCGTAGCAAGAGAGCGGAGATCTTGGACTCCGAAGGTCAGAGGCAGAGTGCTATTAACATCGCTGAAGGTCGAAAGCAGAGTGTGATCCTAGCTTCTGAAGCTTTGAGGAGCGAGCAAATCAATATGGCATCTGGAGAGGCTGAAGCTATTCTACTCAAGGCTAAAGCTACCGCTGCTGGAATTGATGCAGTTGCAAAGAGTATCTCAGAAGGAAAGGAGGCGGCTCAAGGAGCAGTGAGTCTCAGCGTTGCCGAAAAGTATGTTGATGCTTTCGCCAAGCTTGCCAAAGAGGGTACAGCAGTGGTTGTCCCCGGCAATGTTGGAGATATTGGCAGCATGATCGCTAGTGCAATGGCCGTCTATGGGAAGGTTGGAGATGCGCAATCTAAGACGATGGCAGCGCGAAGTTTAGAGAAGAACTCGAGCTCAGAAGGGTCTAGTGATGGTCAATCTTCGCAATCAGAATCCCCAAATGACGAGATGAAAAGAAGCATGCTGGCTTCGTTCGAGAACACGAGGCAGAAGAAGTAAAGTCGATGATAAAATCAATTGTAAAACACAATGTATCACTTTTCGAGGAATGAGCTGGCGTTAAGGATGAGAAAACGAAACTTCTCTCAATAATACCGTACTGTATTGATAAAAATACCAAATAATCTACCAAACAAATTCTCGCGTATGGCTGCCTGTTGTATGTTGAATTGGCCGCCTACGAACATGTTTTAGCTGAATAGTGAATAAGATACCCATCTACTAGTCCTTGACTTTGGGGGCCCTTGACTTTGGGGGCCCTTGACTTTTCATGGTGTAATTACAGTTGGAGTCAGATGAAACTATTTTCGAATATTTATTTTAAATAGCGGCATTTTGCCAACTTAATTGAGAAATAATACGATTTATGGTCACTTTTCCGAAGCAAATATCCTGTGTTCGACTGCCAGTTCTTTCGTGCATCGTGAGAGAGTATCTAAGTGTATTCTGATAGTCGGGCCCTACATCCCGGAGGAGATCCCGATTTCCTCTGCAGCCGCCGATCCCCTGATTCTCGGCTCCTGCAACAAGCAGCCATTCAACTCGCTTCGGCCCGCCAAGCTAATTACGAAGTTGTAACTTGTGAGAATAGTCGCGCAGCGTCGCGTTGTCTCTTCGAACATATTATTCAACGCCGCGACCTCAACCCAATGATGCCCATCGCACCCACGAAGGGCGACAAAAATGAGGTTCATCAAGCCAGCTTGGCTCACGCATAGTGGTTAGTTTATGGCGCATATCATCTGGACGACAGGGCTTTCGTGGTCTGCGGATTAAATAATGACCACTAACTGACTCTGCATTGTAGGAGAACAGAAAGATTTCGAAGTATACAGTTGTCACGTATCGCCTGATGGAACCAGGCTCGCCACTGCGGCTGGAGGTAGGAAATCTTTGGGATAATATTCTGTGCATTGCGCTGATATAATATCTATCTAGATGGACATGTTCGGATCTGGTCGACGGAGGCTATCCTCCAGGCAGGAGATCCCAACTACACGAAACCGAAGCAACTATGTCATATGAGCTACCATTCTGGGACGATCCATACTGTCAGGTTCTCTCCGAACGGGCGTTGGCTGGCTTCGGGTGCTGATGACAAGATCATCTGTATCTACCATCTTGACCAGAATCCACCAGCGCACTCGGCGTCATTTGGTAAGGAAGAGCTACACTTACTAGGGACTTAGTGAAGCTGATGGAGTGTAGGCACCAACGAACCACCACCTGTTGAAAATTGGAAAATCCTTAGACGTTTGATTGGGCATGAGAACGATGTACAGGATTTGGGCTGGTCCTATGATTCTTCGATTATGGTATCAGTTGGCTTGGACTCGAAGATTGTTGTTTGGTCAGGGCATACATTCGAGAAGCTGAAGGTTCTGTCCGTCCACCAGAGTCACGTAAAAGGAATCACTTTCGACCCAGCAAACAAGTATTTCGCAACGGCAAGCGACGACCGAACAATCAAACTCTTCAGATTCACATCTCCCCAGCCAAATGCTACCTCTTACGATTCGCACAACAACTTTGTGCTCGAGCATACCATAGTCGCGCCATTTACCTCATCCCCCTTAACCACATACTTTAGAAGGTGTTCATGGTCGCCAGATGGAAACCATATTGCTGCCGCGAACGCCGTCAACGGACCCGTTAGTTCAGTCGCCATCATCAACCGCGGAGTGTGGGATAGTGATATCAATTTGATCGGACATGAGGGTCCTACGGAAGTCTGCACCTTTTCTCCGCGTCTTTTCAGCAAAGCAGAAATAAGCCCAGAGACGACCGATAACAGCGGATATAGCACCCAGGCATTGGTCACAGTAATTGCTTGTGCCGGGCAAGACAAGACGCTTAGTGTATGGAATACCAGCTCATCGAGACCATTGGTCGTTGCTCAGGAACTAGCCGGGAAATCTATATCGGATCTTGCGTGGACCCCAAACGGACTCGCTATTTTCGCTTCTAGTCTGGATGGAAGCATAGTAGCTTTAGAATTCGAGACAGGGGAGCTGGGTTTTATTGCTCCTTGGTCTGAGAACGATAAAGCACTCCAGAAATTTGGCGTCGGACGCCGTGGAGTCGGGGTGGTCGAAGATGTGGCCGCTTTACGGCTTGAGGAGCGAAGTAAGGCAGGTGAATTACGCGGTGCTGAGGGACGTATGGGTGCGTTGATGGGCGACGCAGGGTCTACGATTGTTCCGCCCGTAGTGAATGGCAATGGGACTAACGGGACATCTACCCCAATGACTGGTGTCGTGGTCCCTGTATTACCATCAAATGCGCCAGCACCACCTGTAACCAACGGTCGATCTGCCCAAGACTCACCAGCAGCGGCAGCAACACCGCCAGCAGTCGATCCAAGTGTTGCCAAGGTTGAAGCCATGAAACAGCGTGTCACGATAACGAAGGAGGGAAAGAAACGAGTTGCGCCTTTACTTGTGTCATCGTCCGGAACGGGACTTTCGTCTCTGCCACAATCGCAACTGATGGCTGCTAGTTCCAGTAAGGAACAAAATGATGCGCCGCAATCTATACTAGACTTGTCGAAACCTTACGATGGTTTGCCCAGAGGCGGTCTCGCTGCAATGTTACTCGGTAATAAACGAAAAGCAGTAGCTTTGGAAGAAGATGAAAATGAAGACCCAGCAAGCAAGAGACCCGCGCTCGGAAATGGTCCAATACCTATCATGATCAACGGAGTCAATGGGGTTGAACCTGCGGTTCCTTTGCCGCCAAACAATGGCGTTATACCTACGCCAGAGTTCCTTCGTCCAGCTGTTGTCAACCCAATCATGTCGGTGAGCCAGGTCAGGTTGGCCGTTCCTAAGGTTCGAACACATATTTTGCGCTCGCTCGATCGAGGGACCTTACCACCACCCGCATCTGGGGCCAACGGTACTAATGGAGTTGAAGAGTCGACCAAAGTTACTGACGATGTGGTGTTCGAGGCACAGAACCCTGGTGGGAATCCTGCTCAGGTTCGAGATCCGTCAAGAATTAGTGCAAGCAAGAGGGGGGCCATGCTTTGGCAAGATTTCTTACCCAGAGCAGTCATTCTTGTCACCGGCAACAAAAACTTTTGGGCGGCTGCTTGTGAAGATGGAAGCATTTACACCTGGACACCTGCAGGCCGTCGGATATTCAATGCTCTTGTCCTAGAAGCTCAACCTGTCATCATTGAGTCCAGAGGTTGGTGGCTCCTTTGCGTTACTGCCGTTGGAATGTGTTATGTCTGGAACTTGAAGACACTGGCCTCGCCTCATCCACCAGTTTCTCTTGCACCAATACTGGATATCGCAATGCACTCATTAGGGACACATACGACCAGCGCCCCAGGTGTTACTTCTGCGCATCTAAACACGACTGGCCATATTATCGTGACACTGAGCAACGGTGACGGTTACCTCTATTCGCCTTCAATGTTTGTCTGGCAACGGCTCTCTGAAGCTTGGTGGGCGGTAGGTAGTCAGTACTGGAACTCGAACGACTCATCGATCAGCAGTTTGCAGTCTACTGGCGTCGGGCAAGATTCTCGGCGAGATGGTGAGATCAGTGCTTCTAATATTTCGGCGGGCATCATTCCACATCTGGAACGGCACACCACCAATGAAGTCCTTCTCAAAGGCCGAGCCTACCATCTCCAACGGCTTATTAAAGCGTTGTTGTCACGAGAAGGATTTGAAAATTTTGAGGCTGGCGTCAGTATTGCGCACTTAGAGAATCGTGTCGCGGCTGCTTTGCAGCTGGGGGCGCGGGAGGAGTTCCGAATCTATCTTTTCATGTACGCGAAACGCCTGGGAGCTCAAGGATTGAAGAATAAGGTAGAGGAGCTTCTCAGGAGTATGTTGGGTGGTATCTTGAAGGAATTGCCAAACGTGCCATCTGTTGATGCCACCGAGGTAGGTGAAGGCTGGTACAGCGAGGATGACAAACTTTGTGGTTGGGATAGAAAAGAGTTATTAAAGGAAGTTGTGTTGATTCTTGGTATGTCAGATGTTCCTGTTGCTTGTGGAAATGCTAACAATTCTCTAGGGAAATTTCGAGAGTTACAACGTCTCACAGTACAATACTCTAGGGTGTTAGGGATGGATGACGACGAGAACGGGATATAAGCTGCTTTTTGTGTATAGTGACCATCTTTGAAGGCGTTAAGGTTTTGCATCCAAGGAGCGACTAATCTGTATTGCTATGGGTTCATCTATTGCCGAGGGCGAATGTAGGTATATCCAGGGTATATTTGAGGGAGAATACTGGCGCAAAAGTGCGGACAGGCTGCAAAGACAATCGCGGCCAAGACCGTAATTTTACAGTAGTCATAAGAGAATAGTACAAGTGTTGTTTTGAGCCGCAGAACTTTGCGAGCTGAATTTGCTGCTACGAGCTCGAGTCGATATTTTGTTCGAATGCTTGCTGCTCGGCGTGGTGTTCTCAAGGCGTTCCTTCCACTTATAATTCCCAAAACACATCTCTTCCTCTCCACACTCACACCCTTCCACATTCATAGCAGAAGCTTCAAGGCCAACAACACCAATTCCTGCATCAAGAATGTCTGCTCGCAATACTCGACAGATGGATGAGAAATCGCCTCCTCAGACTCCGAAAGGACAGATCCGGAACTCGTTCACAAGCAGTAAATGGTCCCCGATATCGATGGGTAGTCGAGGCTCAAGCTCGTTCTGGCGAACACCTCCTAGACCTCCACCGCTGGGATGGCAGGCATCTCGATTGCCGAGTTTGAGTTGTATTGGCATTCGTCAGTTGTGAGTGCCGCCTCAATACTGTGATTAAGGCGTATTAACGAATCTGTAGAATGCCGTCCCGCAAAATATTGCTGTTGGTACTTGCGGCGTTCGCTTTTGGATTCTTCATATCCATCCAGTCCAACCAGGATTCGACGATCTTGGCAGATTACAGTTTCGATGTCAAGCCGATTCGAGCCACCCTAGCTGTTTCTCACAAAAGCAACCCGGACCCAATTCGCTGGCTACAGGAGAATTCCCATGACAAACATGCTCTGCCGGAAGGGGTTGTGCCGAATTTTCGCAATCTTGGAGACAAGCTCAGGGGAAGACCGAAGGCGGCATTGATTACCCTCGTGAGAAATTCGGAATTGGATGGAATTGTTCAAAGTATGAAACAGCTGGAGGAAAGGTGGAATAGCAAGTATCAGGTGAGTTGGATTATTCGGGAGTGGCCACATGAATCGTGCTGATTCGCATTACAGTACCCTTGGATTTTCTTCAATGACGAACCCTTCACGGACGAATTCAAAGGAGTGACGCAGAATTTGACCGCTGCCAAATGTCACTATGAGATTGTGCCCAAAGAGCATTGGTCCTTACCGGAATGGATTGATGAGGATCGGTTCATGAATAGCCTTGAATATTTAGGAACCATCGGAGTTGGCAAAGGTTGGCTAGTTAGTTATCATCACATGTGCCGATGGAACAGTGGATTCTTCTACAAGCATCCTATTCTGAAAGACCATGATTGGTATTGGAGGGTTGAGCCGGATGCAAGTACTTTTACTTCCAGATTCTTTTGCTAGACTGACGAGGAGACCACAGGTTCAATATTTTTGCAACATCGACTACGATGTTTTCCGCTTCATGCGGGATAACAACATGAAATATGGCTTTAATATGAATATTTTAGACGATGCCCGCTCGTTTCCATCGCTTTGGAGCAAAACTCGAGACTTCATGAAAGCTCACCGTGACCTGCTCAATCCCGAAGCTGATCTCAAGTGGCTGCAAAATCCTGAAACTAGTGGTGACTACAACAACTGTCAATTCTTCTCGAATTTCGAGATCGGTTCGCTCAAGTTCTGGCGCGATAAGGGGAATGAAGCGTATTTTGACTGGCTCGATAAATCGGGCGGGTTCTACTATGAACGCTTTGGAGACGCTCCAGTCCATACTCTCAGTGTAGCAATGTTTGTTCCTAAACGCGAGATTTGGTTTTTTCGAGACATTGGCTATCAGCATGATATCAATACACATTGTCCGCCACATAGAGAAGGAAAGTGCTTCTGTGAGCCAACACGGTTAGACGAAAACTTCTACAAGTTAGTTCCTCTTGAGAGTCCACAAAAGAAGCCTCTGGACACATGCATTCGACAGTTCCTTGGTGGGGAGTGGTTGAAGAAGAAAGATGGTTGGACTATGGCTGGTGAGAAGGCTTTTGGCGGAGATGGATATCATGGGTATGAAGCGTTGGGGTAGGTATATGATTACATGTTTGCTGTTAGATGTTAGATGTTTATTCCGGGTTATCTGCTTAGCTATTTCGACATTGTCCGATTATGGCAGCACACTAGGTGTATTGGTAGCTTCCCCATTTGCTTGCAAATCCGGGTATTTGTTCTACCTCGCTAGATAGGTAGACATTCACAATCTGGAGTTCCCGTGCCTCCCTCGTGCATGAAGCGCACAACATGTTCTTAGGATTACGATATCTTCAAATTCTAGAGCCAAAATGTCTCATCCAGTGTTACTTACAGACCTTCCTGACGAGGTCTTGCTGCGGATCTCCACATGTGTCGCCGACCTATTAGACTTCGAATGCCCTTCGGAAAAGCCTCGATGGAATACTCAGACTTTTGGGCCGCTGAAACTCCCGGTTCGATCTCTGATAGAACTTCGCCGAATAAGTCATCGATTCAATCGTCTTGCTGAGCCGTTACTGTTTCGGACACTGAAGATCACTGGGTGGGAGGAAGACGGCTCCGTATCCGTTGTGACGTTACTACATGTCATGCTAAGTGGCGAAGAGGACTTAGGTCGTAAAGTCAAGTGTCTTTGGCTCGGGCCATGGAAGCCTTCGAACACTTACGGGGGAGAGAGTTCTCTTTCACTTTTGCTCAGAGGATTGGACATTCATAATAGACCATATGGGCTGAGGTCTGTTGCACCATTATTGCCTTATATCGAGCGGTATTTGCGAAGAAACGTTGTGTTCCTTGATCCGGCACTAGACAAGCAGTTGTTTCAACAAATCAAGAACGTCGAAGAAGATGCGCTTCTTGCACTCTTGTTGTCGATGCTTCCCAACCTCACGACTTTGGACCTAGTCCCTTGGTTACCTAGTTTTTTGGGTCAAGTCTATCAACTTCTGGTTCAATGGACTATGTTCTATAATGGTCGTGTCCCGCGGACTCTTCCATCTTCAGGCTCTGGACCATTTTCCAAATTGACAAGAGTTACTTTCCATGAATACTGCTGGGGCGAGGATTATTCAGAGCACTCCGGGAGTGAAGGCTGGAGCGATCATGAAGACGAGGTTACACACGAGTACTTGACTATTCATAAACTAGTTCCTTTCTTCCAACTTCCGTCTATGAGAGTTTTGGAATGTAGGAAAATTACTTCTCGGGGTACGGGCTACGATTTACTGGATCTCCCTGTCGGGTGTTCGGGCATAGAGGAGTTGAGTTTCAATAACTCGTCGTTGGATGATAGAAGTCTACAGGCTATGATAGCTGCTTGCAAGGGAATGACATCTTTTCATTTCCAGGCTGCTGGTGATCAGTTTGGGTACCAGCCGCTCACTTCTCCGGGGCTGGGTCAAGCGTTGGAAACCCAGTCGAATACCCTCACGAAGCTGAGCATTCGTACAGGTAATGTGTTCTTCACAAACAACGGCAGGGACCTGAGAGACATTAATGTGGGCACCATCGGATCGTCCCTTGTCTCCCTCACAAAATTGAGGGATCTCGAAGTACCGGGGACTCTGTTATGGGGCTATCATCCCGAAGCCGTTTCCGCATGCGAAATTCAGAAAAATAGTCCTTTGTTCATCGACCTCTCTCCTTTCGCCAACCTGACAGAAATCCTACCGCGAAGCTTGGAGAGGCTCTGTGTAGACGAATGGTATAAGAACATCGACAAGAGCATGGAAGATTTCGCAAGGTGTTGTGGAGATACTAGGTTATTTGGGAATATGAATAGTTTGGAAGTTGGATTGAGCAATACGAAAGTGCTCGAGGAGATTTGTGAGGAGACTGGAGTTCAGCTTGTTGAACGTCCTGGGCTTGGGACTTTTAGTCCGAATCGGCCGAGGTAGAGTGTTATGTTAGGCAATGTCCATGGGGTTATATTTATATAAGTCGAAAGGAAATAAGACGGCGTCAAGCTAGCTCAATTGATACTGGAGGTCATATCCGAGGATGATAAGGGGCACCTACCTAGAACCTGGTAGGATTGACGTTTCATGTAACAGAGCAACATAGATTGAACCTAGTTGACGCAGTAATAGATCGAATAGTCCGGCCGTTAAGAGAGCGAGAAGGTAGCTATTTTGCGTTCAGATTCAGTGTTGAAGAAATAGTACCCGAAAACGTTGCTTTGTATCATAACCCTACTAGCATACATTGTGACTGACTTCTCAGAAAAGGCAACCTCAAAGTGAGAATCCCAAGTCAATCATGGCTAAGGTCCAGAAAAGTTTGTTGCCCCTTGTGTTCTCCTAACTCGCTCTACAAAAGTCCGAGAAATGAACCCTCTACCCACTCGACTGGTTGTCAGTGTAATTGCATCTCGAATATCTCCGTAAGACCCATAGCATTAATTTTACAATGATCAGTACCCCCATCCTCCTACTTCCCATCCCCCTCCTCCACATCCTCCTGCTCCCCATTGGTTTGTTTCTGGAAGGCAAACTACAAGCCTTCGCAGTGATTCAGCATTGTCCTTTAGACGAGGTCTGAATGAGTTGAACAGATCCGCCGAGAACGACTCCAACTCATCGAGCTCTTTTTCAAACTTGAAAACGGGTTGCAACAAATACTGGTTAGCACAAGTGGCTGCGATCATTTCGCGTACACGGTGGGTTTTGGGCAGCTCGATGGCGTCGCGGATATGTTGCGATGTCAGGGATTCCCATTGATCCGTAAGGATTTCCGCTACCTCGCCGTACAACAACTGGAAACTCCCACAGAGATCAATCCGATCCGCAAGCTTGAAAAAGCCGGCGTAAAGAGATGTTTTGATGAAGGCGTGAGTGGTGGCTCAAAATCGAAGTCGACAGATCCAGTATAAATCCATTGCATGACAAGATCGAAATGTTCTTTTTCGACGTCCTCCAGTTGAACTTTTAAGTCGGCGGTTTCTCGAAACCCGTTATTGAAAACCCGATCAAAGTAACTCGAGCTCGAGCAGGCAAGTTTTTTGGGCATGTTATAGCTTTCGTCCTTGACAACAATAGTAACACGAGCTTCCTCGTCGAATGCTCGAAGAGCCCTGCGTGATGTTAGATCGGTCAAAGATACAGGTATGGATTATCTTACTTGACGCATTCTGCCGGAGAGAGGTCTTTGAGAAGTGTTTGTGGGGCCATCTTTGATACCACTCCAATCACACTTGATGAAATGGATTGCAATTCTTGTTGTGCATGCGAGTGTGAAGGTATCTACTGCGGTAGTACTACCTGGTGTGAACTTGGATATGTCTTGTTGACAGGTAGAAGGAATTTTTGAACGATTCCGTAGGCTTCCGTAGCTGCTCACAGCTTCTTTTGAAAGTGAGGCCCAGGTTTTTCAACATACCTAGTCACCCGGGGTGTGGCTTTCTCGGGTTTCCACATCAACTAAAAAATGATTAGCAGATTATTAGACAGTAGCGTGTATAATAATTATAACTTAATAAATAGTTCACCGGTTGATGGTGAGAGAACAAGGTAACCTGGAATAAAACAGCAAGATTTCCCTTACTCTTATACTGATATTAAGTTATTAACTGGTCTCGTTGTAAATGTGAGCAAGGATGAATAATTAGAGTAATTGGGATTAAATCGTGTCGCAAGAACTGACTGTTTATAAAGCAACACGCTCTAATCAAGAAATCAAGAGATGAGCACATGACTAATGTAAGAGCCATTAATACACTGTAGCTGCAGTCTTCATTTCTGTTAGAGTAAATAATATATAGAGTAAACAATTTTTTTTCCCCACCTATTATGGTTCTTACGGATGGATCTTGAGATGAGTTTACTCCTGCTCTTAATCAAGATACAATCTCTTTTACTTCCTCGTGAAGGCACAAAGTTGCAAATAGATCCCCTGATCCCAGAATACTTAACAAAAAGAGTTGTCCGTCGCACATTCCGCTTTAGATTACTTGACCGGAGCCAAAGCTCATCAAGGAATTAATGCTGCTCATAGACATAAGAAAAGACATAGTCACTACATCTCGAGCGCGCCTAACACTAGTCGTTTATTGATATAGTACCACCTAGCTTCAATGGATTTAGCAAGCCACTTCCCCAACAACTTCCTAGCACATGACTTGTACAATCCTACTGAGGCTACCCCTAATGCCTCCACTACTGTGCTGGATACAAGCTTTCAGTACCAAGAAGAGCACGTTTGAAAAGCCTTGTATCTCGACAAGCTCTTTCTCGAACCTGAACTGATAGTCGTCGAGAAAGATAATAGCGCAATTCTTGACTATAGCATTGCGCACGTCATGTCCCACGGGAAGCTTGAGTGCATCGCGGATATGTTCTGCGGTAAGAACATCATGCCCATTGTCCGAGAAAATTCTTAATACCTCCTCGTAGACGGGCTTTATGTCCCCACAAAGGTCGAATCGATCGACAAGCCTAGTGAAGGTGATATATTTGGATAGTAGGGCGGAAGGAGCGATTTCAGGCGGAGAATCGTATTTGAGGGAGCCAGCGTAGATCCACTGTATAACAAGATCAAATTGTTCTTTCGTAACATCGTCCAACTCCAGCTTTGACTCTAAGGCTTCTTTGAAAGACCCTTTGAAGACTCGGTCAAAATACGCGGAGCTACCGCAAATAAGTCCTTTCGGTAAGATATACGTTTCATCCTTAGTGACTATAGAAACGCGAGGCTCGTCTTGTAGGGAGCAGACGGTCCTGAGCATGATTAGCATTGTCCATAACATGGTGTATGAGTTCCATACTCAGCGAACTTTTCAGGAGACATCTCTTTGAGTAACTTCTGAAAGGCCATTTTGGTATAGAATTTCTGTCAGAGATGGTAATTGTCGTATCGGTTGGTGTTGGTGTTGGTAACGAAATGATTGATCGAGTGGAAAGTGGCACTTATATAGAGGTTCTTTAGGTGAACTGCTCGAGTGACTCGTCCGGATTGAAACCTGCTTGCTTCCAGGTCTGTCACAACTATGGTGAAACATACCTTCTTTAAACACAATGGTCCCATTGTTCACCCAACAAAAACGGTAAAAGCTCACTGCCACAGAGTTGTTAACTTGTTAGAAATCTATCCTCAAATTTAGAGAGGCCTGTAAAGCTGTCATGATCAAAGGACAAACCCGGAGGTGCGTTTTTATAAACGAAGCGACGCCGATACAAACACATTATCAGCAAGTAATAATTATAAGCTCAAAGCAGGCTGCTAAAATTGCTAAATTCAGAACATCAATGGACCATGAATCCATGATACCGGAATAAACCAGGCCCGTGAATTGACGAGACGATGAGAGCAGTAGAGGGTCTCTACGGTGATGTGATTTAGGTCACGGGTACTGCTAGCGTTCAAAAAATACTGCAGCAAGGAGTTGGTTAGACTCGCAACAGTTGGTTAAACTCCCAGGTAGGAAAAGAAAATAGGGTTTGAACGTTCAACCAACGAAGCGAGTGAGTGTAGCTCCCGTTCAGCCAACAATTAGCCGGCGCATGTTTCCAAAAGAGGCAATCCCAAGGTGATTGGCGAGTAAGCGCTCCTGCCTTTCCCAAGCTTGCAAGCGCATCCTCCCCGCCGCTGCACTAGGCCGTCCCATTATTGACCAGCAGGAACAAGTTGAAATCACCCGCTAAATATCTTCAGCCTTCAACTACACAACCACGCGGACTGGGAGAGATCCAGCCAACTATCAAGTTATTCACCTTTACCCCGTCGGGCAACGTGATTGCTACCTTAGCAATCAAGCCCCGGTGAGACGACTTCGGTCTCACAACCTTCTGGTCCCAAAGGTACAACCGGCTTCCACCACTGAGTCCATTCGCTGGCACTCCCATTACCAAGGACAACATGCTTCAAGGCTCACATGTCTACTCGCATCAGCAGTACCACAACCCTCAAGGCGAGCCGTCATGGATGCACCAGCAAACGCACCATCAACATGCTCAGCAAGCAGCAGCCGCCGCCGCCTCGGCAGCGCAGCAACAGCATTTCAATCGAGTCGCGGCAACACATAACGCGACTGCTCCCTTAGCAGCATCGGCACATGTACAGGATATTGCCGTGATGGACAACGTTACGGAGGAAAATAAGCGGACGCTCGGCTTCATCTCTGATCTGTTAACGGAGGACACAAGGGAGGCAGCGCTTTTGGAATTGAGCAAGAAAAGAGAACAGGTGCCTGAGCTTGCTCTGATTCTCTGGCATTCATTTGGTATACTTGATTTTCCTCGGTGACAAAAGCGGTGGCCTAACACTCACAGGTGTCATGACATCCCTCCTCCAAGAGATTATCTCTGTTTATACCCTTCTCAACCCATCTCAGCTTACCGCTGCTGCATCTAATCGCGTCTGCAATGCCTTGGCACTCCTACAATGCGTCGCTTCTCACAATGAGACACGGGCGCTTTTCCTAAATGGTGAGCTGGAAAACCCCAATTTCTCGGTACCGCAAGTTAACAATTGACAGCTCACATACCTTTGTTCCTATACCCGTTTCTCAACACCACTTCCAAGTCAAGACCGTTTGAGTATCTTCGATTGACTTCTCTCGGTGTCATTGGAGCTCTCGTCAAGAACGATTCTTCCGATGTGATCAACTTCCTCCTCACAACCGAAATCATCCCACTTTGCCTGCGGATAATGGAGACGGGTTCGGAGCTCAGCAAGACTGTGGCCATATTCATTGTGCAGAAAATTCTTTTGGATGACCATGGGTTGAATTACATCTGCGCAACATACGAGAGATTCTACGCCGTGGGAACCGTTCTCAGCAACATGGTATGTCAACTGGTGGAGCAACAGACTGCTAGGCTCCTCAAGCATGTTGTCAGATGCTTTTTACGGTAAGAATACAGAGAGTGTGTGTATGCAAATCTCAACTGACTCGTATTAGCTTAAGTGATAATGCTCGCGCACGAGAGGCACTCCGCCAGTGCCTCCCAGAACCTCTTCGAGATGCCACTTTTTCATCAGTACTCCGTGATGATGCTGCGACCAAGCGCTGCTTAGCTCAACTCCTGATCAACTTGTCGGACAACGTTGTGGACCCTTCAGGAAATCACCAAGGCATATAATCAAGACAAAACTGCCTCTCACCTTTGTATCATACAATACCGACAATGTCTCACGACGCGGCGCGCGTGGTACTCTTCCCTTGGATTTCTGGCACACAAAATGATACCCAGTCCGTAATTTCTCACACCAAACAACTGGGCTACAACTGGTTACAATGGTTTACGAAGCATTTCCGGGACGATCAAGAGCTAGTTTGGGTGTTCTTTGGACGAGTCATTCTAAAATTCTTGGTCTGCTTTATCTTGTTTTGCCTTCGACTTAAGCATAAGATCTATTTGGTTCTAATCGGTTTTCTCATCAGTTTGGTGTCTTTGGCTGCGTTCTCGTTGCATTTACGAATGGAGTTTGAAGGGTTATGGCATGGAAAGGTTCCCGGTGCTTGTTGTGGGAGACGTTTGTAAATTAGCGAGGTTCTTATGGATAGAAGAAGAGACGGATCGTGACAATATGTAGACAAATATTTACTTTCTTCCGCAAAAGCATTGGAATCGGTGCAAGGGGAAGCATTCCATTCAGCCTTGCCGGCTTATTAGCAGGATGCGGTCCAGGTGCTGTAGACGTGCATGAATGCAATGCTGACAATTGAATCGGGGATTATGGAAGCTTATTTCTTTAACGCCGTTACGCCCGCAAACCCTATTGTATTAGACGGGTCACGGTTGGATCCCAAAGAGCGCGCTTCGTGTTTGTCTCTTTGCCATATGTGCGAGCACGTCCAAGGCCATTCTCAAGACCCGGAGATCTGCCGGCAATCATATCGCAATCAGTTACCTCCACCCCCATAGTGGAATAATAGAACCACAACTTCTTAAAGTTTCTCAAGACTTTCAGCTAGGATGATCATGCGAGATCAAGATCGAGAATGATTACTTGGTAATTGTAGCTGAATAATCGCCATGCACGAGCCTATTAAAACCAAAAGGGGTGGTCGGCTCGGTTCAACCATATTGATCAGTAATCTTTGTTCGTGTTTTGGTCGCCCACAAGTCGCAGTGTGTGGAACGTCAACGCCTTTGCTTCTAGAGAAACTCAAGCACAGTCAGAGCTACCAACAGAATCCCGCCTGCAAGCACATTCTTACAAATGAAACTGCGTATGATCTGTTTTTGACTCCATTTGGAATGGGCTTTTGTGACGACGGTCCCGTTGAGATTGGTTATATCCTCTCTTGTCTGACATTTTGCGCAGCATTTCATCTCTTTGAACGCAGAACCTCACTTGTTTCCTAGCGGAGGCCCTCGATTCGCGATGGATATGCCCTATGGCATCCCACCAGACGAGTATGCTCTAGCTCTTTTAACACAAGTCGCTATGAATAGCCGTTCCACACATGACAATTCTGGCCTTCGGCCCTCATCACCCGAGCTGCCCGCCAACATGGCACTACAGATCAGTAATCAACAAAACAGCAATGCCCACTTTGATAGCAGCAATACAAAGACGCACCGCTCCTCTGACCTACCGAGCACCTACGATACCTCTGTTTTGTCAACATCCAACATGACCACTATGTTTGGTTCCACATCGGGAAATACCCACAATCCCTATCTGGACTCCGCCTTTCGAGGTATTGGAAACCAAATAAATAGGAATTATGTCAACAACCTGGGGATTTTGAGTGCGGAGACTTATAATAACGGCTCAGTGGAGCGGTCTACTGCGCATGAGCCCCCAAAACAAGGAAATGATCCGGAAATGCCTTTTGGTTTGGTAGATGGGCATTTTTCTAGAAAAGATCCAGAAGTTGAAGTGAGTGAGGATACCATGGAAGTTCCAGAACTTGAACCTGCCGGCAAAAAGAAGAAGCAGAAGAGGAGAGTGGAGAATATCAGTGGCGATGATGAGGATGGCAAGAAGAAGTCAAGAGGTCGGCCAAGGGTAGACACCAAGGACGAGACCGCCGCCGATGTAAGATGGTAGTATATCAGCTTTGCGCAGCACTAACTCTTTGACAGCGGCGGAGAACTCAAATACGTATGGCACAGCGAGCCTATCGCAACCGCAAGGAGACAACGATCTCTTCATTAGAGAAGAAGGTTCAGGATTTAAGAGGAACAAATGAGGAAATGAGCAACATCTTTATCACGCTCTATGACTTTGCTGTTGGAAGAGGACTTCTTCAACGGGAGCCAGAATTTGGTCAGCAACTTCAGTCTACTACCGAGAGGTTCCTTGCGCTCGCAAAAGCAAGCAATGAAGATTTGATCCAAGATGATCATAGCGAAGGACCAGAAAAGAACGACACACTTCTTGAAGAGATGGAGGCTGGTCCTCCCAAGAAGAAGGGTAAAAGATCCCAAGCCAAAAATCGCAAAGACTCGACGCCTCCCACTGCAGCTCCTATTACTACTCCAGAGACTCCTGCATGGGGAGGGTATCAAGTGGACCACTCGCGGGAACAATTGAGCGACAACCAACCAGACTTTGAAATGCAATCTTATGATTATAGGCCTCGGGATGTCCAGGTTGTAACGAGACCAACACAAGACAATGCCAGCTTTCCTTTTGATTTCAACATGGATGACCTTCAGAGCTATAGGGTCGAACTGGCTCCTACAGATGACTTGTCGCAGTTTTTCCTTCCTCTGTCGCAACCACCGCTGCCACGATCGCACGCTTATGGGGAGTTCTCGTTCGGTCGGCGGTTACTTCGAGAGGCGTTGGAAGGTGCGATGCGACTACTCTCCGTGCCGGATTTACCTAGATCTGTCTGGAAGAAAGTCTTCAGCTTCTCTGGAGAGTACCAAGAAAAAGATGCAATCAAAGCGAGAATCAGCAAGATACTCGAACAACCAGCGAAGAGCAGCCTTCAAAATTGGAAGGCGCCATGGACCAACATTGGAGGTGCCGGCACATTCTATCCATTACCCCAGGACAACGTCAACGAGGATCTTATGCCCAAGATCAGGCCAGGCTACTCTATGGGCCCGCACACCAGTCGAGTGACGGAAGTCGAAGATTTGTTGGACGAAAATCTGTATTGCAACAAGCCAGGACTCGAGGGAGAATTCTTCGATGCGAACGACGTGGAACAATATCTCAGGAGCCGTGGACTTGAGATCCCAGAGAATGCCGATACGGTCACTGCTCAGATTGACCTATCGATAATCTCTGAAGCAGCAAGCCCTAAGAGTGGAAGCAGTGTATCTTCTGGAGTATCGCCCGCGACTCCCAAGACGAGTCTTGCGAACTTTGTACTGCCGAGTTACGACAGTTCAGACACAATATACGATGTGGACTCTGAGGGAATCAGCAGTGACGCATTCCCATTCCCATTGATATCAGCCAAGTGGACGCCTAATGCTACGAACGAGAACATAGAACCTTCTTTCTTCACCATGGCAAATGAAGGTTTCGCTAGGATGACCCCGACGATCGCCCAGAGTGACACTAGACCTACTATAACGCTCAACGTTCGAACACTCATCTCTGGTGAGTAACATATATCTACGAGAGTTGAAATGTACTGACATTATATCTAGAAATCATCAGCCGTGCAGTCTGTCTGGATCGCGCGCCTGGATTCAGACCATCCGACGTAAACGCTGCGATTGTAGCTGCTGTTAGAGCCCACTAATTTCGAAGCAATGCCATTAGGGTCAGGACTAGTCAGGCTTTTTCGACCATTCCAAAACTGGACTTATGACATAGACCGACGCTCTTCACGGGGTAAATCTGGGGTTTAAGTGGAGTCGATGTCTAATATCATATTAGTGCTTCCGCATTACTATATTGTAACGTAAACCCGAAGAATCTCGCATCTACGTATTCGGCGGTATTTTTTCTCTCACTGATATATACACCTGGCTTTCAATGCTTTTGGATTGGAAGACTCTTCCTCCGAGTATTCTCGATTCGTATCATAACCGCCGATAACTCAAAATGATTCGACCATCAACGCATCAGAAACACCAGCGAGTTCGGAGTAGCTACAGAGACAATGACATGAATCACAAGAACAAACTGGACCAGCACAAGAAGGTACCTCTATTTCCCAATCTTTCCAGTCAATAGTCTCTAATACCTTCCCAGGAACTCTCAAGCAATGGTCGTGTCCTGCGCCGTCTCCGCAAAGCCTGTGATCGAGCGAAGAGAGCCCTTTCTACCCCTGCGCAGAACTTTATCGGAATCGACTCTTTCGTTGAGGGTATGGATATGTACACATCTATCACAAATTCTCGTTTCGAGGAGACATGCAAGGACTTTTCTCGAATGTCCATGGATTCAGAGAAAAGTCGAAAGGGTCGGCCTATCGATAAAAAGAGTATCAGCGCGCCTTCATTCGGATCTGAGGGGTCATTCGGTGGATATGTACGGAATTCAGTCGTCGAGGAACCTTTCGATCACGGCAATCTCCTTGGAAATCAACCTGAACGCAAGCCAAGCATTAAAAGATCTCATTCCCTGGGCAGCTTCGTCAGCAGCACCTTCCAGAAAACACCTTCCCAAACCCCTGGACCACCAATCAATACTTCATTGGGCCCCAAGAAGTTCACGATCAAGCGTCCTCTCGGTATGAACCCGGATGAAACCGAAATCCATCATCTACGACGAATGGCTGCCAGGCCACGCGACGTAAGCGAGCGTCTTACTGAGATGGAGAGGAAGAAAAAGAACGATAATGCTATCAGACGACTCCACAAGAAAGTCGCTGCCAATATAGAGACGGCCAAGACCGCGGCGACAAAGACTAGCTAGATACTAGGGTTATCATCGCAAATCATTCAGGCTAGGCGCTGCTTTTTGGGGGAAAGTTTGGTGAATACCAAGGAGCATTGGGACTGGATATACCACTGCTACATGAAATCTGTTTTGAAAAATGGCGTATCAGAAAGGAATCGGATGTATGATGAAACGTTTGTGGAATGGAAATTAATGTATGAACATGAATTTGTTCTTGTACAACACGAAAATAGAAATTCATAAAATTTATACTGGCTTCATCTGCTTTTGAAAAATGCCGAAATCTGGACCCTTTTGTAGTTCTTGGGACTTAATCATAAGTAACACAATGGGAAATATTTCTTCTATAGCACCGCGAGGGAACAGATATTAGAGTTACCACTTCTAACAACATCAGATATCCAAGCACGTGACATAAATTTTACAACCTCGGCCAAAAATTGTTAAGCCATCAACGCGTCTCCCAGAGCCAGATCAAATGACCCTGCCGGCGTTGCCCAAAAGGTCTTTTGCACATCGCGTAGCCTGTAAGTTATTCGCCTTTCTTCTATTACATCATACAATTAAAACATACGCGCTTGGTTTAACAAATTGAAGCTTACAACTCCTCTAGGTAAAGCACTATATCGGGCTCTCTTGGTCCAAACCCAACATATCCCCTTGAAACCAGAGGTCCTCACTCGTGGACCTGTCAATCCTATAACACATCTTGTGCGCAAGAGATTCAAACAGAATATAGCGCTTAATAGCAAGAAGCAGGTGGTTAAATGTTTGGAGGTTGGATATGCTGTAAGTCCCAAAACTGTCTATCTTTCTAAGACGCAACTGATGAATGATACAGGTTGAACGGCTTCTCCGTTCCTCAGCCAGTGGATCAAAAGCTGCCACAGATCAAGTCAACAACATCCTCCAAATCCTCCATGACGACGCATACCAACAATCCCTCGTCACCGAACGACCTCATCGCGTACGACCTCCGAAACCAATTGCCAAACCCGGCGCCCCGAAACTACTAGACGTCGTCCCACGGCCTCTATCAGAAATCAAAGGCGGTATAAGGAGCGTCCCCAAAATGGTCTTCACATCCCGTCACCGCACAAGCTTCCTGCGATACAGCAAACCACAAAGCCCCTACCTCAGCAGGGTTATACGACAAAAAGACGACACGCGCGTGAAGCGGTTCGAGACTGCCGAGCGTCTATTCTTCGAGAGTGAAGAAGGGAAATTGGAAAACGTGTGGAATCACAATCTGAGCGCCGAGTTGGGTGTCAAATATGATATGGGGTGGGATTCGGTGCCGGCGACTGTGAGGAGGAGGGTGATAGGGAGAGATTTGAGGGATGTGGAGGATGCGAGGGAGTTGGCGGGACGGATGATGGATGTTGCCGAGAGAGAGATGGAACTGGCGGAGCAGGAGAGGAAGGTTAGGAGACATGAAAAATTGGAGAGGAAGTGGGCGCTTAAGAAGGAGAGGTGGGAGAGGGAGGGTAGGGAGGTACACGATGTTGTGAAGGAGCCTTTTGTGGCGCCTGAAGTTTTTAAGCCATATGGCGGTGGTGCTGGAAGCGGTGGAGGAGAGGAGAGAAATGGGCTAGAAGTGGAGGAGGGGAGCGACTTGCTCGCTGAGGGTGGGAAGCTTCGCAAATTCTACAAGCAAGATTGAAGCAGATCTCAATCCTACGATGGTGGAAAATGATAGGAAAGAAGCTTGTGGCCCATAGCAAATCAGCATTGGATCCACGATTTACGAGGCAAACTGGCAGTCGACGAAGAATTTACGGAATTCAGACTCTATATCAAGGCCGAAGATGGTCAGAAGAGCTGTATGGCTAGACCTTCATCGTCAAAGGAAGAATCGGGTGCTGCTACAATCTCCTGGAGAAAAGAGTAGGACAGTCATACGAATGCTTCCGGGGCTCGAAAAACTTCAATGAAGAAGGCAAGCAAAGGCGGAGTCTAATCCACGATGTTAAATGTGAATCTTGGGAGGTATTCGACAACATAGTACGGCGAATTCCATATACAAACATCTTGACATAGCCAAAACTTCTCGCAGCTCGGTGCTGCGAGATGAGTACTACCAAACTGGTGTCAAAGCCATGTTCCTGTATTTACTGAGCAACTTGTGGATGAGATCAGGCACGAGAATAGGTTGTCGAAAAATCATCTGGCATATTGGGCAACATACATGAGGAATTGGCGATTGGGTAACCCGTATCCAAGTGCTGCACAAATAAGCAGCATAGCAAATTCCACCGCAATTGTTTACATTAATCCGTCAATTCATCTACTATCGTTTCTCGTACTATTCCATTTCTTTGGACAAAAAGTGCCCATGTGAATCTTCTCTCGCAACTCTCATGCGGTTCATTTCCTCTAACTTGTAATGCCACAATCCCCACCGCTCTCACTTACCCTTCATCTTTCGTCACAGTAGTATCGGGTATTCTATATTCATAACTCATATTCTCGCACCTCTCAACGCCTGCCGCTTCTACCTTTTCCGCGAGTCGTCCGTACACCAAAGCAATTACATTGCAGTCCTATTGCTTGTAGGTCGATCCTTCGGCTGGTTGTGGTCTTTTCTTGTTCGCAGGAAGGCCCATGGAGTTTCGTAGAGCGATTAGGATTCGGGACATGGAGAGGTTTTGGGACCAGTTTTCGACGCCAGCGAGTTGCTCCTGGTTGACCTGTAGATTCGACTCGTTAGCTTTGAACCCTTTACAGTCTCGGAGACAATTTTTGATTCCACTAGTACTTACAAAGCCAGTCTCTGGGTTCACACAGGGTAAGTTGATTTGGTTCACAAAATAAACCTCAGGACGTTCGACTGGGTATCCGGGGGTTCCCTTGGGGTATTGTGCGGTCTTCTTGTTTGGATTTGGCAGAGGCGCAATGATTCTTAGGGAGTAAATTCTGTTCTCGTGAACGCTCTGCAAGATGCGTTAGCTCCTGCAACTCCTGCATTTGCATAGGGAGACTCGATATGTACGCACGTGGGGTGGGCCGAGAATCGTTCCGTTCCAGTTTACCATTTGCATATCATCTCCATCTGCGAGTCCCAACGAGGTGTAGGCTAAAAGAACTATGTATCAGTACATAATTGTGCCAGATAGAAAGAGAGACTCACTGTCTCCTGAACCTTTTTCTCCTTCCTCTAACTCCTCGAGCAACTTGAAGGGTCGCGGAATAACAGCAGGCATTATGTCCGTTTGATTTCCGTCAAAACGCGCTTATGTGACGATAGTCTCAGTCAGGATTCTAGAACCAAGTCGCGAACCGAAATTAATGCGCTACTTGTGGTGGGAGAAGTTGTTGATCGAGGATGAGGGGTTCAAAATGCTTCGTTTGTAGGTTGAAGTGGACATGGCGGGGTGGGAAGAACGGTCAGCCCCGGCAGAACTTCGGCTATCCTTCATTGAGGCCAGTTCGAGAAGGAATCACTCCGACAACTACATGTCGATTTGGACGATACTTCTGTATGATGGAAATCTCTTGTCAGTGGAAATAATATGACGGCTCAGATTTTGTCGTCAGAGCTTGGGAATCTGATTCAAGAGAGTAAACGGAAAAACACCGAGTTACGAAATGTGAGTTTCACGTCTTTGTTATTCAGGTAGCATTTGAGTTTATATATGAGATTTGTACTAAAAACTCATATTCTTTAGGCGGCTGAGAAATCATTAGATGAGCTGAAGGCTTTGAGGACAACTTCAGAAGCTCAAATAGCCGCGGGTAGGCACCCTCCACATATCCTTCTCATCCTTCCCTAGACTAACAAGCGTAGACCTCTCTCAAAGACCCAACTTCGTTACTCCTTTTCTGATATCCTGCTCAACCAAAAATGTGAAGTTCACTGGCATCAGCATAGTTTGTCTCCAGAGACTTGTTGTATCACGTGGACTCCCCCGATCACGACTCCGTGAGGTCCTTGAAGCATTTCGAGAGGCTACGTCTGCTGGGCTTGATGTCCAACTCAAAATCCTCCAAGCTCTTCCTAGTTTGCTGCAAAACTATGCCGACGATCTCAAGGGGGAGCTGCTGGCGGGTGCGCTAAATATATGTACCATTCTTCAAGCGAGCAAGAATGGCATTGTCAATAATACGGCGGCGGCTACGTTACAACAACTTGTCGTAAGTGTTTTCGACAAAGTCGTTGCTGAGGATAGTAAGTTTTGCGGGATAAATATGGTTCAAGCCCCTCTGATTCTGTCTAGAAATTGCCCTGGAGGTACCAACGATTGGGGAAGCGCCAATTGAAAATGGGACTGTCCAGCTTCGAGCAGCGGCGTTGGACGCTTACAGGGTATTCAATGATTTGTGTCTGTTGACCGAATCTCAAAAACCTCGATTTTTACGCTCTGCCGGCATGCCTCAAACTTTTGGCTTGGAGCTGATCGAATCAGTTCTAACCAACCATTCCGAGATATTCCTCACTCATCCGGAGCAAGCCAACATTTTAAGAACAAGAGTCATGCCTTTTATTATCAACTCCCTCTCAGAAAAGTTGAACTTTGCGGTAACGGTAAGAATAGGAAGAATTTTGTACACTCTACTCAGACGTCACCTAAGCATTCTTTCTTCCGAAGGGGAAATGGCTCTTGGTCTTTTAACATCCATGCTCGATCATGATACTGCTCTCTGGAAACGATCTTTATGTATGGAAATACTGAGAGGTATCTTCGCTGAGGCTCCTCTCATAAGGCGAATATTTGCCATGTATGACGCACAGGATGATAGAAAATCGATTCTGAGAGACTTGGTAGCTGCATTCGTCAGAATCAGCACTGAGAAACCAGCAGTAATCGGACTTGGATCTCAGTCAACGATACCTGTTGCAAGAGACGGTTCCTCTGGATCCGATCAGGCGATGCTTGAAGCCAGTGGTGTGGCAGGTATCATTACGAGTTCGGTCGGATCAAATGAGCCATCAGCCGGTATCAGTACGCAGTGGAGCACGATGAGAGTACCGTGTATCGACCAACTGGACAAGACCGATCCACCTGCTATACCAGAGTCCTACATTTATAGTTTGACACTCTCATGTGTCAGCGGATTCTCTGAAGGCCTTGCGAAATTCATTCTACCTTTAACAGTACCGGAAAGACCGCGGAAGAAAGCGACACGGCAAGCCGAAGACAGCAATCTTCCCCAATCTCCAAGAGGAACATTAGAACGGCGAACTTCCATCAAGAAAAACCCTGTGCCTGTAAATCCCTTATCACTAAAGGAACATCCTCTATATGTCGACATCGAGATTTGCGCTGGGATTGTGGATGAATGCTGGCCAGCAATCTTAGCCACTTGCTCGACTTTCCTCAATGCTTCATTGGATTCCGATTACTACCATGGACTGGTCAGGTCGTTTCAGAAATTTACCCACGTGGCTGGGCTTTTGCGATTATCAACACCTAGAGACGCTTTCCTAACAACCCTTGGTAAATCTGCGGTTCCATCAAACGTTCTTTCAGCAAGCGCTGCTCAGGCTCCGACCCCCGCTACTCCTCCGACAGAGTCACCCAGCATGTTTGCAAATGCCAAAGGTCTCTTGAGCGTCGAAAGCTTAGTTGGACATGCGTCCGCAGCGGTAGAACGGCAAAGACAACCCTCCATAGATGCGACTCCGATATCTTTGAATACACGCAATTTGCTCTGTTTGAGAGCGCTGCTTAACTTGGGTATAGCTCTTGGCCCAACTTTGGGCACAGCTTGGGGTATCATTCTTGGTACTTTACAGGAAGCAGATTTAGTTCTTTTCTCTAGCGCTAAACCGTCGCGGACGCCAGTCAATCAAAAAGATAACAATGCCAGGAATGGTGTCGACGATTCCGCATTATTGGCAAATTTTGGGTCAGAGATCAAGGCTGTCGAAACAGCGGCATCAAGATTGCTGGAAAGTACAGTTGACTTTCCTAATGAATCCTTTCTCGAGGTAGTAACTGCAGTATGCTCTTTGTTTGGCAAGGACGACGTGACGATACCAGTACAGGATCCTACTAGTCCCAAATTACCTTCCAGAGAAACGCGGCGTCCTTCTACATCACACTCTATGTCTCATCGAAGAATTCACAGCATCAACACAGCTCCTGCCACACAAAACCAGGAGGATCTTTTTGCTTTGGCCAAGTTGGGAGAGCTTGCAACCATCAATATTGAGCGTTTAATGGCGCATGAGCCTAGTATGAATGGTTGGACTATTCTTTCGTCTGATTTAATCGGGGCTGCATGCTCAACTTCTAGGCCTGCTTCAGTGCGACTGAGAGCGGCAGAGATCCTGGTTGGACTAGTTCTCGAGGCGGCAGGAAACACCTTGTCCCTCCCAGATGAAATCAGAAGCGACGTACAATTACGCCTTCTTGAGACTTTCAGAAGCGCACTTTCACCGCTTGAATCTAACTCACGTCCTTCATCTGCGGCTGTCCATACCGTTGATATTGATGTTCACAAAGTTATCCTCGAAGGCTTACGGAGTATACTCGAACAATGCGGTGAATCTTTCATCACTGGGTGGGATATCGCATTTGAGATCATTGGAAGTGTCTTTTTTAAATTCGAAGACGCTGATAATCGCACGGCCAAAACCACGACTCGTTCAGCAAAGCTCATCCGGTCTTCCTTCGGCTCACTCCAACTCATTTGCTCTGACTTCCTTTCTTCACTTCCGAATCCTTGCTTTATTATACTTGTTGATACCCTGTACCATTTCTGTACTCAAGATGATGATCTTAACATTTCACTGACGGTAAGCAACAGACCTCAAATGTTTCGATTCATTCCAGCTAACAATACAAACTAGACCGTAACATTCTTCTGGGTGCTTTCTGATTTTATTTCCGGCAGAACTAGCTCTTTCTCTCTCAGTTCAGACCTCATCAAAGGATCTGACGAAGCGTCGTTGATAAAGATGGCATCGGGAAGTGACATTGCTATTTCTGATGCTGCGTTGTGGATGCTCTTACTTTTACGACTTACTGCAGTGACTAGTGATGATAGACTAGAGTTGAGAAACAGTAAGGCTCCCATATGTGTACTTCAAAACTACCTTACTGATTATTGAGCAGGCGCCATTCAAACTCTTCTTCGCATATTTGATGCATACGGCGACCAGCTTACTCCTGAGGCCTGGTCAATGTGTCTTCAATCAGTCATTTTCAAATTGCTCTCTTCAATGGAAGCGCAATTAGTCATAACATGTAATCCGGATGCAAACGTCTCCGATAAAGATAGACTTGGATGGTACGAAACGACTGTGGTTGTATTGAACGGAATCACAAGGCTTTTGGCAGACTATCTCGAGACGCTGGCTCTTCATGCTAGCTTCCGAATCGCATGGGCAACTCTGCTCGATCACTACAAGTCTCTTCTTCAATTCAAAATCCTCGATATCAACACATCGGTCTTTGTCTCGCTTCGTCAGATCCTATCTAAAGGTAACTTACCGGAGTCGGAGAAGCGAAGTTTTGATGGTTCATCAATTGATCTTGCCTGGGGTCTCTGGTCGGATTCGCTGCCAATTGTCCAGCCAGACGCCGCAGAAAAGCGATTTGACAACCAAAAATATCTGGTAGCATATGTATCCGCTCTGCAGGAAATATACCGCTTGATTCAAAATGATCTTGACGCTGAGAAGGTGCACAGGATGCTAGAACTGCTGCGCGAAGCGATCCAACAAGCTAGTGCTGCTACTTACACTGCGGATGTTGACTATTTGACACCACTTCAAACACAAGTTCTTGAGAACTTGAAGACTATCCGGACCGACATTGAAGGAGTTCCTGGAGCTCTCATTGCTCAAGTCGCCGAGTTTGTTGCTTTGGCTTTCGAACCCAAAACCAACAATTCCGAGACTCAGCGACCTACTTATGTTGCTCTTTCAAAAGCTTCGATGAGTTTGATCGAAAACTTGGTTCTTGCACACTCCACTGACTTGGACATCTATACATCTGGTGCTCTGACTTCTGCCGTTAGTGCTTTAGCAAAACCTGTTATTCTGAAATACTCATTTCCGATCAACACAAGAGGTCTGTCGCCTTGGCGTCAAGCTACCGCCTCTGCACTTGCAATTATAAGGTCTATTCTTCCAACTCTCACTAGTGGCGAGCAGAAGGAAGACATAACGAGAGAAATATGGATGTCGATTGTTTCGATCGCGAATGCAATTACCAAAGCAGATCCGTCTGTAGCCACCACTGTTATTGACATACAATCGGACCAAGAGTTTGATATCGAATCCTTCCGAACTCTACGTACTCTAATAACTCCGGCACTTGGATCTTCCACTATATCCGATAAGACGAGACGCATCTACACGGACTCTCTCTTCCATACCTCTCTGATCCATGCTCCTCTTCCATCAGAGCTTCCATCCGCCACTCAGGAACTTCTGGGAACCCTCTACAAACCACGTAAAGGCCAAACCATCGACCCACCTCCTTCCCTTCGCTCGAAGATGTCATATGTCTGCTTCGACGAGCTGGTCTCTTTGATATCTCTCCATGACTCTTCTCCAGCGCGCGTCAAACTCGCTCAAGCAGCAGCTCCCTACCTCATTCTTCGCGCTGGTCTCACTTTGCGAGCTTACATTGCCGATCAACCATTACGAGGCCGAATGCCACAGCCTCTAAGTCAACGTAAAGAACTTCTGTACATATTGAAAGCGCTGGTAGACTTAAGATGTGAGCCAGATGGGATTCCTGATGCCCCGGGTGTGGATAGTGAGGGCAAGAAACATTTACATAGGCTCTACCCTCTATTTGCAAAAGCGGTAAGATCCGCGGCTAGAGATCAGGAGGTACTGGAGTGGTTAGGTAAAGCGCTTGATGAGGTTGGTATGGAGTTTGGTGTCTAATCAATTTAATGAAAAGCGTGCAAATAGGCGTTTAGAGGAATGTGCATACGTGTGCTTAAAATTTTATTTGATATCAACTAAAACGAGATCGCAGGTCATTTAGTTAGTGCGTAACTTGATAGATTATGTGATATGCGTAGCCTTGACTTTATATTGTAGAACCAAAGACTCGTCACATCCCCTTCCTCAACCAAGGATCTTCTAACAACTCCCTTGCGGTCTTCCTCTTCTCTGGCTCCCACTGCAACATCGACCGAATGAAATCCATAAACAACGCTTTATCCTCGCCTTCCAGATTCTCCTCCCGAGACTCAAGACTACTAGATGGAAGTGATGGTAAACGATCTGGATTTTCCGCGTCGGGCTCAAGCCATTGCCCATTCTCGTCGAAAACCTCGGCGGTTCGCTTCCCGCGTTTGAGTAAGTCGAGAAATGGAGGACCGAGTACGGAGATCAGTTCTTGTAGATGTGCGCGGGTTGTGTAGCGGTCTCGTGCTGAGTCGTGGCCGGTGAAAAGGTGTTTGCCTTCATAGATGTCCCAGATCTGATGACGATGTTAGTGACAGCAAGTAAACAAGGGAACATTTTCTTCTGAATGGAAGTAACATACCATGACACCTACGTTCCATATATCGGCACTATACGTCCAAGTCGTATGGAGCATGACTTCGGGACAGCGATATACTTGCGGATATGCCTCCCTGTCATTTTCCTTGTTACCATATACAGCAGCACCGAACTCGCAGAGAACGGGCTCTCCGTAAGAAACAGGGTGATTAAAATTCCGTGTCAAGTAGATATCACGGTCCCCTTCCTGTTTGCGTGGCGATGGGTCCACGAACTCTTCCTCCTCAAAGGCGGTCAAAATAGACTTATCCTCAATATAGTGCATGATATTATCCGCTTTGATGTCTAAACCTTGTTAGCATAGACATCCCCAGGTTTTGGAGGATGTTGGCAACCTGTATGTATGATCTGACGGTCTGTATGCAAATAATCCAAAGCGAGAAATAGATGGTATAAGAAACTCCGCAGTAGCTCTTCTGTAAGCCTGTCTTTCCCTGCTCGGTCGAGCATCGTTATGATATTATCCCAGAGTGGCTCGTGTACAATACACTCATGCTTACTTTCGCCAGATGAGAGCTCGAAGGAATCAATTGCGGCTCGGACATAGCGGTATCCCGCATGAGACTTCTTCCCGTCTTTTAGATGCTTATATATGGCGATCTCATCTTTATTCTGACCATCACTTGTGAATATTTTTAACGCAACATAGCGATGGACTCTGTGGACAGTAAGTACAAGTTTCGGAAGATTGAAAAGGTCAAGCAGGGGTACTACTAACTGTAAATCGTGTGCAAGCCAAACGGTCGAAGAATATCCGAAACCTAGTTTTCCTACGACTTGGTATCGAGACGAAAGTACCTCCCCAATTCGAGTGGGATAGTATCGATCTATACCATGGTGCTCTTCTTCTACTATCAAAGAGGAATCGATAATTGGGAATTTGATGTTCTGGTGATTTCTCGGTAGGGCTGGTGAACGTTTTGCTAAACCCTTTGCCCATTTAAGGAGATTGCGCATAATAGTTTCATATCAAAAGAAAGAATGCCAAAATCTGGATTCTAGCGGAAAACGTCTAAAACACAATGAGGTGAAGGAGAAATCAATCAATTGTTTGATGATGCAGGTTGCTGAGACATCCTCGAATAAGCTAGACTCTTTTGAGTCACAGAGCTCGGCCTTGTCAACCCAACACTACCGACAACATCCGGGGAGTTAAAACTTAAGAGCAAGTAGAAGGAGCCTTGGATAACGTCGTCAACGGTTGAGGCACTGTCAACCCTATTTCCACTTCTACAGGTTATTTCCACGGTATCACATCTAATAGAGGATATCTCAAGTTGATGTAGAAAATTATCATGGTATATGTTTTACTGGCCAATGCTATTAATTGGAATCATCCGAATCAGCAAACATATCTACAGCTCTCGGCCGTCTCCTCCGCTGCCCCTCCACCTCTGCTTTCGGCGGTTCTGTCTCCTTGGTCTCGGGCGGTGCCGCTGGCTGGTCTTCAACCATCGGTTCCCCATCCACATCATCTTCCGTCGGTTCTCCATCAATATCTTCTTCCATAGGTACACCATCCACATCTTCATCCGAATCAGCCATCGGCTCCCCATCAACATCATCTTCCTCCATTGGCTCTCCATCAACATCTTCCTCAGAATCCGCCGGAGGAGTATCCGTAGCAGCAACTTCAACCGCCTTCCATCGGTTCCTACTCTTCGCTGCCATTTCCTCTTCTTCCTTTCTTTTAGTTTCGGCTTCATCCTTGGCATCAAGAGGTGGATTGTTGAAGACAGTGACGAAATGTTCCTGACTCCCTTGGGGAAACACACACCAACCTTCCCATAGGCTTAGAATGTTCGCAACACTTCGTTTCCATTTCTCAGCACGCAAACGTCCCCAATTCATTTTCTTCTCCATCCTACCTAGGCCTTCAAAAACCTTTCGTTGGCGGAGTGCTGATTCGAAAAGTTGTCTGTAGCGCCAAGCATGTCTGACACCACTTGTGGACGACGAGGACAGAATATCAGAAATAAGATAAACGCCTATGAGACTCGCGGAGCTAGTGTCTGATTTCTCTTCGTCTTCAGCAGCAGGTTGATCATCGCCCCCGGTTTCCTTCTCTTTCTTGTACTCCGGATTAGCAGATGTGCAGGAAAATGGCTTCTCGATATTAGAGACGATCATCGAAACAATTTCGTCGGAGCCTTTGCCAGCATGCGATATAGCAAAAGCAGTGATACGTGCCACGTCCCCTTTACGGAGCTGCCCAGTACTTGTGGGAAGCCGACTCAGAAGGTGTGTGAGCTTGGCCTTCTCGAGTGGATTGAGATATGCTTTCCCGTCGTCTGTCAATAGACTTGGATCTGGAGGCGCTCCTCCGCTATGATGTTGCCTTTTAGCACCTTCATCTCCAGACTCATCGTCGTCCGATGAATTATATTCTGAATCCGAAACAAACTCGTCTAGCTTGGTAGTATACTCGTAGGCCAGTGGCTGGTCAGGTGCTTTCCACGCAGATGAATCTTCGAACAGAGGAAGATATCTACCTTGCCCCCTCTTGGTAATCGAGCCCGTAAGCACCTCCCATAGCCGCCAGCGGTACCATACTCCACCTGTACTTCTTGAATCCCAGATCCACGCCCATTTCTCTTCCCGCTGAACGTCTGGCCTGCTCATTAGAAGAGCCTCGAACTCTGGACCATGGCTGAGGAGACATTCAATGACTTTGTGTATGAGTTTTAGTTCTTTAATATCTTGTGGCGGCTGAACTGGTACGTGAAGTAGAGGACCGTTACGATTGAGAGCTGGACCTGAAGGGCCATAAGAACTTGGCGGTGCAAATCCTCTTTGATGTGTAGGTGGTGGTGCATGACCGCGACCTGCCGGCGCAATTACCACCTGTTTGGCGCCAAAGGGTTGAGATGTCGTGTTAGCCCCCAGGGATGGAAGAGACGCTATGTTCGCAACCGCAGAAGAAAGATGGCGGTGTAGTGATAAATAATGACCAAAGCCTAGGTATTTGTTTTGCAACAAGTTGACCGCAGCTTCGATGTCATTCGCAGCTGTGTCTTTAGCTAAGGTTACAATGGCTGACATGGTCTTTCGCTCGGATTGAGTTCCTGGTCCAGTGGCTGGTAATATTCGCACCGCATCAATCGTCAAGGTCGCAGGCATTAAAGCCTTGATGACCGCAGGGGAAGTTCCAGGAGGTAGAGAAGCAAGTCTCAGGGTGGGTTTGGGAACAGCCCTCTCTTCTTCCCGACTGTGACTGCCCGTCCGTTCGTCTTCATCATCTGAATTGTGGAAGGCCTTCGCAGGTCCCCTTTCTTTATCCTGATCATAGTCCTCGAACGCGAGTACTCCTCGATCATCCCTGTCCCTCCTGTTCGATGACTGCGATAACCCTCCGTCAAATGGTCTCTTCTTATTCACACTCGACGGTGGAGGTCCTAAGCTCCCAGGTCCGCTCCCAGGTCCACTCCCAGCACCTCTGCCTCCCAATCCACCTGATCCAAATCCTCTGCCTGCAACTGGCCCACTCGGCGCTCCTGCTCCTAGACCTCCTTGTCCGTAATGCCTCTTTGGCGGTCCAGAAACTGCTCCAAATCCTCCACGTCCAAGTCTTCCGCCGCCGTCTACTCGACCAAAAGCTCCCCTAATATCGTCGTCCTCATCGTCGAATGACTTGACAAAGTCTTCGTAGACGGCCTTGGTCTCAGCCTCTTCGCGCAGTCGCTTTGCTTCGGCGTCCGCTTTCTGACGTTCAAAGACGGATTTTTTGGTCGGAGCCTGTAGCTTTCCTTCTACTTCCGAGAACTCTCCAAATTTCTTCTCCGCGTCAGAAGGCATTACGATTAATGTCACATGTCGCGTTGGTAATGGAATTCGTGCGGCGGTTACTCCAAAATGAAATCAAAAGTTGTCGCCAACTTGTTGACATTGATGGATTGAAGGCCAGACGTTGGCGGAATTCCACCGCTCCGCTCCGCTGCAGGCACCAAAAGCTGCCGATCATCATCGATCCACAAGCGGGACGCGAACTCACGGTGGACAAAATAAGTGGCAGTCAAAACGAGATATTTCTCCGATTCAGTTGACGAAATATCGATATTTAGTGTATTGATTTGGAACAATATGACATATTTTGTCAATTATTTAAAGGAAATAAAATTTATTACGCTCCATTTGAAGTCGACTTATTCAGTCTCAGATTACTGGGCAGGTCGACTGACACTTATTTCGAGGCGAACAAGCCCTGGGGCGCCAGTGTGCCTTACTCACGAAGTATCCACCCCACCTTCAATCGCAAACATTTCAATTTCTTATCATTTGGTGAACTTTTCTTACATCCACGTATTTCTGGCAATTTTCTGCTATTACTGTACATATTTCCTTACATATACCGTTTCATTTATCCCTCCTTCCATCGCGTTCACTTTCATTCAGAGACAACCTGCAGTCAGAGAACGAGTCTCAGTCAGACCCACACAGTCACATTCCCCGAACCCGAGCCTAGACACATAATGTCCTCTCCCTCCCCAAATCCTTCTTCCTCCTTCAATCCTCCAAAGTCAATTCTTATTGTCGGCTCTGGAGTCTTTGGTCTCTCGACAGCTTGGTCACTTGCGAAACGTCCTGAATTTTCAAAGACGAAGATTACCATCGTTGATCGGAGTAGCTTTCCTGCTCCCGATGGCTCGTCGATTGATACTTCTCGAATAATCCGACCGGGTGAGCTCATGTTCCTTCTCTGCTTCCCTCAGACCACATTTGAGGGGTTCGTCACACGAAATACACAAGTATCTCAACTCAACCACGTCACTCAAACATCCCTTTCTTATTCCCTGCTAATTAATTCCTATAGATTACGCAGACCCAGCGTACGCCGCACTCGCTGCAAAAGCCCATGAGACATGGCGACAGCAAGGTCCAGATGAACTCGGTGGTTCAGGGCGATACTCGGAGTCCGGTCTCACTCTGGTTGCCAATCGAGGTTCCAACGGACTTCCTTATGTCCGCTCGTCCTACGAGAACGTGCTTGCCTTGAACAAAGGCACACCGAACGAGGGCACCGTCCACGAGCTCAAGTCCTCGGAAGAGATCAAGAACTGCGTGCGTACAGGCGGTACCAATGGCAACTGGGGCTACATCAACACCCGCAGTGGTTGGGCTGACGCGGAAGCAAGCATGATCTGGCTCCGCAAGCAAGTCGAAGCCACAAAACGCGTCACATTCCTCATCGGAACCGTGTGCTCTCTCCTCTACAGCTCTGCTTCATCTGTCGAAGGAGTCAAGCTCTCCGACAACACAGCCATAAAAGCAGACCTCACAATCCTCGCCACTGGTGCCTGGACACCTACCCTCGTCGACCTCCGCGGCCGCTGTCAAGCAACCGGCCAAGTCCTCTCCTACATCGACATCAGCGATGCCGAACAAGCGGCCCTCGCAAAGATGCCCGTCCTCCTCAACATGAGCAGTGGCATGTTCGTCATCCCACCGGCAAACAACATCCTCAAAGTAGCTCGTCACGGCTACGGCTACACCAACCCGACTACAATGCCCTGCCCATCTCCCAATCCCTCTCCTGCAGACACCACGATCTGCTGTCCTCGCACCGCTCTCGACGACCCCACGCTCTGGATCCCACAAGAGGGAGAAATGGCCTGTCATCGTGCTCTTCGCGAAATGGTTCCTTCGCTGGGCGATCGACCTTTCACACACACCAAGATATGTTGGTACACAGACACGCCCACCGGTGATTTCTTAATTGATTATCACCCTTCCTTCTCGAACCTGTTTTTGGCGACGGGAGGAAGTGGTCACGGGTTCAAGTTTTTGCCTGTGATAGGGGATAAGATTGTCGATTGTGTGAAGGGAGAGTGCCCCAAGGAGTTTAAGGAGAAGTGGGCGTGGAGGAAAGAGCCGGTGGAGAATGTTGTCACCGAGGATGGGTCGAGAGGTGGGAGACCGGGGATGATTCTTGATGAAGAGTTGCGGAAGGGGAGTAGGCTATGAAGGGTACTCTGTAAGAGGGTAGGAAGCTACGGGATGGAATGGGAGAAAGGATCAAAAAAAGGTAAGTCGCATCACATCAAAATACAAGCGATTGAACACACTAAAGATATTTGTATCGTGATATGAATTATCTGCTAGGTAAGGTATGAAACTAAACCTCCTATGGCTATAGATCATTCAAGACAGCAACTCGTCCGACGACATCAATCTGTATTGATATTGTCCGACATTCTGAGTGCCATCACCACGAAGTATATTATTTTGTTGGCGAGCTGAAGACATCAAAACCGTCCGTCAACCAGCTACCGATGAACTCTCGATCGAGTGTTCCTGTTTCTTTCTCGTAATTGGTCCGTAAGAAACGTCGACGCTCCGACAGAGAAAAAAATTAACTCTCAAGTTTCCGAAAGAGCGAAAAGCAATTAAGACGGCATTTCCGACCCGCGCACATGCCATCGCCGAATTTGTGTGGTGTGTGCAGTCTATGTTCTTCACGAGAGCGCGCATAAAATGAGGAAAACATGCTAAAAATCAAATGGAGAGTCCTCTGAGACTCGCCCCCGTGTGCGCCGATGCAATGCTGTGACAACGGAAAACATACGATGACTACCGAATGACGAAGATGTCTGTCAAACGGATGTGAGGTGGATCGTCAATCATATCGTGGCTTTTTGTAAAGGGGTCGTGAAGATCGTGAACGAAAATACTTGTACAGTTTAGGTGGGGGAGGGGTATGGTGATACATCCTGCAATGAGGAGTTGAATGATCATACCACTGATGCAAATCATGGACAAAGCCAGACTAGACTTTCTTGAAATCTGAGTTGATGAGTTAGTTATATTGTAATAAGATAATTGAATATTGAAGAACAAACCTTGAAGCACAGGGTAGATCATTTCGAAGGCTTGATAGATCTCTTCTCTGACTTTCGCACCGGTCAAGACAATCTTTCCACTGACGAAGATCAGGAGCACAATCTTGGGCTTGATCATTCTGTAGATGAGACCAGGGAACAACTCAGGCTCGTAAGAGCTGAAATTGTGATGGCGCGATGCAAGACCTTCCAAACGGATTGGGAACTTGATGTCGCAAGAGCCGACAATGTTCTGGATTTTGAAATCGGTGAACTTTGCGTTGAAGCCAAGCTTTTGGATGATACGAGCATATTTGCGCGATGCAAGCTTTGAATCGTCTTCCGACTTTGCACCAGTGACAACCATCTTTCCTGATGCGAAGATCAGAGCAGTAGTCTTTGGTTCACGAATACGCATGATAACAGCGGCGAAACGCTAGAGTAGTAGGTTAGCAAGAAGAAACGTATTTGTAGCAACAGCCTAGAGTCAGCAAGTACCTTTGGGTTGTATTCTGCGTTTCTCGCATGAAGGGCGATCGTCTTCAAGTCCAAACGGCAATCGAGATTGACAGTGGCAACGATGTTTCTTTTCATGCAAGATAAGCCTCAAGTTCAATTTACGAAGCTCGAAGGTGATACATACTGCAAAGTAGGGACGATCCCACTTACACCCGTCGGCGCGCTTGTGCCTGGTGTAGCCGCAGGAGTCGCGGGAGCCACCCCATTGCCAACATGGCCTTGAGCAACCTGCTGCTGACCATTCATCTTTGCGGTTTGGCCATCGGTGGGAGGTGTGAGCTCATGCGCACCACCTGGGAAGGACAGAGAACCGGGCGCGATGAAGGTCTTTGCCTGGGCGGCGTTCGACGGATGTGTTGTGATCTGATCCATGTTTGCGGAGCCTTGATCTACCTGCGAGAATCGAGGGAAGTTGAGCAGGTCTGAAGACACTTGTTAGAATAGGCCTCAGAAGCACGATGCGCAATGTTGGTCTCAAAAAGATCGCGTGTGATGCGTGCGACCTGACAACTGCAGAAAATGTTGTAGGTGCGATGGAGCGGAGGTGGAGTAGAAGTTGAATGTATATATATTTTTTTTCTGCCCAAGGCGGTGGGAGGGACCGTACCGTTTGGAGGAGAAAAACAACTCAATGTCTCCCCTACAGTAACTGCTCGGCAGTGAATCGAAAGCGGAACTGATGTGAATCGAGTTCGGCGACGATGCTATCTATGCGAAAGGACTATGGTGAAGCGCAAAGTACAAAGTGATTGCGACGGGTTGAATGTGAATTCGTGTCGCAAACGGACAAAGGCGAGGTCTAGTCGAAGAAATGCGGACTGGGCCAGGTGAATGAATGTATATGGCCGAGCACTGTGAACCGTGCTATGCGATCGAACTCGGAAAAGACGTCGAGAGTCGAGACGGCAGGGTGGTCGGATCGGATGTGGTCGAGATGGTGTTGGTGTGGTCGTGGTGGTGATCCGGTGGTGGTGATGCGCGAATGTAGATTAGACCCAAATACGCGAGAAGGCCTTCCAAATTCCCTGGGGCAGGAGCGACTCTTATATACTGCCGAGTCGGAGCGATGGGGGCCTGAGGCTGGGAAGCTAGAGCAAAAAACAGCGAGAAGATTCTTCCTTTCCGGGGCTCAAGGGTGGGCTAGCGTGATCGGTAGCGGCCAATCACGAGACCCGCGGGGCGCGATCTGCTTCCTCTGGCTGGACGTGCCGGTTTCATCAGCAAGGAAAAGGAGAAGATAACGCGGCCCTGCACCGTGCACCACAAAGGCCGAAATAAGGGATGCCGCTTGGGGGCCTTTCTGCTTTTGTGGACTCGTCATCAACGTGATTCTTCTCTTTAGACATGAGCGTTTGCATTTTTGCATCTTTCGTTTTTCTTTCCATCCATCTTCACATTCGACGACGATATCCGACGACAGCTTCTACCTCAACGTAGATATTTCGAGAATGCGGCATCACCGGAGTGCTCTGGTGGCACAGAGAAAAGTTGTCCCACGATTACCTAGGAGAGATTGCCACGCCGAACCCGCCGCCGCGACTTTGTCAAGCCAGACCAGACCAGAGCGAGCGCCAGCCAGAGGGGAGTCAACTCCCACCGAACCCAACCGACTCGTTCGATGACGGCCTACGACTTCGCATCACGATCACAAATCTTGGAGTTTCGACTGTTCTCCGTTGATATGCGCATTTCAGACAGCTTCCCTTGATGCATCCACTGCGATGCGACACCACCATGATCGCGTTCAACTGGAGACTCTGGGGAAGGCTGAGGGACATGCTGGACCGCCTGTGAGAGGTTCTTGGGGTCGTCGAAGGGCCTGTCGATGCCTATTAATGCTTGCACGCATATTTCATGCATTCACAGCCGCCACACAGAGTGTGTGAGTGAGTCAGAGCAACAAAAGTCGGGGGTCGGAGCGCGAAAGCAAACGCAGCTAACCAATCAACAGAGGCAATGTGCTTTTCCTGGACGACGCTCCCAGCCTCGGGTCCATGTCAACTCCTATGATATGCATACTCCCTGCTTCGCGATAAGTCAGGTTGGGTGTACAGTAAAAGAGAAGATGTTTGTGCGAAGATTCTGTTTGCTGGAACTTCTTGCGTCGTGTCTTCATCTGTTCGACATCACAAAGCAGCCACGGAAAGACTTTGCGATCAAGACATGATAGAGACACGATTCAGGGGCTGCAAAGTAACCGTCACTTTTTCTTGTCACTGCGAACGAGCCAACGGTGTGCCCCACACGGTCTGCTATTATTTCCGTGTTTTTAGAGCAGCGTCCGTACAAAATGGACGGGGATGGTATGCGCCAAGTGTCAGCAATCAAATAAATGTTGGTGGTCAATCTTCGATTTGGAGCAACCCTACTGGAGCTTCGCCGCGAGCCTCATCAACTGTGGTTGGTTTGAACGAGTAATCTGCTCAGTTATTTTTACTATCGAGGTCTTGCGATTGCAAGAACTGACCCGGCTACTATTGTTTCTTTTGTTTCTGCTTTAGCACATTCTTTCACGCTGCAAGCAGTTTATCCTTTTACCGAATGCGATCGCGTCTTGCCCCTCGCAGCTTGTCGCGTTCGTCTCCGTCACATGCCGGAACAGACAGAGAATGGTCGCGATAGCGCATGACCAGACAAGGCTACCGGTTATACTACAAAGTAGGTACTTTGGTACGGGCGTATCTTATCCCATCCGGAGATATTGATTCCGGCTTCCTTTGTTCGCCGACGAAAACCTCATCAGGTCTTCCTTATCACGACAATTATCAGCTTTCCGTATCACGGGCATTTAATTTTTCGTACGATGGATTGTTGAGTTGCAAAAAATTGCCACCCCATGATTGGTTTTACGTACGACTTGGCCTCTCTACATTTTCGGTTGTGACCTTGAGCTTGGCACTGGCAGACTTTGACATGATTCCATCGCGGGCTTGAGTATGACTTGAGAGATGTCAGAGCTTTCACATGTAACTCTTTGCCTACGAATCAGGAGTTGGGAGGCAGCAGGTAGTACACGCCTCTCTTTATCTGTTTGTTTGCGTAATGAAATAGGTGAGCCTGCTCGAGGCAGCTGCGATATCCGTTTGCGGCGAGACGCAAATGCATCACGCTTTGATCCTCAAATCTCAGGAATACTCGACGCAAACAAGTGTTGTACGTGTTATTCGCGATGCATTGCTCTCACGGCCGTGATACATTCTTCGAGTCTAAGAATTCGGGCTTCTATTGAATTTCATCGCTTATCTCTCGTTTGATCCAACAATGAAGACTTCAAGTAAGGCCCAGAAGGACCTCAAGGACCGCAAGGAAATGACGGCGTTGACGGCAATGATGGAGCTGAAGGTCCAGAGTACATTGTGCACCGTATAAGCAAAACGTGGAATTTTCACACCTAGCATCTTTGTACCATTCTTCATTCATCTCCGTTTAATGACATATTATCATAGTGGCATGCCTCGAGTTACCATTGCTAGGACGATCTTTTCAAAATAACTGCAAAGGTCAGAGTACGTTCAATAGCCGTTCAGATGATCGCCTCTTCAGACACTTCATTATGCTACTTTTCCTACAGACACCTCAATCTCTTGGGCGAAATACCATTTTATGTTCAATCGGGTTTTCCGTCTTCCTGTTGTTCGTTTACTCCACATTGAACGGCTTCCTCTTGATTCTTCACGGTGTTAAATCACTTGGTGGGACTTTCTTGGGCGTAATTTAGACTAGGACTTTAAGCATTTGATAGTTTAGGCGTAAAGGATTACTCTTGAATGAGACACAGTTATTACGAGGAGGGGTTCGTTCTTGGGTGCTACCTTTCAATCATACTAGTACCTAATTAAGTCAATACTCTCACACATAACTGTAGGGTTTGGAAAATTACCGTCTTTACTGTATTTCCGAAGATCTGGTAGACCTAGTGTTTTATGTGTTTGGATTGAGAGGGGACATGTGAGAAAATTTATAGTCAGTGGCTTCTAATGGAGGTAATCACATTAACGCCCCTATTCCTTAGCGAAGGTTTAGAAGAAGCTCTGGATTTGTTTATATTTCAGAGGATAGCTAAGAATATTAGCAAGCAAGCAGCGTTCAATCTATGTAGGATTGTCAATACCCAAAAGCTACCAACTATAATCAAACCTCCCAATCCTGGCATTCTTTGATGCGCCCGTGTCTAGACCTAATCTTCTACGCGTAGTACTAGTAACTTACCACTCCAGCATTCTAAATTGTGAGATTAGAAGGTTATCGTGCTAAATAGTTATATCGTCATCGCCGAGCTCAAATAGTTATACTTTAAGTATCGATTCTCGACCTCGACCTCGAGAACTGGGAGTACGTATACGTTCAAGCACAAGCGCACGGAAAAGATAATCTCAAACCCATCTTTTTTCGATCCCGATACCTCTTTCCGATGGGACTTTTTGGTTAGATTTAATAAGGCTGTAAGATATCTTGGTTTATATTTCGAGGGTATTTACTTGTTGATGTTGTTATATTACTTAGATGATTATTTTGGTCACAGTAGAGAGTTTCGTTGCGGGGCAGCCCGTTTTTAGAGAATTAGACTTGGATTTGATTTTCTCTGGATCTCTGAGAGATTGTTCGTTTCGGAGTGCTGGGTTGAGTGGTTCTGGGGTATGGGAAATGGGAGATGGGAAATGGAAACGTTTGAGGAGGTGGTCGTGGAATTTTGTTTATTGTTTGACATAAGATTTTGGCAAAGTACAAATGGGTACAGTGTTTTTTGTTAAGACGTATGGATGGGTGGGAGGTGATCTGAAAGGCGGGTTGTGTGGTTGGAGGATCTTGGTGAATGTCATCTGGGGCGACGGGTGGTTTCTTCACTTTTTCACATTCACCTCACCTTTCTCTCCTATATATATTCAAAATCAGCACTTTCATTCCGACCAAAATCTCTCATAGACTAGCGTTAAACCTAGCCTTCGAGACGGGAGTAGACGTCGGAGAAGGGTAATGGTTGAAGTGAGTATTTTTTGGGGTTTTTTTTTTGTTTCTGGCGGGTCTTAGTGAGGGTAAAGGGGCTCGCGGAGGACAAGATAAGTGTTATTTACCTACCTACTAATTTTGAGACTCGACTTCGAATAAAGCTTAAGAAATCTTATTTACTTAAAACAATTGTCTAAACAAGTTATATTGTTCCAAGTTAATCCACTAAATGCCGATATTTCGTCAACTTAATCGAAGAAATATCGTGCTTCGATTGCCACTTACTTTGTCTACCGCGAGAGGGGGGTGTTGTATGAAAAGATAATATAGGGGATGTTAATAGCGGATTATAATTTATTAACTCGAGCTAATAAATATACTTAAATTACTTAAGACATCTAAATAACTCAACGTACTTGTTAAATTATAAAATGCCAGAACATAAGTTAGTTTACAGGCTTGTTCGCGTCCCGCTTGTGGATCGATGATAATCGGCAAATCTTTTGTGCTAGGATTCTACCTTCGTACTAGAGAAACCTAGTGAGTGATAGTTGGTCTCCTAACACATTAAACCGATTAAAGCACTTTACCAGGCTATCCTAAATTGTTAGGGTACCGCCTAATGAATTTACAATTAGCATCTGTAGAACTTTCCTTTTCGGAGCTTCTCGGGTCTAGATATAAATAGTTCTTCCCCCCTCTCCCCTTCTTACTTCACTTTAAACATCCTTAGTAACTTCTGGAATTAACATATAACCAAAGCCACTCACACGTACACTCACCGATCACCTACCTGTCACTCACCGACTGTTAAGACCCACGAATCATTCGCATTGTCAAATTAAGCGACTCAAAATCATCCTCAACAGCGACAATGCCCTATTACACTGGCCTGTCTACTGTAACAATATCTCAAATAGCTCTAGGATGCCTGGCCATGCTTGGGGTTTTCGTCCTCTGTGGGTTTGCCGCTCTCATCCGAATTCGGATTGAATATGGTGTCTGGCCCTGGCAGCCGTCACCAGATTCTGGGAATCCTTCGGGGACGCAACAAAATGTTAGCTCTCAAGACAGCCCGGTGACAATAAATAATATCGTACATATACACGTCTGGGAGGCGCCGAGATGAGAGCTTTTTGATTTCACTGGCAATAATATTTCTATAACCCCTCAACAAACCGCAGTGGGGTCTGGGTATCCACGCAGAAGCTTCCCACAGGCTAAGGGGCCAGTCAATACAATATGACCAATACCGCTTTTCACCACTTCTACTTTCATCTGCGTTCGAACATCTTATAATCATCCTACACAATGGAGACGCCCACGCCGAATGTTACGTTCCCGACCCAAAAGACCCCAACGAAAAGAAGCCTCTCTCCATTTAAAGAAAGGCACTTCTCGAGAATGTAACGCAAACGAAACATACTCAGCGATCAAATCTCGAAGACATTGGCCAGACCCCTTTCGGGTACGGCTTAAGGGTTATTCGTACAACCTTGACAAGAGAGGGTTATACTAGGGAAGTTACACGCCGGTAACAACCGCTATTATATCGGAATAGGAAGGATTGTTTGGCCTGGGCTCGATAACATGTCTTCTGGTCGGATAAGCAATAAATCGAGGTGTTTGGAGTAAGGAATTTGGGTTGATCCTGGTCGCCATTATCGGGATTAGGTTTTCCGAAACATAGGGATAGAGGAGCTCTATCGTAAGGGTGTGTTGAAGCTCGTTGTCGACGAAAGATAGGCTGGATGTCTTGGGCTCGATATTCAGCAAATATGGAAGGTTTCGAGAACTCTTTTGGGAGAGGATGAGGAGACGATGAACGAGGGCTCTTATTTATAGGTATTAGTGTACCTAGCTTCAAGGAGATAATTCAGTTACTATAGTTCTTATGTGAGGCTTCGGGGGACAGTCCGCAGGCTAGGAATCTATCTCAAGATACACAATTCACGCTCTTATTCAAGGTATAATGATCGATATATTGATGTGATTTCGACGGAAGGCGGCCTTGCAGAATACTAGATTAGTATTGTTAATTACGATGTACATTTACGATTTTGGCATTCCTTTTTAGAACAGCTACCGTGGTTTGTTCAGGGGTCATAGAAGAACATGAAATACGGGTACTTAACAAATTTTACGGAATAACTACTATATTTCGAATAACACTCAACTTCTTCTCGCCTATTATCTACCGCGAGCGCACATTCTAGGCTTCATCGTTCCAAAGGTTTTAGTTTTACCTTCAAATCTTCCGCACCCTTTCATTTTCCAACCCGTGTTTTTCACCAGCCGGCCTGCCAATCTCAAGATCGACGATTCCCCCATCCGTACCGACAGATGCCTCATTACCAACAGGATCTCCCCTTTCACATCCCTCGAGCCGAACGCATATCTCAAACTAAAATTCCAACAAAAGCTCTAACAAAGATACCCACAGACCTTCCTAACAGTCCCAAAAAATTTCCCATAACCGTCACCGAAAGCAAGACCCACAATTCGAAAACGATACGCCCAGAAATAACCGGTGAGGTGGTATTAGATTTCGAAGGCGATGGGTTGGATAGTCAAGTAAACAGCCGGTGTGCGAAGTGATTGTCTGGTTAGTGTTGTAGACATTACGGCTTTCGGACCGGAAAACGTACCGTATCTAAAGGAAAAGAAAAATGTATTTGTAATCTAGAGAATCTGGTTAGCGTTTTAGTCGCTGGAAATTGAATCACTTCAAGTAATACGTACTATAATATTCCGATATCCTTCTATGTCGGAATACTATAGTCTAGGTAATCCTTTACGAAATTGCGGTACTAATATCAATAAGACAAACTCCTCATTATACCTCCTAAAACATTATTAATACTTTCTCACGTACAAACACTTATCCCTATCTGACTATAGACTAAAATAACATCCCTAGATATCTTTTATAGAGCTTAAATACATTTGTCTAAGGACCTTCGAACCCAGAACCTGTAATTCTTCGAGCAAACGGTAAACCAAAATGAAATACTTGCTTTTTACGCCTTGAATAAGCTATCAAATTTCAAACTCGGTCGTCGGATATTCCGACCCAGGCCGTGGGAATCATCCTTCCTCATATCGGCCTTTATGTATGGTTATTATGCTAAGATTACAATATGTGATGTAGACGTCATGGTTGCCGCGCTGGGGAGGATGGGTAGGATGGACTGTTGTGTTGAATTGTGGTGTCGGAGATCCGATGACCTTTCGCTTTTCGCCCCTGGGATTTAAGCGAGGTGGTTTGAGACCTTAGTCAGACTGAATACCTAATATCATAACAGAATGAGAGGTAAGATCAAGTGAGAGAGGTAAATGATCAATATGTAATGAATGTATCCATCATCTCAATTTTATTTATCTACAATGCCAAATTTCTAATACCCATTAAAACGCCGGTCTATGCCCTTTCCATACTATGCATTATTCATTTCATTTTCATCTCTTCCCTTTCAAACCTCATCCTCTTCCCACTATTCATTCCCTTCCTCTCCCTTCCTCCCTCTTCCCCTAAGTATCCCCACCCCTTAAGCTTAAAATCTAACAACCAACTTCACACCCCCCATCTCCCCCGTCTTCAACCTCTCCAATCCCCCCTCAACAGCTCCCAACCCCCCGTCCACAACCTCAATCGCCGGCAACCTCACCCACCCGCCCTCAACCAACCCATTAAGCCGTTCCGCATACCCCCTACACGACTCATCAAGCACAAACTGTTTCATCTCCACCGTAACAACATCCACATGCTCCGGCGGTGTATCCTTCGAACTCATCATCGCGAGGGGCGCAAAGATCTTGCGTCCGGGGGAGCTCGGGGAGAGAGTTTGCATGGTGAAGGGCGCGGTTTTGGTGCCTACGAGATCAATCGCTTTGGTGATATTCCCCGAAAGCGCTTGGATCTCCGCAACAATCTCAGCGTTACTTTTGCCATCTCTGATCACGACTTCCGCGCCGAGACTTCGTGCTAAGGGTGCGGTTTTGGCGGACGTAACAGCGATGACTCTCAGACCGGAGCATTTCGCGATTTGGATAGCGAATTGGCCGGTGATAGTCGAGCCGCCCCAGATAAGGAGCGTTTCGGCGGTGTCTTGAGGGGCAGGCGGGAGGGAAGGGAGTGCGACGCCGAGCCAGCGCCAGAGAGTCATTGCTGCGGTGAGACCGGCGACGCCCAGACAGGCTGCTGATGTGAAGGTGGTGTTGGTAGGGAGAGGAAGGACGGTGTGCGCTGGGACGGTGACGAAGTGTTGGAAAGTGCCGGCGCGACGGTCGCGGTAGTATGTGCCTGTTATATGTGAGTGAGGATGTAAGAAGACGGGAGGAAAAGGGGGCGTACTGGTCCAGACGTGATCGCCTACTTTGATGTCTTTTACACCTGAGCCGACTGCTTCTACTACTCCGGCCATTTCGCGACCGGTTATCCAGGGGAAGGAGGGGAGACAGAAATTATAGTCGACGGATTTGTAGTCGATTGGGTTTAAGCCTGTGGCGCGGTTTGAGATGATAATTTCTTGGTCGTGTTCCATTTCTGGGAATGGGTCATCTTGAAATCCATATGTTCCTTTTGAGGCGACGACAAATGCTCGGTTTGTTCTTGGGACGAGTTTTACTTCTTTCGTTTCAAGGACTATAGGGGTGGCTCTAGCTGTGTATTGTGATGCCGAACTGATTGATCCTTGAGAACCCAGAGATGTTGGTTTCTTTCCGTCAATTCCAATATCATAATGTACACGAGATACTGGGATAGTCTCCTTTGTTGATTCTTGCTTTCGTAAGCCGCAAAGCATACAATCCAAAAGTTGAGAGAGGGCCATGGCGAGAGATGCGAAATGGAGATAAGAATTGGCAGTGAGTCCGTAAAGAAAGTCTAAAGAAGTACACGAGACGGGTTTAGAGACTTATATCAAGTTTAAGAAATAGACATGAGAAAAAGAAATCGGAAAGACAAATGCTGGTCTTGCTTGTCTTTGTAAAGCTCAAATCAATTGAACTAAAGATACTACCAATATGCATATATTATGTCGTGATCGCGCTTCCGACGGTCGGAAGTCCCTGTCGTTGATTGCCAGCAGTGGGTCTCCATGGTATGTTTATCGCGGAGAGGTCCCGCAAGACGTATCGCAACGGGATGAGGCTGCCGAAAAGACCATATTGGTGGCTTCAAGATCTTCTTGTCCAATAAAAGACCAGAATCTTGATATAAGTTCCATGGTAGTGGTTCTCGACATGGGAAGGCCAACTGCCTTTGAGGGTTGGCGTTCGTCAGAAGAGGTTATCTCTCTCAAAAGTGGGATATATACATCCGTCACATGACATGGGGATCTGACCAAGAATGGCTGCGATCCTTTGGCGGAGGTGCTGACTATTGAATAGGCAGAAGAGTAAGATGCTTCCATATTTTCAATCGTCGTCGTCGCTATCGTCACCAAAAATAGCTTTGAAAACAGCTTCCCCTGCCCGCTGTCCTTCGAGTGCCTCGTTTTTCTCTGTATCAATGACAATTTCCTCCTTTTTGATAACAGGCTCAGGAGCCTGTATGTTGGCGGAAGCGAAGTTTTGGTTGCGAATACCCTGCATCATCATTTCATCAATTGCTGTTTTGGAAACAAGGTCTGGAGCCATATTCCGCGGCATGTCTCCCTCAGCGTGCTCGGTGGATCCGGGTTGAACATGCGATGGAGGTTGAACATTGAACCGCTTGCATAATAATCTTGTCGGATACCAGTCTTTTGAGCTTCTGGTCATGGGTCCATACATGCCTAACTTTGCAGCTTGTTCCGCAGGATCTTCTGGTTTTGGCTCTGGTTTACTAAGTAAAGCTGGCCCAGCCGATAATTCGGAAGCATCCGATGCTACCTTGGGTGCAGAGGTGGAGGAAGTAAAGCGTGTAGCCATCATACCCGACATAGGTTTGAATATTTGAGCGCAATTAGCGAATTCTTGGAGCTCTTTCAGCCAGTCATTTTTCGAAAACCCGCCACTACGCTCCAAGGGAGAAGACCGAATGCCCGCTTGGTTCTCAAGGTAGTTCCGATATCGACTCCTCTTCGCCTCATCCTCCCCGTAAGGCATAAAACCACTTGCACCTCGGCTTAGAGCAGCTTCAGCAGTAGCTCTATCGACTCTGGGTACCTGTGCTAACAATTCTTTGTGTCGCTCTTCTTCCGTCATATTGTAACCTTTAGGTATTTCACCGAGTGCTAGCGGAAGATTGCTTTTGCCTGACGCAGAGGCTAGCTTCTCTCTGGCAGCTGGACTGAGAAAGTCAAAAACAGATTTTCCGGGTAATGCAGCTTCTCCCAGAATTGCAGCTCGAGCTTTTGGATCAAGACTAGATAGTTTTGCAGCATCCGCCGTGGAGATAAAGTTGGTGCTTTCCGAGCCTGGCTTTGCTTGCTTTGAAGATTTCCACCCTTCTGGAATTTCGAGGGGCGCATATTTCCCATCAGACAGTGTTAATTCGGAGAATTCATCGATGCTACTCAAGATGAACCCATCTAAAGGCAAGCGGCCGTCGCGACATTTCCGAAAACCCTTAGATGCTTTTTCAAGAGCTGCCTTTTTGGAAATAAAGACTGGTTTCGATTTTAGTGAAGGGTTCGCTGATCCATTGACAAATTTCTTTTTTTTCTTGTCTCCTCCTATCACTTTATTATATGATATCCGTGGCCCAATCTCATAAGGATCTTCATCATCTGAGCCAGTATCATTCAAGATTCCTATACCGATGCCACCACGTGCGGCTTTCTTCTTCGTTTGTTTTTTCGTAGCAACAAGTGCAGTGCGATCACCTGCTTCCTCTTCGTCCTCCGACTTATGGGCAGCTATAGAGTTGCCGTTACCCGAGAGCCTTGCTTCCCCTTCATAGCCAAGTCCCTTGTGGTCGTTTTTCTTGGTGAAACTGATCATGTTTGTGTTTTCTGGTGCGAAGAGATGAGTGGCATCTGGATCATCTCCAACTTGTTCGTTGCCACCAAGACGAGCACTCCTTCGAACTTTTGGACCGATTCCTTGACCCTCTTTCCAACCCATCTTCTTCAACAACTTGACACCAATAGTTTCTCCTTCCACTCTGAAGAGATCTATTAACGCTCCTCGTCTTGCAGCATCCTCCTCTGTACTTCCAAGGCCTGAGAAGCCTTCGGCTGTTTGGACTCGCTGCGCATCTTCGGCATCCGCTCTATCCTCATCATCCATAAAATCCTCCGGTCGCTGTTGCGGAGCCTTTTCCGCATCCTTCTTTCGATTCGTGCGAGATGAGACGAAAGTCGATGGCGTCCATCCTTCTTTTGAACCTACTGTATTGAAGTATCTAAATTTGTTAGCATTGTTCTATGGTAATTGGAGCACGAAAAATAGTACCCAGCGCTAAATCCTCCAGTAAAAGCTCCATGAAGACGTTTCAACCCCCTTTCATCTCTCACTTCCTGCTTCCACACAGGCACGTATGATCCATCATCTCGTACTTCTGGATCGAATGGTGGCAGAGGAGTGCCGTATGTCACGAAGGGTGATTGCTGTGCTTGAAGGTCAGATTCGTAGGTTGCGCGTGACCGCTTGCCAGACATGATATATACATATGGAGAGAATTAGCAATTAGAGAGGAATATGCTAGAGGAGAAGCAATTACGGCGGCACGGCATGAAAGGCTGTGATGACTTTTGAATGTCATTCAGCCTTGTGGACCATGTTTCTGCCCGAACTATTGGTTGGGCTCTCGGTTGGCGCTTATTATCAGGGTGCATCGGTTAATAGCCGCAACATCCCTTCTCTTACCGTTTTCGGCTCCACCAAACCTTTCTTTGCATCCGGGAACGTATGACAAGAAGTATTATGCGAACATTTCATGTTATGTGTTACAATGCAGCGCTCAAGTTATCTCTCATGGTTGGCATTGAAGACAAGGCTAGGATTTCGTTCAATATAATTGAATTCCTAGCATCGGGAATTCTTGCTCTGCACACATCACAACAGCGCTCGCAAAATGCATCAGACGAACCCGAAGTATGCCGGATGGATGGAATATGCATGTAGCCGGAGCATGTTTGCTTTTTCGACAGCTCTTAATCTCCCTTCTTTGGAGCTCGCCAACCGTCCAATACTAGCATGGCAAGGGCTTCTGCGGCTGTCCAGTGAAGCTTCTGTGTCATTGGTAGCGTTGCTGGATACTGGACTCTGGAGACATGCATCTGATGCAGCTCAAGGGAGTGAGCTAGCCAGTAGTGACCATGGCGTTCAACCCTATCCTAACAAGCGGTACATCTCTTGAATATTCATATATATAATGTATTATTGATCGCTCAGAGTCAAATCGCTATTGCGCTAATGCATTTCGTACTGTCTTAGCAGCATCATGGTCCAAGCACCATGTTCCTGAGCGAGCTTGTTCCGCTATCAATCACCACAGCTGCTAAACTGCACCAGACCATCTGCACATGCTAGTCTTGAGCTGGTTCAACGGTTTCTTAGCTGAGTGGTCTGGAACTAGCAAAAAGTGAAAAGACCTGTTTTACTTCGTCCCCCCCTGAATAAACCGCAGTGGAGAATCTGTGCTTTGCAGTCGACTTTGCCTTTTACGGTATTAATAAGACGGATTCTTAACATACTATTCGCTACAACGTCCTTGTTTACCGTAACTTCTAGAAGACCCACTGCGGTTTATTCAGGGGGGGCACGAAGTATATATTAGACGACGGTTTATGGATTCTCATTGGTATAAGGAGGGGTAGCTTGGATGATCCAAAGCAATGTCGTCTGGACTCAAAGGATACGCAGCGTGACGACAACCATCCTTGAGAATGTTATAGTGAAGCATAAAATGGATTTTGAAGTAAGATATGGTCAGCATAGGTCAGAATTGATTTTGTCTCTTATAATATCTCGATTTTATTACCTGCCTTCGTAGACCACCTATTACCCTCGTCCCAAAACGTCATCCTGACTGCAGTCACGTCGCATCACATAAGTGGCTATCGATACCGCTGATCGCTATTACGGGATAAGAGGAAGAGATGAATGATTGGCAAGCTGAAGGCCAGAATGATTAGATAAATAAGACAAGACGCTTACTCACATTGAAGAAGGGAACCAAGAGAGCCCGAAAGTTGAGACTTGATGCTTTCTTTTTCCTCCCCATAAATGTGTTGCGTTGCTTGCGGAACGGCTGCTTTCTAGACTCCCAGCTGTTTGCTACCGCCTCCAGCTCCCCACAGCCACCAGCACCAGCTCAAGTCGTCTGCTGCCCAACCTTCCAGCCCAGCGATTTTGAAAAGGTTGCTTCCGCACTCCACCGTCGTCCTCCTCCACCCATATTTCCCTCACCACCGCGCAGCGCAATCCTAATCGCAACAACCCAATCCTTTGCTCCTCCGTGGTATGACTGTCGCGGCGCATAGCTACAGCTGTCGAGCATTTCTCCATCACTCACTCCACCTCGACCACCCTTCGCCGCTCGCGACCGTTTCACCATCGCTGTGACGTAGAAGCACAGCACAGTACAGCACGCACCGCACCAGCGAGACCCGCGAAAACCCCCAGACCAAGCTCCACGCTGCAAAAGTCGCCAGGGGTCTCGGGCCTTCACCACCAAAAAGGGACTCCCAGATCCCGCCAACCCGCCAACAGGCTCACCTCCCACACCCGGCTGATTGCTGCTACTGCACCAAGAGCAGACAGCCAGAACCGAAACGGCTTTGAGAATGGCAACAACAACATCCGTCTCCAACTCGACTCTCGACCGCCACAATTCGCGACGATCACAACCACAGTCCACGCCCACCAGAACGCAGTCATCACGATCGAAGACCGCCGTCCCGCCCAGCCCCCAGCGCGCGCAGTCGAGCCACCATCGAACTTCATCGCGCCACGGAGCTGGACCAGAACGACCGCCGCATGCTGATTACGAACACGCACGACGACGCAGCTCCAGCAGAGACCAACCCTCGCAGTCGCAAGGAGAGTCTAGCAGCAGAGGCGCGTCGAGTCATCATCACCATCGACATCATAGCCATAGCCGCCATTCGAGAGACATGTCGACCGCCGCTGCAAATGGAGGGGGGCCGGCGCCTGTGGTGACCCCCCAGGAGTCCAGGCATACAGGAAGATCATCCAAATCACGAACGACCATACCCGCTCAGACAGGCAATTGGGTTCTGGGAAAGACAATTGGTGCTGGAAGTATGGGGAAGGTCAAGCTGGCCCGGAGACCAGAAGGTGGTGAACAGGTCAGAATCAAGCTCTGTTTGTGTCCAAGGTAATTACTAACAACGTTGCCTAGGTTGCTGTGAAAATTGTTCCGCGAGGATCTACTGCGGAAGAAAACCATAATCAAAGTCGAGCTGATAGAGAGCGTGCCGATCACTCGAAAGAGGTGCGAACAGCACGGGAAGCCGCCATAGTGACCTTGTTAGACCACCCATATATATGCGCGATGCGAGATGTCGTACGGACCACCTACCACTGGTACATGCTCTTTGAATACGTCAATGGAGGGCAAATGCTTGACTATATTATCTCTCACGGACGATTAAAGGAGAAGCAAGCGAGGAAGTTCAGCAGACAGATCGCCAGTGCTCTGGATTACTGTCACAGGAATAGCATTGTTCACCGTGACCTCAAAATCGAAAATATTCTAATCAGCAAGACTGGGGATATCAAGATCATTGATTTCGGGCTGAGCAATTTGTTCGCTCCAAGAAGTCATCTCAAGACCTTTTGCGGCAGTCTCTATTTTGCAGCGCCCGAATTATTGCAAGCAAAAGCTTACACTGGCCCAGAAGTAGATGTATGGAGTTTTGGAATTGTTCTCTATGTTCTAGTCTGCGGAAAGGTTCCTTTTGATGATCAGAGCATGCCAGCGTTGCATGCCAAAATCAAGAAAGGTTTGGTGGATTATCCTAATTGGTTATCTGTTGGTAAGTTCCACTTAACTATAAGAGGCTACTGTGCTAACAAGATTAGAATGTAAGAATCTCATCTCTCGAATGCTCGTAACCGATCCGAAGCAGCGTGCCAGCCTCCAGGAGATAATGAATCACCCATGGATGATTAAAGGATTTGGCGCGCCACCAGAGAACTACCTACCAACCAGAGACCCAATTCAAATGCCTCTAGACCCTGCTGTTATACAAGCCATGACAGGTTTCGACTTTGGCCCTCCCGAGCTTATCGAAGCTCAGTTAACTGAGGTTATTGAGTCACCAGAGTACCAGAGAGCTATCAAGCTGGCTGCTCAAGAACGAGAGATGCAGGGACCACCAAGAGAAAATGAGAAGAAGAGAGGGTTTGGATTTGATTTCTATAAGAGGAGAGGTTCGACCACGAGCCGTGATACTCTCACTGCACCAAGTTCGGAGGGCTTGGCTCTTGGAAACGATCCAGTCAACGCCTACCACCCTCTCATATCGGTGTATTATCTTGTCAGAGAGAAGCAGGATCGCGATCGACTTGCTGCGAATCCTGGAGCAACGAGCATGCCTCGTGTACCGGGAGAAGCCCCACTTCAGGTGCCAGAATTGTCGGCACCCAAGGCTGCGTATACGAATTCTGCAGCATACGAAATGCCCGGTGAAAAAGCAACAGGAGGGCGGTCAAGACCACGTGCACGTACCCATGGGGAAGACGAGGTCACAGAGGGTATGAAGAATTTGAGGGTAGCTGGGACGTCGAGCGGACAGAATTCTCCTGCCATTATCGAACCTAATCCTGAACCCACCCATCACCGAAAAGAGAGCACTGCAGCAGGAATACTACGAAGATTCAGCACCCGGAGGCGTAAGGAGACGTCTGAAAAGAATTTTGATAGAAGTCACCCACCCCAAGTTCATGTACAACAGCCACACGAGCAAAGCACATTGCGCAAGAGCTTCAGCGTCCGACGGACCCGCGAGCGTGATAATGAGGGCCCACCCTCTTCAATCCTACGTTCTGGAAGCAGCCAACCGCAACATAGCGACCTTCTCTCGCCTCCCAGGTCGGCAGATAACAATGCACGTAATGCGAAGGGATTAGGAAGATCAACGAGTGTGAATTCCGCAGAGTTTCGGAAAAAGGAGAGTAGAAGGGGTGCCTCAGAAGGGGTCCCTCCACCACCCAGAGTTACATACAAGGAGCCACCGCCTACGAGTGGATCAGATCATTCGACAACCAACGAAAAGCCTGATGACAAGACTTTACGCGATGGAGAGCCTAAGTCGGCTGGCCACTTGAATCCGAAATCTGCCACGATGAGAGCAAAATCACTTGGCCATGCACGTCGGGAAAGCATTCAGGCTCGGCGTGCTCGCCGTGAAGAGGCCCGGGAAGCAAATGTTCCTGAGGAGACAGATATGGACGCTGGGGATGCTAGTGGATTGTCAACTGAGCGAGTGGATTCGGCCGAAAATGCCAAGCCGGTCTTCCTCAAAGGGCTATTCAGTGTTTCGACAACTTCAACAAAACCGCTAAGTTTCATTCGATCCGACATAATAAGAGTTCTTAGACAGCTGAATGTGGAATTCAATGAGATTCGTGGAGGTTTCAGTTGCAGGCACATGCCTTCAATTGACCTGAAGAAAGTTGTGGATATACCTCCTAGCAGTCATGGAAATCAAACACCTGGCCATCGTCGTCGGATAAGTTTTGGTGGGTTTATGAGTGGAAACAATAACAGCAATAGTATCGACAGAGAGCGCGAGGACTTTAGAGAATCTCCAAACACTCCAAGGACGCCCGCCAGACACCGCAACGATACCAGTTACACAAATTCGGATGCATCTGATGAGAGTGTTGGGCGTAACAATCATGGCTCTTCCGCTCGAGCAGTTGGAGAAACAAGCACGCACGTACAAAGCGAACTTGGTGGCAGCATGATTCTGGAATTCGAAATTTTTATCGTCAAAGTACCATTACTCACGCTTCACGGCATCCAATTCAAACGACTTGCTGGTGGAACTTGGCAATACAAGAACATGGCTGATCAAATCCTCCGAGAGCTCAGACTTTGAAAGAACATACACACTTTGTCAAGATTGGCGACGACATAATCTTCGATAACATAATAAAACAACATCCAACTTCGAGTGCTCAAGTCACAAAAAGCAAAGCAAAGATTACATATAACATGATGCAACAATACAACTTTACTTTTTTCCTAACCACTTTTAGACGAATCTCCTTGTTTGTCTCTTCTATTGAGTTGGGAAGCGAGCGATTTGAATGGTTCTATTTTCATTGAATTGAAAGGATCTGAGTTGGCGAGTAAGGAAGCAAGGCATCGGGACAGACCTGTTTTTGTAGGGGACGCGTACACCCATATTTTTTACTTTTGTGGAGGGGATACGATGCATGGATGAGATCTTTGGGCGAGGGAGCTGGGAATCGCCTCTTTTTGTGTTTGCAATGTGGTGTGGTAATTGGGATGGTGGTTGATATGTAGGATGTTTGGAGGGGAAGGGATGATGGGGAGGGTATTTGCATTGCGGAGGTATTCTTAATGGGGCTTTGGTGAGAGAGAGGAAATGGTGGAAAAGCGGAAAGAGATTTGTGTGGTTCGTATGTTGATGGACTTGAGTGGAATAGAAAATAAGGATTTTTGATTGATGTGTCGTCTCGTGGTGACCTTTGAACGAGGCGCAAAGTAAATTGCTTGTGATCGCGACGTCATTCACGAAGTGCTTCCACGCCAAAGCTACCCTCAACACCACCAGATTAAGTAGATTCCACGCTCGATGCCGACTGCGGCAACGCAGCAATGGTAGTCAAAGTAAGTAAATCATATTATGATATAACTATCTATTCAATTGCATATCTGCTAACCTCCACCCCGAGCAGGATCTCGTCCTAACGCCATTTCGCGTCGCAACCTCCAAACCCGCGCAAAAGACCTACATCAACCTCATCCTCTTCCTCTCCACCTCCCTCACCCTCCTCGGTCTCTCAACCCTCGCATACGTCCTCTTCTACTACCTCTACGTCCCCCAAATTGGAATAGAACGCCCCATCCACCTGCAATATGGGTAAGCACCCTCCTCCCTTCTCAATCCTCATCCTAACCCCCATAGCGACGGACCACACCCACACGCCCTCATCCCGCTCACCTCCCTCGTCCCCTCCCAACCCTACACCATCCACCTAACCCTCACGCTCCCGCGCTCGCCGCCAAACCTCACCCTCGGACCCTTTATGCTCGCTCTCACCCTCCTCTCGAGCTCCTACAAACCGATCGTTGTGCCGACGCCGACAATACACGTTCACCCCCTCCCGACATTAAGTCTGTACCTCACATCCATCCAAGAACCCGATATCATCCACACCGTCCGTCGACCGGCCCTCATCCCCTATACCTCGCGTCTCGTCTCCCTTTCGACGCGCATCCTAGGCCTACCTCTATACATCCTCGGTCTGCGCACTGAAACCTCGACGCTCGAAGTCGAGCTGGCCGAGAACTTAGTCTTCAACCGTAAAGATGGCGTGCCGGCTTACGCGATGCTAGAAGTACAGGCGGGACAAACTCTACAAGTCTACGACGCGACAATGTATGTTAGGGCGCGGTTTGGGGGCTTGAGGTGGTGGATGTGGAATCACCGCATCCTGAGCGCATTCGTAGGAATATTTACCTTTTGGGCATGTAGTAACATCGTCATGGTATTCTCCTGGACGATATTACGCGTGCTCTTCCCATCCCAAGAATCATCTACATCGCTCACGCGCTCGGAAAACGAGGTTAAAAACGAGCCTGGGACGGACGAAGAACCAGATCTCTCGGACACCCCGCGCACATTCCCTACGTATGGACGACAGGCGCCGTTGCGGTATGAGCCTGTTGTGAAGAAAGAGGAAGCGGAGGAGGATGTGTTAGCCGAAACGGAGATCGCGCCGTTGGGGGAGGCGGATGATGAGGATGACGAGGATGGCGCGTTTGGCGATTCGGGGTTGGGGACGAGTTATAGTGAGGGTGGAGGGGGAAGGAGGGGGGGTGTTAGGAGGAGGAGGGAGAAGGGGGGTTGAGGGTGTGTAATAGGGGGGTTAATGGTTAATAATGTAGTAATGTTGAAATAGTAATGAAAATACCTCCAAAGTATGTTTAATGTTATTACGCTACTGAGATGTGAGCAAATGGAATTTCAAGCCGGACTTGTCACTAAGATTTAACCATCAAATTCGCTAGATATTATGAGGGTGGGTAGGTATGATTAAAATGAATCGTAGTGGAATATACCTCCAAACCCATCTAGCGTCAAGCCCTAACATCTATATATAAGAACTTACAATTCACATCATAACCCAATCTCAATTTCACAATCAAACAAAAATGAAAGTCAAACTCACAATAAACTCAAATTATCACACATATCAAAATTCCCAACTCCCGTCCAAACCACAATCATAATATATACAAATTTGCCCATTCCATACCATCCCTAACATACCAACAAGATTTATCAATCTCAAACAAAATCCCACACGCTTCAGATTTCATATACCAATTTCGCAAGATAGCTACAGCACAATCCAGACCTCCTTATGAACAACGCCCAAGATCCTTCGCTTCAAAATTATGCATTAGATTCAGCAATTCTGAAGATAATTGCTAGGCACGAGACCCGGTCTCCCATTCTTGCCCGCCACTTCGGCCTCCCACCACCCATCATCCTGCAATCTGAGGACCGCGAGGATGTCGCCTTTGGCAAAGCTGAGTTCCTCGGGGATGGCGGCTTGATACATGTACATCGCTCGAGCTGACGATATGTTAGTATTGGAACTGGGAAGTTGGAATGGGATAACTTACCGAAATGAAGAATTGGACGACCTTCTCTATTATATTGTCGCACATCCGCAACACTCTTGCTTCGCTGTCGAGAAACCTGACTATTAGAGCCTTGTCCACCGTAATAGCTCATAGTCCTAGAAGAGCCAGCTCGACTACCTCCTCTGCCTTGGGAACCATACCCGTCACTTGGCGCCGGGGCAAGTTGCACCGCCATATCGGACGCTACGTGACTACTATGTGGTCTCTCCTGCTCCCGAAATGGTGCTGGAGATACAGCGCGAGCGATTTCGTTTGGCGAGTTTTGGCGATAATAACCATTTTGTTCACTTCCACGTTTGACCGGAGATGCTGATTGAGACTGAGTTCGTGACCGTTGACTGCCTCCATAGGGATTTGGTGAAGCTGACCGGTATGCTTGCCGAGAATCCACTTGCATATTAGGACGAGGCGAAACACTGCGCGGAGGGGCAGGCGATGTTGCCCGTGGCATGTCGCTACCTCTTGTACCTGGTCGAGATTGTGAACCATGTTGAGATCCAGGTCTTGCTTGTGGTGCGCTAAACATGTTACGAGTTTGGTCCTCATACTTTTGTCGTGTTTGCTGCATAGCTTTGGAAGTGAAAGCTGGCTGCGGAAGTCCTAGGCGGGAAACAGGTTGATCGTAGGATGGCGGTGGGGTGCTGCGCATACCCCCCATCTGACTGCCACTTGCCATCTGCGTTCCACCTGGTCGAGCATTTGGTGTTGAACCTGGTGCTGGCGTTGCTATACCGTGGTAGTTGTCTGCTGAGACACGACTAGAAGACGCTTTAGTGACACCCTTCAGTTCGGCTAGGGCTTGAGCAATAGGATCCAGTTCCTCTGCTTGAGTAGCATTCTGTGCACCCTTATTCTTGCCCGGCTGCTGTACATCAAAAACATTGTTTCCAATATTCAATTGGAAATTGGCACGAGGGTCCACCGGCTCTGGGCTGACACTTGGTCCGTCACTGATCATCCTACTTTGAGTTCCTTGTCCATACTGTGATCTTCGCGAGGCAGAAGCTGGGGCAGTGTTATTGCTTCGGTTCGCTGACCATGTATTCCGGTTTGATGTCGCCACGGGTGCTGCTCCGTAGTCCTTTTCCTTGTTGCTCTTTCGTCTAAATGGGCTATGACCTTGAAAGAATCCGCTCTTTTTCTTCAAAATTTGCTTATCCGCCGGGGGGCCGACCTGTTTGATAGGCGAAGTCTTTCCACTTTGGGGGTCCTGGCTCGAAAATGATGTTGGATTAGAGTATTCACTTTGTGAATCTCGACTGGAAGGTCTCACGGGACTATGGGCGGAACTCAAATCTGAAGGAGGGCCTGTTCGACATAGCATTGTCATGCCGTCCATAGGGTATGGATCGTGAGGGACGGCAGCCAACGGACCGTGTTGGGATTGATCAAATGGCCGTCTTGAAGATTGCTGTTGATAATCAAGTTGAGGCTGCTGTCTTGTTCTATCTGGAATTTGCTTCTGTGGCGTCGAGGCATCGTGAACCGAAGGAGGTTGATACTCAAGCTGCGTTTGTCTGGATCGTTCTGTCGCTGCCTTCTGCGGTGTTATCGTGGCCTCGCGGCTTTGGGGAGTCCCTGTGTCGTGGCCTAAGTCTCGGACTAAGTTCGATTCGGGATCATGATGAGATTCGTATGTAGATGGTTGTGGTGACGAGCTTCTGTAAGCTGGGTTGATTGTTCGCTGGAATTGGGCCACGGAATAATTATCGTCCTCGGAAGATTCCGACTGTGTATCGCTAACATCGCCACGGCAGAAGTTGATATACTTAGGTGGATCTGGAAT